GCCAAATTTGATCAAAAAGTAAGGCTAACCCCTTACAATTTTTTTCAATTTTGGCCGAAAAATGAAATTGCTTAAAACTTGCTGGGAAGATACCTGAGGGTCCCTAGAGCAAAATTGAACTGGAATTTGGGACAGATTTGGCATTTTAAAGAAAGATTGCGTCGATAATTTGGGTCAAAATGAGTGAAAATTATTAATTTTGGTGTCAATAAATCGGTAATTTTTGCCCAAATCATCAATATTTTAAGTGTTTGAAGGTGGATTGATCTTCCTCTTGCAGCCAAAGACAATTCTGAGTTGTTTGGAGAAAAGTCAATTTTTGGCCAAATTTGATCAAAAAGTAAGGCTTACCCCTTACAATTTTTTTCAATTTTTGCCGAAAAATGAAATTGATTGAAACTTGCTGGGAAGATGCCTGAGGGTCCCTAGAGCACAATTGAACTGGAATTTGGAACAGATTTGTATTAAAAAAAAAAGATTGCGTCGATAATTTGGGTCAAAATGAGTGAAAATTATTAATTTTGGTGTCAATATATCGGTAATTTTTGCCCAAATCATCAATATTTTAGGTGTTTGAAGGTGGATTGATGTTCCTCTTGCATCCAAAGACATTTCTGAGTTGTTTGGAGAAAAGTCAATTTTTGGCCAAATTTGATCAAAAAGTAAGGCTAACCCCTTACATTTTTTTTCAATTTTGGCCGAAAAATGAAATTGCTTGAAACTTGCTGGGAAGATGCCTGAGGGTCCCTAGTGCACAATTGAACTGGAATTTGGGACAGATTTGGCATTTTAAAGAAAGATTGCGTCGATATTTTGGGTCAAAATGAGTGAAAATTATTAATTTTGGTGTCAATAAATCGGTAATTTTTGCCCAAATCATCAATATTTTAAGTGTTTGAAGGTGGGTTGATTTTCGTCTTGCATCCAAAGACATTCCTGAGTTGTTTGGAGAAAAGTCATTTTTTGGCCAAATTTGATCAAAAAGTAAGGCTAACCCCTTACAATTTTTTTCAATTTTGGCCGAAAAATGAATTTGCTTGAAACTTGCAGGGAAGATGCCTGAGGGTCCCTAGAGCACAATTAAACTGGAATTGGGACAGATTCGGATTAAAAAAAAAAATTGCGTCGATAAGTTGGGTCAAAATGAGTGAAAATTATTAATTTTGGTGTCAATAAATCGGTAATTTTTGTCCAAATCATCAATATTTTAAGTGTTTGAAGGTGGATTGATGTTCCTCTTGCATCCAAAGACATTTCTGAGTTGTTTGGAGAAAAGTCAATTTTTGGCCAAATTTGATCAAAAAGTAAGGCTAACCCCTTACAATTTTTTTCAATTTTGGCCGAAAAATGAAATTGCTTAAAACTTGCTGGGAAGATGCCTGAGGGTCCCTAGAGCACAATTGAACTGGAATTTGGGACAGATTTGTATTAAAAAAAAAAGATTGGGTCGATAATTTGGGTCAAAATGAGTGAAAATTATTAATTTTGGTGTCAATAAATCAGTAATTTTTGCTCAAATCATCAATATTTTAGGTGTTTGAAGGTGGATTGATCTTCCTCTTGCATCCAAAGACAATTCTGAGTTGTTTGGAGAAAAGTCAATTTTTGGCCAAATTTGATCAAAAAGTAAGGCTTACCCCTTACAATTTTTTTCAATTTTGGCCGAAAAATGACATTGCTTGAAACTTGCTGGGAAGATGCCTGAGGGTCCCTAAAGCACAATTGAACTGGAATTTGGGACAGATTTGGCATTTTAAAGAAAGATTGCGTCGATATTTTGGGTCAAAATGAGTGAAAATTATTAATTTTGGTGTCAATAAATCAGAAATTTTTGCCCAAATCATCAATATTTTAAGTGTTTGAAGGTGGATTGATGTTCCTCTTGCATCCAAAGACATTTCTGAGTTGTTTGGAGAAAAGTCATTTTTTGGCCAAATTTGATCAAAAAGTAAGGCTAACCCCTTACAATTTTTTCAAATTTGGCCGAAAAATGAAATTGCTTGAAACTTGCTGGGAAGATGCCTGAGGGTCCCTAGAGCACAATTAAACTGGAATTTGGGACAGATTTGGCATTTTAAAGAAAGATTGCGTCGATATTTTGGGTCAAAATGAGTGAAAATTATTAATTTTGGTGTCAATAAATCGGTAATTTTTGCCCAAATCATCAATATTTTAAGTGTTTGAAGGTGGATTGATCTTCCTCTTGCAGCCAAAAACAATTCTGAGTTGTTTGGAGAAGTCAATTTTTGGCCAAATTTGATCAAAAAGTAAGGCTTACCCCTTACAATTTTTTTCAATTTTGGCCGAAAAATGAAATTGCTTGAAACTTGCTGGGAAGATGCCTGAGGGTCCCTAGAGCACAATTAAACTGGAATTTGGGACAGATTCGGATTAAAAAAAAGATTGCGTCGATAATTTGGGTCAAAATGAGTGAAAATTATTAATTTTGGTGTCAATAAATCGGTAATTTTTGCCCAAATCATCAATATTTTAAGTGTTTGAAGGTGGATTGATGTTCCTCTTGCATCCAAAGACATTTCTGAGTTGTTTGGAGAAAAGTCAATTTTTGGCCAAATTTGATCAAAAAGTAAGGCTAACCCCTTACATTTTTTTTCAATTTTGGCCGAAAAATGAAATTGCTTGAAACTTGCTGGGAAGATGCCTGAGGGTCCCTAGAGCACAATCAAACTGGAATTTGGGACAGATTCGGATTAAAAAAAAAGATTGCGTCGATAATTTGGGTCAAAATATGTGAAAATTATTAATTTTGGTGTCAATAAATCGGTAATTTTTGCCCAAATCATCAATATTTTAAGTGTTTGAAGGTGGATTGATGTTCCTCTTGCATCCAAAGACATTTCTGAGTTGTTTGGAGAAAAGTCAATTTTTGGCCAAATTTGATCAAAAAGTAAGGCTAACCCCTTACAATTTTTTTTCAATTTTGGCCGAAAAATGAAATTGCTTGAAACTTGCTGGGAAGATGCCTGAGGGTCCCTAGAGCACAATTTAACTGGAATTTGGGACAGATTCGGATTTTAAAAAAAGATTGCGTCGATAATTTGGGTCAAAATGAGTGAAAATTATTAATTTTGGTGTCAATAAATCGGTAATTTTGCTCCAATCATCAATATTTTAGGTGTTTGAAGGTGGATTGATCTTCCTCTTGCAGCCAAAAACAATTCTGAGTTGTTTGGAGAAAAGTCAATTTTTGACCAAATTTGATCAAAAAGTAAGGCTTACCCCTTACAATTTTTTTCAATTTTGGCCGAAAAATGAAATTGCTTGAAACTTGCTGGGAAGATGCCTGAGGGTCCCTAAAGCACAATTGAACTGGAATTTGGGACAGATTTGGCATTTTAAAGAAAGATTGCGTCGATATTTTGGGTCAAAATGAGTGAAAATTATTAATTTTGGTGTCAATAAATCAGAAATTTTTGCCCAAATCATCAATATTTTAAGTGTTTGAAGGTGGATTGATGTTCCTCTTGCATCCAAAGACATTGCTGAGTTGTTTGGAGAAAAGTCAATTTTTGGCCAAATTTGATCAAAAAGTAAGGCTAACCCCTTACAATTTTTTCAAATTTGGCCGAAAAATGAAATTGCTTGAAACTTGCTGGGAAGATGCCTGAGGGTCCCTAGAGCACAATTAAACTGGAATTTGGGACAGATTTGGCATTTTAAAGAAAGATTGCGTCTATATTTTGGGTCAAAATGAGTGAAAATTATTAATTTTGGTGTCAATAAATCGGTAATTTTTGCCCAAATCATCAATATTTTAAGTGTTTGAAGGTGGATTGATCTTCCTCTTGCAGCCAAAAACAATTCTGAGTTGTTTGGAGAAAAGTCAATTTTTGGCCAAATTTGATCAAAAAGTAAGGCTTACCCCTTACAATTTTTTTCAATTTTGGCCGAAAAATGAAATTGCTTGAAACTTGCTGGGAAGATGCCTGAGGGTCCCTAAAGCACAATTGAACTGGAATTTGGGACAGATTTGGCATTTTAAAGAAAGATTGCGTCGATATTTTGGGTCAAAATGAGTGAAAATTATTAATTTTGGTGTCAATAAATCAGAAATTTTTGCCCAAATCATCAATATTTTAAGTGTTTGAAGGTGGATTGATGTTCCTCTTGCATCCAAAGACATTTCTGAGTTGTTTGGAGAAAAGTCATTTTTTGGCCAAATTTGATCAAAAAGTAAGGCTAACCCCTTACATTTTTTTTCAATTTTGGCCGAAAAATTAAATTGCTTGAAACTTGCTGGGAAGATGCCTGAGGGTCCCTAGAGCACAATTAAACTGGAATTTGGGACAGATTCGGATTTAAAAAAAAGATTGCGTCGATAATTTGGGTCAAAATGAGTGAAAATTATTAATTTTGGTGTCAATAAATCGGTAATTTTGCTCAAATCATCAATATTTTAAGTGTTTGAAGGTGGATTGATGTTCCTCTTGCAGCCAAAGACAATTCTGAGTTGTTTGGATAAAAGTCAATTTTTGGCCAAATTTGATCAAAAAGTAAGGCTAACCCCTTACAATTTTTTTCAATATTGGCCGAAAAATGAAATTGCTTGAAACTTGCTGGGAAGATGCCTGAGGGTCCCTAGAGCACAATTAAACTGGAATTTGGGACAGATTTGGCATTTTAAAGAAAGATTGCGCCGATAATTTGGGTCAAAATGAGTGAAAATTATTAATTTTGGTGTCAATAAATCAGTAATTTTTGCCCAAATCATCAATACTTATTTAAGTGTTTGAAGGTGGATTGATGTTCCTCTTTAAAGACATTTCTGAGTTGTTTGGAGAAAAGTCAATTTTTGGCCAAATTTGATCAGTCTGTATTTTGTCCCTTTTAACGCTTCCGCAGGTTCACTTTGCAATTGAAAATAAAATCGCCATGTTGGGTGCCGCACCACGTTAGGGTACATCAACAATCTATCACAAGGATGTGCGTTAATTATTTTTCAATTGCATACAGGAGAAAAGAGACTAAAAGTGGAAATGTGTAGGTATCAAAAACTACATTTTATTTCAACACATCCAACACCATTTATTTGAAAAAAATGCAATGGTGACGAAACATATTTACAAGTTCAGTCTCTGCAAAGCGTACATAATTTACAATTTGTTTCTACATTTTGTACATGGCTCTTGCAAATCATCTTTAAAGTGTGACATGGTTTGCCTTCTAAGGAATTCACATTATTCCATTTTTTTTCGGATTTTTTTCCCAATAAGCCATCAAACCAAACCATCTTTTGAAATTTTCCAAAAAAATCAACATAATTTTCCCAACCTCATCAAATTACATATGCTGCATAGCACATAAATTCGAAGAAGGTAGTACAGGCCTTTAAAACGTGGAACACTTTTTATGAAATTGAACGGAACTATAAAGCAAAACTATGGGACAAAGTGAAAAAAAATTGTCTACAGTTTTACAGATGACTTATGCATGCACATCAGCAATTTGGACCTCGTTATTTTTTCTAATACGAAGCTTTCCTTCCACTAGTCTATGGAATATCCCATTGCACAGCAAGGGTCTATGATATGTGCGTAGATTCGGCAATAAATTATGCAAAACAAGACTGTGTCTTGACCTCGAGATTCTGACCATTCAGCAGGCGCCTTCTGTCAGGTCTTCCGTTACCGGTCGATGTATTTCAAACTAAAACATGGCATCCAAATCGACCAACCCACAGCTTAGTCCATATTTCTGATGGAAATGACATCAGAGTTTCTAAAGATCACTCTGATTGGCTGGCAAGCGAGGTCATATCAAATTTGCATGCTAGCCAGGGGTGTGAGTGACCACTGATAAAAATAGCTGAAAACAGCTGAAAAAAGTGTAAAAAAGCTGAATGTTGGAGATCTCTTATACTTTTGTACCCAGCAAGTGAGGGAAAAAGCTGAAAAAAAGGGTGAAATCCAACACACTTAAAAGCTGAAATCAGCTTTAAAGCTGAGATTTCCTACCCCTGCTTATATCAGACGCTCAGCCGTGGCTCTGCCCACGTGAATCACTGATCCTCAGATTATCCTTCCACCAGGATTATTATACATTTTGTTCATGTAATTTTTTTCAAGCCACAAAAATACAAAAAGCAGGTCTCTCCTCATTGAAGGGACCGGGTTAAAACATGTTTAGGTTTGAACCTGTCCCAGTAACCTCTGATGCAAATTCTGTTTCCACAGCGTAGTATGTACAGATCTTTATTGAGCTTGGCGCAGCCATTCCACTTTATGACTTGCCTCCCTCTGCAGCCTGCAAAGAAGAGAAAAATAATATGAGCATTTGATAGAAACAGTGTCACTGTACTGATTTGTCACCACTTGTCACCAGCAGGCAAAGAAGTTTATTTAACAAAAGCAAACCAGAGCACTCCCATTCAAAATATCTTATGACCTGAGAAAGAAAAGCACCAAGGCAAACACAAAATAGGGTTCTCAAAAAATCTTAAAATGAAATTCCATGACTTTTCAATGACTTTTCCAAGATATAATTAGGGCTTTCCACGACCAATCCCTACACTGTTTTGGCATCTTAGGAGCCTATTTACAATGCAAAGGGCAGTCATCACACTGAGGCAAAGGATGCCATTCCCTTTCACATTCAAGGTTTGACACAACTCCACTGAGCACCACAAATGCATCACAATGATGCACTGACCATGCTACATGATACATGCGTCTAAGAGCAAGTACATGTGTATACTGGAAAGCAAGCTGCAAGACTGCCATAACCAAGTTTTACGCATTATATGGGTTGGACAGGATTCCATGATTTTTTTCTTGGAATATCAACTTTCCATGAATTCCATGAAATTAGGCTCATGTCACTGTGTCCCTACCCTGTTCCCCCTCCCCCTACCCTGCTGCCCCTCCCCCTACCCTGTTCCCCCTCCCCTACCCTGTTCCCCCTCCCCTCCTCCCCCACCCTGTTCGCCCTCCCCCTACCCTGTTCCCCCTCCCCTCCTCCCCCACCCTGTTCCCCCTCCACGTACCCTGCTCCCCCTACCCTGTTCCCCCTCCCCTACCCTGTTCCCCCTCCCCCTACCCTGCTCCCCTACCCTGCTCCCCCTCCCCCTACCCTGCTCCTTTCCCCCTATCCTTACCTGTTGTGTACCCCAGGAGATGTAGTCTGGCTTGGTAGCAGCATGATATTCATCTATCAGTTGTTGGACGACCTCTCTGGAGTTATCCAACTCATCCAAATTGTCTTTGAAGATGGCTTGCTTACGGAACTGTTCCAGGAAAGCCTCTCGCTTGCGTAGCTTGTCATACTGCTGGCACGTCCTCTCAAACAGCTGTGGGGAACCAGTGACGGTTCATGAACACCAGTGATTTTTACAATACATTAAGGTTGCGCATACACTAAGGTTTGCAAGTATCCAACTGTCAGGCAACAAGCCTAGACAGGGTTTCTAGCGAACTCACCGTAGTAATGCTGGTATGATTGGCCAGCATTAAGCCACTGACTCTATTAGCTGTCTGGACGTATGGTGACTTGCGTGACAAGGCAACCTGGATACTTGCTGGCCCCCAGGGGATGAACTGAGCTAGCTTACGCTCACGGATTCGCTGAAGACTCTTGTGCACCTAGGAAAAGTTACACGAGACAGAGCAGGTAGTGAAAGTTAAATGTAGAGAAATATAAATCTAAAGCAAAAAAAGTCAGATACAGTACTGCACACACATTGAATAATTGTGTTGGTTTTTAATTAAAAGTATGTGTTATGTCTCACCACAGATCAAATCTAGAAAGGCATATTGGTCAAAATCTAATTTGGATGGCAAAAGCTCTTTTGGTTTCGATTAAGGGCCCGTCTCACTTCATATCTGGGATGAGTTCTGGACCAGTTGCGGGTAGAATCATTCACTTTGTTCGGAACAAGCTCTGCATTTGTCCTGGACACGTTCCGGAGTATATTTTCATTAGCAACTGCTTGACCCACCAATACTGATAACTTCATTGTGGGAAGATTGCAGCGAAGTTGTTCAGAATCCTGCAACTTTTACCCGATACATAACTTTTTTCGCCTCCGATATGAAATAAGACAGGCCGTAACCAAAACTCATTTAGGTTTTCAGGTACCCTTGCTGATTGCTGAATCCAGCAACACCCCAAAATTAAAGACATTTGCAAAATGCAAGTAAATACAGATGCTATGCAATGTTTTACTCTTAGCATCTCCACAAAATATGGCCCTAGACTCCACACAAGACTCCATAAACAGAAGCTGCTGATGCTATTACCTGCGTTGGGTCCACTTCTCCTTGGATGATGTTCAAGATGGAGATGTAGCAATGGTTGCTCTGTCTGTCACGCAGTGTGGTAGACACCATGATGTTCTTGGGTTGTAGCAGACGTCGCATCACGTCTAATACTGTGGTCTTGCGGACACTCTTGGACTGGGAGGGAGAGAGATCGGGCAATTAGAATGTGGTAATAATGCCTCAGGAATGTTATTATTATTATTATTATTTATTTTTGGTAGTGAAACCAAGGAGTCCTGAAAAGTGCCCTAGGTACTATAGCTCACAAGCCTGAAGAAACCTGTAGGGAGAAGAAAATGAGAAGAAATTACAGTTTTAGAGGAAAACCCAAGAAGAATATTTTGGGGGAAACTCACGGAATCAGGTAGGGACTAAAAACCCAATCTACATGTTGGCCCACACGGGATTGAACCTGGGTCACAGCGGCGGAAGGCAAGGAAAGAACCGCTACGCCAACCTGACTCCCCTATTGAGTGTGTTCGATAACTTCCCCCAGCTTACTCGCGCCTGGCTCCTCGCGTGATGACAGACATGCGCAGTAGAGCTAAATAAATGAACGGTTTCGGGTAAAGTTTGGTGTAAGAGCTGGAAAGTTGAACTTTAACAGCTTACCTTGAGATCTGAGCTGACTGTGAGTGGCGTGTATCCAGTCATTAGGAAGTGTAGTCTAGGGGTAGGGATTAGAGATGCTATCAGTCCTATCAGGTCATTATTCATGTAGCCAGGATAACGAAGTGTGGTGGTACTTGTAGACATGATTGTTGATACCTGGAAAAAAGGTGAGAAAGTGACACAGCACCCAAATCATACTATTAATACTACTATTGTTATCGCTACGAAAATATGAAATGATTTGGTTTCAGTGTTCAGCACTGCCTTTTTCATGAGGTGTTAGAGTCCACCCTTTTTGGCTTGTCATGTTCAAGCCTAGTACTGTACAACACCAGCTTGGTAATCACATTGAAAAATGTTAACAAATAATGACCGTTTGTGAGTGCAATGGTAAGAATAATTTCATGAGTTGACATATGCCGAGTGGAATGGAACATTCCATTAAAAATTCCAGAATAAATCTTTATCATCTGATTGGTTGACTTTTAAGAGCCAATTTATTCAGGTTAAAAACTGTAAAAAAAAGAAGAAAGTTTGACAAGTTCATCAAATTTAATTTATGCAAACTGTTCAACAGGTTGAGAGCCATCACATTCAATTTATCTCGATTTAAAACAGCGCCACCACTGGCAGCAGTGACACCATGCAATGGAAGTTCTATTCACCGTGCAATAGAACTTCCATTGCACTGTGTGCTGCGCGCCATGCGTTGGGACGATTAATTGAATGACATGTGATCAACGATCCACCAATCAGATGACTGGGATTTATTCAGGTGTTGTACAATACCAAATACCTGATACACCAATTAATTAATCAAGTAAACAAAATATTGTGGCATTCCTGATTGGAAGACTGACGTGACCTTTCTGCTTCCACACAACTCCACATCTACGTACCATTTGGTTGATCTGTGTGAAGTCTGGGTTAGATAGATGCAAACGCTCGCTGGCTATACGATTCATAGCTGTGTTATCCAGCACAACCTGTAAACAGAACATACTAAGTTTAATATCACAACACAAAATAAAACAGAAAGCAGAGCCAGTGACATCCTGCAGCATTGGGGAGGATTTTAAGTACAATCTAGGGCTAAATGTATTCACGGCTGAGCATAAACAACACAAGGTCTGCCCTAAGACATTGACAAAGTGCATCCTCCAAAATCAGCCACACATTTTCGCCATGTAGCCTCATTCCTGCAAAATCCTCCATTTTGCAAAATCCTCCGTTTTGCAAGGAGTATTTTGGAGGATTTGGGAAGGTTAGGATTAAAGAATGACCCATATGCTAATAACCAAACAAGAACTGTACCAAATTTTGAGCATATCATAGGTTAGTGGATTCACCCAGCAGGCTATGCTGTGTATGATAGCTCTCCAGTAACTTTACAAAGCTCGATGCACTGCTCTAACAAGTTACCCGTGTACAGTATTAAGACTCTGTAACTCACCACACAGTCTGCATTCTGTGTCAGTCTCTTGAGTGTTAGCATGGAGTTATATGGCTGCACCACTACGTCACTGATCTCCTGCTGGTTGGGAAAGACTGAGTAGGTCTGGATTAACTTCTTGGGAAATCTAGGATGGAAAGCAAAGCATAATATAATGATGGTAATGTTAGGCGAAACATTTACCATAGTGCACGCACTACTTTGAGAGACAATTAGTCCAATGGATGCAAGCTCAGAAGTTGAACTGAATCTTTGGATTGGAAATGTATATGGATTGGAAATTATTCCACATGTCACATTAACCCTCTGTCTCTTTGGCTGGCAATTTCAAGAAGGCCAGCCCAGCATTAAAATTAAATCAAGTGACTGTTTTTAACAGTTTAGTGCTCCCTGCCTTCATAAAGCAGGATTGACTGGCTGTGACTGTTTATGTAATTTGATACAGCTTTGCTTTGGCTGTAGGAGATTGACAAGCCAGCTGTACCTTTCAGTTATTTGATTTTGTCTGTTGATGGCATTTGACTAGTCACAATGCCTACAAGAAACATGATCTGACTGTTGGTGACTAGCATGTGTATAGACATGGCAGGGGAACAGGATTGAATTTTTGACTGTCTGTGACTGATCAAACAAAAGGAGGGTCTCAAGACAAGTGCACCATTCAACCAAACAGCTCCACAAAAAAAGTGGCATTATCATCTTCTTTTTTCAACAACTGCCAGTGAAATCTATAATTTAGGCTCTCTTTGCCATCCTCAAGATAACCATCATGATTTTTAAAGCATTGCATTTTGTACAACTAAATCTGAAACCACCGAAAATTGTGCAACATATGGCTTTTACTAGTTTCAGTCATGGTAGTCGAACTCCACGTGCAAAAGCCCTGAAGCTCTTTACAAATTATGTGAGGGGTTAATGCTTAAACTTATTTCCAGCTGTTAAAAAAAAACTACTCCAATCCGGGCTTACTTACCGGTACATGTTTGTGCCTCTACGATACAATCTTTGCATTAACGACTGGAGGAACAGATTAAAATTGCACTCGCAATACAGATGTCACAGTGCCGTATTCATGAATTTCATTTAAATCTAATTTTAAAATTCAGACTTTGCAGGGAAAAGATTGTTAGAAAATCAGAATTTTGGAAATAAATTTGAAAAAGTCAGATTTTTGATAAAAAATTGGGAAAGTTTTATCTCTGATTACAACAGGTGATGGTGTATACTTCTTCATTTTTCCTAGCTGTCTTGTACTGACCTGTCGTTGAGTCTTTCCAGCAGGTACGATCCCATGCCCGACCCTGTACCCCCGGCGATAGAATGACACAGTACAAAACCCTGCAATCAACACAAATGAAGTAAGACGTAACATCACTCTAAAGTAGCCAAGAGTTGTAAGAAGTGTTCTGTGATGGACATTTCTTCCAAGATTCTATCAGGTCACAACTTGGTGCAATGGAACGTAATGTATAGACTAATTCAGCGACTGTCGCTTTCTGCGGTGGCGCAAGGCTCACATGAGTCGTGCTCAGGTAGTACGCACGCACTCCGCGCTCCTTCGACCAGTGAGGGTAGGAAACAGATTGTGCTTATTTCGAGCTGCTGCAGAGAACTGGTTTTACGGCGTGATGAACAGGGGTAATAATTGAGAAGTGCTTTGAAACTTCGGCATAAACTACTACAATAAATGTATATCAGCACCATATTATTGTAATTGTTATTATTATTATTTCAACCGACCTCTAGACTGTCACTACCATCAGCCTCCCTGTCAATGATGTCAAATACTTCCTCATACAAACGATCTCCCTGAACATGAAAACAAATAGTGAATGTCATAACAAGTTAGAACATGATCCCATATAGTTGTATATATCCATTACCACTGGGGCCAAAAAAGTCAGATTCACCCCGTTGTCCATAATGCAATGTAACCTTAACCTTTTAGCGACAGTTCTACATTGCATTACATGGTACATGCAATTCCTGTTGAATCCATCAAACTGTACAGTGCTGCTAGGTGGATTCAAGCAATACATGGAGTAACAGGCAGGACTGTTTGGCGCAGTACATGCACACGTCACATGTGACCTTTTAAAATGTTAAAAATGTAAAATTGGCAAGAAGTTGGGGGTTGATTGTACCTGTTCATATCCTGATGCCCAGTTATTACCGGCTCCCCCACCGTGTTTGGACAGGTAGATGTTCTCTGGGTTGAACAGATTGGCATAGGAAGAATTCAGAATGCTGTGGATGACACGGGGCTCCAAGTCTAGCAGCACAGCGCGGGGAATGTAATGCTCATCATCTGCCTGTATGCATGACAAAGGAAGGGATTGTTGTAAAGTGTCCTGCTTAGGGACATCAGCAGGATTCATAGCTACATTCTTAGGCATCTTTGAACTGCTACATGTATCATAAGTCAACCCTGATTATATGAAATGGATGTGGGTTGCCTTTCTGTCTTTATAGATCAAACTGTATTGGTGTTCTCATACTGAAATGTTGAAACTAGTCACAGACTGTACAATATAATCTTTCCGACTTCCATCCGAGATCCATCGAGCTTTTAACATTTCATGTACATGTAATCCCTGATCGATCCTTACCAAACCAGAGTAGGTTTTAATCCAGTAAGAATGCCTTTTTGCTAAGTTCATTTTAAGTGTTGCAAGTGCAACCAAGCTAAAAATCTTGGGCTTGACTCAGATCCAACCCTGAGAATGTACATGTTGTGAAAAAAAAAACATGAATAATGATATCGATGAAATAGATATGTTAACCCTGATCTGCACATAATCTTAAAAAATCCAAGCGGTTTTGCAGGATTGTGTATGACTAAAGATGGTAAAACGCAGCAATATTTACTGCATACAGGGTTGATGTCTTCACTTGAGTCTTGTGAGCTGCCAACACAAAAGTTCCCTTAAAATGTCCAACAGTGCCTACCTGGTAAAAGAAGACATCTTTGCGATCAGTGTCATTGGTAGCGAAGTCCTCCAGTATTCCTTCTGGGCTGATGCCATGCTCTGAGCACAGCTGCTTCCAAAACTCAAAGCCAACTGCACAGTGTAAATAGGAAATAGCAGACTTGTTATTGTGTTGAGATAATTAAGGGCAAGATAGTTGGCTGGCAATATGTTATGCAGGTTTTCTTTTTACAAATGTATCTTTTAAGTAGTTCATCACTCCAAAACGACGTCTGCAACCCAAATCAAACTTTTTATATGTATTACATTATAAATACACAAGTTTACACGATCACCGTTCTAGTAGGAGTACTATGGAGGTAGGAATTCCGGCGATCGTGTAATGTAGGGCCCGGTTCCTAGTATAAGGGAACAAAATCCACTTTAAAATTATTGGACCTACCAAACTAGTTGCAAGTTGGCAAGTAGTAGAGGGCAGGGTTTTGATTTTTTGAGGGAAATTTGGGGGTAAAATGACGATGACAGTGCGGTGACAACATGCGACCCGAAAATAAAGATGGCGATCACCACGCGATGTACCGTGCATGAGCACGCACGGCGCTCTGAATCACAAGGCACAAACCGCGCAGGAAAATCGTGATTTCTACCCCACGAATCTGTTCAAAATTGCAAAATGGGCATCATTAGAATTAGATTCAGAAAAGTCTGCTTTTGATTGTAAAGGTGATTTTTGAGCAATAAAAGACATTTTTGACCCTAATTTGATCAAAACAAAACAGGGGCCCTACACTTCACGATCGCCGGAATTCCTTCCTCCATGCTAGCCTAGGACTTAGGAGGAGGCTAACGGAGAAAGCCTTCTAATTCTAGAAGTAGATCATCATGATCACTGGACATGCTGGATATGTCAGCATACGTCTAGAATTAGAAGGCACCCGCCGTGTGCCTGGGTATGTCATTGTCAGCAGAACAAAGGTGTGGTGGCGCATTTGAACTTTAAAGGGAAAATACAACATTTGCAAACATCAAAAATAAAACTACCAAATCATTTTGAAATACCTTGCTGGACTGTTAGTGAATGACAGTGTAAAGCATCCTGTAAAATCATGGCACCTGGTATAGGCCTACTGTCATTTTCAAGAAAAGTGGTATTTTTGTATCAATTTCCAACGCTGATTGGCCGATCAGCGTTGGAAACAACTGGCTTTTTTTCAAATACTGGCCCCAATTGACCATCGCACATCAATTACAAACCAATGAACGGGAACAAGCCAGCTACACTGGTTCCCTGACCTTACAATTCCCCAATGTATGTAAACTGCTCTGTTCTTCTTATATGGAGTCAGGGAACCAGACTACAGGAAAATGATCGTTTTTCTTGGTTTTATAGCATTTTCGAACCCAAAACCTCAAAAAAGTCAGTGTAACTATATTTGCTATATATTTCCAACCCCCCAATTCCATCCATTTCTGAAAATTACAGCAAAAGCAAATGATGTATATTCCCTTTAATTGAGAAAATAGGCAAGTAACATAACACAAAATGAATTACACGTCAACGAGTAAACGACCCTACCCAAAATTTAACGTGAGACTTACTTTGGTTACCACACTGCCCAAGTTGAAGAGTAATTATTTCACGAGGCATGGTTGCTCTTGTGGTAGTTAACGCTGCAGAGAAAATCTTTCAACAACTGAATGTAGACCTGGTGATTGTGTCTGTGACACTGTAGAAAATGTCCAGAACAAAATCGTTTTGTGGCGCCATTAAAGTCCGTATCGGTTGGTCGTGATAGCGCCCTCTCGCGGCGGCGTGTTATCACGGCCGCGGGTTATTATCGCGTATTAAACATTGATATGGAGATCAATGGTATCAAATAACAACGTCTAGCCCCTAGACTAACGTATTGACATACATGTATGACGTCATCGTAGGTTATCACGTGATCTCCAAATTATGAATGAAAACTGGCTTAAGTATTCCCAGTCTGCATTCGGCTCGGCGCGGCGCACCTTTCTTTTTCATTTGTATATTTTTTGGGGTCAATACTGGGTCACAATATAATCGGTAAAACGAAACGATTGAATGGCTTCATGATGAGTGCCTTCTATACACATTGGTTTGTGTACTTTGAGAATATTTATATTGGTGGGTGTTTTTCGAAGGAGGTGGGCGAAGTACGATTGGGAAAGAATTATAATGTTGCAACTGACGCTACTTTAGCGCCGTTGTGTACCGAGTTAATGGAGTCAAGAAAATGTTCGTAGTACAGTATTTCCTAACAAAATTGGAAATGTTTCTCAGTCCCAGATTCGTATATTATCATTTTCGCAACGACTGCACTGACCTTCACTGAGATGATATATGAAGAAAAAAGCAGCGTCAGGTCGCAACATTCTCAGTTTCTACGATTGACCTCTCGCGGTAGCCTGAGAATCGCGTCAACGCAGCTTGTGAAATATTGTCCAATTCAATGATAGTTGATACTTGAATAAAGAGGAGTAAGAGCACATAATCCATGCTGAGAACTAACATGGGGACGGGTTTGTGTTGCCGCGTGCAGTATATAGCCTTTGGTAACTGACCAAAAAAATGGGCAAATTATTGATCTGTCACAGCTAGTACCTCGTCCTGGTTCGCATTGTCAGCGATTTATTTTCCTTTTGTATAGAATTGGGTCGCAGTCATCCAAATGGTAATGTTGGCATAGCAACCGTTATCATCAGATCGATGGTTTTGTGCTGCAATGTAGCGTCGGAGTTGCAAGGTAGCAGCGCGGGAAAATGGCAAGAAATGAAGGCCGATATTATGCCAATATCACTGCACAAGGCTGTGTAATAATTGGCCTACCATCAGCGTTTGAAGACAAGACACGGGCGTGACTATAATCTGCACACGATGAAGCAGCGTCACGGCACGCCGACGTTTTCGGACTGCTTAGGGTTGCCATGGTAACGAACGACTCGCGTCTGTGTTGGCTTGCCACGTGTACGGCGAGACATGATGCCTGAGATGAAGCGAGGACAGCAACAAGTGTCAGAGCTCCAGACCGAACACCGATTCATGAAAAACAAATATGCATGCATGCCGCCGTTTTGCTCGCCTGTATCACAGTTAGATAGGCATGGTTAAATTTTGTCATTTTAATCCTGGGCATGTTCCTATACTCAGACGAAAGCGAAGTCTTCTTTTGTTCCTTTTACAGTATCTGACATTGTTGTTAGGTCGGGACGAGATGTATGGGAGGCTGCAAGATACAAAGCATGTAACTATGAGAGTTATTTTTTTTTGCTCAGAATATCATTTCCCTTTCGATGTTCATCCATTCATTCATCTGCAATCATAAAAAAATATTAAGGTATCTTGATAACACAAACTAAAAACAATATTATTCTTGTACCATACATAATAATAAAGTGCGAACATTTATTGAAACATGAACAAGCGTGCTCTTTCGGCCGTTATACTAAATATGAAACTGGTAGCGAATTTTTGAAATGAATTTCACAGGCTTATAGTTGAGAATTACAGAAGTGGAATAAAATATCTGCCCGTCACTACTTAGAATTTCAAATCGGAACACACGATTTTACTACCTAATGGGGAATGACCTTTACACATCACTAGGCACAAATTTTTGAATAAAATATGATGCAGGTCAAATTGTACAACCAAATTTCATCATTTCTACAGTGTGTTAGCCACCGTTCGGTCACATTGTCACCATCGATAGAGACAAATTAGCGGGAGCCTTTGCACTTCATCAAGTAATTTATATCGGACTTGCGACCATAGCAATGTTGTTAGTGTTTAATTGACAATGCCTGCGACTGCAGTCGACGCCGAGGCTGTAAAATTATACTTGAACGATACACTATGAAATTATGATGGCAGTAGAATGGGCAATTATAATGCCTCCCTGGCTAACATCAATAATTTGTCTAAATTTAATAGTCTCTCATGTAAATTACAATCCAACGGGAGGCAATTTTTTTTTTATTTAGACAAGCACTCCAAGAGATGGCGCTGGCTGGCAGGGGTTAATCATTAATTAATGAACCAAGGTTGAGGTGCTGTAGGACTATATTAAAGGGGCTGTGAAATTTGTTTGAACGAATCCGAAAAACTTGTCTTTTAATGTTTGGTTTAAAATTAAAATTAAGGGTTAAAGTGGATCTGAGTTTAACCAGTGCTTTGTATACCTATGGAAAGAAACATATAAACTCGAGTTCAATACACGTTTCCTTCACAATCAAGCCGAATGGCAATCATTTGTGCGAGTAATCCATTGAATTGAACCGAGTTAACCGTTTTTTAATGGCATGGAGTGTAAAACAGGGTTAAGTGAAAGAATTAAATGAACTGGGGTCAGTTTAAAAAAAAAAGCGAAAACAAGCCGAGCCAAATCCACATGCAATCACAAACAACGGTATTATAATATTATCAATAGGCCAATAGAGTAGCTTCAACTCGAATGTGTATCATGTTCTCCATAGGCTACACGAAGCAGGTTCTTGAAAGTTCGATTCTGTTCACAATTAAAACACTGAATTAAATACAAATACATGTACAATTGTTACTATTCAAGCCCTTATGTGCTATCATTCAATGTGCATCCTCTCGACTGACACAAAACTCGAACATTGTGAAGCAGCCCGCAACAGCCATTCACACACACATACCCATGTGAAAAAAAAATCTTATGACCAATCCCAGCAGGTGTATGTAGCGTAAATATCCGACTCCATGCAATACGGATTCATTGGTAGTATTGCCCATGCGTAAGTACGATAATCATATGCTATTTTTAGGGTCACATATACGAGAAAGACCTGTCACGTGCAAGATATTAACCAATAATAGGGAAAATTTGTCCGATTTTTATAGGAGTCAGATTTTCATATGACACCGGCAATGCAAACCAAGCAGCCGGCCTCGCTCTAAAAGTCTAAGGAACGCGCGTATTGGCCGCCCTCGCGGCCAAACGTTCTTTAATTAAACTGGCCGTTATGTTTAAGGGCGACATTTTTGTGGAATCTTTCCACGATCAAGCACACAAAGGCCATCATTTTCTTCACACATCGAAAGTAAAACTATAAACCAATGATCACAAAAATGTCATAGGTGATATGTCCTTTCCAATGATGGTTGGACCAAATGTATGTTTTTTTTTTTGGAGATGATTGTGAAAGATGGCTATCCAAGTTTTGTTGTTGCAAACGATTCATCGATGTCCAAGTTATCTTTTATGGCAGTGATAATTGAGAAAGTTCAGTTGAGGGATAAGTGAACTGTAGCCAATCAGATTGCTGTGATCATTGGATGCCTTTCAAATTCTAAAAATAGCCAGCCAGAGCAATCACAGCCGGCAAAACCAACGCCCATACGGCCACGCCCTGTGCCACGCCCTTACTGCACACATTGCGGGTATCATTCCCCACGAAGCAAGGTATAGCCACGCCCTCTCTGCATTCAGCCTCCGGACGGCCCTGAATACTCGCGTAGATGCCACGATGTACAGCCTCAAATTGCCCATCACTCGGTTCCTCAATGGCGCCAGATTCTTCATTCACGTCGAACACCACGTACATGCCTCCTTCATATTTCTTCAAGAACAGGATGTACTCTTTGCCCATCTTCAGATCATTTTTGACGCAGTCCGCCGCCTCCTCCCTCACGGTGATGTTTTGCAGTCCCATGTCGTCTTGATTGGTGGAGTTGGTCTCCGCACCATCGCCGGTGATAGCTGACTCGTGGTCGCGTTTGAGCCAGCATAACGGCTCCAACTTCACCTCGTACTCCACGTCGATGGATTTATTGGTTATAGTCTTCATCTTGTCAGAGATAACGGTACCGTAGATGATATAATCCGGTACTTTGGCTCTCTCTTCCAGGGATTGGGAATCGCTAGCTTCGGGTGGTTGGCAGGCAAGAGTCAGGCCTACCATCACTAACATGAACGACAAGAACTGTAACACTGCCATCGCCATGGTGACTTAAGTGGGATGTGTTCTAAAGACAAAAAAGAAAAACCCCACTAAGAATCTATTTCCGGAGGATGGATTAAACATAAATTGCTCTCCATAAAATTCTCAAACTAAAAACAGCGCAAGATCTAGGATGCTTTTCCAATCCCTTTGATTTTCTACGTGAAGCCTTTAGTTCTGTCAGAACAAAATGATCGACATTTCTGGAAAACTGTGATGTAAAAGTCCCGCATGGAGCGAGTGTAAATTTTAGTCCCAGGCCATCACAATTGCATTCACGGAAAAAGTCTTATGTTTAACATCCCCAAAGAAGAAACAATAAAGTACACTGATAATCACTTAGAAAAGCGGTTATGCATGAAAAAGAAAAAAAATGATCACCGAAAAACTCACAAAACCGAAAAATTACTTCGATTTGACTTGAGAAATTTGAATTGATTTAGACCCATTCCCAAAAACCGGTACTCCATCGACTTACCTAGTTATCGAGTGAAGCGCTCTAGTCGTCAACAGGTCCAGTAATTCTCAGTACTCCGGTGTGCTATCTAACAGTCAACAAACGAGCCGTAGTATACGGATGCAGAAGCAGAAATGAACGATGCGAGCTAGACAGTTATAAGCGCCCCTCACTATACTATCACTCACCAACGCCACAGCTTGGTATGGGCGACGCCCAACTTATCATCAGCAACAAAATATGACAATAACCGTGAACGACAGCGCCCATTTGCGGGCGTCATGATGTCACCTTAATTGGAAAGTGAAATGATGCGGAAGATTTCGATTGCACAGGTATCGTAGTTTTCACGTACTCAAAACATTGCCTCATAGTACCTTGGAAAATCCCCTGTAACGTCACGCAAAATGATACGGCTATGACGCCAAGTGGTCAAACCAAAAAGCGCCCTCAGTATATCACTGATCAGGAACGACGACGATGAGAAAAATGGCGCCCTCATTTTGCATTTTTTTATAACACGAGAAATCCCTTATGAATTTCCCTGCAGCAAATCCAGTTTAATCATAAGGCAATATGCCTAGGATGTATTTTACATGTCCCCGTATATATTCCGCTTTCCGAAAATACCATATCACACTCAAATCCACCAAATCCATACTTAATTCACTTCTACATAAATGCGGTCCACTATTATTATACAGATTGCGAACTTTTGGGCCTATATTTATTATGGTTACATTCTCAATCGGTAAGTTTGGTTTACTGCCAAATTACAACCAACTATACGGAGTCATTTTAGCTACATGTATATCTATAAAACTAAACACAGCTGTCCCTTGTTCACCACTGTTGTTTACTTTTCCGTATTATACTCGTTATAAGTTGGATACTTGACAATTATTATAATTAATATATACGTGTCTCGATCAGTTTAAATAATCAGGTCATCCTGAGGTCTTGACTTGTATTCCGTGTATGTAGAAGTCCAACAGCATCATTGACATTCGATCCTTGACGTAATGAATAGTAATGAGACTATCAGAACAGCAGCCAAGCCCCTAAGATAGAGAGAAAACAACACTTAGACGTGGTATGATGTATAAGGATGCACTGGAAAGGCAATGGAAATTGATCTCTTTAATAATTATGACAAGTTAGTGTTATACTTATCATCATGGATATTTAAGCTGTCCAGATTTTAGACAAAACTATGATCACACTGACGTCACATTGGTAATAAATTTGGACCGTATGTCTACCGTCCCGTACACTCACCTTTGCCACTCGGTATTTAGCAAATTTAAAGTACCAATCGGGAAGGTTGTTCTTGAAGAACGTTTCCAGGTCGAATGGCAGGAATCGACTTCTGTTCAGCTCATCCCTAGAATCTCCTGCCAATACACCTGCTTTCATCATACACTGCCCTACAGTTAAATCCTCAGCCAGGGTCATTGGCTTAGGTGCTCCACAGTTGTCTTCCATCCGTAGCTGACCTACAAGTCTCACTAAAGCTTCTTTGCTCATCAAATAGCCAGCTCCACCACTCATGTACCCCTGTTCGATGTACCACTGGAAGTGATGTCCATAATAGACTGGCGCGCAGCTGTCCTTGTCCCGTAGAAAGTGCCTGAGGTTGTCCACGATGACGTAAGTGTCGTCATCAGCCTTCATGAACCAATCAGCGTCGTTGAAATGGTGTTGGTAGATGTACAAGAATGAAGCCTTGGTCTTGCTCCAGAGGGCGTCTCGACCCTCGGCTACATCAAGGCCAACCGCGGGGAAATCCGGATCCGATTGAGAGCTCATGTATAGCGTGACGTCACAACGTGGACCCCAGGTATCTCGCACGCTACTGGCTCTGGTGTGCAGAGTTTTGGGTGACGTCATGACCCAACAGAGAATTCTGACTGGATTGGATGCTTTGACAAGATAAGCCAAATTACGAATACTTGTAAAATCAATATTAATAATGAACATAATGCAATGTCGAACAATCATCAAACTGTATTTTCATGAAACTATAGGTAGAAAGTTGAATGGCTTGCAAAATTATTGGCAAATATTAGGCAGTATATGTAATTAATTCTGACTACAAGCTGTTGCTTCTTAGTGATCAGTTTATAGGTGTAAATATCTGCACGAGATTCAACTGAGTGATTTTAAGTATTCTCACCATTTGTTGAGTGTTTGGTCGCTTCATGTTCCCGCCTTGAAGATGGACCATGCTGTGTCGTTGTTTGGATTTTCTGAGATGCATCTGATGAGATGAGTGCTTGATGTTCCATGTCGAATATTTTTGCTAGCTTTTGGGACCGACTCTCCGGAATTGAGTACAACGTTAGCGTCCACGTGAAGAAACTCCCACTGGCAAAGGCTAGCAACGTGATAAAAACGCCCCTGATGTTACGCGCCATTATTTAACGGGTGATGAAAATCACTGTCAATATCACACCCTCCAGGTATAGATTTGATCAGAAACACGAGCACAATTAGGGTGCAAACAGCACTAGCTGTGCTCGAATGACAACTATATGCCAATGTACACGCCTATAAAATAGTCATCAATTAATATATCACACATGGGATTATTATTTTTAAGACACCAGCATGCACCAGGCAATAGTAAGCGGAATGAGATCAATATCAATGTATCCACCGCCGCAGCAATGGCACATGGTTACACTACCAACAGCAACAGCTGTTACCGTTACATTTTTGTTTCAATTTAATTACTCGAGTGCGTGATAACGAAACGTTTCTTCAAATCAAAAGTAAACAATATGAAATAGAAACCAATTTACAAAAAGCAATCAATTGGAGAGGACATATAATAAATATATAGGCGTAGGCCTATATGTAACTTTTAGACGAAAAACCACCTTAAAGTTACCCCCCAAACCAACATAATTTTGCAAATGTTTAAGCTTTCATTTTGCCCTTCAACGATGTCATCTTATTAATTTTTTTTTCAAAGTCATCTTTGCTCATTTCAAGCCCCGACCTCGCACTTGTGTGATTTCATTAGTTGATTTGCTATTCTGTAGTCTGACAGCCATGCTTAACATCATGAAGGGCAGTCGCGGCACACAACTTAGAGCGCATTACAATGTATTTTAAATCATCGATTAACAAGAAGTTGTAGGGCCCTTAGTGCTAAAAACTGCGCACTTTTTGTATTTTTCATTAGCGTACTTGAAGTGGGGCGAATTGGAATAGTTCGACAAGCATGAACGTTTTACCGTTTTAGCCCTTGCAGTTTTATATTGCTGTGTAGCCAAATCGCCACCATAAGGCAAGGTAATATGACACAAGGTTCGCTTCAGGAAGGTACTTTACAATGTGTGGGTAGTATTACACAAAAAAATTGGAAGAAAAAACCCATGGAGTATGCCATTGCAATGACACCAAATAAATTATGACTATTATACCGGTAATAATGACCGCCTGTGCACAACATTTAGATTAAGCCAGTTGGGGTATATAATACGTGTGTATTTTGTTCACTATTCTGTAATAATAGTATTCATGATCGTCGGACTTGAACAGCGCTCCCATTGAAAGTATGGTTCCAGCCCCCCCCCCCCCGCCCCCACTAACCTATTGATTTTACGGAGGCCAAGTGCCCGGAGGAAAAACAACCTGCCTACATTTTCAGCAATTATTTGCTGATACCCCCCCCCCCAGCGCACATTCCTGGATCCGCCCCTGCATTGAAGGCGGTTGCTGTCACGGTGACCGGGTACTATACCTGTCTGTTATGTACTTTCAAAGTTCAACGGCATATTAAATGAACCATATCGTGCACAATGAGAAGAGCAGATGCGCATCCCACGCAGGTACGGTATGCGAGGCTACACCTCTATGTTCCGACACCCCTATGTTTCGACTGCACATAGGCCTATTCCTATTCCTAACCCTAACCCTAACCCTAACCGGGAGTAACACAATCTATGTTGTCGGAACATAGGGGTGTCGGAACATAGAGCAGTCACCGTATGGGATATGATGATGGTTACAAATTAACAAACTAGTGGTTCGCGTTTGTTAAGTTACAAACGCAGAGTGGTCGGCCAGACAACTATTTCATTAAACGCTGCTCAGTCAAGGTAAGAATACTAATTATTTTGTTAAACAACTTCTTCTAGGGTATGATACATTTCAATATACATGTTATTATGAACACGTTCACGTTTTTTTCTGGCTTGATGAAGTTATCAGTAAAAAGGGGGAGTGACTACTGATTTAGTTCGGAGAAGATACACGTTCATTGTGAAGTTAAAATATCGCATGAAAATATGGAAAATATACGTGTAGTATTAATAACACGTAACTTCCGGTTTGATGACGTCACAGAATAAGGGATCCATCTAAAGGTCGAACATTTTTCGCTACGCAGCAACCCGTGGTCCGATTTTTATGTTTTTGGTAGCAAAAGATGCGCAAAGCTCGGGTCACGAAATTTTTTTTTAGAGGCTATCGCGGAAAATGTTGAGGGGGTGGGGGCGGATTCCGCCCCCCGGCTCCTTTAGGATTAAACCAACAATAATATGCAAATAAGGCCCCTGGTTTTCCCACAATAAGTGTAGATTCGTACAATCTATTCAACTAATCCTTGCCCCCCGTGCTCTGAACTTGATCCTATTGTTAACCATTCAGAAGGGTGCACGCCAGTCAGGTATGTCATGTTCCATTCATCACGTTCGACAGGCCACGCGGCGCGTATATCCCCCACACGTACGTACGTACACCCACACGCAGAACATAGTAGGCCTACATTTACTGCCTTATTACACCATGTGTACAGTCCGTACTCACGTGTTTGTGCTTGCTGGTTGTACGTGTTAGTACCAAACCGGTCGTACGGACAATGGTCGGTGGTACGGTACACGCACGGACAAGGGTCGGTGGTACACGCACGTAGCCGCGTTGATTGTGGGTGCAGGGCCCGATTATCTCCCTTCGACAAAAAGCCGAGAGACCGCATTGAACAAGGCTATTATGTTACAGCTACGGGATTATACTGGATTCTGAAATCTACAGTCCTCTCACGTTCTTTGATTTAAACAGTTTTAGGTCAAGCACGCAACAAGCAGTTGCCAGCACTTTGTTCATTCTCCTGCTTGGATTCCAGTTCATGACATGTCGACGCAGGAGCCTCTTTGGGGTTGGCTGGTTGTGGCCAGCGTGCATATCGCCTTCCTTTTATGGGGCGGAGTCATCAAATCTGTCGGTGTCCTGTTACCAGCGTTAAGTGACATGTACGCCTGCGATGTCTGGATACTAGGCTGGATCATAGCAGCAATGTGTTCTGCAAACAACATAGCAGGTAGGCTGGTGCCTTGTTAGATTTGTATATGGGGTCCATTGCACGACAGTGGGGCGTTTCGGCGTGAGCTACAGAACATCGACCCGAATAATAAACTTAGATTACGTTTATTAAGGCCGTCACTCCTCGGGGAGTAAATCCCGTGGGGTGGGGAGGATTATGACGTCACTCGATGGGGCAGGATTCCCCCGAATATGCCGCGCCTCTCAATACACAAGGCCTATACCCATATTAAAGTTTTATTTAAGCTAAAAAATAACCACTGAGTGAACTAAAGGCAATGCTCTCTACCCAAACGAGCCATCCGCCCGCCCCCGGTTGTTGACTGCATGCATGCTTTACACACTAAGAAATGAGGTTGTCGTCTCGTTTCCTCGTTGCGTTTTATTAATACATCCCACGTTAAAAGAGGAGTAAAAATACAACATTTTGTTAATTTTTTTTGGTCTATACTATAGCTGTGTTGGCCAATGTGCTTAATAATCTGATAGGCGGACGCCTGACTGCCGTTCTTAGCGGTGTGTTAGCAGTGAGTGGTCTGGTTTTGGCCTCCCTCTCTTCTGGTGTATTGCAGTTTGGCCTATCCATGATTTTACTGACAGGTGAGCATAAATTTGGCACTGCCGTTGCAACACCAATTTGTATGGTGTATTGTTATGACATCATTTTGACGCAAAGTGAACGCTAATGAATCTGACGCTAGGCGGTGCCTTTCAAGGTGTCTCTTTAGCCTTCAGTTACACTTTTTTTCTGCTAAGGATATTTTGACGACGACAACGATGACAAAACTTAAAACCTTTTCCTAGCGAGGCCCTTAAACACGATGCAAACACATGCTTTATCACTGTATGTTGGGGCTCACAAGTTGTACTTTCTCTTTATGGGTATCTCTCCCTAGGTCCTGGCTTTGGTGCTTTTGGTTGCATCTGCAAAATCACTCTGGGAATTTACTTCAATGAGAGACTCACTTTGGCAACAAGTATTGCCTTGATGGGTCAGCCAGAAAGTTTGATCGTTTTCTCCATGTTCGCACAGTTCCTACTAGAGACTTTTGGTCCCCGTGGGAACTTACTTATCTTAGGAGCTCTCACAATGCATCTGGTACCCTGCGCAATGTTACTCCGCCCACGGCAAGTTAGCGGCCATCGACAATATCCCCGCCGTTGCTACTCGGCGATTGACAGCACCACCTCTATGAAAGACTCGCCGGTAAGCCAGGAACCGGTGGCGCTCATCGGCCGACTACTGGACGTCAACCTGTTAACCAAACTAGACACGTGGGTGCTCATACTCTCCTTTACGCTGTTCAGCTTTGTCAATGACGCCTGGATGACTTTCATGGTCTCCAACGCCATCTCGAAAGGTTTTGATGGTTACGTTGCAACTTCATTCAGCTTGATCGCCGGATGCAGCGCCATAGTCACTAGTTTCCTTCAAGGCGTGATGCTCTCAAAGGGTGTGGTCAGTAACCGTCTTCTGTCGGCGGTAGCTGCAGGAATGGGTAGCATTGCCCTCCTCATCAACCCAGTACACAAAGCGTTTTGGTCCATGAGTATATCCGTTGTACTTTACGGTATAACACTGGCAGTGCTCATGACCACTATACTCTGTCTGGCCATCGAGATTCTTGGAAGAGACAGAATCGCTGGTGCCCTCGGATGGATGGGACTGGTGTCCGGCAGCTTCAGAATCCTCTTGGGATTTTGCACTGGTATGCATAGATGCAACAGAATTCATCCTTTAAATGTGTTCATTTGCTTAGAATTAAACAATTGCTTTCTTCCCAAAAAATGTTTAGGGTTATAATAACTGCAAACACACACCTTGCGCGGCGTGTTGCCATGGAGCTATTATACACTGTACTGATTAATATAGCTGTATGTGTGCATTGCATCGAGTGGTCAGGTGACGTCATCAGCACGTCCTCTTTAGTTATGGACGTACATAAGTGATCAATCACCAGGCGGTTTTTGGTTGGATTAAAAACAAACAATCAAACAAAACACGTCGTCCAGTAAGTAAACATGGCACCCCATACTTGATACATGTGATCTAACTCATTTACAATGTAATTATATTTCAGGACTTCTATATGACGTCACAGGTGACTACAACGCTACCTTTGTGCTACTAGGATCAATGATTGGCCTTATTATACCGATACTGTACTCTGATACGTTGGTGTCCATGTGTCGGGAGCGGATTCGACCTTACAAAGAAAAAACAGCTCTATATCTGAAGCCCAATTGGGCGCCAGTACCCGCACAGAAACAGGTAGTACGTGTGCAGCCCCGAAACAAGTGAGTGCAACCACATCAACTTAATGTGGTTATAAGGCTTCGGCTTTTGATATCAAAATGCTGCAGTAAATATCCGTTGCCCTAGCCGCAAGAGGACGCTATAACAATGATTTGGAAGCCAGCCACGTGACTGATCACTGAACACTCACGTGACACACTTCAGTTATGCATCGTCGACCACAACCAATGGTTGTCCACAATTTCTGCAACCACATAGGGTCGCAACATTGGGGTCAGTTTGTATATGATATCAGTTAATCCATGCAATTTAGGTAATAACAACTCTGAACTTATTACAAAACTGAGAAGTCACATGATAAAATCGGCCGATGTCACCCCAAGCTTTAGAATGCACTGCCTTTATTCTTAAAGTATTTTATCTTAAAACAATTGTTTGAAATTAATATTTAATATGACTTTGGTTATCTTTTACTAATTTAGACATTCTGTTTCCTCCTTTGGTATAGAAGTTTGTTTACGTAACAAGTCTTGGAAACTTAGCCACAGGAGACATAAGCGGTGCCTCCAGCTGATGTTTTTAGTCTGGATAATTAGTTAAAACAGACAGCAGAACAGGGTTTAGTTGCGACTTAAAATCAATTACTTTTACTAAATTGTTAAAATTAACAATGCATACTATGGATATTTAAATACTTATAACAAAATTGACGTTTTAATCTGTATGCAGTTGTAAATTAATTAAAGTCATTAATAATAATTATATATTTATTTTACTGCGCAAATACACTTTAAAAGCTTTTTGAAGAATTTAAAAGTCTTTTTCAAACTGCAAGCTAAAATACTAAAATATACAACACATACAGTAACCTCTTATTAAACAAATTGTTTCGCTATACAATTGCGAAATAAAAGTTGGAACTGCAAAGTTGTTAAATTAATAAAAGTCTTTGATATAACCATTATGCCTACACTTAACAGCGCCCATTTACATCGGTATTTCGCGTGTTTAAATCAAACACACACTAAAAGCATTATCAACCTTATTTGAAGAATGTAAAAGTCTTTTTCAAACTGCGAGCTAAAATACAAAAATATACATCATGTAGAATTGGAACTGCTAAGTTGATATTAATAAGAACACTTTATTAACATTGCATAGCCCCTTATAATTATGCAGTTCAAAGTACAAGCGGAGAACCATTCAAAAGCATCTGCACTCAAAGCTGTCTATTATTTTTTTTTTTTTTTTAAACGAATGTTTGTATCATGTCTCAGTGCATTTTTTTTGTAAATTTTCGATTACTTGTAATTATATCTCGGGGCAGGGATAATACAGCTTTCATGTTCATTGAAGCGAATGCTGAGAAAGGTTGGTATGCAAGCCATTTAGGTACAAAAGCATATTGATTGTAAAAACGACGCCAAATGTGTTTCACAGAAATTCAGTGTTTATACTATTGCAATCAAGGATAAAGAAATGTGGTGTAGGGCACCTAGGCGTCACTTGTGAGATACCAGTGGTTTATTTCAGATCTTTATGCAGTACATCTTCCTCCCAGTTTTCCTGTGCAGCCAGTGCAGCCTGCTCGTTTGGTGCGATCTTCTTTCTCTGGAAAAACCCGCACTGCGAACAAATATAACAATAACATGGAAACTGAGTATTATTAACATCTTAGGAAAAATCAATGGTCTGTGCGAGTAAACTCTGCTAAGGTCATTTGGAAATGGATTGGGGTTTGCAGACAAAAGAAACTAGAATTACGGGATGAAAAATGAGTAAAATGATCATACCTTCCACAATCCCAGTATGAGCAGGAGTAATATGAGAGCGCCACCTATCGCCGCTACGATGTAAACCCACAGAGGGATGATAGTGACTTGGGTGGGCGGAGGACCAGGCGTCTCTGGGGTCTGGCCAATCACTTGAGTCGTTGCCTTGACAACCAGAACATACCCAAATATGGAAGTAAGCTTTCACCAATTTCACATCTTGACATCGAGTTCGGTACGATAGAAATGTACATCGATTGATAAATGCTCTCGTTCAGATGCGAGCTTTAGGGAATGTGTGTTGAAGTGTGGCAATTTTAACAAATAATAATTTGAATAAAGCTCATAGGCATTGTCCAACTCGTACCAGGTTTACTTCGTTCATTAAAGTCCTAATTATTTTATTTGCTAGTAACATCATGGTGGCTTTACATGTTTTTAACTAGAAACTTGGCATTGTGAAGTTGAGTAGAGTATAGTCAGCATTTGAAGCGATTGTCATTTACCTGTGCAGTAGCTATTGGGAAGGTATCTGGTAGGAGCGACTCTCTGTATGGCATTGTCAACACGGTCGCGTTAGCGGTGGAGGATATGAAGACTGCAGCGTAATCTTCCTGTGAATGAGCCCGAAAAACAATAATAGGCTTGATATACCGCCAATGCAAATTCAGTTTTATTTCAATTTAAGTATATAAGACAGAATTGGCGAAACTGTTCAGCCGTGAGTATGCCGAGTTTTGCCGATCCGTCGAACCGAGCTGAAGACAGGCTGAAGGGGCTGAAACCAGACCGCAATCAAAAAAGCGATGTTAAGACAAAATCTTGAAGGAAAAAACACCAAATAAGTATATTTCTTCCTTTTACCTCTTTCAATGTTTTGTCGTACAGCCTGGATTTGATTCGTACGAGGGCGCTGTCTATATCCTCACCACGAACCCTGGGGGCACTCATGTTACACGTGATGAGCACGCAGTGAGGTGATTGGCTGCTGCATTCTATAGTAACTCCCGTTCCAACTTGAGGAATGGCTGACATGGAGCTGTCGTCAGCTTGACGCCGTTTGCGGAACTTCTTCTCTGAGATCAACAGACTAGAAGAGTTGGAACTTTCCTCATTAACATCCTCGCCCGCAAGCTTAAAATATGCAAAATAAGACCACAGAAATTATACACTTCTTGCATAAAGAAATCAGAATTTAGTATACAATTCCACCGATGATATGAATGTTTGATTGGCAACTCATTTCAATGTGAAGTCATACGTCTCCAGTAGTTGAGCCATATGCCACATACCTCTAGATTATCCGGGTTAACCCCGCCTTGCACGTGACAATCCTCCCCCGTTCCAAGCTTGGCGCTGATTGGATACAGCAAATAGTGTCCATCAGAATCAACCAATGGCCAGGCGATTTCAATCCTCGTCAGGCCAACCTCACTCGGACCCTGATTGCGGAGCTGCAGTAAGAAATAAACAAAGATTTCCTAATCTGCAGACATGTTTTACTTCGTGCCAAAAAAAATAATGAAAGTACGCTTTCGCACTGCATTCCTAAGGGCTTTTAACTTATTCAAGTTCTTAAAGCTTCGTAACATAACCAGTCAAAATCGTGCTCAATTTCCTGATAACTGTTTTTCTTATTGAAAACGTCAGTATTGGTGATTATGCTAAATCTTACTCGAATCCCAAGCAATAAAATGATCCTGTACTACCAGCTTCAACATGAAGGGGCCAATGTTCTTTTGATATTTTCTATTCAAACCTCTATCGCCTTGTATTAAGACTCTGTGGTCTCGACCTTCTATATATGACCTTCCTTTATGACCTTTGAACCTCACCATATATAAATGCGTGACCTCTGCCCCTGCTTCCTCCTCTGTTTTGGGGTCTGGTGGCGTGAAGCTGCGGTTGGAGCGCACATAAATAACCTGCTCTGGTGTGGAAACCCTGCAAAGTACAAGTCAGTCAGTTTATATAATATTCCCCTTTTGCAATATTTACTGAGGGCGCTTTATATTACAAACAAACAACCATGTGTTTTTAAAAGAAATCTTCGCCATATTCATCTTCTAGGAGTTTCAATGTGCATATATAAAATACACATCACGTGTAATGATGCCCATGGCAATCATACTGTATATAGAAAGGATATTCATTCATTCATTTATTCATAAAAAAAACATATAGGCCTATTTCCATATTGCTGAAATTTAGTTACTGTTCATACATAAGAGTTGATTCATGAAGTATATGGATAACATAATATAATTCAAAGTACGTCAAATGTGCAAAATTTGTCCGGGATAATTTATCAGTGTAAACACTTCTTTTCTTGAATATAATTCTGAAGTCGACAAGAGAAAGTTTGGAAATCACACAATTTCTTTTTGGACGTCACCTTAATGTTCATGAAAAATCCTAAATGTAAAGACGGATGGGATGGCTTTGTCTGCAGCACAGTTTCCTCAAGAAGATTAAAGATAAAAGAATCATGGACTTGGAGAAGATGAGCCTACCCGTATAGACCAATCAGTGCTGTAGCATACACATCCACCGTCACATTGGCATAGTTGTCACCCGTTATATTCATTGCTTCGAAGTTTAAACTGAAAACGAAGATTGTTTAGAGCAAAAATTAGTTAATCATGCAAAGTCTTTTGAATTATGGCTGATGCCCATTGCTGTACAGTTAATACCTCTAGGATAATAATCAGTATACATTATGATATTCTCAAAACATTTTTTTTTGGGGGGGGGGGGCAGGGGGAGGGGAGGGGGCATAACGGATTCGTATAAGCTCTGCAAATTAACGTATACCATAGTTCTTGAGTGTTTAAACACAAATCTTGAATCTTGTTCTTTTAAAATGCACTTGGTGCCTTATTAAGACTAGTTACTAGTAACATCCGTCGGTGGACTGATGCCATATAAGCAGTGCTTTCTTCACCTTAAACCTCTCAGCGGGTTTGCATCCCTCCGCAGTGCCTAGGAACTTTGGAATCCTTGGAATCCATCATAAGAATAGAATTTGTAAAAGTAACAAAGACAAAGTAGGGGCTTTGGGGCGTGAGTGTTGAGGGTTTTATATTGTTGTCATTATTATCACACTAGATAAAAAACAACAACAGTTGACCACTTTTTCATACCTGTCAACCTTCATGCTTATAGTCAGTTCATCTTTATCATCGGTCAGACGGTCGTTTGCGAAGGTAATACCAAAACTCACCTACAGCAAAGATGAAACATAAACGTTGCCTTAATTGAGAACTCGATTGGTGTTACAATTCTTGGATGCAGGTGGCGTTCTTTCAATCAAAGAAACATCAGAAATGAGAATTTGACGTTGATATTCTTTTTAGCTTTCCACTAATATCTCAAATGAAGTCAGACCAATGTTTAACTGGAGTAAACCAAAATTGACTGGTCAGTACACGAATAGTAGACCTACTATATTAACAGTACTGATTAAGATACATCGTCTCCCACTTTTTTGTTTAAACCATCCATAAACGACTGACGAATTCTATAATTGTTTGCTACTCACCGTGTGTTCTTCTGGTAGAGGATTTCCAATGTCGCAAGTCAAGATATCAGTGTCTTCGTCTGAGCTACACGTCACCGACAAATCCTATTAAAACATCAAAAATGGGTTTAATGTTCACTGTTTAAGCATGGTTTTCACAAAACAACCTGACAGGAGGATCCTAAAACTGGGCTCTAATACAAGCATGTGGCTAAATCAATGAAGACGGAAAATAATAGACGTAGTAAAACACAAACTTGTCTATAGGCATAGAAAAAAGTAAACATTGTGAGGGTAAACGTTTTCGACTGGGAATCAGCCAATTTGATTAGCTGTTCTTTATTTTCTCAGAAAATAATATGTTGGCCAAAACTTCTACTCTCAAGTAACACGTACTCCTTACAGCAATATTTTCTGCTATCAAGAAGTTCGACCTTACCGTCGAGGTTCTTTCTACCCGCACGAAGGTCATTCCCTCCGGGACGAATGCCTCAAATGTCGCTTCGTATGCATCCTCGCCATTGTTAGTCACTGTCACAAGCAGACCAAGCTCCCAGTCGTCTCCTAACGCAACTCGCTGGGTATCTCTGGGCCAGAAAAGCCAACAGAAGATACGTTTACAATTTAGGATTTGAGGCTTTGCATAGTGGAGTATCAGTATCGTTTCGGTTTGTTTGCGGCAACACCATGTGGTAATACCTACTTTAGTTCAGTATATAGTTTCAGTTCTTATAAGAACTTGTTCTGCTTAGTTCTAAAAGATCTTGTTTCACAATTATGAAGTCAACAACGTTACATGCAAACATCAGTGATGCCGGCAGCACAATCTTGAACCAATCACAAAATGGCGTAAAATTCATCAATAATATTGATGATATTATATTTATACCGCTCGAAATGGACAATTATTTCATAATCCGCTTACTTCTAAACTTCTGCAAAGGTTATCGGTGGACAAAAAAGAATTAGAAAAAGATTATTCAAAGTAAATGTAATACCTCTATATTAGAAATGTTTTTTCGCTAATTGTTAAAGAAATACTGAATCCTCGCGGCTTGACTTACGTCGTAGCGGTCAGCATCAGGTCTGGGGTACACAGATAATTCTTGCAAGTGTTTCTGATTAGAAGCTGTAACATAAGAAGCAAATGAATGCAGTGTAATGTCGTTTTATGCAATTCTCTTGAAGATGTCACATCAACCATTCAACAAGGCAGGAAAGTTGTGTTCCTTTCAAAAGTGATTTGGCTAATCAGTAAAAAAAAGATATTTGTTTTAATAAAAAAGGAATCGAGCAAGAGCCAAAAGGCAGAATTCTGTATCAATAAAGGTGGCCTAAATTTATCTGGTAAAGGTTGTTCATATTTACTGTTTAAAATAAGCTCAGATCATATGCTATGAAGACAAATATCACACTGTTGTATGGTAGCTAAATCTTCGAAGCAATACATCTTACCGATTGACGCAGGAAAGGTTCAGGGGTCGTGTTCAGAATGGGCGGTACAGGTGTGGAAGCCGAAGATGGTCCCTGGGCAGTAGTGGTTTCTTTAGGGGCGAGCTCGTAGCTAAGATGGACTGCGATGGGAAGGTTCTTCTCCAAAATCACGAGCTGAGGTTTTTTTTTTCAATAAAAAAACTGACTAAACGTTCGTAACATTTTACAGAAAATTTTAAGTAATCATTTCATAAATGATTGAAAAGTGGTATGATGTGGATTTTGAAGATGGATATTTCTTTTATGAACCTTAGCTGCCTGTCAATAAAACTTTGCGAATTGACCAATTAGATTACAGCTTTGGTCATGACCTCGATAGCTTGGCCGAACTCGCTAATAAACACCGTGTCACATGTACATGTACATGGCCCAAACAGAAACGATCCAGTTATTTTTTTAATTTCAAATGAAAACAAGGATTTGACTCCAAGCTTTCCACGAATCTAGAGACACACCTTCACATAGACCAGGTCTTTCTGACACATCTCTTCATCTTTAGTCAGCTGGATTCTTCTTGTCAACTCTGACTGATCCTGACTCGAGTCCAGCACAAATGCTGCACGGGACGTGGACGATAACGCTGCATCCAACTGCACACTATACTTCACATCTTGAAACAAAATATTCAAGATTAGAACCAACCAAAGAGAAAGTGGAATATTCTTTTAAATCAGTTATTACATAAATTGGCACTTATTTAGGGAAAAGTATATTTGAACAAAAATATTAGAATCAACCTGTAAGCGACGATGGAATAATATTTTAAAAATAAGTTTTTACCTAAATTTGCAATTATTGAAGGGATTTCGAAAGCAAACGCGATAGGAAAATTCTCACGATCAACCTTTAAACAATTTAACACTGCAAGTAAAATACAAGAATCAGGCTTTCAGAAATGGATTTTCTATTGTACCGATGGTAGTTGGGATGTCGGAGCCTTTTGCCGTGAGACACGTTGTGACGTTGAAGCTGGAATTGAAAAAAAAATTAACTGTATTTTCCCAAACATTTAGATTTTCAATCATTCCTAAAAAGAAAAAGAAAAAAAAAAAGAATGTTAACACAGGTGTAAATTTGAAGTCATGCTCCAATAAGTCATCGGGTTGGCGTAGCGGTACTTTCCTCGCCTATCCAGTTCGTTAGTGTGGGCCAATGTGGATTGGGTTTTCAGTCCCTATACCTAATTCCGTGGGTTTTCCTCCCACATCCAAATGTGATTTCTTCACAATGCCTTCTCTCTGGGCCCACTGGGAGACCAGTGGATTCCACTGAGTTAAAATAATAACTAAATATTAAGGACATTAAGTGTGCGCAATATTTCAACTTTTCACTTTATTGCTATGTAAAATGTAAAGTTATCAATATATAGTAAACAGTTTGCTATGCTCAGACCAATTCGAAAAAAAACCTATTGAGATCAAGTTTGCATGAAATATAACTGTGGCCAGTGACCTTACCTAGACACTTCCTGCCCAGATGGTAGCTGGTAGTCCCTCACATCAAGGTTGACAAACTCAGGTTCAAAGGTCAAGGACTTCTGTATCTTAACAACAGGTCTCGCCCTGCAAATTGATTAATAATGCATTAATGTTTCTCATCATAATTAGGTTAACATGTACCGGTATAAGCACGGGCGTCGCCAGGATTTTTTTCCGGGGGGGGGGGGGGGCAAAGCAAACTTTACCCCAAATTGTCTTAACTTTTTCAACATATTTTGGTTCACATCATGATGGTTCTCCACTCACCTTACAAGAACAGAAGTTGCCGACATGTACGCACCAACAAGCATATCTATGAAAAAAGAGACAAAAACTAAGAAAAACGCAGCAGACTCATTAAAATATTTGATATTTTAAAGAATTAAGTAATAAACAAAACAATTAGTTGTTTTTTTGTATCTTCTTACCGCTGTAATTGTTTCCGTCCATATCTAGTCCACCCGATAGAGCGGTTCCAAATGACACGATGTTCAAACCAAAATCTGCTGGTCGAAGCACCTGCAAACAAATGAAGATCAAATTTGATATAGGCCTAATTGCGGACCCCATAGAGTAGTATGGTGTAACTTTTATGGTGTGTAACTGGAAGAGTTTAATATTCTTATGTGGACCCACTGCCAGAGTATGGGGCTGTGACTATTATTACCCACCACCTGTATATGTTGACCATGGAAGTAGCAAAATTATACTTCTGAAAACTGAACTTTTAATCATATCTTTCCATGTATGGAAGTCACAAAGCTGTCCGATTATTCCAAAGGTATGCTATCGGTTAATGTTTGACATTGGTAATGTGGTCTACCTGAGATGCAGTCTGTTTAACGCCTCGCCTTCGCCCTAGATAAATGTACACAATACCGGAACCATCCTCGCCGGCAAATGGGGCGCCCACAGCAATATCTGGTCACCAAAAAACACACTTTAATATCAAACAAATTTTTCAAAACTATTTGGTAATTTTTGAAAAAAAATATAAGTTTTAGGAAACTCTGATAATGTTGATATTATGGGAACATGAAAAAAAAATTGGTGGAATCATAAGCTACAAAGGTATGCCCATTGTGCAGTTACATCTATCGATTTTGCCCCTCAAATAAACTCAAGGATATTCCAAATCGTACGATTAAAAGTTCAACATTCTTGTTTAAGTTTCTAAGTATTTTGCAAGTAAAGGTCTTTAATGGTAGACTTACCATTAAAGTCGTCTTTATTGACATCTCCAATGGCAGCCACAGCAAAGCCAAACTGTCCACCCGGGTATGTGCCCGTCAGCACGTCACTTTGCGTGAAACCTCCCTGAAAAAGTTTGAGAAGAAAAAACAATGAAGACTCAAATCATCGATCAAAAATAGCAGAAGAATAACCGGATCTGAAAGCCGAAGAGCGCACACGGACATCAAAACACGGGAAAAATTTAAGAAAATAACAACATTTCGATTTCTAAGGCCCAATACCCCATTAGCATCGCAGCTTTTTTTATCGATTTCAAAATAGGTATGAGCAATCCACCTAAAAAGTGCTTGCTTCTAATGACAGACACCAATTCAAACATTGCTTTTGAAAAGGTAAAACATCTCCATAAAAACGTAGTTGTAGTCTTTTACTCCTTATAGGTTTTGGGGCCTTCTGAGCTACAGTGCCTAGTTGTGCTTGTTTTCTTGCAGAAGATTCCAACATAATTGCCTGATACTCACATCAGAGAGCTGAAGATAGACGTACACTCGACCGACTTCCCACCTGTCGATCAAACTGTCTGGATCGACATACATTGGTGCCCCAACAATGATGTCGTCAAGACTGTCGAACCAAAATGAAATAGAATTCAAATGAGCAGAATTCAGTTCATTAAAAAAAATGAAATTTGAAAAAACATCGCATCACGTTACGTTAAGTCACTATACTGTAACGAAAACAAAAATAATTCATTTCATTATTACTTCATCATAAATATTTACTCGCATTGCAATTACGGGTAAAATGTGATTATACAAACAAGGATGCACAATAAAGGTGAACAGAAATAACTAAAAACAGCAAATAATCATGTTGTCGACGTACCCGTCAACATTCACATCTGTAATGGCCAAAGAATAACCAAAGAACGTTGCAGGTTGTTCTCGATCTCCATCAATGTTATATACTGAGTTAAAACTTTCATTCAAAATAGACACCTGCAAAAAGACACAAATTGGTAAAACAGGTTTGAGTCTAATTTTGGAAACTATATCTTCATATATAGTGCCTAAAACTAGGGGCTTCAGGTGAAAACGCTTTAAAATATAGAATTGAACTCCATTCACGAATAAAGGTAAGAGGCAGAGGCCGCTTAGTATTATTTCGAAAACCTTCACGAACTGTATTTAAACTCACATTTCACAATATTTTCCCTTTAATTGGAATTTGTGCAAACGGCCATAATACGTAATTTGTTTTTGTCTTTTTTGGTGTTTTTAATTTTCATATTTGTATATATATATTTTTTATTATTATTCTTATAATTTTTTGTTTGTTTGTTTGGTTTTTTTTTTGGGGGGGGGAGGGGAGTTCTCTGTCCAGCAATACGCATGCACGAGAAAGCAGCCAATTAAAAACCCTTGTCTCACCGTTCCGACAAAGGCGCTGGCGTGAGGTTCACTGACTGCATAGACGCCGCCATTGCCGAAGCGCCCTCTTTTGACCATAAAGCCCCGGTAGAAGTTATCAAAGCTGAGATGTCGTTCTTCGCTGTGCGTGGACGCCAAGGCATTGTTGAGGTCAACTGAGAAGAGTTGACCTTGAAAAAAAAAACGAAAAGAAATATTCAAAAAAAAGAAGAGAAAATATAAGTTTGTTCAGCAGATAAAACAACCGAAAAGAGCTCGGTAGGTCTCTCTTCGCCTTACGTGATGGCCGGGTTCGAATCCCGCCAAACCAACTTACGGTTCAGTCTACCTAATTCTGTGGGCTTCCCCCTCCCCACCTCAAACTCATATTGTTTTTCCTCCTCAAAGTATCTTAATCCAATATCCTAACCACATTGCATGTGTACTTTTAAAGAACTCTGGCACTAAAGAATAAATAAATACAATAAATAGAAAGGAAAAACATTTGAAAAACTATAGTGATGTGAGTAAACAAAATGTTTGAATCATGGTGCCTTCAAACATAATCATGAGAATCCCAAACAGCCATATCGTCTGGACTGTATTCCAAGATTTCAGCCGTTAATTATATGAGGAATGAATGTCCATACCTTGCCAGTAGAAACTTCCTGGTGCACCTAGCAGCAACCTTGCATCCTAGACAAAACGAACGGAAGGAAACAATTGAGACGAAACAAGAAAGTTAGTGTTTTTATGATCGCTTTGGGGGTATAAAGATAAAAGACAAAAAAAAAAACCCAAACCCAGCAGAAGAGGTTTTGTTTTTCCAAAAAAAAGGCTTTTGAAAACATTTCTAAATTTCATTTTCGCTTTATTGTCTTTCCGTTGTGTTTATTTGTCGAAACTGACATTGGGCAGCCAGGAGAGGGCGGGATTTTAAAAGGTAACAAAATGGCGTTTAGTCGTCTTCAAGAACAAACACTTATTTGAAGATAACAATATAAATGCTCACAGCCAAACATTATCAGCATCCAGACTCCATCTTGTCTTAAACAAAGTGTTTGATACCGGCCAAGCACATATTTATTCCCATTGATAAATACCTTTTCAGTAAAATAAAATTTAAAAAAATCCAAATTTTTCGGTCCAAAAGTCAATTTTTTTTAAATTTTCAACGATTTTGTTCAACAATTTTACTTTGTTTTTCGATACACCGCTCTGGCTATGGTCCTCTCGCGAGTAGTCGTAAACAACTCCTTACATGGAGATTGGCGCGCGCGTTGCGCGTACTGTGTGATGTGGCGCAGAACGAAGTCAGTAGGCCTATAGTGTGAATTTAGGACTATGAAATACTGACTCACCGGTATAGTATTGCGCATGCATGCCTACGTGAGGATTGTGAACGTTCAACTAATAAAACGGTACAAACCTGTGTAACGGATGCACTGAATCCAGCCTGGCAGTAAGATTCGAATTTTATGCCGAGCCGGTCTGGTTCTGATGACGTCATCGAAGGGAGAACAAATGGAAGAAATGGACAGATAAGATTATTTACACAAAAATCCACATTAATGTAACTTAGCACTATCTGTATTGCATGAAAGGTCCCCATTTTCTCACAGCTAATTCAGTCCAGTCACCCCAGTGGCGCATTTCACACATAACACACCGATCTATTAATATTACTGAGCCCCGCCTCTTTGATGTTGTTGCACGGTGCGCAGTTGTATAACTATTGTGTTAATTAAGCAGGTTAATTAAGACCGGTCGAAATGTCACGTGATACACGAACAACCACGTCCGGTTCTCTGTTTCTAAACGTCCCTAAAGTAAAGATGTTTCTCGGCCTAGTATCCGTGAAATAGACCCGGATCTGAGACAGTACCTGCGCCTGGTTTTTCGCATGGGGCGACCTCTTTGATGTCAGAGTAGTTACCGCTAGCAATGTAGCAGGTACCTGTGACATAGCGCTTGGTGTTAGTGGCGTTGTATTCCTCAATTGTCCATATTCTGCGTGGCGCACATGCCTGTAATACCAACAAAATAAAGAAAATTAATTATATATCAAAAAAAATATGTAAAAAACATGATACGCGTCCTGACCAGTTCTTAGAATTAACATTTTAATTTTTTTTCGGTATTGAAACCAAGGATTCCTCAAAATTTCCCATGGCGCTGTAGCTCGCAAGCCTGAAGAAACCCGTATAGAGGAAGACAATCAAGAATCGCTCTGTTTTTGATCAAACGGATGGGAGGGAAACCCTATGGATGAATAGGGAGACACTGATCCATGGCCTTAGAGGATTGGAACCCGGGTGGTACAGGTGGAAGGCGAGGGGGAAATATCACTGTGCCAGCTGGATTCCCCGCTACCAATCAAATAAACTCGATACTCCATTTCCTTATTTTTGGAAAAATTAATATCTGAAAAAAAAAAGAACAGAAAAGATGGGTGTTGCCTTACCACGATCGGGCCATCTGGTCCGGCGCTCTGCAATGTAGCACCAAAGAACTGGTTGGATTTACTGCCGATCTGATCACCATCGTCATTGTATCGTTGCCCTGTGGTACATACCAAAATTTTGACAGGAGGTCTAGAGGCAATTAATTGAGCACTTCAGTTGTCTAACGTTAATCTCCCGGACTGATTGGGCAGCACTCAGCACCAGAACCAACAAGAACAATGATTGACATTTAAATAAAATGTTATATTATAGTATTGATTAGGTTATTGGCTAACAATTCCCCATAATGCTGTACCGAATACTCTCGCATACTTTGTAATTTATTCTGCAAAGTTGCGAATCGACAATAAACTGATTGCATAGAGCGTTCCCACTGAGAACGTTTATTAAAATTCATTGGCAAAGGAAATACATACTATACGAAACGTCTGCGCAGAGGAATATAGGCCTATAGTTGTAGTTGAGGGCGCCCTGTACAAAGGGCATTATTACCAACCGGTTGAATCAAAGTCGATTTGTTGGCAGTCCTCTGCAGTGACGGGACAACGAAACACAGCGCCCCCTCTATCCACGCCAGGCTGAGCGGTCTGTGCACGAGGAGCTCCCACTAACAACCTTCAGACAAAGCAAAGGACTGGGTCAAGTTTAAGGTCACCCATGTTTTATCTCAGAATAAGCACAATTATTGTGTCAACCTCAGAATAAAATGCTGTGGCTGTTTTGACGCCACGTAGGCTAGGCTTACAACACTACTAATAATTGTTCCAATTAGTGATGTGTGTTTGGAAATAATACGATTAGGAAGTTATAAGCTTTCAGTAGGCCTACATGGCAAAGATATATTAAAATCTTAAGTATACATAAATCGACAGAATCCAAAAACATATACCATTTCAAGGATTAAAGGCTTTACCGGGGCAGTATTACGTAGAGCCACCCATTTTAAATCTATATGTAGATAATGATGCACTATTTATATTGGCTAAAAATGCAGCTGACAGATTCGGAACTTTTCCTGGTGAAAACATGTCAAGGAAGCTACAACGTAATAAAAGCAATTGCACAGAAAACTATTTTACCCGTGATAGTCGAGCAGGAAATGACTGTTTTTTTAAATTTAGTTTTGCTTTCTTTTTGCCAAATGCATATCAAGCCATAATCATGCACAACTGAAACGGTACATACTGTATGAAAAAAAAATGATAATAATTTGTTTCTCCTTTAAAATTATCTTATTTAATGAACGGGGAACATAGTATACAACCTGAAAATAAACAACAGACAAACAAATTATTATCTAAAGCAATATTCATTTTTTTAAACGGGCAAACAGTAACGGATGTATCCTGATGATAGGCATTTCCCGTTGAAATTATTTATAATAACAGGAAGTATGAAGATCTTATTGCAACCACTGCAGCAGTGGGCCAATCACTCCCACGGTCCAGATATGCCTATCTCATGAATAGTAAAACCAGTCCAACCCTAAATTTACTATAGAAAAGAATACAATATGCCACTTTTTAAAGTGAACATGATTTTATTCCAATGTAAATATTTTCATGTCCATTCTAAATACTGATAACCATTTTCTTTTGCTTAACAAACTTCAGCACTTTATTATAAATATTTATTTTTTAAATTCAAGTTCCCATGAAGAGCAGATCTCAACTCCATTTCCTTATAGAAAAAAAAACACTCTGCATAATACTCAAAGTAACAAAGACTTAACTAACATACTATTTTAAATACATGCAATGTACATAGCATTTGCTCTGTAGTTCAAAATAACACTCCAACAAGAGAAAAAATGAATCAGGTTCATGCCACCATTTGACGTATACATGTACTGTCAAAATTCAGACCATTGAAACAAACAGGCCTATATAATTCCTCACAAAAGCTTACGTCACATTTAGACCTAAAATATCATCATTGAAATTCAGAAAAGTCACTATAGACCTAACTTTTATTAGCATATGCAACAAGTGTAGGCCTTTGGTCAAGACTTAAAATTTAAGGAGAAATTTCTGTGAACTTACACGTTCGAGTCATCCTCTCGATGCAGAGCCACCGCATAACCGAACAGGCTATCCGCCGTGCCGTACCGTATGATAGGGCTTCTGGTATCCAAATTAAAGGCACTGGTCTCACGTCCAATAATAACTACCACCAAAGACAAAACAACCCAGAGGTCTGGGAGTTTTAGACGGCACATTGTGTGATGAATCGTGGAGGTAGAATTAGGCAGCAACTGGTAGAAATAAGCGCCGTGATGCCACTTCTCTGTCCAATTACTAGTTTGTATTGGTGCGTGTTTTTTTCTTCCACTTCGGTATCAATGACAGAGTTATGATGAAAACAACATAAGGCAAACATATTAAATACACACGGGAGAGCGCTTGTAGTGTCGCTTGTCAGTAAGCTTCATCTATCATGACCCGATGAGGAAACAACCTTTTGTCCTTGGCACGTTCTTCTCTGTGCTGCAATTGTATTCAAACGAATACGCATGCGTCTCTAAGCCCACAACCCATTTTTGGAACTCTTGACGATGACCGCGCATGACCACGCATGCGCATATAATGTATAGGTAAACTCAGCACTGGTTAATAACATCAGGAACTCGGGAGGATCTGAGAGGAAATCGAATTGTGGCACATGCCCCGAGCTTGAAATTTGAGTGACAACCATGAAAGGAAATACATGTAACTGCAAAGTACAGTGCAAGCCCCCGCTACGCAGCGGTGTTTATGCGGATGGGCCTTGGTAATCTAGGCCGGAAACGAGGTGGATTTCGGGACAGTTGGGTTTATGTCGTCACTTCCGGAAGGATGGTAACACTCACTAACAGTGCGGTGTTCGAACCGCCTACGGCTTATCCAATAACAGACAAACTAAACCGCCTTTTTGTCTGGATTGTTTTGTATGGAGTTTGTAAATATATTATCGACACCTAGAGAGTATTTCAACCCATAGGCCTATCTAGATGTATACGACTGAATTAGGTTTAATCGAAGTCAAATCAACCACATTCGATACTCAAACTAACAAATTTTTTTTCTTGAAAGCATATAGGTTCAAAACTCCATCCAAAATACAACAGTCGTTCTTTTAATGAAACGATAATCTCTATTTTCTTTATTAGATACAATCAGGTTCAAAACAGCAGTCATTCAATCAAGCTAACATCTTAGAAGACAAAAATCACAGGGGATCTTCATGATGTCAAACAGCACGAGAGCAAACAGATGAGGAAAGTTAAGATTGTGCCCTTTCGCAGTGTTGGACATAACTGTGATTGTGAAAGTCAACTCAACAGGAAAAAACAAAGGCTCACATAACAACATTTTTTTTGAACGCAAAATAAAAACCTTGAAATGCACACAAATAAAATTGCAATGAACAAACTCAGCTGTCAATGGTATGAGCTGACAAAATAAATGAACGCATGTCATAAAAGACACGATTCTGACTTTGAATACCTTGTGTGAACAGAAAGCTTAACAAAAACACCAAAAGTGCGGTAAAATAAATATTCAATCCAAGACAATGTAAAATATACCAATGTGCTTAACAGGTGTATAAAAATATCTCAAACAAATTAAACCATTTGTTAATAAAAAGAAAAATACTGACCCAAAACACAGGTGCATATATTTTTAACAAAAAAAGCAAAACAGGAATACTGATACATTATGTATAGGAAAATAGAAAACATAAATAAATTAATTACTGACAGATATATACGAATGTGGAGGACAGCACGACTAACAATCCAATAGAAAACTAACTTAATTCCACTTTGTTGTGCATCTTTCATTACTTCAACCTTTTTTCAGTGATCGATCTTCCTTTTGTCCAGTGTCAGAACGACACTATTTCAGTTTGGTTAATGTCATTCCAGTCTTTTGACCAAACTATTTCCCCATAGGTTTTCTTTTATTTCTATTTCCTTATATCACCCTGCCTTTTTGGTGAAACCCTTTTTGACCAATTCTTTACAACCGAGAACATATACTACAACTAAAATTTATAACCAAAGTAAGTGACCAATAATGGTCAATACCAAAAAATAAACTGGTACATGTAGTGGTATGCAGTTTTACAATATCTGTAAAACTCACCAATCTTGACCCTTGGTTAGGTCATCAGGACAGAAACGCGCGAACCGTTGTCCTACTCCATTCTTAACTGACCGTGAAGCGTTATATGTTAGCTAATTACGCACGTAGCTAGGTCAAACCATGTAGAATCTTGCGTTACTCGCGTTACATTATTAGTGAGCTTTAATAAATTGCTCAAGATTCCCATGTATGATATTACAAAAATAGATAGCAAACTAAACAAACATAGCAGATACACACATAGAAAAGCAAGCTTGGCAAGAGAAACAAACAATGCATTGTTAGTTAGACCCTGTCTACATAATATAAATGCTCTACAATGGTAAAATGCAACAAAAGTAAAACTATAACCAACAAAAATATATAAAGCACATAGTGTCAAACACCTACATATATATACTCATTTATAGCTAAGCTACTTATCTACTAGATAAATACCGATATACTTGTCAAAATACTTGTCAAAATACTTTCACTGTATTATTCCTGTGCTGAAAACAATTATCGCAGGGAATTTACAATTGGATACGGAAGCTAGGCCTGCTGAATTATCTTCTGTGTAATATCAATGATTTCAACTTTCCAGCTTGAATTTGCGGAAGACAGGCAGAGAAAAGGCATTTTTTATCTTTGAAGATTAATCAACAAATATTATTTCTTTTCCAGATCTCCTCCACATGATAGAAATGCACAGCCCTTCAATTCCCTTCCTGGAAAATTTAACCTCAAAAATACATACAATGTAGTTCCATTTTCCCCCCGTTTTTTTATGTGTACATTTTTCAAATATCAATTTCAATGATTTATTGTATTGTGAGCAGGGGATTCGAACCCAGGTCGTCAAGATAGAAGGCAAGGCAAGTATTAATGTTTGAACATGCATAGGAAGTTTTCAGTGATATTTTTCAGTTTTGTATTTTGTGTCAGGCATGCCCTAATATCAGACCATGCTTTTATCTCACACCATGAGTTACTGTGTCCCATGGATATTTGATATTTTGCTTTTGATGGATACAAATATTTCTGAAATGAAATGAGAAGAAAACATTGCTAAACAATAACAGGTGGTTGTTCGAAAGAGAGACCTACTTTATCAGTTGCCATGATTGAACCTGTTGTCATTGATCCTGGCATCCAGCTCAGATGACTTTCAAGTTTTTACGGACGTCGATGAAGGCTTGGATGCATCTCTCAATCTCCTCTTCAGAATGAGCGGCAGAGATCTGCACTCGGATTCTTGCTTTACCTGGAGTTGCAAAAATTATCAGACTTGATACAGATTCCGACGCTATTTCTGAATGGTCCCATCAGCAGATTCTGATCCAAATGCCCCCACACAATATATTTGGCTTTAAAAAATGTGGTTCTGAGAATAAAATGCAAAACTTGTTTTTGTTTTGGAGGGGTCGTTTGGACCTCATTCCATAATAGGGCCAAACTTTTTTCCAGTGGCTTTTCTTGCTTCTTTATTATTGAAGGTTCCGTGTGAACATGGTTCACAAATACTCATTCAACACAGACAAAGAAAGAGCATATACTGGACACAGTTAAATGGTCGTGTTTCAGAGCAAGCGATCATTTCCAACTCACCAATTGGGACAACAGGGAAGCTGAAACCAATGACGTAGATGCCTCGATTCAACATCTCCTCAGCAAAGCGACCAGCTAGACTAGCCTCACCAAGCATGATGGGACATATTGGATGATCTGTACCCTATAAATGCAATCACACAATCGGTGCTTTACAAATACATGTACACAATCACAAGTAAGGCATGACTTTGTTGGAAACACGGATTTGACTGTGCATGCACAGCAGTTGGCGCCATTTGACAACCAGTGCCCAGCGGACAAAACGCAACGTGAACTGGTTCATACATGTCGCCTTGGTCGCTTGAGGTGTTTGGTGGTGGTGTCTGATGATCATGGCCGCTAACACAGTCTGCAGCTGCATGCTATGAACTCACATGTACTTACTGTACATGTAGGCTAGGCTACAATATGCAAATCCGCTGATGCTGAATGAATGCCTTAGAACAACCAGAGCGATGGCTCTGCTAACTGGTTAATGTATGGCACTTAGTACATACGACAACTTATATTCTGAATATGCACAAATATATAGCGCAAGAATCAGGTGTAATCGGCAATGCATTTGAATGTCCCTCCCAGTGGTCTCCCCTAACTCTCCCTTTGTAACCGTTGAGGGGGTGCTTGTGCAAGGAGTCTGTAGCCAGTCATTTGACTTCAAGGTGGATTACCTATGATTAGATACTGTGTACTCACCCACAGTGAGAATCCAGCCTGTGTCATTTTCTCCCTGAATAATTTGGTGTTACTGGCAAGCTTTAATGTCAAAGATGGATCATCTGAGATCATGTCCAGGACCTGAGATGCAAACAGTTTCAGAATATTTGAATATGAGTATTACAATATTAAAATATTAACATGCTAGAATACTACTGGAAATCTGGATTACAGTATTACTGAAATGATGAGAATATTAGACATCCCTTACTATCATAATGGGTTTCAGAATTTAAAAAAAAAATGTCGGCAGGTACTAGCTCTAACTACTACATGGTCATACAAAAATTGAACAGAACAAATTAAGAAAATGTCCAGCTTGCCGATATCATCGCAAAGCACCAAGAAATGTGTTGCTTCCATCTGATGCAAGAATGTAATCTCTTTACCTTGGATGCGGTGGCAACAACAGGAGGAGGGAGAGTGTTGGAGAAAAGATATGGGCGAGACTTCTGTCTGAGCATGTCAATCAGAGACTTGGGTCCAGCGGTGTAGCCACCTGTCCAAATGGAACGGTTTCTTAGAGTTAGAGTTGTACATAAACAAGCATTCTCTTATGTGGTTGGGTTTACATGGGGATTGTACTTTACACATTCAACAATGTATTTCTTGATTGTGAGAATGGATGCTGCAAATCTAGAGTCTTCACGTCACCACATGTATATCAGCTTGGTATTGGTTGGTTGGGTGCTGGGCATGAAGTCACACATGAGGGAGGGGGGGGGGGAGAGGGGGGGGGGAGAGCTCTTGTCAGTCTTACCTGAGGCACCGCCTAATGCTTTGCCCAGGGTGGAATTAATGATGTCACATGACCCATCAATGCCCAGATGTTCCTCTGTACCCCTGCCGGTCTTTCCCAGAAACCCTGTGGCATGACACTCATCAATAAACAGGAGAGCTTCATACGCGTTGGCTAACTCCACAATCTCCCTGGAAGATGAGATCAAAATACTTGAACGGATCTTCATAATTGTGCAATATGTCGCACAAGTCTTGGATCTTTCAATAGTGCCGCAAGGCCATGTCCTGATTATTTGGGTATGGTCGGCAGTAGCACACATATTTATAGGAAGAGGATTGACTGCATCTATAGCTCATGTGCAATCACCAGGTGTAGCCTAAAAGTTCGGATGTGGCTTAACTGTCATTCACAACAAGAGAGGCAGACTAACAAAGTCTTCTTTATTACCCGAGTGGTGTGATATCTCCATCCATGCTAAAGACGCCATCCGTGACGATCATGCGCATGCGACAGTGCTGCGTTTTCTTTAGAATGGACTCCAGATCTGTGCCAGAAATGTAGACAATCATTTAAGTTGGTGTGCCTACTTGCTTATGGTTTTGGCAAAATGTAAGAAAATGTGATGAGTCAGAAGAATGCTTCTGTTTACATTTGTCACTTCTCTGCACTATTCTCCTGAAAAATAGATCCATTGCGTAGCAGCTATCTTTGGGGTGTGTGTTTTTGCTCCAGAAGGGTACACATTCTCGATTATTGAATGAAAATAGCAACAACAAAAAATCTTAAATATGACTTCTACATGCAAGAGGTCTTTTGGCCTCAATATCACAAACCCTAAACCTACCCTCCATATTCATGTGTTTGTATCGATAGCGTTCAGCTTTGCAGAGTCGGATGCCGTCGATGATAGATGCATGGTTGAGCTCATCTGAGATGACGGCATCGTCTGGCGTCAGGAGGGCCTCAAAGATGCCAGCGTTGGCATCGAAGCAACTGGCATACAGGATGGCATCTTCTCTTTGATGGAAGCTCGCAATCTTCTCCTCCAGATTCTTATGAATGTTCTGTGGATTTTGTAAAGAAATTGTCTCAGTCCAACACAACAACTGTGTTGCTTCAAAAAGTCAGACTACTGTAATAGAGTCTTTGTATTACTTCCTATTAATATATTATCAGGATTTTTTGTTCTATTCCATAGTCAGAATTTGTGGACCTTCAAATTACCACTTCAATTTACTTGCGGTAAATACCGAAAATGAAAAGTGTACGAGGATAATCAGATCCAACAGTTTGGGTGTTGAGCTACCATACTTGGAATTTGCAAGAGTGAGGAAGGTTCCTAGTAAATCACTAAGGAGTTAGGGTTAATGAGATCTTTGCCTCCTTACCTGGGTGCCGCAGATGAATCTTGTTGAGCTGAGACCAGCACCGTAATCATCCAGTGCTGCCTTAGCAGCCTCCACGACCTCAGGGTGACTCTGCAGATGAGAAAAAGATAGAAGACCTTCATTCTAACTGCACGGCAATTTATTGGGCCAAAAACCTCTCTAAATTGCTGCTTATTTTTGTTTGATTTTATTTCAATGGGCAACTCGAAAGAGCGACTGCAGATAGCAAGATGAGTAAGCACATAGGCAAACCCCATTATTTGAATGTCAGTTTGTTTATCTTACCGAGAGGCCAAGATAGTTGTTAGCGCAGAAATTCAGAATGTCTCGTGAGCTGCCCGCTACTCTGATGGATGCAGCTTGTCGCGTTGTGATGACTCGCTCGGGCTTATATGTTCCTTACATAAGCAAAAGGATTAGAACAGAGAACCAATGTTAGGGAATGAAATATGTAGTACTCGTAAAGGTTAAAATAACTTTGGAAATGTTGGCCAAGTGAAGTACTTGCGCTTTGATGCTGTTGCTTTATGCCCTCTATAAGTCAGGTTTGTTATTATTATTACTATTTCTGCCTAGAGTTTTTTAATACTACCATTGCAAGCGGATCATTTTAACATAATTTCCTCTCTGGCTTCAAAGCTACCAAAGAGTTGTCTGATGAGTCTTGACAGTTCCTGGCTAACCTCTTAATTTCTCCTAGTAAAGTGTTATGGTTAGCAAAGATGCTTTGGTTAGCAGAGGTACAACACTGCCCACGCTCAGCAGGGCATGCATTTCATTAAGCAAAGAGAACCGAATTTGCTCAACTGACCTGCTTCATGGATAGAGTTCATGACCTCATTCATGGCGTTGTTCATGACAGCTACAGCTGCTGTGCTGTAGCTAGAGCGCCCCCTGTTGGCCACATGATGACGGCATACTTGAAGCAGAAAAGCTCGAGCCATTCTACCATTAACATTGGATAAATGGAGAACATTCAATTTGTGAAATGAATGAAATAGGGTCTGGACTAACTATTTGATTGTGCATGTCGTTTTGATTGCAATAGTCGGAACAGGTTGGACCACGTGAAGGTTGCAATCTCCTGCCCAACCCTTTATGCAAGAACAGCCCATCAGCTGCATAAGTAAGTGGGGGGGATGACAGAGAGCCCTGCTTGTAACTGTGGATTGATGTTTTTCCCTGGCGGCATGGAAGCCATCCACACCATAACCGATGATGCCGTGGCCTGGATGTCTACCCTTGGCCTACAACACGAAAGAAGAAGGTCTAGACTAACAAGCACCTTGCTCAGACCACAGATCATTACTCTGATTGTTTTTCTCCCAACAAAATATGCAACTATTTAGTCATCTAATCAGAAAGATTCCCATATGTGGCCATCACTTGTCACCCTACTGCTGTACACAAACGCCATCAGACTGTTCTGGAATTTTTAAAGTGTTTTTCATGTTGAAATTTTGATACGCAAACCTGTGCAAATGAATCTGGAAATTTCATGAAAAATAGACATCTGAAAAAGGCAGCACTTTCTGATTAGACTAAAAGTAAAAGAGGGTGCGTTCTAAAGCAAAAAAAAAAAACCTACAAACTAAGACTAAATATGAAAATCGAAATTTGACAAAGTCATGAAAGTTCGACACGTTTTTGTACATGTTGTACATGTGGAAGTGTGGCCTATGTTTACAGAGGTAGTTCAGTAAATGGCCACATATATGGGGCTACAGTGAGGGTTGCCACAGTGAGCACTAGCACTGAGTCCAGTGAATGCCTTTCCCAGGTTCACTGCTTCATGAAGTTCATGCTTTCGCACGTTGCACATTTATTTAAGGCAGTAAGTCTAACTTTTCTATGCATGACAAAGGCCCAAATGAAATATCTAGAAAGCCCTGTTAGTGTTACCACTGTTCTTGAATCATTCATAAAAGTTGTGTTAAACATGGAAAAATACTTTAGAAGTGCAGGGTTTACAATAAAGGAAAATAAAGTGGTTTACCTGAATTCGTCTGCTGCGTTATTATTTAACAGAAAAACTTCGGAATTATATGTCTCGTCTCGTTTCTCCTTAAAAGCAGACTGTTGCCAACTTGCCACTTGAGGGCGCTATCAAAAGTTTTTTCCCTGTCCTGTATTAAAATTCCCATAATTGCTGTATGATGAATAGCCGTACTTCAATTTGTTTTTTAAAAACTCAAAACTCTTACAGGTATTTAGGCTACACAGAAGAATGATGATCCACATGTCATCTTTATGCCCCTGTACTGTGTAGTGTGAATGTAAATGGGCCTATATATTCGTAGGCCTAATACTTGTAGGACTGTGGATAAGTATAGCCATATTGATTACAAGGAATATGCAATACATTTTGAGATACATACAAGTATGCACGACTTGCACATTGGCGTATGTTTTCAACACCGGTACCCCACCCCACCCACATGACCATTTAAATATCTGAATAACGCTGCAGAATAATATCAATTATATGTTCTTAAGTCAACGGTAGACTTTGTGTATACCCGGAACTTTTGAGTCAGTTGGATTATCGGGGACCTTTGTTTCGTTATTTATTTATTTATTTATTTATTTATTTTATTTTGGATGTATTTAGATATTTATTTGGTCGGGGGATTTACTTTGTGTGATTTTGAGCCCTCTTTTTAGTTACCGAGTGAAATGAAGTTTTAATTATACATCTATCTTCAGAGAAGACTGACAATAAATCAGATCTCACTATAACTACTGCAATGTTTATTGAAAAGCATCTACAATTACTGACATTTTTTTTTACTTACTTTAGAAAATAGTACTTCTAGGGTTTCAGTACTGGTTGTGGTGAAAGGCTTTGTACATATGCTCATTCAGTACTGGACTCTGTTCCAAAGATACTTTTATCATAGTGGGAAACTTCAGCTTTTAATTGCTTCACAATTTTTAACTGCTTTCCGCACTCATAAAGTACAGTGTAGTTGGACACTGTCCGAAGGGTTTGCTTCTAATAATTAAATGGTGGTTAAAATATTTTTCATTTCATTATTCGTACACGAATAACAGCAATTATATGGATGGTGGGTATATAAAGTCATTCAGATCTGAATCATTTATAATGCTTAAAGTTAAACAAAAGTTGCTACCATAAAAAAACCAATAATCCGAATATTTCAATATACGATAATCTACACTCTAAACAATGTGTTTCGCAATTAAACACAATCTTGCTAACTATCACTTTGTAAACAAACTTAAAAGCTAAGTAATATGTGTCCGATTTCTTACGTGTTCACTCGCTAAACAATGCGTCAATATTCTAAGCATGTTAAATAATTAAACATGCTTACAAAGTGATAGCAAGAAAGTGTTTAGAAAAGTGTTTGATTGCTAAACACAGTTGTTGCAGTATATCTTTATGGTACAATCTAACTAAAGTTAAGCTATCCTACATATGGATATTACAAAGGTTATGCAGGTGTTAATAATGATTCAAACCTAAATGTACAATTTTGTTTTTAAAGAGAGAAAGAAAAAGGTAATTATACATCTCGGGATTAGTGAACACTCCTTGAATTGTTTTGAAAATCATATAGAATGTCATCAAACTCATGTAGGTTTCACCATGTTTTACGCACCTAGAAACAAATAATGTCCTGATCTCTCTCATCTTTTCATCACAGATACTTAGAGTCAGCAAGCACAAAATGTGAGAAACCGGCCAAGACTCAGAATCGTCATGAAACTCATTGCCTTCAAAATTGCCCCATCATTAACTTGTTTTCATTTTGTAATTGCGTTCAAATAATCCTTGCATTTAAAACGTGAGCAAGTATGGGATTTTAATTAAAATCAGGTAATCTATGATGTTTTAGAGGGAAAACGAATCAAACCTATAAACGTACAAACTGCATAGAGTAACTTTGAAAGGCAATTTTTGTCTTGGCAAATAATTACTTTAAAAAAAATGGAAAGCATGTTTTAATTAACCACACCAATCTCATCTGTTCATTTTTATTGAAAACATTTATCCATAAGGTACTTGTCATTTCCTTCAAATTGATCTGCCATTAAGAATAGGTTCATTTAACTGCCATATGTAATATTTTAATGATTTTGCAGTTGTTCATCATCTCCTTGGTCATGATCCTCAGGCAGAGAATTGGCCTCGTGCATTAGCTTTTCCATTTCCAATGGATCCTCTTGGCTGTGAGCTGCACGCAAGAAGTTTTCTGAAATGGAAAAAAAGTCAATAAATGCCTCCGATGAATTACCAGGGGACTTCAACCACTGTAGGTCAGACATTCCTCAGTCTGTTTCACAGTCTCTTGTTTTTTCTTGTGCATACATTTTACCAACTTGTGTTTTTTCCTAGTTTGCTGACATTTCCCCCTGTATTATGTTTTAAAGGCTAGAAAAAGATGTTTTTATTATTATAGTGTATTGTGTGTTTATACAATAGAAACGAACGTCCTCTTCAAAACTACTTACCTCTCATGTAGGCGTATAATACCCTCTCTGTCTGAGATAGGACACTCCCTTGACCTGAAGACTGTTGCCGAATCATTAGCCTGTAGTCTTCTGGTATCTCTTGGCTGGTTGGTACCTCTGGCTGGGTTTGGGAGCTGGTGTCACTGAGAGCTGAAGCATCCTCACCTCTAAGGGGCTCCGGTTGGGATGAGGATGCATCATCACGAGTGGGGAGATTTGGCTTGTCAGGAGGAACCTCTTTGTAGGTGTTGGGATGCTCTTCAGATTCCCCAAACACGGGCGTGCCAGACAGGTAGCGTGGAGGTGACCGGGACCCGGCCGTAGGGTAAGATTCTTGCGGCCGTTGGTACATTTCAGAATCTTTGTAGTCGCCAAATCTGGTATGGACCGTGGGTGAAGGGCTTCGGTGTCCATCTTGGTTGACAACCCCTAGAAGGGATGCTGTGAAGCGGCAGGCATTTTTGGCCACCGGGGGAGCGTGATTTGGCTGTTTTTTTGGCTTGCGGCCTCGAGGGCCAGAGAAGGATCCACCATCCCTACGACCATGGGACTTGACAGGTGATGCAGTGGTTGCTGGCTGGTCCCCTGCAACATGGTTGTCATCATCACCCCAAAGGTAGTATCCCGTAACACGTTGATCATCTCTCAGGTAATCCTTCACTTTGTTCTTGTTGTGAACATTCACTGGGATATTTAGAGCGCCTTCTTTCTTGGACTCATCTTCATCCTCCTGCTCTTTGTCTGCTGCTCCAGCTGCATCCGGGGGTGGCGACCTGTTCCCGCGTCGGTCGTCATCTGGTGGCTCTTCCCCACCTGAAAATGAAGACGATTGCACAATCAATTAAAGCTCCAAAACGTAAACAAAATACAACTGTATCTTGAACTTAATAGTGCGGCAGATGCATCAACAAGAAAATGTAGAAGCACAAATCATTGACCATGGGCCTGAAATGTTATACCTTGCTTTGAAATTAAAATTACTTAACAGTAACTATCTGCCCTTGCTCTTTCTTCGTTGAGTGGCAAAGTTTATCCGAGCGTTGTCTTTTGCTCTATACTCAAAAGAAAATATTTGTAAGTTGAATATTTTTGATATCTGCTGATTATTGTCCACAAACCTGTTCCACCAGATGCCCCAGTGCCTCCTGCATTCCGACTTCTAGGGCAGGAGCTAGTCACTCGAGCAGAGGTGGATGACTATTGATTGTAAGAAGACACATTGACACGTCACTTGTACATCGTTTTTCCGGTAACACTTTTCACCTTTTTCCTCTCCAAAATCCAAGTAATTATGGTATAGGGTATAAAATGGCAGCCACATTGGCATGTTATAACTGTCCATTTGTTTTGATCAATTTTGCTTCAGTACTTTTTTTAATTGTTGTTTGAGTCCATACGTGTAAGTTAACAAAGATGTCACTGTTATTGAGCAGCCATTAAAAATAATTGTTTACTCCTACACAATAAGCATGTACATGTACCGCTACACTCCAGCAAAAATAGCTGTATCGGTTGTTAAATGCGTTAAGATTAGTGTGATCCATCACGAGGCAAAGCATGGTAGTTTGAGTCATTCTTACTTGATTTTGAGACTACCACTCACCTGTTTTTTGGTGGACTCTTGACTGCTCTGTTGACCCTTGGAAGTCTGGTTAGTAGAAGACCCACCACCAGTTGCCGTGACAACCGCTGGTTTCTTCAGTTTCTCTTCTGGCCCTGCTCCAATCATCTTCCTCTTTTGCAGATTCCTGGTACTCTTCTTGGTGTTTCTCTTTCTTTTATTTGAAAAAAAAATTAAATAAGCAATAGTTTCATTCAAATCCATGTACATGCTTTTGCATCGTGCGGCCACTACTTCAAATATTATCGTATGTAGGTTTTCATACCAAGATCGCCCATCATAATCAAGGCTTATATCTAAGGGCCACACAAGGTGAGGGCTACACAAAGAAGGGATAGAAAATGAAGTCTGCGAAAAAAAGGAAAAAGTAGGCAGATAAGTATTTTAAATGTTTTTATAGGGCATATATACCGCATAAGACATTTTAGGGATACTCATCAGAAATAACACTTTTATTTTGTGTGATTTTTGATGAATTAAATTGCACTTCTTATAAATACGTATGCTTTAAAAATAGTGTTCTCTTCATATGTCACCTCTTTGTGCCTGTTTTTCCCTCAGAGGAAATTGGTGGAGTCAGGCCAGATCTACCAGATGAAGTTGGCTCACTTGAAATGATTTCCTCCTTGTGGAAAGACACACCCATGAACCCAGAGCTGAAATTCTGGAGCTGGGAAGACTGATCTTTTGAGGAATCCTCTTTCTTGACTGCCAGTGCCTGTTTCTGGAACGGTTCTTCAGTTGTGAACCAGGAACTTGAGCCAGGAACATAGATTTGGAAGGACAATGAAACAGCCATCAGCCAGGAAGTAAACGACCAGGACACCTCAACTACTGACAAGAGCGAAATCTCCAAGGAAGCCCCAACTTCCAGCACCTTAGCAACCAAGCGACATCCAACTTTGCTCTGGGATTCAGTCAAAGATAACTTGCAGCCAGGAAGAATGGGATCTGTCTTACTCTTGATGTTTTCTTTGAAGGAATCCACAGTTTCAGAGGTACAAATCTGCCGAGTACCAACAGCCTCTGTGCACGCATACTCTTTGGACTGCACAAGATCCATCCCCTCTAAAGCAGACACAGTGATGGGAGACAAATTTTCCTTCAGCCGTTGAACATGATCCTCCAAGTAGTCTTGAACGTCTTCTTCGTAAGTACTTGTAGCTTGAACTACAGGTTTTAAACTCTGCTTAAACCATGGAGTCTGGAACAGAAGCCAGATCTTCCTGATGCACCTGGAGGCAAAAATGAGAGAATAAAACTTAAAGTCACTTTTGAAACTACTGTTTTGAAACACTGTTTTCAATGGGGCTTAAATTGGTTCAGTGCACCCTCATCGGTAGTATATTATAAGCATGTTAATTTACACTGTCCTGTTCATTGGAGACCGTGGCCCAACATTATATGCAGGAAACTTGGCAAATTACCAAGACTTCTTTCGACCAATCAAAGCAGGCTTCCACATTCTGAAACTGGCTTGTCAACTTTCCCGTCACCCATTCAACAACAAAATGAGAGAATAAAACTCAAAGTCCCTTTTGAAACTACTGTTTTGAAACACTGTTTTCAATGGGGCTTAAATTGGTTCAGTGCACCCTCATCGGTAGTATATTATAAGCATGTTAATTTACACTGTCCTGTACATTGGAGACCGTGGCCCAACATTATATGCAGGAAACTTGGCAAATTACCAAGACTTCTTTCGACCATTCAAAGCAGGCTTCCACATTCCGAAACTGGCTTGTCAACTTTCCCGTCACCCATTCAACAACAAAAAAATAAGACACGCAACACAACTTTATCGTTACTTTTGTTAATGTGCCAAGAAAAAAATTCACATCAGCAAGCACTAACACACCCAGATGCCACAATTGTAACTATTAGTAACATGCCTGGATACAAGTGGCAGAGCTGGAGGAAATGTCCGAGTTAATATGACTCATAATTCAAATCAATTTTTTTTTTATTAATTTATATTCCAGCATGAGACTCTTTTTCTTGGTTTGCATATAATTAAAAATACAATAAATTCAATATTACAACAGATGGTATACAGGTTGTAACATTCAATGAAAATAAAAATAATGTAGTAATAAATGTGTTACTTGAAATACACTTAAACCTTCAAAACACACAAACTGGACTAAATTGAACGCGGGGATGCCAAGAGACGAGGGAAGGTGGGCTAAAGGACAGGGAGGGAAACATATCTGGGACATAATAACAAGGATAAAAGGAAAAGGACTCGCAAACAAAGACGTGGGGAAATAAATCAAAACGTAGGAACGTGGAAGAAAAAAAAGGAAAGTCGGACTCGTCAGGGAGAAACAATGAAGGGCAAGAATACAAAGGGTGCAGGTGAATGAAAAGGGACACAATAAGGGTACAGGGATCAGGGACAGGGGAAATAGGCATGGAAATAAAACACTGTGTATCGCCATACCGACACCTATATACAATACTTAAAACTGATTATCTGGCGAAACTGTTGTTAAAGCAAAAAACTGCATTTGGTACAAAGGACAAGCGATGGCGTTTTGTGTTTGATTTAAGTTGTCGTAATCAGCCGGAATTATTTAAAACTAAAAATGTATGCAGCGGATGGGAATTGTCAAGCAGTATTGCTTTTAGTTTTTCCGGCAGAACTGCCTCGTAGATTAATCTTGGACAGTTTCACCAATGATTTTATTGGCTGAGTTAGTGATCTTATTGATTTTATTATAAGCACTACCCCACCCAGATACCACTATTGTAGTTGCAAACTATATTTAGTAACATCTGCCTGGATACAAGTGGCAGAGTTGGTGAAACTGGTTGACTGCTTACTGAGCGGACGTCCGGGTAAATATGACTCATCCCACCGTGCACATCACAATAAACGTGCGTACAAAAGTGACCTGGATTTGTTTCTTAAAAGAATTAATCAAATATGATACACCAATGAAGTATTCTTAAAGGGCAAGCGTTTTCTGTCATCTTGAAAAAAAACCCCAAGTTACTGAAATTGATTATTGCTATCAGAAGTAATGCATGTTTTACTTTAAGAGGTTAAGACTTTTTTTTATAACTGTCACTTGAATGCCATTGGAAGCTACACCTATCTAATTGAGATTTTAATCATTCGAGTCAAAACGGAAACATTATGTTTAACGTCAGATTTTTTTGTTCTGAACATGAGAAATAAGTTAACTTTTTTTTCTGACATACTGATGGTGATTTTTGTCTTTTTTCCTTTTCAAGTTTTCGTTCATTTATGGAGGTGAGAAAATTTTTATGTTTCATTGCATTTGATGGGTATTCATGAGTTTTTAGAAAGGTACAGGTAGGGAAGGTGGGCTAAAGGACAGGGAGGGAAACATATCTGGGACATAATAACAAGGATAAAAGGAAAAGGACTCGCAAACAAAGACGTGGGGAAATAAATCAAAACGTAGGAACGTGGAAGAAAAAAAAGGAAAGTCGGACTCGTCAGGGAGAAACAATGAAGGGCAAGAATACAAAGGGTGCAGGTGAATGAAAAGGGACACAATAAGGGTACAGGGATCAGGGACAGGGGAAATAGGCATGGAAATAAAACACTGTGTATCGCCATACCGACACCTATATACAATACTTAAAACTGATTATCTGGCGAAACTGTTGTTAAAGCAAAAAACTGCATTTGGTACAAAGGACAAGCGATGGCGTTTTGTGTTTGATTTAAGTTGTCGTAATCTGCCGGAATTATTTAAAACTAAAAATGTATGCAGCGGATGGGAATTGTCAAGCAGTATTGCTTTTAGTTTTTCCGGCAGAACTGCCTCGTAGATTAATCTTGGACAGTTTCACCAATGATTTTATTGGCTGAGTTAGTGATCTTATTGATTTTATTATAAGCACTACCCCACCCAGATACCACTATTGTAGTTGCAAACTATATTTAGTAACATCTGCCTGGATACAAGTGGCAGAGTTGGTGAAACTGGTTGACTGCTTACTGAGCGGACGTCCGGGTAAATATGACTCATCCCACCGTGCACATCACAATGAACGTGCGTACAAAAGTGACCTGGATTTGTTTCTTAAAAGAATTAATCAAATATGATACACCAATGAAGTATTCTTAAAGGGCAAGCGTTTTCTGTCATCTTGAAAAAAAAACCCAAGTTACTGAAATTGATTATTGCTATCAGAAGTAATGCATGTTTTACTTTAAGAGGTTAAGACTTTTTTTTTATAACTGTCACTTGAATGCCATTGGAAGCTACACCTATCTAATTGAGATTTTAATCATTCGAGTCAAAACGGAAACATTATGTTTAACGTCAGATTTTTTTGTTCTGAACATGAGAAATAAGTTAACTTTTTTTTCTGACATACTGATGGTGATTTTTGTCTTTTTTCCTTTGCAAGTTTTCGTTCATTTATGGAGGTGAGAAAATTTTTATGTTTCATTGCATTTGATGGGTATTCATGAGTTTTTAGAAAGGTACAGGTAGGGAAGGTGGGCTAAAGGACAGGGAGGGAAACATATCTGGGACATAATAACAAGGATAAAAGGAAAAGGACTCGCAAACAAAGACGTGGGGAAATAAATCAAAACGTAGGAACGTGGAAGAAAAAAAAGGAAAGTCGGACTCGTCAGGGAGAAACAATGAAGGGCAAGAATACAAAGGGTGCAGGTGAATGAAAAGGGACACAATAAGGGTACAGGGATCAGGGACAGGGGAAATAGGCATGGAAATAAAACACTGTGTATCGCCATACCGACACCTATATACAATACTTAAAACTGATTATCTGGCGAAACTGTTGTTAAAGCAAAAAACTGCATTTGGTACAAAGGACAAGCGATGGCGTTTTGTGTTTGATTTAAGTTGTCGTAATCTGCCGGAATTATTTAAAACTAAAAATGTATGCAGCGGATGGGAATTGTCAAGCAGTATTGCTTTTAGTTTTTCCGGCAGAACTGCCTCGTAGATTAATCTTGGACAGTTTCACCAATGATTTTATTGGCTGAGTTAGTGATCTTATTGATTTTATTATAAGCACTACCCCACCCAGATACCACTATTGTAGTTGCAAACTATATTTAGTAACATCTGCCTGGATACAAGTGGCAGAGTTGGTGAAACTGGTTGACTGCTTACTGAGCGGACGTCCGGGTAAATATGACTCATCCCACCGTGCACATCACAATAAACGTGCGTACAAAAGTGACCTGGATTTGTTTCTTAAAAGAATTAATCAAATATGATACACCAATGAAGTATTCTTAAAGGGCAAGCGTTTTCTGTCATCTTGAAAAAAAAACCCAAGTTACTGAAATTGATTATTGCTATCAGAAGTAATGCATGTTTTACTTTAAGAGGTTAAGACTTTTTTTTATAACTGTCACTTGAATGCCATTGGAAGCTACACCTATCTAATTGAGATTTTAATCATTCGAGTCAAAACGGAAACATTATGTTTAACGTCAGATTTTTTGTTCTGAACATGAGAAATAAGTTAACTTTTTTTTCTGACATACTGATGGTGATTTTTGTCTTTTTTCCTTTGCAAGTTTTCGTTCATTTATGGAGGTGAGAAAATTTTTATGTTTCATTGCATTTGATGGGTATTCATGAGTTTTTAGAAAGGTACAGGTAGGCCTATACGATCAGTGGTGGACAACTGAATTTTGTGATTTTTAAAAATTAAATTAGACATAACTTGGGAATGAAATAACTTGGGAATGAAGTTACAAGTCAATAAATGTACAATTTTCCCCAATTTTCCCCAATTTTCCCCAATTTCCCCATTTAATGGGGCGCGAGCCACGTATATTATTATTAAACAAAATGTTTCTTTCACTTTCTGTTTGACTCACCTTGTATTAAAAAAGAAGAAGAAATTCTACAGTGTTCTCATAAAATCTATAAATCATTTTTTTAATAATTATAATAGCGAAGTCAATACATATTCGAATAAAATAATTATTGGATTGGGCTGATACAGGTTAGAATGCAATCTTTGAACAATCTATTTTGTGACAGTTACAAAATGCCTTTAGTTATACATGTAATTTATTTTTAACAATATATTGATTTTTAAATGCCTTCTAACAAATTTTGACTTACATCGCAGCATTTTTTGTAACCCCGTCATTTTTCTTAACTTGGCTTAATTACCAGTAAAAACAAATATCTAAACTGTAATATCCAAATCTCGCAACTTAATAGTAAAAATACTACCCTCTGCTCAAAAAATCATGAACGAAATAAAAAAGCCCACAATGGATACCAGTCACCACTTATTTACTTATTATTATTATTTAACAGCATTAATTTGTGGATCAAGGAAAAGGGGAGGGGGACACGGGGGTCACGCACCCACAGCTTGTGTTTGTAATCCGAGTGACGACACCTTTTTGATAGTTAAGACGTTGCGTATGTCCCTCGCAAGCCATCAGCTACACCTACCTTTTACTCGTTTTAATATAATACAAACAGAGCCAAAAACAAATCAGCCCTCTGGGCCCCAGACAATGTGCTTCTGGATCCCCCGTGCTTGCTTCGCAGGTTTCGTGGTAAAAATCTATTCACTTTGATCTTCAATTGGTAGTGCACCTATTTTTGTGTGCTAAAAAAAATAATAAAACTCAAAATACACAGGCCTAACACAGCTCTTAATTGAAGGACACAATGATGTTTCAAGTTCATTTTCGTACGAAAAGAATTGAATTCAATCAGAAAAAATGGTGATTTCTTACCCTAAAACAGTTGTCTTCAAGGTGGTTTGCCTCATCTTTGAAAACATCATCCTAAGACAGTTGGAAACTAGAAGGCAACAGGAAAGACATGTACATGTAGTAAAAAAAGCCACTACGCATGATTCTTAGTTGAACCGATAGACTTTTGTGTATTCAATTGTTCCGTTATTGTCCTGGTGGACGTGGGCCTGTATTCTTGCAGATATTGTTTTCTTGGAAACGTGCCAGGTATGTGTAAAACAGGAACACACACACATACTCTGAAAAAATCCCTTCCCGCTAAAATAAATGCCTCAAACAAATCAACAACCATAGACAAATGGTCCTACCAAAACCTCTGTGTTTTTTAATTTTTTTATATTTTTTTTTATAGAATTTTCATTATTTCACCCATTGGCGCAAAGCTGTAAGTTATTACAATTGATAGGCGCATTATGGTATTTGAATCGATAATTTTCAGAGATAATTTTGTCAATAAATTCCACGGTGACATTTCTGAAAGAAAAGCATACATGTATCGCAACTTCAGTCCCTTTATAAATAGAGATAATTCATAACATCCCTCGGGAGTAAAACACAGATCAGGTACAAGCCCAAATATTTTGCTTTTGCTTTTTTAAACATACCTATATACACACAACGTGGTGATAAATATTTTAATTCGTGAATTCAAAGGGCAACCGTACATACATGCACGACCAGCGCGCACACACACAGTCAGCCAATGAAACCCGGCGACTGGTATCTAAAAATAGTTTCTGGAAAACCCCATTCAACCAAACATGACGAACCACGTACACAAGTGCATAACAACTGCTATATAAATACGTGTACATGTAAATTGGTTGATACACATTTTAGATAGTTCACCTCATTATATGAAAATGAAATTTTATAGGAATAATCATAATGGAAATGGTTCCTTAAATACCATGAAACACTCTGCTTGATGGCAGTTCCCCTCACAAAATATGTAACAAAATCATGTTACTTTAACATGGACACTTTGTTCCTGAATTCCTGGCATTCCTATATATCTCTATATAGGTTGTCTAATGTGTTTTTAAAGCAACATACGCGGAAGAGTAACATGGTGCTACCGTAAAATGTATTGTTGCTGCTATCTTCACCATATGCAAACCTTCAAATGTGAAAGCTTAACATGTATGTGTTGATGATCTTGTGTATTAAAGTAATCTGGCAATGACCTTACTTTTTTTTTTTATCTAGGGGGCTCAGGTTATGTTGTGTTATTAATTAGGCTATTATATTGGTGCATGTGAGGACATAATTATACTCCAAGTTAACACAATCTGCATGAGCAGAACCAACTAATTATGTTTGCTCATGCAGTGACATTTGTGAACAGCAGACTGAATTGTCCATCCCGGGGGAGAAAACTCGCCCCTGTTGTTTCCTGAGATGTGTGTTTTAAATTAGCAAATTTTCTTCCACTAATTTCCCAATATTTATTCACAAATTCTTACCCACCCCCAAAAGATACATGAATGGCTGCAAAAGTAAATCCTACATTAAACTTGTTGAAAGGACTGTATGTTGCATCTTGATTATCTTAATAAAGATCAGTTATTGCAAAAAACACTGTGAAACTCATTTTCCATTTCGTTAGAAAATATCTTGAAATGCATGCACTCTACTCTCCATATATACTTTGCACACAACCAAAGAAGTGGTGTCTTGGTAGGCCTAGTTGGCATTCTTTCCAAACTATTAAAAAACACTTTATATATGTCAAATTTTTGTTTCAAAAGGCAGTTTTACATCCCGCTAATATAAGGCAATAATGACTTACAAATTGTAATCTGATTTTTTCCAAATTGTTTTTTGTGTGTGTAGAGTTAGTTAGCAGGCCTATGCTTTTCCCTTTAATAATCATTTTCCTTTTTTTTTTGTTGTTGTTAAGGAGGCCCCGCCCCCATCGTTCCCGCCCTCCCTGGCTCCCTGCCATACAACGGCTTACATACATGTACACTTAATTATTAAAACACAAGGTAACAATGATTATCATTATCAAAAGAAGGATTACATGTATAGCAACATAAGAACAACACATTTCAGACTGTAATCTAATTTTGATAAAGAAAAACGAAAACGAGGTACGTTATTGACCTCGCGGATATGCCAGCCACAATTAACACAAAGGAAAAGGAAATTCTCATGACGCAGTCAAAATGTCTCACGGTGAAAAAAAGAGTAACCTGGCTAAAATCTTCTAAAACTTACCGACACCAAAGTCGTATAACACTAGCAAACACTCCTCCAAAAACAGCAACAGATCAGTACGTATATGTCCGCTTCGGTCACAAGTGTCATTGATTTAACTGGGATTTATGAAATTTATGTTTATGTATCGAAATCTGACCGTGACCGAAAACGTAAAACCGCTAATAGCTTATCATCCACCAGTTAAGCACCGGCCGCTTTGCCAAGTACCAGCTAGTGTTTATAAACATGCATGGATGTATGTACATTGTACACCCCCATGGAGCTATGTATCGCACGCTCCAGCATATTTTGCGTGTCACTTGAACTTCCAAGTCACCTGCATAAAGGGCCGAGTGGTGGGCGGGCTCGAGATTTCGCGCCAATCGATTTTTATAATTGATTGGGTTGGGCCGCCGGCTACTGACTTGCGTTATTATGGCTCAATCCATTCATATGAAGATGTATTGGCTCAAACAGAAATATCGAAACCTATGTAAAAGTTGAGATGAGTTTCCTTATACTTGGAACACTGCATGATAAGGGGTTTAATCTACGAAAGCCCTGTAGTGCCATCAAGTATATATTTCGCCAAGTTCGTTTTTATGAGTTATATATTTGGCCAAGTTCGTTTTTATGAGTTATATATTTCGCCAAGTTCGTTTTTATGAGTTATATATTTGGCCAAGTTCGTTTTTATGAGTTATATATTTCGCCAAGTTCGTTTTTATGAGTTATAAATTTCGCAAGGTTCGTTTTTATGAGTTATATATTTCGCAAGGTTCGTTTTTATGAGTTATATATTTGGCCAAGTTCGTTTTTATGAGTTATATATTTGGCCAAGTTCGTTTTTATGAGTTATATATTTCGCCAAGTTCGTTTTTATGAGATACATTTTGTCGAAGTTCGTTTTTATGAGATACATTTTCTCGAAGTTCGTTTTTATGAGTTACATTTTCTCGAAGTTCGTTTTTATGAGATACATTTTGTCGAAGTTCGTTTTTATGAGATATATTTTACGGAGTTACGGAGTTTTATGAAGTTACGGAGCCCCTAAAGGGACATCCAAAATTATTTTCTTATCTCGTGCGCACGACATAATATCTCGTGCGCACGAGATAGTATGTCGTGCGCACGAGATAAAAACATAATTTTGGATGTTCCTTTAGGGGCTCCGTACCAGACACGCTGCTTTCGTTACAAACAAACTCGTCCGCTGCACGTGCAGCAAGCTCCGTTAATACTTATAATTATCTCGTGCGCACGAGATATATGTCGTGCGCACGAGATATTATGTCGTGCGCACGAGATATTATGTCGTGCGCACGTCATATATGTCGTGCGCCTGTGATAATTATCTCGTGCGCACGAGATATTATGTCGTGCGCACGAGATAAGAAAATAATTTTGGATGTCCCTTTAGGGGCTCCGTAACTTCATAAAACTCTGTAACTCCGTAAAATATATCTCATAAAAACGAACTTCGACAAAATGTATCTCATAAAAACGAACTTCGAGAAAATGTAACTCATAAAAACGAACTTCGAGAAAATGTATCTCATAAAAACGAACTTCGACAAAATGTATCTCATAAAAACGAACTTGGCGAAATATATAACTCGTGCGCACGAGATAATTATAAGCATTAACGGAGCTTGCGCATGTCGTGCGCACGAGATATATGTTGTGCGCACGAGATAGTATGTCGTGCGCACGAGATAAAAACATAATTTTGGATGTTCCTTTAGGGGCTCCGTACCAGACACGCTGCTTTCGTTACAAACAAACTCGTCCGCTGCACGTGCAGCAAGCTCCGTTAATACTTATAATTATCTCGTGCGCACGAGATATATGTCGTGCGCACGAGATATTATGTCGTGCGCACGAGATATTATGTCGTGCGCACGTCATATATGTCGTGCGCCTGTGATAATTATCTCGTGCGCACGAGATAATTATCACAGGCGCACGACATATATGACGTGCGCACGACATAATATCTCGTGCGCACGACATAATATCTCGTGCGCACGACATATATCTCGTGCGCACGAGATAATTATAAGTATTAACGGAGCTTGCTGCACGTGCAGCGGACGAGTTTGTTTGTAACGAAAGCAGCGTGTCTGGTACGGAGCCCCTAAAGGAACATCCAAAATTATGTTTTTATCTCGTGCGCACGACATACTATCTCGTGCGCACAACATATATCTCGTGCGCACGACATGCGCAAGCTCCGTTAATGCTTATAATTATCTCGTGCGCACGAGTTATATATTTCGCCAAGTTAGTTTTTATGAGATACATTTTGTCGAAGTTCGTTTTTATGAGATACATTTTCTCGAAGTTCGTTTTTATGAGTTACATTTTCTCGAAGTTCGTTTTTATGAGATACATTTTGTCGAAGTTCGTTTTTATGAGATATATTTTACGGAGTTACGGAGTTTTATGAAGTTACGGAGCCCCTAAAGGGACATCCAAAATTATTTTCTTATCTCGTGCGCACGACATAATATCTCGTGCGCACGAGATAATTATCACAGGCGCACGACATATATGACGTGCGCACGACATAATATCTCGTGCGCACGACATAATATCTCGTGCGCACGACATATATCTCGTGCGCACGAGATAATTATAAGTATTAACGGAGCTTGCTGCACGTGCAGCGGACGAGTTTGTTTGTAACGAAAGCAGCGTGTCTGGTACGGAGCCCCTAAAGGAACATCCAAAATTATGTTTTTATCTCGTGCGCACGACATACTATCTCGTGCGCACAACATATATCTCGTGCGCACGACATGCGCAAGCTCCGTTAATGCTTATAATTATCTCGTGCGCACGAGATATATGTCGTGCGCACGAGATAGTATGTCGTGCGCACGAGATAAAAACATAATATATGTTGTGCGCACGAGATATATGTCGTGCGCACGAGATATATGTCGTGCGCACGTGATAATTATCTCGTGCGCACGAGATATTATGTCGTGCGCACGTGATATATGTCGTGCGCCAGTGATAATTATCTCGTGTGCACGAGATATTATGTCGTGCGCACGAGATAAAAAAATAATTTTGGATGTCCCTTTAGGGGCTTCGTAACTTCATAAAACTCCGTAATTCCGTAAAATATATCTCATAAAAACGAACTTGGACAATATATAACTCATAAAAACGAACTTGGCCAAATATATAACTCATAAAAACGAACTTGGCGAAATATATAACTCATAAAAACGAACTTGGCCAAATATATAACTCATAAAAACGAACTTGGCCAAATATATAACTCATAAAAACGAACTTGGCCAAATATATAACTCATAAAAACGAACCTTGCGAAATATATAACTCATAAAAACGAACCTTGCGAAATATATAACTCATAAAAACGAACTTGGCGAAATATATTACTCATAAAAACGAACCTTGCGAAATATATAACTTATAAAAACGAACTTGGCGAAATATATTACTCATAAAAACGATCGAACTTGGCCAAATATATAACTCATAAAAACGAACCTTGCGAAATATATAACTCATAAAAACGAACCTTGCGAAATATATAACTCATAAAAACGAACTTGGCGAAATATATTACTCATAAAAACGAACCTTGCGAAATATATAACTTATAAAAACGAACTTGGCGAAATATATTACTCATAAAAACGATCGAACTTGGCCAAATATATAACTCATAAAAACGAAACTGGCGAAATATATAACTCATAAAAACGAACTTGGCGAAATATATAACTCATAAAAACGAACTTGGCCAAATATATAACTCATAAAAACGAACTTGGCCAAATATATACTTGATGACACTACAGGGCTTTCGTATTAATCAATAATCAAGCCTAAAACTAAAAGAGGATGCTAAATTGGACGCGGTCCAAATGACTATTTGTAGACTGTAGAGGGCGCTATATAATGTTGAATGTTTGTTACAGACAGACGTACGTGGACTAAAACAGTACCACTACCAGTGGGCCTAGATAAACTTGTTCTTGTTTTTGCCGATGTAATGATATTCCAGCTTGCTGTGTGTTTTACCGTGGGTCTGGTTATTTACTGGATAATCAGACGGAATCCTAAACTTCTCAGAAGAATGTTTAAACCAGGAAGCCCGCTGTTTGCTCTTGGGTAAGGTTTGGTGAAGCACGGGAAAATGTATTGACGCATTACGATCATGCCTAGCAGTAGCAGCCTAATTAATCATAATGAAAGAAATGCCATCAAAATTTAGGCGATCGTGAAGTTTGGGCCCGGTTTCTCTGTCTAAGAAAACAAAATCCGCTTTTAATTTGTTTCACGGAAAGATTGTTGCATCTCGACACCATTTTCTTTCATCATATGGGGTGCCTAGCCTAGCTAGGCCCCCCTACCATGCCTACCTACCCCTAGAACTATGGGTATTACTAGGTTATTACTATTAGTATTACTTGTAATACAAGTAATGGCAAGATTACCATATGCGAAGTTCACTAATTTTCCTCTGTATTGACTAACAAGCCCCCAGATAGCAATTTCATGTCATCAAAGTCATTTTGAGCAGTGAGAAAATACAAGCATTTTCTTAGAAAACACTTAGAATTTTTCAGTCCAATCTCATAAGGTTTGTTCACAGAGTGTTGAGTGAACTTCGTATATGGAAATCTTTCCAATTCTTCTTGTGCACAACCCACAAAGTGGCATCTGGATGCTACGTTCTTTCCCTAAGTAACCGGTAGTATGACCATTACCATGGTAAACTACATGCTCGTCAAAAATGGACTTACATGTATATCATGAATTAATTTTCTAAGTGTAACAAGTACTTATGTACATTTGTACTAGCAATTTTATTTAGGCTAGGCCTGCTTTGTCAAAGTGTTTTCTGCTGACCCATTTACAATGACACGGTTCTTGATAATTATACATGTATTAAATATAATATTCTTTCCCCTCATTAGATACCAGTTGTATTCCAAGACTAGCGTTGGTCACCATCTCCATCAGAAGGATTTGCGCAAAGCCAGGCAGCAGTATCCCGATGGCCATTCAGTGGTGGAAGTCACTGAATTAAACGGTGATTACATTCATAACATTTCACTCCTTGAAATGCATTGTTAGGAAATGTTAGATTGTGTACAGTGATTCAATTTTAATAAAGTGATTCCCATGACCCGCCTGTTTTTTTAAACATCTTTATCTTTAGTCCTTAGTAATACTTATCAAATTGTTGACATATTTCTCTATTGTTCCAGGTATTAGAATAAGACCCATTCCATTTCTGCAGGACAACTACGCATATCTTGTGATTGATACACCAACTAACACAGCTGTAGTTATCGACCCTGGAGACCCAGAAGTTGTACAGGTAAGAGTTTCGAATGGATTGCCTGTTCTTACTTTATCTATAATATGAGAGCAGATTTCTTCTGCAAAACAAGAATGCGTCTTGACCTCCAGATTCTTACCATTCAGTGGGCATCTTCTGTCGGGTTATAATAACTCGTATTACAAAAACGTGTCAGCCAAATTGACCAATCAACAGCTTAGTCCACATTTCTGATGGAAATATCACAATTTCTAAAGTCAAGTCCGATTAGCTGACGTACAGGGTAGCATAAAATTGGCATGCTGAGATACAATCAGATGTTGGACATGTTTGACAACAGGTGATGCCCAGACTAGTTCCACTAGCAATAAATACAAGGAAATTTGGGGTTTTTAAAAATTATTTTATCATTTACAGAAATGTGAACAAGAAATTGGCAGCATGCCTTTCTTAAAATAATTAAATGCCCATTAAAAGCATTTTGTTTTTGTGTAGTATTGGGTAGAGGAGGAAGGTGTTTCCTTGACAGCGATATTCACCACACACAAACACTGGTGAGTGGAATAAAATTGATTTAGTTCATTGTCACTTATTTGTCAAATTCTCAGATTATAGACAGACTATTTTACTGCACCCTCTAGATGCACTTATTTCACAGGGTCAAAATACTACTCTGTGATTTTCATAAATGAAGGTCATCATTGCTGGTTGTTCATTCATACTTGTTTACTTTCATCTGTTCTTCAACTAGAGCTGTTGTTTAGATCTTTGAAAAAAACAGTTTCAAAATGCCAGGATGAGCTTGAAGTATGTCAATTCTGTTTTCTGAATTTGTGTCAGGGATCACTCAGGAGGCAACAAGGCACTGAGGAAGCTGTACAAGAAGATAGCGGTGTATGGCAGCTCTACCGATTCCATACCAGGCCTTACTCAGTGAGTGATAATCATTAAGCTATGTCTTGGCCTTCCTAATTGCAGACACTGGCTCAGTTAATAGACATAGTATTAGTACTGTATCTTACTTCCGGAACGTGAGTGCATAGTGGCAGTGCCACTCGAATCAGTAGAACTTACCTTTGCATTTTCACCAGTGGGGGTGCACTATACACAAAGTCCAAAAATCTGTATTCTTTGGATTATCTGCAGCCATGTTGTTGATGGAGACAGCATAGAGATCGGTGGTCTGAGGTTCACGACCCTCTTCACTCCCGGACACACCGTGGGTCACACAGCGTTCTTGCTTCACAGTCCTGGGGGTGATATTCCTGATAGTGTCTTCACGGGAGACCTGCTGTTTCTTGGAGGATGCGGTGAGTATCTGCTCTCTGCTTAAAAAACACAGAGTGTGCTGTTTGGTGTGTTTAGAGCAACTTTGCTTCCCATCAAGGCTGGTTCATACATCACGCGAAAGCAAGTGCAAAGCAAAATTCATGTCGTCATCAATCGTGGACGCGCTTTGAATGCATTGTTGACGTCACTTCGCTTTGCTTTCACTTTCGCGCGAAGTATGAACCGGGCTTAAGTGTGAAAGTGCAAATGTTTCTAGTCAAACGATGGTCGTCAAAACTCAATTACAAAACATTTGGTCCAGGCTTCCTGCTATGCATCACAGTTAGTTGGGCTATTGGTAGCCAGTTATTTGAACAATCTCGGTAAAGTTACACCAATCACAGCGAAGTGAAAAGGTTGATATGGGATAGCATAATATATTTACTATAAATCAATATGTTTATCTGAGCAGTACTGGTAAATTGGGTCCAGATATCGATATAAGATTTTATTATTTATTTTGTATCTCCTTGTTCCCAGGGCGAATGTTTGAGGGTCCTGCATCAACCATGCTGGAAAGTCTGGACAAGATTTGTGGTCTGTCTGAGAGTACAATCATCTGGCCTGGTAGGCTTCCATATTTTATTCCAAAAGTCCACACTTTCATTAAAAAAAATGCAAAAACTTCATGGAGCAACTTCTCCATGTTTTCTTGTGTGTTGATTTTGTAGAAATTTGCCTCCTTGCTGTTTTGATTGACTTCTTCATTGTGTATTGTCTGATGTTTGGCATTTCAGGCCATGAATACGCAAAAGACAACTTGGAGTATGGAAGTTTCTTGGAACCAGAGAATCCCGACGTCTTGGTAAATATGACAACCGAAACTATAAGATTTAAACTTTAACTCTAAAGACTGCTAATAAAAAAAAAACACTTAAAAATACTTATATAGTTCCAGTACCTTTTCCCTTATTGTTGCAGTTCCTCTGGTTTTATTTTTGGTAATTGTTTTTATTATTTCAACAGACAAAGTATGACTGGGTGAAGGAAAGGAGAAAAGAAAGGCTGATAACGGTAAGGGATGAAGAATTGGGATTGTCTTGTAGCTGTAATTATATTAGAATCCTTTTATGTAGTATTATTACTTCCTGCAAATTTGGTCTTCATATTCATCTTAAATCTCGAATATTTACTGCTAGGTGTTGGTCTTTGTTGTAATAAATATCTCTTACTCTTTTACCCCTTTCAGAGTCCGTCCTCCGTATCTGAAGAGAGATCCTACAATCCATTCCTGAGGACATCCTCACCATCCTTGCTTCAAGCTCTAGGAATCGAGGACATGTCGGATGCAAACGTGGCAGCAAACAGGGCCAAAATTCTATCAGAACTACGGGCAAGAAAAGACAAATATTTCTATAAATTGTAATTATATTTCTTCTTCGTTCAGGGAATTACATGTATATAGCACAGCAGATAGGTGATGAGATTGTGCCTTTGATGATACAAGCATGGAATTCGGCACACCTATTTATGTCATGAGAAAGATATTTGGCTTTAGGGCCATCGCTTATTTGTCCGTTGAAAAATTTTGAATACCAAGCAATGGTAGCCATTTTTTTAATTTTGAAATTGCTTGTTATTCTATATATTTTGTTCAAAAGACAAATCTGCGATGGCCCTATAGCCAAATATCTTTCTCATGACATACTCTGACTGTGTGCCAAATGCCATGCTTGTATCATCAAAGGCACAATTCCCCCAAATATTTCCCCTATCTGCCCCATAGTGTTGCTGGTTTGACGTAGCAGACAGGGCAAAAGATAAGCTTGTAGTCGTAAAAGGTGCACACAATTTTCTTCATGAAATATAGAAATTTGAATACATGTTTGAGAACTTTATATCATTTCAATTATTTGACAATAGTTTTATTACAGCAAAGCTTAGACTGAACGTAGTTGTTAAAAATACAACAGAACCATTTTATTTTCTCTAGTTTGATGATAATGGTACTTTTTATGTGATTGTTGAATATGCTTTCATGTAAATTTGACTTTTTGTTATATGTTTGTGATTTTAATATTAAATTCACATTAAATGTGCTAGTGGAACATGTATGATGTATGTAATTGTAATATTACACTTGGTTTATTTTTTGTGAAACCCGTAGATGAATAAAGTATTCTGTAAAAATTATTTTGGTTTGAGTAATCAGTGTTTCTTTTGTACATGATTGTTTTTGTTTGGGTTTGAAGGGTTTGGGGGGGGGGGGGTTAGTACCTGTATAATGTTTTTATTTAGCGCACCTTTTTGGGTGATCACTGCAAGAAATAATGTAATCAAGGGCCTGTTGCAGCATTGCAGGGACTATGATGTATTCTCAATTCCCCGATATAATTTTTATTAACTACATACAGAGGAAGTAAACAATCTTATATGAGACCGCATTCCTTTAAATTAAGAAAAAAAGCTATGAGAGAAACTTGTAAACTTGTATTCACAAAAGCCAACTTCAACAAGTCGCACAAATCCAACTTAAAAATTGAAGTTCAAAAACAGTACTCGTGAAGCAAGTCTAATTCTAATTCTTCTCTTATGGGATGTATTCTAGAATCCACATGGGCAATTAAAATCCATGCTCTTAAGGGTGGCTTCGGCTGGCATGGTGCTGATACGCCCCAACTATCGTATCGGTCCCAACTATACTTGGGACTGTCCCAACTATAGTGCGGCAGTTGGGTCGGCCCAACTATAGTTGGGACTGGAGTTGCGTATCAGAGCGTGTATGGAATGTTTTATAGTCGTACAGCAGCGTAAACTATAATTGGCAAAATAAAATGATTGCCATATGGCCCAACTATAGATGGGTCCCACCAATACCTAATTTCAGTAATGGCCAAGTAAAGTCAGACGTGTATCAGAGCTGTATGGAATGTTTTATAGTTCTACATCAATGTAAACTATAGTTGGGGCCGAAAAATAAAAAGATTGGAGTGGCCAAACTATAGATTGGTCCATTCCTTCCTCAATGATTGGCCCCATCAATAGCTAATTTTAATGGTCCCAAGTCAAGTCTGACATGTATCAGAGCTGTAGGGAATGTTTTATAGTTGTACATCAATGTCAATGTAAACTATAGTTGGGACACCGCAAAATAAAAAGATTGGGGTGGCCCAACTGTGGAACTGCAGTTGGGACCGTCCTAACTATAGTTGGGACGATCCCAACTATAGTTGGGACGATCCCAACTATAGTTGGGACCGATACCATAGTTGGGGTGTACAGGGATTTTACTTACACCCGGGAAGCTTTACCAGCGCGTACGTACGTACGTACGTACGTACGTCCGCAGGTCACCATTCATCATGGCAGAAGGTGGGACCGTTTCAGAAAGTGCAGCTGCGGCGGCTTCTCCGCCTTTGCCTGCAGTTTCAGGGCCGTGGCCAAATGTAAAGGATGTCTACGTCTTGGGAGATGTATTGGGTAACTTTGTAATACAAGTATTTTATCATCGAATGATGTATTCGAGGCATTAATTTAAAAATCTTTTTTTTTTTTTGGAAAGTAATTAACGATTTCCTTCACTTGCAATGTATCATGTGGTCATCATTCATGGTCATTGACATTGGTCTGGCACCCGCTCATGTTGATTTTGATATCACTTCCACAAATATGGGTCTCAGACTAATTGATTACTAAAAATGGACTCAAAAATTTCAGTTCCCGATTTTATTTTTTAAACCTTATTTTTTTTTAAATATTTTTTTACAGGGTATAGGCCTACCACTTATTTTTAAATTTACTTTTGCCGGGGTATGATTTATGAATAATCATATTAAAACATTAGATTAGGCCCCTAGCTAGGGCCTAGGCCTACTATTTAAATTTGTTTTAAATAAATGATTAAGCTAGCCTAGTACTAAAAGTACTATAACTAAATATGACCGGCGTACTTCTGAAATCAGAAGGCTGCTCCGTAAGCTTTCTGATTTCAGAAGTAGGGCCGGCCGGCTGTTATCAATGACTAACGACACCATCGAAAACTGAACTATGTCGACGAATGTGTACTGAGCTGAGACGTCACAAGACACATTGATCGGCTATTCAGCATGAACACTTTATTTGACAGCCAAGGGGGCTAAAAACATGAAAAAGGGCAGACGTGTCACTGTTATTTTATTCCTTGTTATCATTCGGATCCCTGGCAGGGGCCGAAATCTGAGATTTCAGTAGATGGTTAAGGACTTGGCAAGTAACGTTAAATTGGGCATTTTAATATTATTTTGACTTTGCAGGGCATGGTGCCACTGCCTTTGTACAGAAAGCGTACTGCACGCCACGGAAGGAACAGTGTGCTGTCAAAAGAATCAACCTGGAAAAGTGTGACACAACCATGGAAGAACTCACAGTAGGTATATGGTCTGAGCATGGCATGTTGAGGGCGCCATTTATGTACAAAGCAATGGTTTTAATACAGATAATTGGTTTGATTAAGTTAATTGCTAGTGTTGCTCTGGCTATTTTGTTTAGTGGCCAAATATTGAAAAAAGAATTGTGGGAAGTAAAGGAGCGCCTATATTGCCCCTTTTGCCTTTCCACAGTGCTTTGCAGTTGTGCAAAAATCACCCAAGTGATACCATTATACCTTACACATGTATGTACAATGCAGTATTCTGATGACACTTGTTCATCATCAGATATCATCTCAGTTAAGGTCACTCATTGCAAAAATGTTTCAGAGACCTGATTCTGGGACTGACAAACATTTCTAATTTTGCGAGGAAAAACTTCGCACACAGCTGCTGAAGTGCAACTGGATACTACATTCTTTCCCATCAAATATTAAATATGACCACAGTGATTGTCGGACATAACAAATTTCCCCCCAACCTTAGTTAAATGTTCTTTTGACTTTTGCAGAAAGAAATCCAATCCATGGGCCAGTGCAAGCATGAGAACATCGTGAGTTACTACACGTCGTTTGTTGTCAAGGACGAGTTGTGGCTCGTCATGAAACTTCTTGCAGCAGGTAATCTTTGCTCCTTGTTATTTGATAAGAAATTTCCTTCACGGTTGCAGAGTATGGAGATTCATTTGGTAATATTTCTAATCTTGTCACCTCAAAATAAAATGGTTCCTTTTTTTGAGTTCAAAGAAAAGTAGAGAAGGAATGTTGAGCATTATACACACTGTTTTATCTGCTTTGCTTTAATGTCTAGGTTCCGTTTTGGACATCATGAAACACATCAAGAAGAGCTCCCCCGACAAGGTTTGTCGCTTGGACGAGGTCACGATTGCAACGATTCTGAGAGAAACGTTGAAAGGTCTTGAATATCTTCATGAAAACGGGCAAATTCACAGGTGAAGATGGCTTATATTTTCATGTTTTTTTTTTTTTTTTGCTGCTGTGGAGTTATTTTTAATAAAGTTATTGATTTTTATTAAAGCTTAAAGGCACATTATGCCTTTCAGGGATTCCTTTACCTAATCCTTCAAATTTCGATAGACAATTTCTCAATTCCAAAAGAATCCTAAAAAAAGTGCTGAATTCAACAGTAAGAACAAAAGGTGATTTGTCCAATGATTGGATTAATTAGATGCAGGAGAATTTGTTTTATTTTTTTTTATTTTTTTTGAGACAGGGATGTGAAAGCAGGTAACATTCTTCTCAGTGACACGGGTGTCGTCCAACTTGCTGATTTTGGCGTCAGTTCCTGGATAGCTACCGGAGGTGATATGTCCAGAGATAAAGTCCGTAACACATTTGTTGGCACGCCTTGCTGGATGGCACCTGAAGTCATGGAGCAGGTAGGCAGATTCCTAATAAAAGAAAAGAAAAAGAAAGAATACACATGTAGTTGCACATCATAGCATAATGCTGTACAAAATTATAAGGGTGCTAAGTCCTCATTTTTTTTGTATAGGACAGTTAGGATGCTCTTGTACACATCCTGGGCGCAGACTGTCAATAGTAGAACATATTGAAACTGAAAGATGAAATGGAATGCCACCTGTGTGTTGTTATCATAGAATCCATACTCATTGATTGGGATTTCAGGTGCGTGGCTACAAGTTCAATGCTGACATCTGGAGTTTTGGCATCACGGCTATTGAGCTGGCGACTGGTACCCCACCATATGCTAAGTACCCACCAATGAAGGTGAGACCAGTGAAAGGAAATTTGGCCCTGAAAGTAAAGATTCTTTGGAGATGGTGTTGGGGGGGGGGGGGGGGCCAAGTGGTCTGGAGGATTTTACAGATGTTCACTATCCTAGAAGATGAATTTGTTATCCTGCTTGAAATGGCTTATATTGCACATGACTTTGGAAAAAGTGATTTGCAGTTTGTGGTTGCAATGGTTCATTCTCTTGGTCTGATTTGATTGGTCGATCATTCTTATGGTCTGATTTGATTGGTCGATAGGTTTTGATGATGACCCTTCAGAATGACCCACCTTCCTTGGAAACGGCGATGACCAACAAAGACGATGTCAAAAAATACAGCAAAGAGTTCCGCAGAATGATCTCCAAATGTCTGCAGAAAGATCCCGATAAAAGGTTGGTTGTTTTGCCTTACTGATGGAAGTTTAGAACCAACATGTAAAATGTTGAAATAAACTGCACTTTGCATTTGAAGTTTCATTGTTACAATATAATGCTGCCACAATGTACATTACTTCTTGAAAGCGCACAAGCGAAATGGTTGAATTATTTCTTTTTCTTTCATTTCTTAGGCCATCTGCAACAGAGCTTCTGAAGAGTCAATTCTTCAAGAAGGCAAGAGAAAGTGCGTATCTCTGTGAGAAGTTGCTAGGAGGCGCTCCTACGTTGGATGATCGTGGCGAAAAGGTTTGTTAGCTGACAGTTGTTTTAGGTTGAAGTTGATTGAATTTTGTAATTGTGTTTTCACAGGAAAACTGCTGTGATCAACTGCTGATCAAGAAATGAATACACTGAGACATGCATGGATTTTACCCTGTCTCTATGATGCCAATAGCGAGCGCTACGTATTATAGCTTTAGTATATGGCTTTTCATATTTTTTTTTTTGTCAGGTGACACGAGTGCCAGGATCCAGCGGTCGCCTGCATCGCACCACAGACGGATGGGAATGGTCAGATGATGAAATGGATGAGAACAGTGAAGAAGGACGCCGAGCGAGTGTTGGACGATCGCCTCGTATCGCCTTGGATGTGAAGGCGCAGCTTGATAAACAAAGGGCAGAGCTCTCCAAGGTAACATTCAGATCAAACTTGAAATATCATGAAGGCAAACGCTGGCAGATTTCAAAAAGTTTCAAGGGTTGCTACTGTTACTGCTATCTTGACTAAGGCCATTGGTTGCAAATGTCCTGTCAAGTACTCCTAAAACGGAGACAATGGAGTTAGAAATGTCAACAGAGGGCTGGGAAGCTCAGTTGATAGAGCATTTAGTAAGTCATTCCAGGATGTAGGTTCGAATCCATGTTGAGTCAACTTTCTTTGTATAACAGATAGTTGAGATCAAGGGAATCCATTCAATTTCCCAATGTGATTTGAGTGACTGCGTATGAAGAGGAACAATGAAATTGCATCAGACATGCTTGGGATTTTTTTGTTAGTTCATCCTGGTAGTTGTCTTGAGATTTCATCTGTAATTCCTGCTTTTAGCATGGGAAAGAGAAGTCCACCGCAGAGCCAGCGGTTGTTAAAGCCAAGGATGTATCGCACCCAGTACCAGCAGTAGCAGCAGCAGCAGCAGCAGCAGCAGCAGCAGCAGCAGCAGCAGCAACAACAGCAGAAGGTGGTGCTGAACCAGGGCCAACACTGCACATGGTCCTCAGGTTAAGGTACTGATAGACTGAAACATTTCCTCATAATTAGTCCGTTATTTGGAAGGCATCTAATGATTGCTGTAGATGCTTTTCATTGCCGCCATCTTGGAGGGGCATACTTTTGTTCCTCATGGAAAAGGCACGAGTACATCTTGTCTGCATTCATTGTTACTGAATTAAAATTGAAGAAAGCCCTTAGATGACAGGATTCAAAGGGCCTACTCATTTAGGAGGTTTTCTTTTACTATCATTGTATATTTTTTTTATTCTCCAGTTTTCATCAGTTGCTCTGTATGTTAAACAAAAATGCATTTTTACTAATTGTTGTCATTTGTATGATGTAGAGTTCTTGTTAAACAATTTCTCAAAGCTCCTTGTTTGTGTTTTTTTTTCAGGAATGCAGAGCAAGAGTTGAATGATATCCGCTTTGATTACACCATCAACAAAGATAACGCTGATAATCTAGCACATGAGCTGGTCACTGCTGGTCTAGTAGATCTCAAAGATCTAGTCGTAGGTAATGTGAACTGAGTATCAACCATATACCATTTAGTTTTATGATGGCTTCATATTTCAATTAGCATTTTAAAAATTACGAAGTAACTCATTGGTAACCAGATCTTGTGCTTTGTTCTTTTCTCTTACAGTTGCAGCCAATCTTCAGAAGACAGTAGATAACCCTGAAAATAAAAATGTCCTGTTCAAATTGGTAAGTTCATCCTCCATTTTGTTTCCTTATTAATGCCAGTTGGCCTTTGCTGTCTTTATCAGTTCGTTATACTGAGCAGTGCCCTCTTTTGGATGAATTTTGTGTTTTTTTAAAGTTATTCTTATATGGTGCACTCGGTTGCAGAGTGGTCGCTCACAAATGGAAACTTTTATTTAATTTGTTAATGTTTACAACATTGCTGCCTGCAGAACTACCAGACTATAGTGTATTAAGGACAAAACAGCATAATTGCAATCTAGTGCAAAACTCTCATGGTGATATCAAAAACTGACTTTCTTTGTTATGCAGAATTCTGGGGCGAGTCCTGGAGATGAGGAGCATCTGATAGGTTTTGCCAAGTTGACCATCAGCTAGGAGCAACGAGTAGTCTCCTCTGTGTGTGATGGCATCGTGTTTCAATTCTTACTTGGGCAGCCAAACCACTGACAATACAGTTTGTAGTTGAGCATTTTTTTTATGTTACGATGATCATAAGGGGATTTATTGACAATCCAGGGTTGGTCGTTTTTTGTTTCTTATTGTTTGCCTTTTTTTGGTTCAAACTTGGGCATTGGACAATTTGAAGGGGAACTATAATCAATCCTCAGCCTTTTTTATTAAGATATCGTCACTATCAAATAATGATGGTTATTGTTGTAAAGATGGAATCGTGCCAACCCAAGCATTGAACTCTATACATGTACATCAACTTGCCGACAGTCATGTGATATTAAGACACCACCTGTAATCTTGTACATAGAACTTAATGAAAGTAATTGATTGTAAAGCATATATCATTGTATTCATTACGAAAACAAGGCAATCATGATCCCAGAGTGCACAGTTCTGTTTGAATGATTTAGAACGGCTACGCACTGAAAGTCTTTATGCATCTTGTCTACACAATGGCTGGATTTAGCCCATTCATTGGTGTTACGTGGTAATCCTTTATGTCAGTCAAACGTTGTTGCTCTGTATAGGAGGTCATTTTGGGTGGTGAGCAGTGTTCCAAGTTCCTTAGGCTACTAGCCTACTTGTATCGCTCTAAATTGGCAGGAAAATATTGGAAACAATAGAGCCTTTTGGGAACATAGATAAAAGTAACAGTTGTTCTTATTGGGAAAATATGCTTGTATTTGATGCGCTTCCTATATAGCAAAATGATATGCAGCTCACCATGTTTAATCAGTTGGTATTGAAGGATTGCTGTAAACTCACCAGTCGTTTGTGGATGAAGGAAAGTATTGAACTGTGTGATATGATTGTACATGTTGCTGAAAGTCACTGTTGAAAGCTTACTGGATGTTTCTTGCAAGGGCAAAATGTCTGGTAGAAATAATTCAATTTAACCAGATTCTAATGAATAAGTCCGATTTGGCTAATATTGCACTCGGTTTGATTTCGTTTTCCTTCTTTCAGAAACATTCTCCAGCAAAATAGTACACTCGTGTCGAGATCGTTAAAACTCAAGACAAGTATGCAAAGTTCGAACTAAAAAATGTCAGAAATGATTTGTTGAGCTTAGGAAGGTTGTCATTTTAATGTGAATAATAACTGTTCTCTGTCTGATGGGTATTGGTCATTATGGTGCTTTGCAGAAAATTGTACTTTTCAACATGTTTTTGTTTTGGTTCCAAGTTTACTATTCTTGTAGCCATTTGTTATGGGACTACTTGAAAACGGTTGGGATTCTCAAACTAAACAATTTTGAATTTTCCTTTCTTTCTGGTGTTTTTTTTATTAGGTCGGTATGCTTAGGTCAGTATTTAGTTGACAATAGAACGATCAAATCTTTGCATTTGATAATGTGGCAAAAGCAGTATTCCCTTCTTTCTCAATATCACAAATAATGTGCTAAACGTTGCCACTTTAAGCTGATCTTATGAATATTCAGTGTTTGCACTGCGTAGTAATCTCTAACGAATTGGAAACTATTAGAATTGGTGTATTGTAACTACTGTTGTTTATAGCTGAAAAAATGAAATATTGATTTATAGACATGTTTATGCATTTTTACTTTTAATATCAACGAGGATCGAATCTGTTTTGTTTCTAGGCAATGCGTTTTTGAAAGTATGTTTAGAAAAATAAATATTTGTCAAATTTATTTTAGAGTAATACTTATTTTGAAATGCCGTTTATTTAATAATATCTTATGAAGGAGATTTAATTGAAGGAGCATACTTTGTATTTTGCAACCTATTGTCGAGAAGAAATGTCGAAACGCATCTGATATGACACCCTTTTTTTTAATTGTGCGATATACCGCTGGGGTCTTTTTCAATGGAAGTATTAAATTTTGATTATGAAGCCATTTTGTTGGAATTTTGCTCTGGAAACTGTTGAAAAGTTAATATGTTCTCAGGGATGACCACTCATTCAAAGTTACTGTCAAAAAGTCGGGCTTCTTTTCTCGAGTAAGAATCGGACATTTTATTTGCAACAAGATGCATGAAAAACTTTTTAAAAAGGTTAAACGAGTGCCAGATTTGGAGCAAGAAATCAAGTTTTGTTGCCAGGTACAAGATGAGAAATTAAAAGTCATCTGAAGATTTAAAATGATAAAACAATGTAGCACCCATGTGTTGATTAAAGCGGTGTTTCTGTTATGTGAAAATGATTGTATTTGAACACAAAAAACTATCTGTCATTTAGCGTTTGTTGCGGGTTAGTTTGCTGCGTTTTCCAAATGTCGGCTCATTTTTGCGGCATCCGCTTCGTCTTATAGACTAAAGAATAATTTGGGAGGCCATAATACTCGAATAAAAAAATCCGTTAAACTGAATTGAAGTTAGAGACACCACCGGTTTTGTTTTACCCCACACTGCAAAAACTGCAGTGTTAAATTTACACTGTTGGTATCTATATAGGACCATATGGAGTTATATTTTACTGGCGTTGTCCTATATAGATACCGAATGGTGTTAAATTAACACTACACTGTTTGCAGTGCGTGTTTTCAAACCAATCCGTGTGGCTGTCCTTAATTCGATATCACTGGCTTTTTCACTGCAGTACAATACCTTGTGATTCTGATTCGGACCTCCATTGACCTTAGTTGACCTTTGACCTTAACGAAGTTTAGACTTCACGTGGTCAATAATTTTGATCTCGTTGCTTTTGTCGAGAAGAAAGAAATGACCACCGGGAAGAAACTGGGTGTTGAATTCTGCTGACGTCATCTCTCGCCAAACTATGTACAGGCAAAATAAATATCAAAAAAAAAAATGTTATACGCAGCATTTTGTGGGTTACATGTTAACACGATTTAAATGCGGGGTTAAGTACAAGAATCGGGTACATTCCAACCTTCAATGTCGTGCTTTTTATCTTGTAATCCATCGAAGAATGTGACTGGACAATCCAGCATAGGGCCATGCCCCTCAAATCTGATTGGTGGAAACAAGCAAGAACAACATCGATTTTAACAATTTATGAAGTGGTGTATGTAATTAAACATAATTATACACGTGTATAACATCCGTGGAGGAAAAATAAAATCTCAACGAATCAGAAGTCGTATCTCATCGGAAATCATTTTTTATTGGACAAATCAGAACTTTTGTTTCAGATAGTGCTGTGCACTCACCTATATTGTCCAACCAATCGGAAGTCCTGTTTCAAACTTGGTAGGAAGATATTCAGAAGAGCCTCGTTTTCGAGAAGCTCCTTGGGTGTGCCGCCATTTTGTTTCAGACTGGCTACAAATTCTTCATCAGTGGCATCCGCCAGCTTGACAAATTGGGCACGGTCGCGTTTTCTTTGGTCACCCTGATTATAACGGTCAACATTAATGTTGGTAACATTTCATTGTCATAAAAAAAGAGTTCTTGCATTAAGTGCAGTCAATGTGGTCAGGTTTTTAGAATGCGCATTAGTAGAATTTTTTTTACTGTCGTCACTTGATTTAAATAACTGGCCACAATGGGGGCGATCTGTGCAAGGGGTCTATATGAAATGATAGTCTACTGATTTTGTGCCTACGTGTATGAAAGCCCTCCAGCTAGCTTTATGGTAGATGAGTCGTAGTGTACCATACATGTACATGCATTTCACATCATTCTTCTACTACTTTTGAAACAAGTTGATCTGATTTTAACGCAAGTCTAACATCGAATTCTTTTGTGTCTACCAATTTAATGATGTAACAACTTACGTGTGGTGCAAATGTCCCGGAGAGAAACATGTGTTTTGGTCGCAATGCATGATTTTCTCTGAGATTACGAGCGATCTCAAATGCGAGCAGAGCTCCAAAACTGCAAGGAATAAAAAGGAAATTCAATGTTTTTTGGATCACTTAGCTTACTAATATAGTAACTAAAAAACCTGATTAATGAATCAGTGAAATCTATGATGTGCCAAAGGTGGAGCCTATAGACTTAATCACTACTTGTATTTTCTTTCCTTCCACATTCCATTCAAAATGAAACTTAACATCTGCTGTTTGATTTTTTTTATTTCTGGAATTTTTGAAGTATTTTTCAATTCCGAATAATTGTCGATTCTTTGTTTTAAGATATATTTGTTTTTGTTTGTTTTTCCTTTTTTTCAACTCATTTTCTCTCCCATTATAAAATTTATTTTGTAACTGCCCACATGATATAGGCAGTCGAAAGCAGACATTTGTATTTACAATTATTAATTTAAATTGACATTTGCGCACCTGTGCCCGAACAATCCAAACGGCATCTCTTTCATCTTCGGAAGTAAAGTATCAACGACGTCATTGATCATGGTTGACCAATCAGGATAAGGTCTGTCACTCATGCGCAGTTCGCGGCAGGGCATGCGTACGACACAAACTGGAATGTACATTAGAATTTGCGTTAAACTTTCTCTGTATTAAAATGTTGCCCCCAAAACAAACTTTTCTGGAAATCGATCCCAAATACATGAAGTTTCCAAACCAAGATTCGATATTGTTAATTTGATTATTTGGAAGAATAAAGGGAAACTATAACGATTGGTCAAAGTTAAAACAATATTAATTACGCCCTCAAAATGGAAAGAGTACATATTGAGAGCCGGTAGCCTTCTATGTATTCATCTATATACTAGATCAAAATCTATTTTCAACATGTTTTTTTTAACACATATCTTATAACATCAAATTGCATTATTTTAATAAAAGAAATAACTCACTAAATGTTGCCCAAAATGATTACGCTTAGGTTTACTGAAAAGTGAAAGTATTTAGTCTTTAATTCCTGATTAAGTGAGAAGAATTCTTGCTCGATATCGTACCTTCCAATGTGGGCGGTAACTGAGTACCCCATTTAGCGAAATACCCAGTGCCACCTCCTGCCCAGGGGAAGCAAAACAACCGGTAGCGAGCCGCAGGGCGGATCGGCCTCGTAACCAACATCTTGTCGATGGGTCTAAGAAGCGACATCTTGTATTGTCGGGAATTAAGGAAAAATCTGGTAAAACTGGTGGAAGTATCCAGTGACGACGATGAACAGCCGCCAAAATGTAGCTGACTTGGGTGGGTTGCGATCCAAAATGGCAAAACAAAATGAAGACTTTACTAAAGACCAATATATATCTGAATGTTATCTAGTAGCGGTCAAGATGCGGGTATGTGGTTCAATGCTGCCCATTCCCGAGATATTTGATCAAGTTGATTTGAGAGCGACTATTATCACCAAGGGTCAAAGGTCAAGCGATAAGTATATAATATACACCTAGCAAATAATTTACTCTAATGTTAGTGCAAGCATAGGCCTATTCTATAAAGGTGCACTACACAAATATAAAATTTACAATCGTATGTAAATAAATAAACACCAAATATAACACCATTCCTAAAATTATTCTTTTTACTTTTGTACCTTCCCTTTTCATTAATCTGAAAACTAACGTTGAAATATTATTATAATACAAATGGGCATTTATTAAACTGATTTGTTAAAGTGCGAAGTGGTACATTTGCTAACATGTTTTTATCTTAATTGAGTGTCGTGGCCTCGTTGTTTGCATGGAGCTTTGAATTTCTGGTCTGCAGGTAATTCTACGTGTTAATGTTATGGGTTCGGGTCCAGCCTGGGGCTATGGTGAGTGTGCCCTTGGGCAAGGCACTTTGTCACTCATTACTTCTCCCCACCCAGGAGTAGATGGGTGCCTGTGAGGGCAGAGATGGTAAGTGTGGTTGATTTTAGCTGCTTTGCTCTGAAATAATAGCATCAAATTGGACTGGCATCCTTATTTAAACAACTTTCCCGGGTGAGATTTGAGCAAGGTAAAAATAGGTAGAAATGGGTGGAAGAATAGATGCGCCAGACCGTGTGCTTTAAAATGTTCTGAGTTAGTCGTTGAAATTTCTTGGCTCAATATTCAGTCGAAGGTCGTGTAGCGGTTTGACAACAACATTCACACAGGGAACCGGCTCTGGTTCTCCCTCCACCAAACTCAGACAAAATCGTCTGAGGACCCTAGCCACAACCACCTTGACTTGATTCTGAGCAAACTGCTGTCCAATGCAATTCCTGGGCCCGGCAGAGAAGGGTAGGAACGAGAAAGGATCCATCTTGGAAAACTTGTCTGACTGGAATCGAGAGGGCTTGAAGTCCATGTGATCACGCCCCCACACGGTCGGGTTGTGATGGAGTTGGTACAAGTTAATAACTACCGTGGTTCCAATTGGTAAAGTGACGCCGTCTACATCGTATGGAGCAGTGAGTGTGCGAGACGGTAACAAGACCGGAGTGTACATCCTGATGACTTCCTTGATGACAAGGGACGTGTACTCCAGACTGTTCAGATCCTTGCTGTGAATGTGATTGGAGAACAAAATGGATGCATGCATGGATCATTTTGCTACCTTAAACTCATGAACACAAGGCTGCACGTAATGTTTGTATGATCGTGGTCAGTTAAATTCCCAACAATAATTGTACATCAAAATACATATCCACAGAAGTGTCTTGGATTGTATAACTAGGAAATCCTCTAAGGCCACGCATGCTCAGTTGTACGAAATTAACAGTCATAAACATAGGGGTACCAGAACAGTGCTTTCGCAAAATGTCAAGTTTGAAAGGTACTGGGACTCCGTGTAATGATTGTTTACGCACCATGGACACATAAAAAATAATAATCAGTCTCACCTGGTGATCCGCTCCGAGTCTCTGTTGCCTAGCACCGCATCCACCTCCTCCCTGACTTTGCTCTGGTGCTCGGGGTACTTGGCTAACGCGTACAGCACCCAAGTCAGGGTGCTAGACGTGGTGTCGTGTCCTCCAAAGAGGAAGGTGTTGACTTCGTCAATGATCTCTTGATCTGTCAAGCCGCTCCCGTCGGCATCGCGAGCCAAGAGGATGGTGTCCAGGAAATCACGAGAAGTCAGAGGATGACCACTCTCAACCTAAACAAATAATAAAGGAATCGGTGGATGATTGAGGATTTCTCAATAAGTGGCTGAGACGATTTGCAACAATATTTGGTTTAAAGATATTCCAGCCACTCCAAAAACCTGTTTTGAGGAAGAGACGGCAATGTCTCTTGATCAGCTGAAAGCAGTGTACAACTACGTGATAATTCACGTCGACATTACAAGAAAATATACTTGCGATTTGAGACTATGCTCGGATGGTGCAACTCGATATCGGGGGGTGCTTGCGGCCAGTCGTTCATGACCAACTTTAAAAGAAAAGTGTGTTTTCAAAAACGAAGGGGGGTGTGGCCTAGTACGTGGTTAGGGTTCGTGTCTTATGATCAGAGGGTCAAGGGTTCGAATCTAGCTGCTAGTCATATGTTGTGTCCTTGGGCAAGCCACTTCACCCCACTTGCGTCTTTCCACCCAGGAGTATAAATACGTACTGGCATTAGCTGGGGAGTAACCTGCGATGGACTGGCATCCCATCCAGTGGGAGTAGAAATATTCTCAGTTGTTTCATGCCAAGGAAACTGGAGATAAACGCTGGCCAAATTGGCTCGTGACAGACTAAAAACTTGTTTCTTTGAAAACGAAAGGTTTGGAAGTAGTCTGCGTACCATTTTGTTGAGGTCCTTTCTCCTCTGCTTAATCAAACCGTTAGTCACGGCCTGTATGTATCTGTTAGCTCTCTGCCATTCAGGATACAAGGAGCTGAAGCGGAAGACCAACGGGATTAAGAGGAGAGGGTTCCCAGTGGTACGTGATTGGACAATCCTCGCTAGAGTTGAATTAGCGGTAAGTAGGTTCATCTCCCCTTCTGCCGACTGATCTTTGAGCTGAATAAGAAGAAAAACAGAAAACTCACGCGTAGGTTTCGAGGTGGTGCGGTGGATTATGGCCAAAATGTTATGACAAGAATCGGCTTTTTAATTTTCAAAAATGCTTGGTCTTCAATTTCCCAAGATATTCCGCTCATTTTATTTAACACAAAAGAGTAAAGACCTATCATTCGACTTTCTTTCATAAAATGTTATTTACAAACAAACCAAAAATCCGAAATCGAGTTTACTAAAAACAAAAGATTGATAGATTTAACCACTATTTTTTTCACGCTCCAAATCATTACAGTTAGGCCTAATTATCAACACATAAGAGATTCAGATAATTAAAGAAAGAATTAGGCTTTAGACAAAGGATGTAATTCCCAAGAGAACAAAATATATAAATAGATGCATTTGTTTACCTGACAATTTGATTGATGGGAGCAAGCTGTGCGGAGAATGATATCAAAGGTGCACAAGCCGAGCTGGTGCTCAACGTTCATGGGTTTCCTTTCTGCTGCTAGACGATCCATCTTCTGAAGAAGCACCTCAACACAGTCGTTGTAGACTGGGAAGTAGGTCCGGAGGACATCAAAGTAGAATGAACCGTTCAGGAGCCGCCGATGTCTCTTCCATTTGATGCCATTGGAGATGGCAAGCCCTTCTCCTAACCAGTCCGCAAACAGACTGTATATCTTAGACTTGACTGAACCTGTTGAACTTGTCAGTAAGGGCCTGATGGTTTCTGGATGCACGAGGGTCGGTACGAACATGGGTCCAAGCCTTGTGGTGTAGATTCGTGGGAAGACTTCCACCGTGTCTAATAGCCATTTGAAGCCGGGACCTAGCGGGTCTTGTTTCTGGTGTCCCAGAAACCAATGAGCCCCAGGTGGACTCGGTAAAGTTTGGAGAACTCTGATTGATCGAACGGTTTCAAATACAAACATTGACACCTTAAAGAAACAGAGAGTCGCAATGACGAGACACAGGAATGTGGTCCACAACATATTTGGTGTACAAGCTTGGAATTTGAGCTTAACGACAAATTTGTGTCAGAGAAACTAATAAGCACGATGAACACTCGCGACACAGCTATATGCAGCTATGTAGTTACATAACTTTCGAGCTGTAGTACATATTAACGATAACAATATGTACATGTATTGTACATATTGTTATCGCATAGAGATCTTCTCTGCCCCACACAGCTAGCTGGATAAATACAATTTGAATGACAATGCTGTTATACGGCACGTGATTTGCTCTCATTATAAGTACACTGTGCATAAAAGTGTCACAACCTCGGCCCAGCTTATAGGCTTCACAATAATGTTGATAAGTAGCGGAACCTACGCGTATACATAATTAAAAGGACCACAGATCGAGCCGGATAGCTCGATATAGGGATTGCAACCGTGCAACAGTAGCCCGGTGGATCGAGTCTGAAAGGAATCCGAGCTTTGGCACAATATCCTGTTGTAATTCCATGTAATAATTTGTTAATGGTATGAATGTGCAATAAGTGTTTTTTATGCTCTCTGTTAGTTTTTATTCATACTGTATGTTTTGTGTAAAGGTTTTTTTGGTAAAGTCTTGTCTATTTTTGTAATTTTATTTTCTTTGTTTCATTCTGTTTCCATATAATTTTAATGTGAGGGCTCCTTTGGAAAGCAGGGTTTTTTTAAAACTGAAATGGACTACCCTCGTTAAAGATTACAATAAATAAAAATATTTTTTTCTTTTTTTAAAGCTCCAGTTCATAGTTATTATGTATTCAAATCAAAATGATTTGCCAATTGTGCAGCCATTTTCTTTGCCGTTTACATAATTAATTTAACTTAGTTTATGAAGTTTTCATATCGAACAAATGCATAAAAAGAAGCAACAGGACTAATTAAACTTATATTCAATAATTAATTAAGAACGTGTTGATCAATCTGGATGGGAAAATGAACATTATTCCAACACTATAGGCGGGCCGTGGCATGCACCGAATGGACGGGCATGAATCTTTCTTGTCAACAGAGGGCGGGCCTCTTGAACCATTTCTATTCGTCAGTTTAAAGGATATTTTGAACCCCTGCTCCCCCTACTTTAAAGTACTCCTTGCCCTAGGTTGACCCTATAGCTTGCCAATTTCAGTTGAGGTCCCAACTTCTATGTTCGGATTTCCATCAAATTATTTCCCGCCAGTTCAAGCAAACAGGATCAGAGTTAAGTGAAACAGGATGTATGTACTTACTATCCACTGCGCGTATTGCGCCCGAGACGAACGCTGATTGGTTAAACAATTGTCCTTATTAACATAATATGAATGACAGTCGAGCCAGCTGGCGCGACCATGAGCTGAACGCAGTTGATACAGAATTTTTTAACAATGTTCTTGAGAAAGTGTACTTACGAACATGTGAGAGACGGCCTGTGGTGCAGTACGTGGCTCCAACGTCCGTCAAAATGGAGTCTAGATGTAAAGAATCGTTTCGGATACTAACTGTGATTTTTCAGCATGTACTTGAAGTTTCAAGTTTGAAGGACTCTCAATGAACTATGCAGCGATGGTGACCGTGAGAATGGTATGCCCTCAGCTTTGATGGACCTGCCAGGGACGAAGTGGAGGAAGAGACAGATGTGGGATTTCTTTTCCTCCTTTTTCCCAACTTCGAATTCGCAAAGTCTTCGACGCGTTCTGCAAAATCAGGTACAGTAAGAACAATATTAATTTGGAGTCAGTTTATTTAATTATGAATCGTTCACCGATTCAGACATCTCGGTCGGTTAGACAGTACAGTATCGCAGCAATATTGCTTCAGACAATAATACGTTTGAATTTTTTTTTATCATATAAAGTATACGTTACTAATACATAAATGAATAGTGATTTATTTGATGTTTGCGTTCTTTTTGTTAAATCTTGTGATAAAAATCCCAATTCATTTATGATGCAGTACACTTAAGGTTAGAAATATTTTTGTCTTCTTCCAGATGAAGAAGTTAGTGTTCTCATTTCTGTAGATAAATGACTCCAAACAATCACCATTCCAGCATTCCATTCCTATAACGCAACAGGACCAGACATATGAAATGTATATTTTGATATCAATAACCATGTAGACGTTGGAGTCATTCTGTGGTCGGGAGTGGTATCAAGGCATATAGTGGGATCGATGTTGCTTGTTTGACCGTATGCGACCTCATCCCACGCGGATCGTTCGGCCAGCTGTGCATGTCTCAGGGGACCCGCATGCTAGATGCAGTCAGCTAGAAATGATGTCCTCTTGATGGAAAATAGGGGCTTAAAGCTAGATATGTAGGCTACACAGGCAACTAAATAAATATAATAATAATAAAATTATAAATCGAAAAAGTAAAACGCTGACTTACATATTGTGTACTATGCGAGTGCTCTAACCCAATTAGTAGGTGGAGTGAATTATTAGTTTCACTACTACTGAATTCATTAAGAGCCATCTCCGTTGATCGATTTGATATTATTAAGTTTTTTTCTGGGGATTTCGGGTTTAATACGTTTTCCAGATTATTTTTTATATTTGGTGTAAACATAATACAGCTATTGTCGAATCACATTCTTATTCGTCAGTGGTCTACGAATTTCCATCTTGAAATGTTATCAGACAAATTTGATAACCAGTGACCCGACACTTCCCAAACTATGCTTTCCTATTATTCCTAAGGTTATGAAACATGTCCATGTTTTCCCCTGCGTATGCTGGTTTCTTGATCACGGTAGCATATGCCGATATGGATATCATATGGCCTTGAAATGAACTCTCGATCCCCGGACGATCTCTGAATTCGACTTCATTCATATCGTCTGATTGACTGTCTGGTTTCTTTTGTGCAACAATACCCAAGAAAAGCATGAGATAAGAGAACAAGACAACTATATTAATATGAAAAAGGCATGCATACTGAGAACCCGCTTTAAGAAGTCTCATCCAAGTGATGTATCATTCAGAATGAAATTAAATTATCTTTCACTCACGTTTCCATGGATAAATATCAATTTCTATAATCCTTACGATGTCGTACGCATCTACTATTCAAACCAAATATCTTAATTGTTTTAAATAATACACAATCGGTCTTCCAGTAAAACACAGGAACGTGTGTGCACATTCGGCTGAAATTATGCCACGTCTTGATCTGGAGTTTACAACTCACAAATACAATGGCAGAAATATTATTTCTTTACAAACATTCTAGTTAGATAATATATTAGTTTTTCAAATCCTTCGTCAAATTTACTCGTTTTCATGTCGTGTGTATTTGCTCCAGCAATCGCAGCTGTTGCTCATGTATATTGATTACAAACTGCGAATCCCCAACAAACAATTATTCACTTTCATATTTCGGTAAATATGAGTTTATTTCTAATTCAAACACATGGGAACTTTCAAATTAACTTTTGTTTTGGCAAACATTAAAATATCTTGTTTGCGCATGCAACTGCCAAATTGTTACATTATTTTAGAGTAATTTAATTTTGCTTCTATACAATCATTGATTCTTGTATGCGACGGTGTTGTTGCATAGAAAATTAACCCAGCATTACAGAATAAAAATCGATAATTTTTGTTCAGCTCGCGTGGGCACGTTGCAACCTTTACTTCATTAAAATATCGACACAAACAAAGCAGCTGTCGCAGTGAACGCGAATGTTTAAGTTAAGTTCATATGGCCACGTCACCAGAAAGGTATCTGATGCATCAAAATATATGTGATTTCATTTGCAGGAATGAGGACCAGGCGTGACATGGTTCCTGCAGACCTTTGGATGGGGACAACGAGTTCCTGTAGCTTGCGGAAGCGTCTAAGGAGGACGTGACACCAGTTTAATGTGTTCCTGATCTTGAGATATCCATTAACAATCCCTTTGTGGTTTCACTCAGGATGCAAGAGCAGATAGGTTCATCTGAGGTTGGTCGGTTGGTCGTCATTCCGCTCCGGTGTTTTACAGACTTTTTGTAAGGATGTAGTTTCCGAGCGACAGGTAAATAAAGTTTTTGCCTTTGGACGTGCTATTTCCTCACTCGATAAACAAAACTGATCAATTTCAGAAGGTGAAAGCAGGAAAAGAAATTGTCAGATCACTTCCAGTCCTACAAGTTTAAAATCGAAAGTTATTTTGATACATCAATAGACTGAGATCCTGTGTGCATTTTGACTACGTTGTTCCAAGATGGCGCCTTCTAAGAAGATTATTCAGGTTATCTTCTTGACATCAATGATGTGGTTTTCCGTAGACATCATGCTTCTTATAACCTACACCACTTCACCTGACAGCAATTTTAGTCTCAAGCTCCCGTTTGGCAGCGACCAGAAGAGAGACATTGAGAGAGAAAAGGACAATGGAAGGTTTGAAATTGAAAAATTGAAACATGACCAAGTCGAGATAGGACCGCAACTACCCAGAGAAAACCCACGTGTCGGACTCGTAGATCGACAACGGTCGGGCCTGGTCAAGAAAGGAAAAGATGGCGTTGTGAATTTTCAACAGCAACACAACGTCGTTGCCATGGCAAATGACAATCCAACACATGCAGAGGAGGAATTCGACGTAAGGAGTAGACAAAAAGACCTGGAGAGTGTCAATCAAAATGACAGACAGAATGTCGCACCAAACGGACACAATTTAGATCACAACGAAAGACAGCCGATCGACGACCACCGCAAGGAAGGTGTCGATCAAATTCGAAGACACAATGTCGATCAAGGTGTCGATCATCATGAGAAGGACGGAGAAACAGACAACCAGGCTTCGGAATCGATCTCTGAGTATCTTGAAAGTACGTCCGGATCGATTGAGAAGAAGACACCACCACACTCTGCAACAAAGGTAGTTAAGTTTCAGATTGCTTCAAATGTTTCACTTTTAACCCTTTAAGCTTCTCGTTCAGAAAATTTTTTGTTCTAAATTTATCTCAGGCTGTAACCATTTTACAGGATGTTCTTGCGCATGTTATTCACAAAAGAGGCACATGTTGGGTTATTTTTTTTTCTCAACGGAAACTAGACTTAGACTCCCACGAGAACGCGAGGGAAATCAGGATATTTGTTTCATGTGGGAAAAAAGCTGTTGATGTTTGTGGGAAAAGATGCATGCTTGATTTCACCTCAACACTTTAATAATTTGTAAATTAGAAAGTTATAATAATGAAAGGAAGCACAGATGTATTTTGTGATTGTGGCTAAAAAAAATCTTTACTTAAGAGGAGACGGAAAATAAAAAACAAATAAACTAGGGTTTATTTCATATGTTTTTGTAAACGTTTAATATGAATGTACATGTACCTTGAAGCATTTGAGTGACATCTTATTGTGACATGATAAGCCTTCCCTTATTATGCCTTCTAATAAGGAACGGAAATTAAGAACTCTGCTGTCTGGGTTATCAGGCTGAGATGCTTGATATCTATAGCGAGCCGTGTAGAAATTACATAGGCAGTGGTAACTGTGAATTAATGAGGTAGGCTGCACATGATTGATGATCCGAGTGTGTGGCTTCACGCTGAGTGTAACATACTATCGCCTACATGCTTCAGACTGACAAGGAAAAAAATTACATGTATCATGCATATAGCTAAATGTTAATAAACATGGCTTTGGAGCAATTTATTTGAGCAAATATCACCTAAATATTGTAGAAAAGAAATAAAATTCGTGCTCCTGTCGATGCATGTCCAAATGATAAAAACCGAACAGCTTAAAATAAATTAACATGGCCTTGGGAAGAATACACCAAAGTATTTGAGCCAAAGAAAAGGGCAATTTGTTTTCACTGTCGACCACAAAAATCGGCATGTGCCTCCCAGGCAGGTATAGAAACCAAAAATAAACTCATAATCTCGATCTTTGTTGAACCAGAAGCCGCCCACGTATCATTATGTTCGTGACCTTGATGTTACCTCCAAACCACGTGACCCCAACGGCCCAGGAGAGATGGGTAAAGGGGTGAGGACAGAAGGGAAAGATGCCGGCAGGGTCGCCGAGGGGTTCAGACATGCTTCCTTTAATGAGTTCGTGAGTGATATGATCTCACTCGAAAGAGCTGTGCCGGAAAAAAGGCCGCAAATGTAAGTCCCGCTCTAGTCTCTTCATATGACTTCTGGTGATCATCCCGACATCCGCTTCATGTAACTTGAAAAAAAAAGTACTCAGTTTCTTTTCGGTAATGAATCGAGGGGGGTACATCCAAAGTGTACATGTTTTCCAGTTCGGAAGGATAAGGAAACCTTAAGTGAGAAGACGGTGAAGAAATTTTAGTTGAAGAGGTGGGAGGAAACCCCCTGGATGATACTCAAGGGCAAACCCACTGAATCAGGTAGGGACTGAACATCCGATCCGGAGGTCGGTCTGTGTCGAGTGGGATTGGAACCCAGGTCAGAGAAGTGAAAGGCGTGGAGAGTACCGCGACGCCAAAATGACTCCCCTAGCTTGTCGCGCAATTCCTCCAATTCGAGAGTAACTGATAAACTTTAATTCAGCACCGCCTTGTTCTTTTTATCCCCCTTGTAGGTGTAAGAGGAAGAAATACGTGGATGATCTTCCAGACACAACAATCATTATCTGCTTCACTGAGGAATCTTGGTCGACATTACTACGCACGGTACACAGTGTTCTGAACAGATCACCGCCTGAACTGGTCAAGGAGATTATACTCGTCGATGACTTCAGTCAGAGAGGTTGGTCGATACGAAATAATCAATTCCAGATGTATCGAGACCAGACGTTATCCAAAATTTGTTTCGTTTTCATCGGTCCTACACGAGTAATTAAATAATTGAGAGACTAATATGAAAACAAATCATACATGAGTCGACAGGTGTCATTCCAGTACCTGGTCGTTTAATAACCTGATAAGACTTTCTTGTCTCTCTTATTCAGAGTATTTAAAGCAGCCCCTTGATGAGTACATGTCCAAGTTTCCCAAGGTCAAGATCCTCCGTCTAGCCCAGCGCCAAGGCTTGATTCGAGCCAGACTACGTGGGGCCGAGATCGCTCAAGGAACCGTACTAACATTCCTGGATTCACACGTGGAATGTCATGTGGGTTGGTTGGAGCCGTTACTGCAGAGGATATGGGAGGAAAGGACCAGGGTGGTGTGTCCTGCACTTGATAGCATTGATGCTACCACCTTTAGGTAGGTTGGTGAATGGTAGGATATTGCAGCGCCCTCTATTGCTGATATGTGATTATTACTGTCCTTGTGAATTCTTGCCTGCAATTTTCTACTTCACGTGATTACCATTGACTATTATACTTGTTTTATAAAGTATTATTATGGTACATTATACTAATTTTATAAACAGGTATGAAGGATCTGGTGAGATCATGGGAGCGTTTGAGTGGGATCTACAGTTCCATTGGGTGGGTCTACCACGCCGGGAACTCAAGAGAAGACAAGATGAATCGTATCCTATACGGTACTTTCAAAATCTGTCTTTTCTTAATTGATATCATTTACTTTATTGTATTTACGTTTTGGCACAAAGTGAGTAGAAACAACTTTGCATCTCAACCGTCAATGTTATTTTCAAACCACACAGGGAGATGAGAATAAACGTTTCAAGTGATAACACACTTTTTTTCCTCCAAAATAATACCTCTCCTTCAACTAACAGAGAGTTGATTGGAGATGTGTTAAATATGTACTCTTATTGGAGCTGCTTTGTTGCTCATTACTGCAGGACGCCAGCTATAGCAGGTGGATTGTTTTCAATTGATCGTGACTGGTTTTACAAGCTGGGATCTTACGATAAAGGCATGGACATATGGGGAGGAGAGAACATTGAGTTGTCTCTCAGGGTAAATATCCAAACCTTTTCTCCTGTATTTTTCCGTGTTTTGTCTCTGTGTTCTTATGCTTTTGTCGATCCCTTTACAGGTTGGCTCGTTTAGTGCAGTTTTATTACAGTTTCAAGATTCGCAACAAGTTCAATTTTTTTTTTTTTGGTAAAATTAATTTTTTTGACATTATCTCCCTCTTTCGTAGACATGGATGTGCGGCGGTTCGATGGAAATTCTACCGTGTTCAAGAGTCGGTCACATATTTAGAAAAACACAACCCTATAAATTTCCAGATGGTAATGTAAAGTAAGTTTACACAAAACTCAAACAAAACAATCGTTTGTTGTCGATCTTTTCAATATATTTTCAATTTACAATTTCAGAATTCAACACCTTTCTGTTATCGTTCGTATTTGAACAGAACTTTCCTACGGAATACTCAACGTGTAGTTGAGGTCTGGCTGGATGACTTTAAACCTCTTTTCTACTCCATGAGACCCGAGTTGAAATCCAGATCGTACGGAGACGTTTCAGACAGACTGGCGCTAAAGGAACGTCTCCAGTGTAAGGATTTCAAGTGGTACTTGGATAACGTTTATCCTGAACTCGATGTACCAGACATGGATGTGCAGACGAGAGGAGAGGTAAGTTGAAGCGCCCAAATGAACAAGTCTTAAGGATTGACAGTCCCACTCGAGTGATTTCTGTTCCTAACTTTCACTCGGGAGGTAACACACTGAGTATGCAGTGTTTATATGTCGGTGAAGGGCAAAACCTAATATTGATTTACATCACCCCGACGCAAATTCCATCTCATGAATAAGATTGACACTGTTTATAAAGAAAATTCGTTTCACTGGACTTGAACTTCAACATGATGCATCGTTATATAAGAACGCAAGAGGGCGGTATTTATTAGCACTGTTGACAATTGAGTATTGCTGGAATACAATTGTTGTTATATTCTACAGATGAGAAATATCGGTGTGAACAAATGCTTAGACAGAGCATCCAACGGACCGTTGGGTTTATATCCCTGCCATGGACAAGGCGGCCATCAGGTAACATGTTTATTGAAATTATACATTTATGATTGAAATTTATAATTTCTTTTTACTTGATATTGCACAGAAAATCTTTACTTGCATACAATTGGCCCAATACAATTTTGGCAATGACAAAGTTCGCATCGCATGCCTATAAGTCCAAAACAGTCACGGTCTTGCTCTTTCTAACTCAATAAGAATAATAATATTATTGGATTGTATGATGGAAGACAACTCGGATCATTGATTTCTTGGCGATTTGATCGACAGGCCTTTTCTCTGAGCAAGAAAGGTCGCCTCCAGCACGAGAGTAAATGCGCGTTGCCGTGGAAATCGACAGAAAGAGTTGGACTGTCAAACTGCAGAGCCGTTCGCATCTTTCAGTTTCAACACGCAAAGGTATTAGTATTGTGATGATCTTGATTGGGGTGATTTGGACATGGTGTGGTTTTCACTGTGTGTCGTGCTTTAAGAAAGGTGGTGTGAGTGATAGCTGCTAGAGAAGCGTTTGGGGTTGTAATTGTTGAGAACAAAGTTGGCTATTTAACGAACTCCGTCTTTAAAATTGACAATTTAGACAAGTTAAACACTTTGGAAAACAGCGGTGTGAGTGACCACTGATAAAAGAGCTGAAAACACCTGAAAAAGGTGTAAAAAAGCTGAACTATGAAATCTCCTTTACTTTTGTACATAGCAAGTGAGGGAAAAAAGCTGAAATCCAAAACAAAAAAAGCTTAAATCAGTTTTAAAGCTGAGATTTCACACCTCTGAAAAATACGGCATCTGCAAGATAGACAATGTATGGTGATGACGGAGTTAACGATGACTATGACATCAACGACGTAACAATGTCAGCGACAATAACACGTAAGGAAAATATTACATCTTCGCGAGTGACGGTGTCTACGCTGCTGGTGACCTGATGACCTTACAGTTGACGATGACAGCGTTTGCATCAGTGACATTATAACATTCATGGTGTCAGTTCTAACATGATTCAGATGAACCATAAGCAGTGGAAGGCAGGTGCAATTTCCTTTGTTTCTTCCTTCTAGAACGGCGCAATGATTGAGGTCCAGACGAAGAAATGTCTAGGCGTGTCACGTGACAAAAACTTCGTCATTCTTCAACAATGCGACGGCAGTCAAAAACAGAAGTGGAAATGGGGCACGTATATACAGTAGGAAAACGAGATAGTTTGTAACATTATATACGGTAACATCTTTCGTATTATTTTTCAAGTTACATGAATCTCGTTCACAAAATCGCCCATTCATGGATGGATGTCTTTCATTTAGAAAATTGAGCATTGTTTTGTTTGGTTAAAGGGATTTAGGGGAAACCCAATTTCATGAAGATTAATATCTTTTAGAATATACTGCGGGTAGATTTATAATTGGCTTCACAATTGTTTTTTTTCACCATTTAGTTATGAAGGCACAGATTCTGAAATTATGTTTAATGTTTAAATTATTTCCGAACAAGGCAACGTGTCCTAACTAATTTAATGATTATTAAGTTATTAAAAGGTGGTTTAAAATGTTTTTGTTTTCTCTCTTGAAAGTACACACAAACTGTAACAATGTTTTACGTCAATTTTAGATTAAATCTGTGAATGGGGAATTAATTATAATTTATTTTGTAATGCATATACAGAGCGATTCAAAAGTATGAAGCCAAATAAAATCAACACAATGAATCTTGGTCAATGTTGCATCAAACAGGACGGCCTCCAGAAACAACTTAAGTGTCCATATCCCTTCTTAGTGTTATGTCATGCAGTGACCACTTTTAGAGTAACTTTTGCCCAACCTCGATCCATTACAAATACCTGAATCTATTCAATTGATTCAACCTTTACCAATGATACACTCCTCTCTATCCTCTATTTTATAAATGTTCTCCACGTTTAAAAGAATTCGTGCCCTCGTGTATGCTCCCAATTGGGGTTAGTTTAAATCTGATTTACGTTTTAAATAATTTATTGAAATAGATAAATACTTCAGTTCAAGCAAAATGAGATAAATAAATCATTTTTTCGCCATTTGCATTGTTTTATATTCAATTTGCATCCTGTGTGATTTATACGGTATATACGGTAGTTATACGGTGGTGTTTAACACCACCGTATAACTACCGTATATACTGTATCGTGGTTGTTGTTTCATTGGAAGTTACCTTGACCCTCTGGAGCAGCGTTTTTGACCGAGTACAATGGGCATCCAGTTTGCAAAACAATTGATCCTTAATATTCTGTGCATTCTATGCGAAAATAAGCCAACTGTCGAATATGATTTGGGCAAATTCGGTGTGCACAAAACTTTCCGAATTTGTATAAAACAACTTTTCACTAGGTTTTTTTTGTATGCGTTATGCCACATTGGAGGCCCCGAACCCCTCGCCGTAAGTTTTTGGACCCACTTTTTGGGGAACCATTTTTAACCCCCCCCCCCCGCCCTTGGAGAATGGTTACTGTACGAACTGTTTAAGGATATGGACAGGAACCAAATCGAGGAAGACCTCGATTAGAAAACGTGAGCGCAAATTTGTATCCTTGTGGAGACATTTCCACAATAGGGAACACAAGATTGTATAGGTCTCCACAGGGCAATTTCTATAGATGAATAGGTCTCCACAAGGTTTTTACGAAATAGATAGGCCCTATATGGATTTTACTCAAAAACTAGGAATTTCCAAGGTGGGTTGATTTGTCGCAAATGGAAGAGTTTTAGAAAAGGGATATTAAGTCCGAATTTCAGCCAAGGAAATTAATTCTGGTTAAAATAAGAGCATTCTGAAACTTCACTTTCAAACTCGAAAACTTTACTACACGAGAACAAAGAAATGTCTCCACAAGGATACAAATTTGAGAATGTGTGTACAAAACCAATGAGAGCTGTTGCGAAAAAGTTAGAGTTCAGAGTACAAACAAAGGAAAAGGGCAGAGGAACAAAAGAAAATCCTCGTTTTACACCATACACAAGCGTGTGGGTGTGTGGAGGGAGGGGGGGGGGCGTACGTGTGCAGGCCACTGATCTCTATTATACTTGACAGTATGCTCCATGGTATAATAGAGATCAGTGGTGCAGGCAAGCAACTTGATCGTCGAGTCTCATGTGTGCGGCGCTGTACGTGCTGTGGCAAGTACAGACCGGACGCGGTGTTTTTATCTGCAGCGCACATCGTCAATGGAGTCATGATCAGCTCATGTTCGACTAACAATGACGTCACACCATTGATATCACTCAGTCATGCATGCACATTGAAGCATTTTAAAGAAAGGCTTTCGTCGAGCTGCCACATAGTGGAGTGAACTATCGGATCGCAAGATCTGTGGTTCGAGCCAACATGCCCGTTTTTTTTCATCAAATATTTGTAATGGTTGGGATAGGTTTAATTGAAGGGAAAACACCACGAGAACCTACTTGCCTTCCATCCACACAGAGTGATAAATAATCACGTATAGGGTGATGTGATTGGTTAAAATACGATGTACACATGTATGCTGCAAAAAAAAATACGCAGACCGGACAAATCAGCCTAAGCTGTACGGTAGCGGCTGCTCGCTCGTAAGACAGCCTTGGTCACCAAAGCTATCAAGTGGAACGAAATTGTAATAGAGTATCATATTGCATTATATGTTCTACGATGCACGGAATAATGTGGATACTCAGTCATTCTACAAGTGTTAGTTACTATTATCAATTTGAATGAAAACTATCCATGTGTATAGTTACACGTCTGCACGTAATATAAGGCTAGTATTGTGTGCTGACCCGGTATATGGAGCGTTGGATTAGTCATCATAATATTATTGTTCACATCGGGCAACATTGAAACAAAATTGAAATTGCTGGCTTTTATAGCAGACACATGACCTTGTATCCATTTTCGATACGGAAACTCTCGCAACTTTCTGGATAAACCTCGCAAAATGCGCAGAAATTATGAGTCTGAGGAGAATATGGGAAGCGGCGCTACCGAGGCAGTGATGGGGGAGAAACCACGGGTGCCTGACGGCGGTTGGGGATGGCTGGTGGTGGTCGGAGGACTGATCACGTTCCTTCTATGGAGTGGATTCTTGAAAGCCATGGGAGTTTTGCTTCCGAGTTTGACGGTTGGTTTGACGCATAATACGGCACTGACTGGTGAAGTGGCCGCTATGGTTGCTGGCGTTAGGAGCTTGACAGGTACAAAACATCGATCGAATTAATTATTTTTTCTTTATTTCACCAATAATTATCATTATGTTTATCATCCACCTACATGCGGATATACTGTTTCTTTGGGCTTATTATAGGTAATAGGCGCGTTTTAAGTTAATGAATACTGCTTCGATGAAAACAAGTCCAAACATATCAGATAGGGATGAAAACTCTGCTAGTTTAAGGGCCAAAAAGTTTATGTGAAGTGTATTTGTGTGACTTTTGCTTATTTAAGGCCCTCTCGCTGGACCAATCGGTGAAAGATTTGGCTACAGACCTGTTGTCATGGTGATGAGTTTGATAGCTGCTTGTGGTATCATCTCTGCATCTTTTGCTCAGACAACGATCCAGTTCCTCTTATGTTTGTCAGTCATATCAGGTAGGCCTATTCAAACATTCTTCAACCAATTCTGTTATTAGGGCTTGTAGATTTGACTGATGTTTTGTTCACACTGACTTCGTTTCCATTTTTTTTATAAGCACTTTGATTTCTAGCCATCAGCCTCCGTTGCGGATAAATATTTCAAATTTTCATTTTAATGGATTCATGTTTTAAACTTTTATTCATGTGTTTTCAAAACAGGTGTAGGTTTCTCGGCTCCTATCATCCTGACTAAAGCCATGATTGGCCGTTACTTCGACCATCGCTTTGCTCTGGCTATGAGCCTCGCTAGTGCAGGTGACTCTCTGTCTATGATCATCATAGCGCCTACGGCGCAGGTCCTACTAGACACCTATGGATGGAGAGGCGCTCTACTCTTGTATGGTGGACTGTGTCTGCATATAATCGCTGCGGGGGCGCTGCTCAGAAACCCTCCTAGTTCAGATGAAGATAAGTCTGGTTATACCTCCATCCCAAGTGCAGATGAGATTACAGACCCCACTAAAGCCACTGATCAAGCTCCTGCAAGATCCAAATCGCTCCTTGAAACCTTCAACTTGTCAATTTTCACCAAGTTTGTCTTCTGGATGATCGGTCTAGTCATGTTAGGAACCTATTTGATTGGGATCTCCTGGTACTTGTACTTTATACCACACGCAAAGGCTAAGGGATTTGACTCCAGTCAGGCAGTGACTTTCGTCGCGGCAGCAGGCGTTGGACAAATTATCACCAAGATTGTCTGGGGTAAACTCATTGACCAGCGGGTAGTCAGCGTCAGATTCGGTCTTGTACTCTGTATAACTCTGTGTTCATTGGCACTAGCCATAGATCCGTTTCTTAATACGTTCTGGCCCATGATGATTGTGACCATAATCTTTGGTAGTTTCTTCGGGTTGGTGTACTGCTTGGTGGATGTCTTGGCGAAGGAGATAGCGGGAGAGGACGGCCTGGCGAGTGCCTTTGGATACATCGATCTGGTCGGTGGAATCGCTAGAATATTCCTGGGATCAGTGCCCGGTAAGACTCTACAACATTGGTTGGTTCTTTTGATGAATTGTATTATCCTTTCTGTTAAAAAAAATGATTAGCAAACTCCAAAATCAAACTCAAATGGAAAGCTGCATCCACATGCCGTTGCGGCGGAAAAGTGACGCAGTGTGTCATTTTTCGGCATACCTTTCCAAATGTCTATATGCCTAATATATAATTAAAACACTTCTCAATCATCCACGTCAATTTAATCGAACAGACCTTTAATTGCAAACACCTGTTGTTCAAGTTCTGCACCTTTTGTATCTTGTTGACAGGTTGGATCTATGAGCGGACAGGTAGTTATGATATTGCTTTTGTTGTGTTGGGTGGATTATATCTCATTGTTCTGATGCCTGTCATAGCTGAATGGATCATCCATAGACGTCAGGTACTGTCCAACGAAAAGCACAGTGACAAGAGCTAAGCTACATAGCTACATACAACCCTATATTCGAAGGTTCAGTGATGCTTGCTGGCCGGAAAAGAGTTCAGCCCACTGAGACAGAACAACCCTCCATTGTTATGTAAAGTGCATCTAGTCAGGCAGATTGGCGCACAATATGATGGAATTGTTCATGTGATGAAAAAAGCATGACATGTGGCACACAGTCAGAGTATAAACTGGGAATGACTTTGGCTATAGGGCCATCGCAGATTTGTCCTTTGAAAAAAAAATCATAGGATAACATGCAATTGCCGCCATTTTGAAAATTGCTTGTTAATATTATTCTATGTTAGTTTTGTTCAAAGGACAAATCTGCAATGGCCCTATAGCCAGATATCTTTCCCATGACATACTCCGACTGTGTGCCAAATTTCATGCCTTTATCATCAAATGAACAATCTTATCACCGATCTGCTGCACTACTCTGTCATCTTTTACAAATCAAGCCCTTTATACTTATTTATTTATCTCTATATTTATTTATCACCTTGTTTCATTCCTTTCTAGCATAATATTAATTGTTTACATTATTGTATTATTCTCGTATGTCTTTTATCGTTGACGGTACAGAAATAAAATGTTCTGTTGAATTGAATTGAAATTTGGGAAACTTGACTTCCGGTAAAACTTCTATCGCTAACGGAGATTTGCTAGATGAATTTTGCTTTTGATTACCAGCAAGGGTTGAACAAAATTTGTGGAATTTCAATTGTTTATTTACATGTTACGAAGGTTTCAGCTATTTTTTCTACGTGAATGTATATTTCATATTCACATTATGTTATTCTAGGAAACTTCCATTTCCAGTATTTACTTGTTAAAAACTGTTAAGTGGGTGCTAATTTACGTACAGATCCGACTACTTCACCTACGTAAAAAAGTAATACTCACGAACTTAATGACATTGTTTTATAAAATCTTGTTCAAGTATTGTAAAACATTATGTACATCAATTTATATTCATTATATGATAAACCTTCGTTTTGCATTTTTTTTTTTTTTTAAATTTTTTTTACGGTGTCTCAATTTAAAATACTCTGGTTTTAGCTAGCAGTAACTTACACGAAATGTACTGACGCCCAAATTGCCAAACTTGGCGGTTAGCGGATTCCTTCTACTTGTTTGTTGGTTTCAATTAAACATGTCAGAAATTAATTTATAGGTGTTGGGAAATGTTGAATAAACTTCAGATTGATGGATCGCGGTTTCAAATGCTGATTGCATTGGGTACTTCCTTAGGATGAAGATACAAATATGGCGATGATCGGGTTGCATTTCTCTCGTCGATGAGGGCGCCAACACGGAGTAGATCCTTCCTGAACCTGTAACAATGAACGATGTTTGTCTGTCAATGGTGAATGCTGGAGACATGGAAGATGTTTAGTAGACACAGATAGCAGACGATGTCTGAGATGTTGAAAGTAATAGGAAGTCTTGGAAAATTATCAGAGACTGCTGCATTTGAAGGAAGTGTGATGCCTGTAGTTCTTATTACCTTTTCCTTTTTGAAAGATCAAGCATTCTCGTCAACCACCAGGATATTTCGTCGAAGGTTTTTGTAAACGATGCCATTTGTCAATACAGATACATTTGAATTATTACGGCTCCGGCGCGTCGATCGCGATAGTGAAACGTTTGAACGACTACGATAGAGTCTACACTTGACAAGCCGGTATCATATTCTTACATACAGAACATAATGAGCTGCAAGTAAACAGCCGTACAGATCTGAAAACCTCACCAACATAGAACAAAATAATACTCACGAACTTAAAGATAAGTGTTTTATGAAATTTTGTTCAATTATTGTAAAACATATGTACATTTTTTTTTACGGTGTCTCAATACTAGCGTTCAAGTTCAACTTGAATACAACACTGTGTATCACTTAAGGAACCCTTTAAGTACTATCGATTCCCAAATCTTTTCGAAGGAAATTGGAAACTAATACATAAAAGTAGTACTCACGATTCTACGGCCTTCTTGCCGACAGGGTCAAACTGGTACTCGACCTCAAAGTCTCCCAGGCTGTTAGTTCCTCTATCACTCAGTATCTTGGTTACCAGCATAATACTGAGTGTCTTGTCTTTGTCTGGTAAGCAGTCAATCACGTCTTGCTCGCACCGAGGATTCTGAGCAGGATTATCACATGATGTTCAATTACAGCAGGATTTTTGACAGAGGGAATTTTTATCTATTTCCCAACTTACAAATTAAGGAACTAAATATTAAACGATTCTTAAACATTTCAAAGTATTTTTCGTGAGGGGAATAAGCACAGAAAAGTAAGGAAAACAAATGTTGAATTCTCATCAAGGATAACACTTACTACCGAATTTACTATTCCCTCTATTATACTCAGCTTAAAACAAGTTTCCTCTCAACCTTTCCCCCACATACCTTGTCCTTTGGTGGTTCAGCAACCCGCATGATTGATGGGTAGTTGGGTGGGAACGCATACTCGTCATATTGGGCGAAGTTAGCTGCCGCATGAGCCACACTACTCGTGTAGATGATGGCAGTCAGGGCTCCTATCAAGTCCTCGTTGGTTGAGAATTTACCATTACCATGAACTCCCTGTTCAAAATTGTAAAATGCAAAATACAAAAATGAGGGTATATGTGAGGGAAAAAGTCTTCACTGCATTTGATGGTAGACCTAATTGTTAATTGGAAAACTCAGTTATAGCAGGGGAGCAAAAGCTGCAAGGGGTCTATCTTCTTGTATGTTATTTTTAAGAAAATAAGGTCTGTAGATATAGATAGAACAAAATTGAATTCTAAAATACACTAGGCCCTATATCTCTTAGATGATATTAATGCAAAACTATGCCCCTCCCATCAACCACTTCTAGCCCGCCTACATACCTGCACTCCTGCACCGCCCTCACCCGGTGACTTCGTCAGAGTGTCAGCAAAGTCTTGAATCTCGTCATCTTCAGCCAACTTGGATGGATCGTCTGTGATTCCAAAAACATATAACAAGAACAGTTAGACCATCATTACCTCACGAGGTCGTCATTTCAATGACTCTGAAATTAAAGCCACTTTAACCAATCAGTGAATTTTTACTGTTGAATACCAATAATCTCAGTAATATCGTCCTCCCATGTTAGAAACCTTTGGAATAAAATTGCATCTTATACTTTTGATAATGGTCGGGTTGTTTCACTTCTGATGTAGAGTGAACTTTGACCACTTTATATCAATTTAAAAGTGAAATGCAGAACAGGCTCATGGATTACCGTAGGTTCCGTTGACAACTTCAGTCACATATTTCTGTATAGCTCCAAAGCTCAAGATAGCATCATCCCGGAAGTAATACTTAGGAAGTGCTTCCGGGTCATCAACTCCACGGTTTTCCAGATCAGCCGGTAGCGTGCCCTCAACGTCCAGTCTCCAGGAAGGTTGGGTCCTTACGATGATCTCAAACATTCCGATCCGGCCGATTCCCATGCACTGATCCACCCAGCCATCTTCAGAGACTAGTTTCCCCAATGCACGACTGTCAAAAAAAATCAAAACAATTCCGTTTAAAATTTACTTTGTTACTTCCTACTTAAAAGGTGATTGTACAGGCGGGACTCGACCCCACAACCTGCTGTTTATATACAAGTGCAATCACCACTCGATTGGCAATATTAAAGGTCAGCTCTGGTCGATTGCAGTCCCTCATTGATCATACTCTGCTTACGTATTAGGAAAGGCATCATAATTAATTATACTCACTAGTTGATTGCAATGAGGTACAGAAAGTGTGGAGCCAGGAGTCTGTAGATTGGATGTGAAGGAGATAGTGTACGGTGTGTAGCCACGGCGATAGATTCAACGATGAGATGAGTGAATCCGAGATGGGTGGCTGCTTGGTGGTAGGACGCGTCGGCGTTATTGAACCACATCTTGGCAAGAAGCCAAGTGTACTCGGGATCCGTGGGTAGAAACACCTGTAAGATAATGGCAGGTGGCTTCATCAACTTATTGACTTCTTGTCTGCCATTTCTGCATTGAAATCAACACAGAGCGCTTTGTAACTAATCCAAAGTAATGTTTTTCACCACGACTATTTTATCTACTTCTTACCGGGTTATCATCAGCAGAATCCTGGAAGAGTTGGATGGCAACAGGCATGAGATTCTTCTCCTTGTTTACGAAGAAAAGGCCAATCGGAGCACAGATCTACCAATCGGAATTAATTACACAAATTATCATATACATGTATAAAAAAACCTAAATGAATCTTCCACTTTATGTTTAAGGTGCTATTTAAAAGACTGTTCTGGATTTGGCCATAAGCTCCGACAATCTTTGATTGATGTATATTTCTGAAAGTGACTGTAACTAAAGTTTGACTGTGCAACCGTGGTACTGGTCACCTGAGAAAAGTTATGAACAAACTGGTCAATATGCTAACATTTGACTGACGGTAAAGAAGGGGCCATAATACAAACATTGCCTACCTTCCTGTCGTAACTACAGGGCAGATCCTTCAAGATCTTGTAATCCATAATGTACAATCTTTTTGCATCTATGGCTTCTTGTACAGTCAAGTCCTCCAGTAGCGGTTTCAGCATTTCATCATTGACTGCGAAGCTGTGATGACAAAATTTCAAAAGTAAATAAATACACAAAATATGGCTATGCAGATAGTTGTGCTTGTTCTTTTTTGACCGACTTGTGTACTGACTTGGCAGACTGACTGACTACCTGATTGACTTCGAATAGTCGCCGAGTATAGATAATGTCCTCAACTAAGATGTTCGGGCCCAACTCGATATTGACAAACCTAGCCTTGTTACTTCTGTACCAAGACTAGTATTTCGGGGAAAAATAGATTTGTTGACTTATTTTTCTCAACAGAAGCTGAAAGCAGGAGTACTACTTTAATAGCAAATCAAAAAACACTTACTTGTCAGGTATTTGTGTGCATCGTCTGATCTGGTTAGGATTACAGCTGACCAGTCGCTGGGAACCAAACTCAAGATCAGATCGCCAGTTATTCATTCCCTGCAAAAAGGGAAAACTGGAATTCAATCCACATTCCTCACATTCCTATGTTTTTGTCTTCATCATGATGGATAAGGCTATTCGGTGATACTCAAATAATTCGATCAAGTTTGTATTTACACATTTTATTTCTGTTTGTTTTGGACTAACACAATACAGAAACTTAAAAAAAAAGTCAAACTTAATCAAAACCCATGAAAAATATAAATAAATTTAAAAGACTCACATAAGGGACGGGAAGATGCTCGTTATAAATCTTCTCGATATCTTCCAGCGATTTCCAATCCCCAGTCTTCACGCCCATGAGTTTCGTTTGCATGAAGAGACTTGCCTTGTTCTTGACGATGTCCCACTAAAAAGAGACGACGTTAAACAAATTGGCAAAAGACAGGTCAAGAAAGTTGTTATGGAGTTATGTCTGGTATTTTTATGTCCGTTGGGGGATACCATGATGTACTCACCTTGTAGTCGTCTGAAAAGGACTCGTCAGATGGGAAGTTTTTGATCTGCAAAGACACAAAAAATGAATAAATCATGTCAGTGTGTAATGTTATGAATACATGTATCGATAGGAACATTACTTACAATCGACTAAAACCCACAGGACAGTACCACCAACTGTAACTGCGTCATCATAATACAAATTCAAAAACAGCACCAAGTGCCCCATTACAACGACAAGAACAAGACAACAAAAATAAAGACGACTACAACGACGACAAACTAATATATACCTGAGGAATAAGCCCTTCCACTTTACACTCCAACTCATACATCACTTTCTTTTCTCCGAGTTCCTCCTTCCTATCCGTCTTATTGTCATCGCATTGAGGCAAGAGACAATCGTTACAATGGAAGATGCGTTTCTTGAGTGCCTTGAGCCATCGATGGATAGGAAATATCTCATGCTCTCCGCTACTCTGATTGATTACCTACGAATTATAAGGAATAAAAGAAAACATAGTTAGTCAGCCAACTTGACGGTGAATTTGGAGCAGTTTTCAGAACATTTTTCAAAGCTTTTTTGTTCACTGTGAAAATGCATCAAAGTCGGGTCTTAAAAATATTCAAGAAAATTACACGATTGGGTCTCATAAACCACTGGATGTCATAAATCATCAGGTGAGGCTTCTTCTTCTTCACTTCACTTTATTTTCCATGTCAATGTCAATACATAGGTAAGGATGGTATACATAATATAAGGTGATGGAAGGGAGGCTTAAATAAGTTAACCGAACAGGTTTATCAATTATGACTAGTTTACCTACCTCAACCCGTTCAACGAACCAGTTATCCATAGCTCCATCTGTATCCCTCCACAGCTCAATCTTACACACCCGACCAAAGTTGGCCAAGTTAGTAACTGGGAACCGATCAATGCTCCCACGCTCCATGTCATTCTTCCATTTTGAATTTAAAGGAATGTCCCTTGATCTTGTGCCTTCCTCGTTGATCAAAGCGATGAAAACATCAGCATCTGTGCCTGCTCCTTTAAGGTCTCCTGTCTTGACAAGAATCACGAAGTCTGTAGGCGCGCTGCTGCCAGAAACGCACGCGTTACCCATGATGAAATACCAACTGTCTGGTCTTGTTGGTTTGCGTAAAATGTTCACGCGAAACCAGGATTTTGTTTGGGTTAAAATCACGGATACAACAACACAGTTCGTGTTAAATGAATACCTTAAGCAAGACTACCGTGAGCGCGTTGAGATTGTACAGTTGCAATTGTGAAGAACCAAGCACCAAGTTATCATTCCGTCATACCTTGACGTGGTTACCGTTTTGTCAATGTTGATGTACTACTGCAGACTTTCGAGGACCCAAGACGAAATGTCAACACTCGGTTTTCTTAGATTTAACCCAAATTCCCGTATAAATCACACCACTCACTGTAAAAATGATGACCTCAGTATGTACGTGTACACCACGTACTGTATAGTATTTCTGGTTGCACGGGTTATGTTTACAACGGTATCCACGTGCTATTGTGCTGACTTCACGCCCCAATGAGCAAAGGCACACTGACGACTACTATTGATAGATCCTGGATCGATTGGAATTATGTACTAATGCAGTGGCGTAGCCAGGAACCGCCCCCCCCCCCCCCCGTGGCTATGCCACTATACTAATGGGTCTATTCTGAAGAGATTAAATTTGGGACATGTTGACAAGGCCGTGTATTTGCGTAAACTATTATTGTGACCAAATATAAGTGTATCAGGAAGGTGAAGGCTGTGAAAACAGCACATCACGTATTTATTTTATAACAATTTTATTTCTTGAGCTTTTTTACGGATTAGGCGCAGCTAATAACAAAAATCACAGCAACAAGTTGTTCATCCTCTAAAAAGCAATACAAAGCAATTTCTTATAGATTAAAAAATATGGGATCAAATTTTATGATAAGTAAACCTGCTTTATGTTGATGCAAAAAAAAATATATATATAGTCATGTTCATTTGACATAGGCTAATAAGAACGCGTTTTCTGTTATACACCGCTTATTCGTGCAGGATAGAAAAACTCAAGTCCAGAATGCAACGAAAAAATATTCAAAAATATAAGTCCACGCGCTTTGCCTGCCTTATGCAGATTGTGTTCGAAATCGCAGATCATTTACCATGAATGTACATTAATTCGTGGTGACGCTGTAACGATAAAGTTAACGTAAAGATACCATAACGTAAAGAGATTATTTATGTCATTGATATTTGCCTGAATACATGTAAAATCCCATCCAAACATAATCCTAATTATTGTCACTGTTCACATTTTTGACCATTATCAATCATTTTATATACTGGACAAAATGAACAAAACAAAAGGAAACAAAATAAAATTCTACATGTTCAATATCCGTTAAGAGTACAAAACATTATAAAATATGGTATATAAGCAAAGTGATTTCAGTTAATCCTTATTGTTATTTTACATCACTAAGGGCGTTTTAACTGTAGGCCTTTTATGACGTCATATTGTAAAACTTACATAAGCTGCAAAATTAAAAACACTCGAACTTATTACCTTTATTTTTCAAACTTTAATCTCAATTTCTAAGTTATGAAGAACAGAATCAGGAAATTAAACAGCTAAATTTCATTTCACGGTTTCCAAAACTTACGACTTTCCAACTTCTTTCGGAAATTCACTGAGCTGATTGATGAGACAATGGAAGACTAGTGGCTGGAAGTGATGTCTAACCATCTGTGAGGTTTCTCCTAGATACTGATGGCATTAGGAACCTCGCTGGGATGCAGGTAGGGATACGGAGGGGCTCGCTGGGCGTTTCTCTTGTCGATGATCTTACCGATACCAACCAAGTCCTCTTTGAAACTGCAAAGAACCAACACCAGTGAGCACGTTGGTGTCATCCTCACGGTTAAACTGATATTTAACTTCCCTCCCACACCCATCGATCACAGTGGTTTTAGTAGTAAACCTCAATGACAGCTTTATTATAGTTTTCACATTGATGTTGTGCACCACGTTATTAAAACCTCATTGACAACACTTTAATGTATTACTGTCAACGCCAATGGGAACCTCATTGTGGACCTCAATTTGTCTAAGAGAGGGCCAGGCCTAACCTCATCATGTCATGAACACAACCTCAAGGACAGTTACACTTTGACAGCTTTAGTACCAATTGGAGCAAACTGGTACTTGATCTCAAGTCCGCCAGACTGTTAGTTCCTCTATCACTCAGTATCGTGGTTACCAGCGAGTCGCCCCACAAACTATAACCTCCCATAACCTCATGTGTACTTACGCTTTGACAGCTTTGGCACCGATAGGATCAAACTGGTACTCGATCTCAAAGTCCCCCAGGCATTGAGTTCCTCTATCACTCAGTATCTTGGTTACCAGCATGATACTCAACGTCATCTCCTTGTTTGGCAGACAGTTCAGCACATCCTGCTCTGTACGCGGACTCTGAAATGTGGAGATAATGTAGCACGCTAGACAGAATTTCTTCTTTTAAGCTTTGATATTGCAAAATTCCTCATGTTAAAATAGACAGACTTTAACACATTGTATAATATGGGCATCCTTGTATGTGGTCCACCTATAGGAATTGCAAGTTTGTGCCTGGAAAGGATGAGGCTCAATGAATAAATAGTTCCTTATAGTTTCACTCTCCTACTTATACACGAGGTCCGCAGTCATGATGGATATAGTAAACAGTGCATAAAAGTTACACTTTGTACTGCTGTAGCTATGGTCTGCATAGAGACCACAAAATGTACTCTATGGTTTACCTCCACACTGTTTAAAAATTAAAAAAAATAACAGCATATACTCTTTGTCGTAAAAAGGTCAGCTAATAGTTATTCAATAATTGTATCTTAATAGTCTTTTCTTTATGGAAGATGGTTACCGTTGAGAGCATTATTTCGGGTATCCTTTAATACCTTATCTTTAGGCGGTACTTCGTCGCGCATGTATGAAGGATAATTTGGCGGGAAGGCATACTCGTCATACTGGGAGAAATTGGCGGCTGCGTGAGCCACACTGCTCGTGTAGATGAAGGCAGTCAAGGCATCTATCAAATCAACGGTGTTCAAGAACACCCCTCCGCCATGAACTCCCTGTTAAAAAAATTAGGCTTATTGAATTGTGCTTCTTCGAATCAATACTCCTTAATTGATTTTGCATCTTTAAGAGTACAGTAGAAACCTATTGCTGCATGTTTTGTCGAAACCTCCAGGTGTATTATCTGAGGGTTCGGTAGGAATGCAAAATTGCTAATACCAGCTCTACATCGACATTATAGTCATCCTTAAGCCTAGCTCTCACTGTCTAAAGGCGCGGCCAAATTAAAAAATTGAGTCAAACATTCATGCATCAACAACTAATCAATTTACTAATAATACTCTGGACTATGCACATTTACAACCTTTGCTTATTTTTGAGAGGAAAAGTACTGACTACAAAAGTGCATTCATTAAAACCCTTTTCAAAATGGCGTCTTAAAGCGCCCTCTAGAGATGGGTAGACAGCATACCTTGATCCCACATCCTCCTTCGCTCTGGGGCTTTTTCAGAATCTCTGCAAATTCTTGCAGCTCGTGGTCGTCAGCTAACTTGTCGGGAGAATCTTCATTCAGAGAAAACAAATAGGAAAAGCCACAGACTGAGCAACATGCCCAATGCAATACAAAAGGGGAGGGGCTCAAATCCATTACGTACAAAACAACTTTAAATTAGATAATTTAAGAAATGTTTGACGTTTTGTGCAATGGCACAGGCCTGTATACTTTTCCACCTGGATTGTACAATATATAAAATAATTCAGCTATGATAAATAAAACTTGTCATTTAATTGATTTTCGGATGAAGTTCATCTCGGGAATCATAATACAATGTCGTGGTTGTGTTTTTGGTGCTTTTCAATATTGAATGCTTCCTACCATAATGGCCTTCCACAACTTCCGTCACGTATTTCCTAATCGCCTCATACAGCAGAAGGGCGTCATCACGGAAGTAGTACTTGGGAAGTGCTTCCGGGTCATCGACCCCGCGGTTATTGAGGTCAGCTGGAAGACTGCCCTCAACGTCAAAACGCCACTCAGGTGCCGTCCTTGCGTTGATGGCAAACATGCCAACTCGACCGATACTCATGCACTGATCTACCCAACCATCCTCACACACCAGCTTTGCCACTGCACGACTGTTTCATGTGTGAAAAACAAATATAAAACATGTATAGAAAAATCATAATATATTTAAAACACTCGTGGAATGAGTGTGTATAAAGGGGTCAGATACCCTAATAACATCATGCTCAGACTATTTGAAGCATGAGAAACCCGATTCAAACGTCTCAAACGATAAAATGAATCGTTAGTCTCAGAGGTACATATTCTGGAAGTAACTCGATTCTTACAAGATCTTGAGCACTATGGGTCACTAACATTCTAGCTCGGAACTCGTTTCACATTACCCACCTATTGATGGCTATCAGGTACAGAAAATGTGGCGCCAGGAGTCTGAACATGGGATGAGAGGGTGAGAGAGAACGATGGATTGCCAGGGCAACCGCCTCCATGATGAGATGAGTGAATCCAAGATGGGTGGCTGATTGGTGGTAGGAGGCGTCGGCATTGTTGAACCACATCTTGGCAAGGAGCCAGGTGTACTCGGGATCCGTGGGCAGAAACACCTGTGAGATAATGGCAGGTGTTTATGTTATTAACTTACTAACTTCATAATCGCCATTTGTTTATTAAAATCAACATAGGCCGCCCTGTTAATAGTTCGCAGAGAAAATCTGTCCTCCGAGATTTGTCTACTTCTTACCGGGTTATCTTGAGCAGGATCCTGGTAGAGTTGGATGGCAACAGGCATCAGATTCTTCTCCTTATTGACAAAGAAAAGCGCGATCGGTGCGCAGATCTGTAGTGTATGAAGAAAATAACAAATAATACAGCTATTTGGTAAAAATGTGATTACAAACAAAAATATGTTTTATTAGAAGAGGTCATTCAGATGCTTTAAATACATCTTACAATTTCTTGCGATAGACAATTTTCTGATGTAATTCTGGAGCACATTTGCCATATTTAGCCTTTACTTTGATTTAAAGGCTATTAAGTAAATCAAAGAAATAGTTATCTCTAACATTCAGTTCCAGGTGTCTGTTTCAATTTAGGTTCGGGGCTGGCCTCGTTCAAGTTCAAACTCCTATTATCACGATGCATCGTTCACGGATGAAACTGTTGCTAGGCAGCGGAGGACAATCTCCGTAGTGCACTGTATCAATCCATTTGCATGGCTACGGTGTGTAGACGACACAAACATACCATTGAGCGAAGTGCGAGAGATGACACGGGGGCTTTTATTATTACACCGATGTCAATTAACGGAGAGTGAGAAGTATAGGTGTTTGTATCCATCTTTACATCATAAATCGATGTACTGCCTGAAGCCGTTCGATAGCCCATTATCTGATTATGATGACCATTTTCCCCCTCTTTTTTGAGCAAAGGAACAAGTTCTAAATTGGGAATTTATAATTCACGCAACTGTCATTAACAATAATGACGCGAAAAATATGCTCCTTTTTTGTATCATAAAGGACTTGTGAGGTTACGAATTTTATTGAAAGGTTAATGGACTATCACGGTTAGAATTTCATAGAGGGGTTTTAGTACCATATTCACATCTTTCCTTTCCTTAAATTTCTGTAAATTTGTACGCAATGAAATCGATACTAAAGCTGTTAAGAGGACGTTTACCTTTCTGTCGTAGCTGCAGGGCAGATCTTTTAGGACCTTGTAGTTCATGATATAGAGCCTCTTGGAGTCTATGGCTTCTTGTGTGGTCAAATCTTCCATCAAGGGCTTCAGCATCTCATCATCAACTGCAAGACTGATAATGTACAATGAGCAAGGAAAACTTGCTTACTAGTGTACTAAGATTTACAGCTGGGAGACAATTTGTTATCTGCTGTTCTAATTACTTGGATGGAAAAGAAATTGTTTTCAACTCGTCATTTTCAAATCCTTGAACCACCATTAACTTCGATTGGAATTTGCCTTGCCTTGCTGTGGGCGACCGAGTGAGTGAATGAGTGAATTGGAATCGGTGGATAAAAATAATGTTAAGACCAGCATACTGCTTATTATATATGCGACATGTTTTATTGTTGGCCAGTATTATGGATGATAACATTTGTCTGTAACTTGGACAAAGGAAAACCAGGGACTTACTTGTCAGGTATTTGTGTGCATCGTCTGATCTGGTTAGGATTACAGCTGACCAGTCGCTGGGAACCAAACTCAACATCAGATCGCCAGTTATTCATCCCCTGCAAAATCAGTGCCAAGATTGATGAGTTCAGTATGACATGCAAAGCGACAATGACTATAAAGCCATCCATTAGATTTCATTTTATCAAAATATCTTACACGTAAAATATTTAATGCCAGTATATATTGTTTTACATGGACTATTTTTTTTAAAAAGAAATCGTGTAAAGTTAAAAAGATTGCATAAAATAATCAACTTTTCAAAAATTATTAACTTTTTAAACTTTATTTTGATCTTCAATTTAACCTCCACCTTTATGCATTGGAAAGACATTGCTGGGGTGTTTTAATGAGGACTCGACGTTTCGAAGACTGTAACGTAGTATTCTTCAATGCGATTGACAAACGGCCGGGGATACTTACGTACGGCACTGGAAGGCTTTTATTGTACAGTTTTCCAATGTCATCCAGGCACTTCCACGAGTCGGCGGTCAGACCAATTATCTTGCTCTGGATGGCCAGGTTGGCTTTGTTCTTTATGATATCCCACTGAAAAAAGATAGATTCGACTTAGGTCTATCTATCGTGGTTCTCAAAGATCATTTGTTCAGAGATCGGCATTTTGTTTCAAACAATAGTGATTGGACGGTGTTTACATCAGGTACATGCTCTCTTTCAAGTTTATCTAAACGATAATATTGACCATAAGTGCGTGGCAGAACATAAACTTTAGCCTAGAGATGAAAAAACACACGGGGTGCTGCTATAGGATATAGGATTGTAACATCTTTCAACCATGCAACAATCGAGATATTATTTTCAATCTTTCATGGACACCTGTCAAGGTATAGGTAATTGAGTTGTAATAATATTGCTTCCGTTACCTTGTAATCATCAGAGAACGATTCATCAGCAGGGACAGTCTTAATCTGATAAAAAAGGTGAACAAAATGAGAATGATAAAAGTATTAAGAACCAGGAATTCTTGTTCTGTATTGATTGGGAATAAAAACACACGTGCAGTTACTGAAGAACTGTTACATTATTTTAACATCTTTAAAATAATAAACAGACGTATGACAATTATGTTATTTATTTTAATACAAGTTGTATTCATCTTCCGATTGTACCTAAAAATGGTAACATTACAACGCCCTCTATGGTCAATTTGGCCCAATTCTTACCTGTGGTAACAAACCTGTCGCCTTACACTCCATCTCATATAGCTTCTTCTTCTCAGTCAATTCCTGTTTGCGTTGGTCCTTGTTCACATCGTGTTGCGGAAGCAGGCAGTCATACTTGGCGAATACGTGGCGAGTGTTTGCTTTGATCCAGCGGTGTATGGGGAAAACTATGGTGTCGCTGTTTGCTGAATGCACCACCTTTGGAAAAGAGCAAATATGGAAATATATGACAAATTTACTCTGATGGAAATGGCCTCTCTGGGCCTCCTTAACTTTTGAATATACTTTGGAACTGGTCAAGGCCTATGATAGAAGAGCTACGGCCTTCAAGCAGTGAACTCCGAAGAAAATTGCTTTTCTGAACCTCATTGTTATCTGATATTAGAATTAAATTATGCATACTGGAAGAGTATGAATAAGTATACTGCCTGTGTTAGTTGTGAACTCTGAAGAAACAAAATGGCATCTCTGAGCTTTCTTAACTTGTGACTTGGAAGAAACCCATAAATCACAACCATTATATCGAGCCTATTAGTGAGGTACATTAGTAACAAAAATGCTAAGGATCGTTACACAGTGGACAAAAGCACCATTTTTTTCACCAAAGCATCTCCATGGTATACCTTTTCGAAAAAAAGACGGACGCAAAAAATTGGATGATGGAAAGGGCATGTATGACGTCATTATGACGTCATCAGCTAATTATTACATGAAAAAATATAAATTAATAATAATCTTCAGACCTGCAAGCATCTCAACAACAAATTTGGTATCAAATTAAAGGGGATAACAAGATCTTTCATTTGAGTGGTATGTCATTGGGATGGAATATAGTTGAGGGTGATTTTGTGGGTCAAAGAAACCTTTTTGGTCAAAAGACCTGTTTTTCCGAAGAAAATTTATTTTACTTTTTTGTTTAGAATATACTGTTGCTCTTATGACGTTTCTACTGTACTGAAAAGTCGAAAACCCTGTATTTTTTATCTCCATTCTTTGTTCCATTTAATTCTGGACAAAAAATTGTATCATTATGCATGACATCGCACGTAAATATTATTGTTGCTAGGCTGCTTTCTTACATTTAGTAAATTCCGTCGTGTATGTTTTTTTTTTCCCGAGCCCTTACGGTGTGAGGCCACAGGGCCAGGGGCCTGCTTTAAGGCCCCTGAAAATGTTGGATTCTGGATGCACTGTGATGAAATATACTGAAGTATATACTTAAACTTATAAAACCCGAAAGGGTGTTTTTTGGTTCAAGTTAAAACAAAATGGTTCCACTGGAAGCGGGTGAATTTCTGTTCATAAAAATATTCACATAGGCCTAAACGATGTAGCTCTTGATATATTTGCAGTGTTATTTGTTTGTTACAGGGAATGGCAAATATAAAAGACTAACAGACCAAATGCATCTTTATGTTTATGATCGGTAGGTGGCAAGTTTGCGGCTAGGCAAGGATTTATCGGTCTACTGAGTTTTTATGAGGAAAAACTTGCAAAGGGTAACACATGAATAGCTTTTTTATTAAAACGAAACTACACTGGAACTAGTTTCAATGGAAGCCCGTCCCACTCCTTTTAGGTTGGGATGTGTGTGAACCTTGATATTTGTTAATGTTGAGTACAGAATGCTAGCAACGTCAATGAAACTTTTAAATGAAAAGAAAAACCTTCAGGGGAAAGGTATGAACTTTGCCCCTATTGAAAGAAAAACATCGTGGCAAGCATAATCAACTTTGCCACCATTGTCATGGAAAAGGTTATTTTTTCGGGTCAAAGCTTCCATAATGGCGGAAATATCATAGACATGTCATGATTTTAGATACATTGAGAGAAATATCGATTCTGCACTGCCTGAAAATTTAGAAAATACCTCCTCCTGATATTTTACAGTGTTACTTTGTGCTAGACGTTCGAAGCGCTAGCTAGCTAGCAACGTCAATGAAATTTTTAAATGAAAAGAAAAACCTTCAGGGGAAAGGTATGAACTTTGCCCCTATTGAAAGATCGAATGAAAAAAATCGTGACAAGCATAATCAACTTTGCCACCATTGTCATGGAAAAGGTTATTTTTTTCGGGTCAAAGCTTCCATAATGGCGGAAATATCATAGACATGTCATGATTTTAGATACATTGAGAGAAATATCGATTCTGCACTGCCTGAAAATTTAGAAAATACCTCCTCCTGATATTTTACAGTGTTACTTTGTGCTAGACGTTCGAAGCACCGCGCTAAGCCGCGGCAAAACTAGAAACGAACAAAACGAGGGAGATATTTTTAGATCAAGCACAATGTATAGCGCAGCGGCGCAATTTCAACGTCGTAGAACACTGCTGGCTGGAATACATTTTTGCCCGGGAGTAGGGGGTGCTGAAGCATATTTCAGCACCCCAATCCAAAAAGTTGGGGGTGCTGCAGCACCCACAGCACCCCCCGTTCCCGTGGGCTTGTTATTTTCGTTTCGGACTATTGAACCTTCGGACTGATTAACCTTATTCTAAATTCGGACTATCGAACCTTCGGATAAATAAACCTTCAGACTGATGAACCTTCGGATTAATGAACCTTCGGACTATTGCATCAAATGTTCGGATTAACGAACCTTATTTCATTTTCGGACTAACGAACCCCCCTCATGGAAATTTTGTGCATTTGAATTATCGAACCTTCGGACTAAAGAACCTTCGGACTATTGGACCTTCGGACTATCGAGCCCCCGTTTGTAATACATTGTTAAAAGACGTATCATCACCATTTCCGGCCACTCTGTTAATCTATTTCAGGTTACCACGTTCCTTTCTGTCTGGCTCCTAACCCATACCTCATTACCCGTAAAATACAACACATATAAGAATGTTACGTCTTCCAGCTATAGTATATGGTCAAAACAAATGGATGTGGTAAAGACCAAATTCAAGGAGCCGCACAATGTCACACAATTTATTTTCTGCGTGACAAATACCGTCATTGTAGCACTTTTGTCCATTATCAAAAATGCTTAGATTTTTCAAGAAAATTTGAAAATAGTGACGTCACTGCAACAGCAAATCAGCTCATTGTTACTTTTAAGTAACAATCAGCTGATTTGCTGTTGCAGTGACGTCACTATTTTCAAATGTCACTGATTATATCACTCTTCAATTCCCTGACCCTCAAAATGTCAAATTAATTACTTAGAATCTCATCACAACGCTTCACGACCTTATTTTCTACAATTAATTACTGTACGAACTTGGTAGTATATTGTGACGTCATTATTACGTCATAAAGTACCCTTCCTGTCATCTGATTTTTTACATCCTACCCTATTTTTGATCGTAACACATTGCCAAAGCTTTGGTGAAAAAAATGGTGCTTTTAAATACCATGTAACGATCCTTAGCATTTTTGTTACTAATGTAGTTCGCTATAAGATGCCTCACTTTTCCGCTTATCTTTGGAACAAGTTTAAACATATTTATGATACTAATAATCAATTACAAAAACTCTGGCATTGAATTTGAACTTTTCTCTCAAACTTAAAAACAACATCTCACAATACCACATACTGTTTGCATGTTTAAACAAAGTGTCAATGTGACTACCCAAAATCCATGATTTTAGCCTAAAAACATGTCTTTTGACCAAAAAAGGTTTTTTTGACCCACAAAATCACCCTTAACTATATTCCACCCCCATGATATACCACTCAAATGAAAGAACTTGCTGTCCCCTTTAATTTGATACCACATTTGTTGTTGTAATGCTTGTAGTTCTGAAGATTATTATTAATTTATATTTTTTTCATGTAATAATTAGCTGATGACGTCATAATGACGTCATACATGCTCTTCCCATCATCCAATTTTTTGCGTCCGTCTTTTTTTCGAAAAGGTATACCATGGAGATGCTTTGGTGAAAAAATGGTGCTTTTGTCCACCGTGTCACGATTTTTTCACTAAGGTACCTCACTACATAGGTCATAATCGTCATGTCGTCCGTGACATCATGCCGTCGGTCGCCCATGACCTATACGTGCAAAAGAGTAAAACTAAGTTCCTTATGTTCCACATGTTGTAATGTGAGATCCACGAGATTTCAAGTGGCATGCATGCATCTCGTGTAAAATCGAGCTGTTTCTTTTTTTCACGTGTGTACGTATACAAATTTTGCTTTCGGTCCCGTGACCCCGGCTGGGTAATTTACTCGGCGTCACGTGACCAAAGTAATCACAACTTGCAAGAAGTGTGATTTTATATTACGACTTACTTAGATTTTTGTGTGTGCATTGAGCCAGGCTTATAATATGTGGCGTCTGAGTGCCAGGTCTGTAGTTACTGTTTCCACAGCAAACCTATTTTTAACAATTTAGCTAGACCGAAGCTTAATTATCATACTGACTGATGCAACCACCGTGACGAGGGAAGGTCTGGATGCATTGAGTTTACTGGTCCCTATTATATCACACGCAATTCCCCATGCAAACGTATGACAGGTCGTTGGTCATGTGGGATTCAGAAAGACGGACATTGTTTGTATAAATAGGAATTATAAATTGCCGTGGAAATGTCATAACAATAGATTGGTACAGAAATATGGCAGGTGTCATTGTTGTGACCTTTGTACGAGAATGCTTCCGTGGTAAAAGAACAAAGTAAATAACATCATTTGTGTTACGTTTGAGTTTCGAATAACTTCATCACATATCAGTCAGTAAAGAAATACAACAGTTGCCTCTATCATATTGATCTATTCGCTGGAATACTTCTGATCGTAAACGAAAACCAAAGTTTCATTGTCTCCAAAATCTCCACAACCTTTACAGAATAGTTCAACAGGATATGAACTATTAAAATTCAGGAGTGTAACGTGAACTCTGACTTTCTGCCGTGTATACAAATAGAAACATACCAAACAAAGAGAGCTATACATGGAGCCAAACGGACTATCTGAAATCCGTACAATGAAAATGTTGTCGTTGCGAAGGACTCTCATCCCTGTAAATTTTACAGGATTTTCCACTCACGTTTCAAATTGTTACATTTTGTTGTGTCAGCATGGGTGTCAGTTTGTATTAAATTTTAATATGGAAGGTTCAATTTTCAACCTTTATTGCTTGCATTTAAGGGTCCAACTTTTATCTTACATCACACGATGGCGTGACGACGTGGTGAAAAAGACATTTCAAGAAAAGCGCACTTCGTTTTTACCATTTATGTTTTTTTCAAACGTGAGCTGTTGAAGGCTTTTTTTTGTCGCAGCGACAGATAAGCATAACAAGCAAACAGTTGTAAAGGAACAAGTTCCCCCACCGTCCCCAGCACCCCACTCTCTCCCATGCATGAAATGTGGTTTTTATTTGCCGAGGTAAACGGCCTCTCCTAAGCCTACCTCTATTTTCTCGACAAACCACTCGTCGCCACGCCCCGCGGAGTCCCTCCACAACTCAATCATTACGATCCGTCCAAAGTGGGAAAGGTTCTTAACCGGGAAACGATCGACATGTCCTCTCTCGAAGTCATCCTTCCACCAGTGGTTTAAAGTGATATCATGGGATCTGTTCCCGACATCACTGTACAAGGCAATGCGGACATTAGCGTCCGTGCCTGCTCTTTTAACGTCGCCCGTTTTGACGACGATTACGTAATCGTCGCGTGTGTTTTTCATTATTTCAATGTTTCACAGTTCCGATGCCCGCTCCAGTTATAGTGCGCGCTATACTAATAGGGAAGTTGAAAATCTACGCGAGAGACGAATGGTTGCGATAGCGCCTCCCTCCAATTATACCAGAACAGGAGAATGCCAAGCGCATTGTAAGGCCACAATCCACACAGACGTGTGCCTACCGCAAATATACAAGGAAATACATTGGATACGTATCATCACCTATGACCCAGACACCATGAAATACGGTCACGTGATTTTCTGACACAGTTCAACAACATCACGTCAACAATGGTAAGCTTTGGATATAGACTGGTAGCCTGTTCTTATTGGAATATAAACGGATAGGATATGGGTAAAACCGTTCATAGGTTAAGCAACCATTATGAAGTCAAGATAGTCTAGTGGTTTTTATTAGGTTAACTCTGTAAAAGTCGTGTCGTAGCGTCCTCCATTATAAGGCCTTAATTTGAGAGAAGTGAGGGTGTAATTTAAACTTCAGTGATTAACGTACTTCAGTAATAACTTCAGTATTTAGGGGATTTCTTGTCAGGCCATGCTCATGAGATGAGTGGACAGATGAAGATATACACACGTTCCCAGTTGAGTTGCGTTCTACTTGTTGTGCAATCAAAATGTGCAAAAACTTACTTTTTTGTCCTAGAATCCCTTTAATTAGATTCTTCGCATCAAAAAGTATGAAATTACAGGCTCAAATAGCAACGTGACGGTTTTCTCGGTCAAATGTAAAGTTCATTTGCGTACTCTGTCCGGTAATCTGAAGTATGTTGGCTTACCTCTATCTTCTCGACGAACCAATCATCCTTTAATCCCGAAGAGTCTCTCCATAACTCAATCTGGTCTATCCTTCCGAAGTTGGGCAAATTCGTAACTGGGTAGCTATCAACACTACCCCTCTCCAAATCATCCTTCCAGCGGCAATTTAAAGGAATGTCTTTGGATCTGCACTGAGAGTCGTTAATAAAGGCGATAAAGACATTTGCATCTGTGCCTGCACCTTTAACGTCACCTGTCTTGACAACGATTACGTAATCGGGAGGACACTTATTGGCACTTGCTGCACATGAGTTTCCCATGGTGTACAGTTTGAACACACTCTTCAGGTTCAAGTTAAAGCTGCGCCTAATTGAAGCAGAATATTCGATTCCGTCAGTCCGTTTACAACACTGAGGAGACCACAACAATATCGGAGCACGTCAACGTCACACCAAATAAAACTTTAAACTGGCTGACTGCGTTTTCAAGACCAAAGTGAATGACTTACTATGACACCATGCACATCAATATTATGCCACTCAACAACTACTGTCCCGTATGGTATACATTTTATGCACCTGATGTACTTGACCTCGAACGAGCAAGAGTGTTGCTATGCCGAATTGTTTGCCCACTCAACCATTGAGGATCAGTCATTTGAGGTCGCCTTGTTTACCAGTGTTTCCATAGGACCAAGGTTGACATGGTGTAGGTCAATATGTTCTTATTCTTATGGCAATACTCAATACAACGTTCTTTGATTGTCAAAAGGTGTTATATTTGTTCCGTGTGGAATAATAATTGCTTCTATGACACGCTGCACGTGGAGGGTTATCCTATAGCTGACTATGGTCCTCTGTGCTTGATGACTGATGTGTTCTATTAAACTCTGACCATGCTCTGCATAGTAATAATATGACTACTGGTCCATGGTACAACAAATTAGTGTAGTAACTTGTGTCCAACAGTAGGCATATATTAAGTCTGCAGTCGATACGCTGCGGCATTGCATAATTATAGCACTTCGTGGGTGATTTGGCAATATATTAACATGTGCTTCGCGCGATTTGTTTGAGGAAATAAAACATTCATCATAATAATTCATTTTGTGATAATTTGGTTTCGCAAAGACCGCAGAAAAACGCTTGACTCATCAACGAGGGGAAAAAACAGACCTGTTTCTTTCGGTCTTTCGAGGAGCATGAAGTAGGTCAAAATATACAATCAGGCACAATGGCCCATAGCTTAAAGTAAAGATACCAGATGAGAATATGCGGAGTTTTACAGTAAAAGAATCTAAGAAGTTTAATTTCAAGTTGGTAAAGAAATCAATTTCACTCGAAGCGTTACAACTGCGCTATGATATTCTTTGTAAAGCCTGAAGACAAAATCTCAGAGACGCACAAGAAAGAAATTAGATTATGTAATCAGAAAAAAGCAAATTAGTGGGTATTTGTATTCATACGCGCTGTGTAGACGGATGAAGCCCTAGGGTCTCCAGGTTCCTGAGTCAGCAGTGACCTGATTGAGATGTTTGTCCCCGTTAAATTGTACTTTTCCTAAGGTCGGACGTACTATGTCTCGGGGACTAATTTCTGAACGCAAGTGGGGCAAGATTGAGGCAATCTATATGCAGAGTGGCCATGCAGTTTCATCTGCTTTGGAAGAGCCTGGTGGTATAAGAAGTGGTGAAGGAGAACAACGTTTGATGGCATGGCAATGAAGAACGCGTTAAAAGTAACATCATTTGTTAAAGAGAAACCTGTTCGCACAATTATTTATAAACAATCTAAATTTAAATATGTGGGCGTGATTCCACGGATCAAAAAATGAAGTGCAGGCTACTTTTTAGAAATAAACCAAATTAGTAAACTATATTACAGTAATCTAAACGGGAAGTAACGAATGCATGTATTAGTTTTTCTGTATGTGATTGATCGAAACGATTCCCTTTTTAAATTTTACTTCCTTTAATACCACTAAAACTTTGTTTGCCGTGTTTACCTTTAATTTCAAAGTGGGGAAGTTTTGATAGTCCGCCAGCTGTAGACGATATTAATAGCATCGAGGACCTAGCTCTATGCTTATAGCTATTACCGTGTAAGAATGCTTCCATCGGTACTTGTCCCAGATCGCGTACAATTACAGACTTGATATCCTGTTCAGTCACCAACATAATACGTCAGGGGCTGCTTGCCTGCCAAATATCCAGCAGTAATAAAACCATAGGCTTTTACTTGAGAGTTAACGTTTTAATTACATCACCTCACGGCGGTAGCGAGTGTGTACATGTACACATATTGGCACAGTGTAGCGCTGGGCAGGTCAGCATGTGTTTTATTGGTCGCACAAGGCACGTTCTTCCTTCATCTCTTAAAGGCATCTTTTTATCTTGACCCGCCGTACATGCTCTACTGCCTCTCCGCTTACTTCAGTTTTCTCAGTCCATCCTTAAGACTTTCCAGTTGAGACTGAAGTGGCTGTAGGGTTAAAAAGGTCTTATTCTGGATTTCGAGTGAAATGAGGCCACTCGTTACAACTGACTCACATCTTGGTTTGGATGAGATACATAGGTTTTGAGAGACGAGTAACGTGACAAGGGTGCGTCTAAAGCATTGGCCTGTTTTGAAAAGACTTAGGCTTGTACACAAGCTCATGGAGTAAAAGATAAAATTCTGCGCATGAAACCAATTAAGTGCCAAAATATGTGTTGCCACACATTTTGCTCGATAATTGCACTTAACAGCAATGAATGTATTTAGTATTCGCCTCACTGTTGAACCCACACAACCCCTTTCCCAAGTTATGAAGTATTTATTTCCAATGTCGAAATGAAATAAACATGAACTATGTTTGGTAAATACGCCACTGATAAAACGTCTGAAAGGGGTTACTACTTTCACAAGTTTCAAAAATAGTTGAACTTTGACCTTTGACCTGGCTTACTTCGACGGGTTGCGTCATACTTCCGAGTATCATACCACGGGCACAATATCAGTTTGGCTAAGGATAATCCACTGGATACAAACAGGTTGTTCAAAGAGAGCCGCATGGCAGCTTATAGTACTCAAATCCCTGGTATGGACATTAATTATAGATAGAATACTCGAAGGCATTCTTTTCACATGTATAGTTGATGCTTCATGCGATCTTGCAAGCAAAAACGCAGTTTAGAAGATCTGAAATGCTTCCAGCGGGAATAAACCAACTCTGGATATTCGCTTTAAAGTCGTTAGTTAGAGCCAGTGCTAGTTAATAGCACAGTGAGTGACGAGTCGAAGCGTCGCTGATCATTATTTCCCTCAACGCTACCCGATCATTCATTGCAACTTACCGCTCACGTTGAGTTGAACCAGTTGTCATATATTTATATTCATATGCGCAGAAGGGCCCCTCGGTTATGCCCGTGAGCATACGGCGCCGTTCCTTGCGGATTTTGAGTGCTGTTTGTATTTGGCTCGGACTTTGAAACTGGACACCAGACACGAGTGAAGGGGGTTGGCTGCCTGCAGACTCTACATGTACATCAGCGCCTTGAATACTCAAGGGATGAGGCGAAGGAACAAGAGGATACGGGGAATGCATCAGAGATGTAAATAACTCCTTGGTTTCATCTTGAAGAGTGGAAGATGACGAGCAACGTCTCACTGGTGAAACAGCCAAGATCACGTATCAGTTTTTGATCAATGAAAGGCGACCACGTGCGCTTCAAATTGGCGTTACTGTACTCGCTGTTTGTGATTTTGCTGGTCTTCAGTTCGATGTTTGGGACAGTTGGGACGTTGCTTTGGTAAGCAAATACACCCATGGCTAGACTACAGGAAGAAGATGTGTTGAAGTACCTATCCGCCATGGAACGGTGGAAAATCGAAAATGTTTGTATTAATTCTTGCATAAAACAGTAGGTGGGTTTTACTCTGGACGGTACCGATTAATTTCGAAGATGACGGTGTCGAGAATATATCAACAACAAAGTAACTCTCGGGTTGATGAACTTAATGATGATCTTGACGAGATCAGCAACGATATCAGGTAAGACAAACAATTGTGACAGTGATTTTTGATGCCGACATACTGATATCCACTGAGATGCACAATAATGTTCCATAATTTAGTTGAATGTGATGCTGTCCTGGCAATAACCGTCTGATCCTCCTAATCAACTTGATATCAGGATCTTGAAATTCTTATTGTCTCAACTCCATATCTGTGTTCTTCTAGAAGAAGAAAGAGTGTAATGAAACTTAGCATTGATAACAACGACCACATTGGCAAAGAATCAAGCGTATCATGTACAAGAGTTATATGACTCTTGAATGTGGGGTCTCTCGAGGTAGAATCTTTGATGTTCTTGTATTTAGTAGTCACAATCCTCGGATAGCTATTAAAAGACTAACATATGTTTCCTTCATTTGCAGGTGAAGCACGACGGCCTGGCAAAAAGTTTGCATGACAGATGGACTGAATATTATTATTGGGATTAAACTCTAAAGCATTGAGCCAGCAACAACGCAAGCAAATATTAACCTACCAGCAAGAGATAAGATATTTGTTCTGATACATGGATCATGGTCGAGTCTGCGCGTTGTGGAATTTAAAGTAGCTTTATTCGATAAAGCGATTATGTCAAGAATTTATTTTCGATGTAATATCCTTGGCGGTGGCGAGGGGATATACACGCTGAAGTGGCACTTGGTGTGAACGCTAATGTGTTTGTTGGCTGCAATCACACAAGACCGATGGAGAGCCTAATGGTGTGTGATTGGTGTGACGGTATGGCTTGTAAGCTTGTGTAGTTGAAGCTGTGATGAGACAGGACAGGAGATGCAGAGGCTAGGTTTCAAGTCTTGTGTTCCTGGAAGGTCATACCAAGAATGGCATACCGTGAGGGTCAGGGTTTGGAGCAGCAGTACAGCCCAAAGAGACCCGAAACTGATCTCTCAGGTGCGTTAAGCTTGACCGTGGAAGCTGTTACTCTCATTGGGAATATCTTCCCCACTCTGGTGGCGTTTAAGCTCAAGAAGCGATCTGAACGAACTGCTACTGATCTCTTGATCGGTTCTTTAGCGGTGACTGACATATTAGCTGTTGTGATGCCGCTACCAGTGTCTTTACCGAGCTTTATAGCTCAAGATTCGTGGACTGGTGGTAAGAGTGCCTGCTTGTATTATCAATTCATGGTCTTCTGGTTGCAGAATAGCGCCATGTTGTTGGTAACGGCTATGGCTCTTGAAAGGTTCCTAGCAATCTGCCTTCCAATGCGGTATAAGAGATGGACAACAAGGACTAGAGTTAGGATAACCATAGCCTTTGTCTACACCTTCGCCTTTACAACTTCATGCCTTCCTTTCTTCGGACTAGCCCCTCCTGTTGTGCTTGTGAAGGACGACGAGAACCCTGAATCCTCCAAAGCCCTTTGTCGGTCTTGGATATCCTCGGGGCCAGACCACTGGCATCAGAGTATATTCCCAATGGTATTAATACTGGAAGGTTGGATCACAATGGTCTTGGTGTTAATCTTAAACACTTGTATCATTCGACGTCTGACACGATTCAGAAGACGATTAGAGTCCACCGAAGTGACCTATCCAATGCGGCCTAAGGATAGTCGAGCAGAGACTCCAAGTGTCGCTACAGAGCCAGCGGTACCAGGGCCATCTTCTTCTACCGTCGACCGACGCTCTTTACGGGAGTTCTCCAAGCTAGTCATCGTGGTAACTGTTCTCTTCTATTGTACCTGGCTTCCTGTCATGGTAAGTATCTGATATTTACACCGCATAGAATCACAGGTGTTAAAATGGCACCGTGTGGTATTATGATAACCAGACTTCTTCATGCGAGAATGAAGTACATGTACTTGTGTAACGAGCTAGACCTCATACCAACATAATTATGAGCATTGTTGTACAATTAGCGTGTCTCCTTTATCGTACTACCTTTAAGTGTCATCTTTTTTTGGCGCCAATTTCACCCAACTGAAAAAGTTTATAAAGGGCATTCGCAGAGTCTTATGAACATAACTTGCACAACTATCACAAAGGCTAACGATTTCATGTAAATTCGTTTAAGCAGAAACTCCTCAAACTCATTGTAGTTGTTATTACGTTAATAAACTAAATGGTAACGGTTCTAAGCACGCTCTTTAATAAAAGTTAATAATAATTATTGTTGACATGACTGCGTGAATTGCCATGTCAGCACTGGGCTTTTAATAATTGCTTGATGGCTTGGACATTTCGTATGTCATTAGTCGCATAGTAATGTAGATGCGTGGGAGAAACTGTCATCGTTTTCAGTTTGAACCTTCCTTCAGCGTTGACTCACTGAACAGGTAGACTACAAGTACCATCTGGATAGCAAACTAATGATTGATGAAGTACGTTATAGTAATAGGCGCCGTGAAGTCATGGGGATGTATCTAAAATTGCAATTTGGTATGCTATAAGGTGCCTTGCTCATGGTCTATTAGATTTGAGTATTCTTCGTTCCTAGATGATGTGATTTACCAGATAGGCGTGGAATAAGACGAACGTGTTGTTGGCTTGAGTTTCTTTATTACTGTATTTTTTTCCCGATAACATGCCTGATTGTGAATTTTACTTCAATTTTTGGAGTAACTTGATCTAGTTCAACACCAATACTGATTGGTACTGCAAAACTTGTGATAATCAAAAATGCATGCTACTTATTTTTCTTATCCATAACTTATTTACTTATAATCATAATTTCGTTTAAATATACAAAGTTTTGTTCTGCTCTTCCTTTTTTGTTTTCCTTACATCCCCTCCCTGTCATATTTATCGTCTTGTCCTATTCCCATTCATATTTATCGTCTGTAGTTCTTACTACTCTTCAGTTGTTGTTTTCTGGTGATAGTGCCGCTCATCGTTTATGCATTCACGGAACGTAACCTGGTCTTGCTACAGGTTGCAAACCTCATGTACTTATTCCCACGAGACATTGTCTAGTCCCTTAATCCATAGTAATTCTTCAGAGGAAATGAGTATCGGTACCAGGGATTCTGCTCGATATTCGTATGAATATTAAGATGCAAAACAAGCGCTTGTTTGTGGTCTTATCTTCCGCTTCTCTTAATCTGGCTATATACTATACGTGAATACTAATGTATAACATCGTACGATTGCACGGACTTGTACGATAACAATCTAGATGAAATGAGTTGGACATCAGAGATTTTACTAACAGGATTATTATTAGTACTTGATTAATGCATGAACAAATTATATAGTGTTTCCGCTGCTTGCTAAATTTGATGTAGAGAGAATGATGTTTGTTTTAAATTACTGAACATAACGGGCAACGACTAGGGAAAATGAAATACAATGTTTATTATACCACGATTATGCGCGTGTCGAACGCGTTCTTATTTTGAGGTGCGCGTGCAATTTAAAACCTAATTGGTCAAAGGGGCACAGGGTTAGCGCTCACCACCTCCGCGCGAGCGTGGTTTTACCTCAATGCTGAATAGACACCTCTCATTGACATCCATCTTCGATGGCAAAATGTTCTATAAACGCGCATATATTGCTCGAAATTTTTTCGAAAACGCCGGCGCAGCCGATGCGCGTCACGAAAACTTGACTCCAAAAATGCGGATGCACGTGACAATCTGTAGGCAATGACGTCATTAATTGAGAGAGAGAGATTTTAATTTTGCTCGTCGGATAAGTGTAATACTGAGAGATTGACAGGCGTTGACGATATTGAAAATGAGCTACCTACCTGCTTCCTTTGATATATACACGAACACAGGAAATCAATTCTTGACTCTGTACACCTTTCTGTCAACCGTTCTGTTTGCAAATCAAAACAAGAGAATGCCGTTATTAAGAAACTGGGACTATGATTATGTCAGTCTATAAATCATGTCCTCAGCTAAGAGGGGCTAGGCGGGTTTTTTTTGTAAAAGGAACCAAGATTGGCAAATTCCAAAAAAAAAAAAATATTGGGGGGGGGGCGGAGGGGTGGCCGTGTATGTCAATACGGGTATCGCCGTTGAATAATTGAGATGGATTCTTTTTCAAAACATCCCTTTTAATTTCCGATTGCTGTTATCAATCCTTGTGAATTAAGGAGCTAAATCTTCATCCCCTCGACTTTGCAAACCACTGACAGTAAAACTAAGCCTGGTTTAAGCAAAACATCTAGATGGAGAACATAAATCACCCGGATAGTGTCCCCGTTTGTCCCAATCTCCGATGCCACAACTATTCTTCATGTATAGGACCAACCGGAAATTAACAGGCGATTCATCAAATCCATAGACTGTTTATCAACATTTTCTGCAAAATTCGAGCGAAATGCTCCAGAAATGTTGATGATTATTTGTTGATAATCATTGTAAACAACTTAAGAATAACAAATGTCGAGTTTTCTCATCACAAATTGCCTTTGTATCATGCGTCTTGTGACGCCACTATTCGCATGAACGGTGGCTTAAGTGTAATTTAAGATTCAGGATATTGAGCATAGAGGACATGCATTATTATACCCAAGAGATTTATATCAATACAAAAAGCTTTGGAAGCTTGATGCCAAGTTTTTAAAACTATATTGAAACGCAGCATAGCAGGGAAAATCAAAAGAAGAACGGAAAACAAAAGACTGGGTTTTTCTTTTGGAATGAACTCTCTCGTTTATCTCTAATATAATAACACTTTGAGTTTGGTGAGAATAACGGCTAACGCTTGAAATTGTGGGCATCGTACAATTTCCAGACAATTCTAGGGTTGAAGAGGGCTAAGGTGTGGTAAGCTAAAGGGACGACTGTTTCATGGTTCCTTAATGCCACCAAAGTGCGCATGTCTGAGCGGAAAGGACACCACTTGGCTGCTCAAAACTAATCAATCATCTACGGAGAACATTTGATTTCTCCAGAGAGTAACAGGACAACGATATGACGCGCGTCGATGTCTCATTTTGTTAAGAGTGGGTCTGTAACATTACCTCAGACCCTAGTCATATCTCTACTCTGTTCCATTTGTATGATTGCAAGCTAACGTTACATCAGATATCCTAAGCTAGTTTTCACAGTTGGAACCAACGGTCAACACGTCTCACACATAAACCGGTCAAATCTCTTGATCTATTTACTCTTAGACCCTGCACTGTCTTGACAAGTCCTCCTCACAACGGACTTTGGGCTTGTCTCTCTCCCCACAGAAGCTGCTCGTCACGTCTTGTGAATAGCATCTTCTATCTTGGGAACAGTTATAGATGAGACGCGTAGGAGTGCTGTACTGTGTGGCAGCTTATCAGGCGCCAGAATGCAATAAAAACGCGAGGAAATTACAAACATTTTGAAGACTCTAATAAACGCTCAGGCACTTTCGTAATCGAAAGTGTGTTGCACGCTACTACTTAACTACACATCGGGTTATGGGTAGCAATTTGAAGATTCCATGAATGAGTATTGGAGGAGTTTCTTGTTAGTGCTGTTTTTGCTTCATAAGGTTGGGAGGAATACAAATTCATGGAGGAGCTGCGTCATACTTTTTTTAACAGAATGAAAGAAGGAACAATATAAAAACAAATAAGCTTCCCCCACCCTTTTTATGATAAACTGAACTGTCATGTTCCGATTTCTTGGAAGACTGTTTCATATACAACGAGGCTCTCGCCTTATTGACATTATAAGAAATCTATTCTGTTAACCAATACGGCATTTTTGAGTAAACTGAAGACGAACGTGTGGATTCAATTTTGCTTTTGTGATATTTATTTGTTTGAGCTGAACATTAACATGAAACGTCTGCTAGTGATTGATGACATAACGTGGGAGTTCTTTAAAACTCCAAACACGTACCTGAAAGCGATAGAAATCTAATTGTTCTCGCCGTCCACATCGGAGTGTGACCAGGCTTTAATTTAGTTTGTTTGGTCAAATCAGTATACGTTTCCGTGCATTATTATCAAACCGAAGATATCAAACGATATCCATTTCTTTAGAAACCGTGAAAAGTACTTTTTTTACGGCTCCTCTGTATTTTTTTCGTCTTGTTATGTTATCTGTTACTTCATAGGTCAAAAACGTAATTGTTAAGGAAAGACATAATAGGGCTAAATATTTGATAATTTCTTTATAATCACTAGACACACTTCAGACAACTGCTGGCTCCTATTCAGTGACTCATGAATGTATACATGAAGCAAATCGCATCCTGTCCGCAAATGTCACAGACATGCATACTTTGCCGATGTTTATTTCTATTAATATGTTACACCTGACATTTCGGTACCTGTAGGCCATAAAGAAAAAAAAATAACGTTCACCATTAGGGTGCACGATCATAACACTAACAGCTGGAAACTATTAAGACAAATTGCACAATGTTCGCTGATTGTTAGTTCTGTTGTCATAAAACACTTCAAGCTGATTCAAATCAAACCAGATTCAAACCAAATGATCCGAAGCTCACTGAAGGTGGTACTAAAGTTCAATCGAAACGACCCAAAACTACCGCCGACGGGACCGACGTAATAACTAATCAAAATCTTAGTGGATCTGAATTGCTTTGTCATTTTTCACACCTCAATCTCAATCACACCCAAAATATATATTATTCATAAAAGTGTGCAGCCTTCTTTCTAATAATGAATAATCGATGTCAGCCTTTTAAAGGCCAAAGCCTACATTCACAAGAATAAAGAACCAAAATGAACAAAAAAGGACTGCATTTTTCTGATGCAATGACGTCTCAAACCACTTGGGCCCGTTTTGTTCTATTCATAATAAACACGCATCTTTCTAGACTGCATGTGGGTATGTGTACAAGTGATTTAATAGCATGGAAACACGCGTTTATGGCAGATTCGAGTGATATTCCCAGCGTTGCTTAGAGCTATGAGTGTGTCTGGTTAGTGTTAACTGCATCATATCAACGCTATAAATTTAATTTAAAAACCTGAGCGAAGACTGTAGACATAACGCTTTAATGCTATAGGCTACTCTGTAACGCTGGTGTTGTTTTTTTTCTCCCTCGGGCTTTTTGTCTAAAAAATAATGAACGGCAAAAGCGTCACCGGCACAATTATCACGCTGCTGCTATATAGACAATATGGAAAGGTTCAGGGCTTATTCAATCGCAACAGTCATACTAAATAAACCCAAATTCCGATGAATTTTGCATGTAATTTTTTTTTGATGGAGTAGGCCTAGGCCTTCCGTGTCAATTATGGAACAGGTATGGACAATTAAATAACACATTTACAGTCACACAATACCGCAGGTGTTAATTCAATGTCCCAAATTAAAATCAATTTCCGCTACTAACTTATCAAGGCTTTCTTCATTCTGTTGAGGTGATACTATAACGTTTAATGGTGAGGTTCACCTGTCTTTGGTACATTCTCAGGTGTAAGCATGATCATCACGTTGACTGCCTTACACCTCAGATCCTGTACAATTAGTGAAATCGTACGCAGATGCTCTGGATTCAAATGACGCACGCAATTCACAACCACACTGGACAGTGCAAGCAATTATCGATAGGCAGACTACCATTACAGATTGTGATCATACACAGACGTGTTCATAACATGGAACGACCTGGTTTAACCCACATTATGGCTTGGTATGGTTTACCATCGGAGGAATGCCATAAGGCAGACATTCGGAATCTAACCCAGATTTTAATGCCGTGAACTGAGAGAGCGAGGTCTTGTTAAAATGTTGAAGAATCCATCGCTTTGTAATCCAGGCTATAGACTTACTAGACTTATTTCTTCGTCATCAAATATATAAATACACTTAAGTTTAGAAGGCGTGGGAATTGCTTTGTATATCGTAAAATGTTTTGCAAGCCTTCCTAATCTGTTGGACAGCTGTATTTTGTGTACTTGCAAGGTGTTTATTATTAAAAAAAATATTTTTAGCTTAACAGTTTGTTTTTCCTGCAGCGGACCCCACTTGTGCGAGGCTTCGCGCATGATACTTATATTGTGGCCACTACCGTGACAGTTTCGGCTCGTTTGATTTTTGCATTCCTGGCTACAAGTCACATTGATGCCTTTCACAATATGGTGTTAAAGGGTTCATTTGTGCAGTGTTTGATAAATGCATGTAATAAGTATGAGATAAAGAGCAACATTTGTTCCAAATGTGATTCCAATTTAACGAGGTTTAACCAAAATACAATTCCTTCTGTTGAGACGGAATAACACAGTATAAAATAAGCATATGAGTGTACAAACTTGATAGTTTGCATCTAGGCTATTATTCGTAATAAATAGTAACACCTTTTTGGAAGAACCAAAAAGGTAAATCAGATAATACGGAAAAACTTAAAGATACAGACAGAAATCGTGTAGAGAGTTTTCTCTAGTTACACAACATCGATTCCAATGCAAACTGAGGATTGAACATGATACTCGTCTGATAAGGTAAAACAATACACGCCCGTTTTCCCCTGCGAATTAAAATCAGAGCAATTTAGATATATTGATCAAATACCATTATATTTTTTATCTATAGTACCTGTCTATCAGATATATACCTCCGAGTTATATTCTCATAATTTAATGAACTGCCGATGGTGTTCAGCGGCATTTTAAATTAAATCGCTCAAGTGCAACAAAGGGAAACGTACGGTGTCTCCACTAAGACACGGAAGGAGGTCACCTTATAATTGCCCTCCCAACGGTTCATTTTGCTTCAATTAAGTTCCCGTATCATGTTTCTATTTTATTAGTATTGAGCGAAGCTGTCAGGTAATTAACTTTCAAACTTCTTTTTTTTTCTGACGGGTTTCATCGAGTAAGCGAAAGAGCCGATTGTGCCTGTCTAGATTGTCGAGTGATGAATGTTGAGTAATAACTAAGTTAAAGGTGTAATGTTCACTGCACATGTATAGCCTTGTATTGGGTCGGTCTTTTGAAAGTATACACACCTGAAAACTCCGGTATGAGAAACACCAAGCGCCCTCTATCTATTCCCAAAGACTAGTCGTGTCCCATTTTTTCTACGGTAAAGAATTTAGCGGTGATGACCCGGAAACCGACACAATTGGGTCAAAGTAATCGATGAAATCGTCTTCCCACATTGCAAGGTGACCCGCGTAACCGACACTTGATGTCTTTCTCGTCTTGGATTTTTTTCCAGCATGGTGGATTAATCAGTTAGATTTCAGGAATGAGACGGAAACCGCAAATGACATTTTTGCAATTAGTATAGAAAAAATGAGGCAGTCGTCTCGCCTGCCACGCGACGCTTGTTTAAAGAAAAAGAGCAACGTACGCGACTATGGAACGGCTTTACTTGAACCTTTATTAAAAAAAAAGTTCAAAATATTGGACCATATAACTGAGTAACATGTGGACGAGCTGCTAGTGAAGGTCGATGAACGCAAAAGTCGCAAGACCGAACTATGATTTCAATTTAATTTAATTATAAACACAAAGTGAGCGCTTGGCATAATATTGCAGACGATGACGGCAGGTCCATTTCATTATCATAATTCTACCTGGGCATTCTTTTAGCGGACTTTAAATGTAACCTATTAGATTAGTCAAATCACTTAAAGGCTTCAGGAAATAATTTCACGTTGAGTAACCTGCCAGCAATTCACAAATGAAATGCAGTTTTTTGCTTGGTGTCAGCGTAATCACGATAACACCTTGAAGCAATCAACAGCATACAGTGTTTGAGTTAGAGGCCTGGTAAAAGATCCTGACTTTTTTTTATTTAATCAAGTTTCAAGCTAGAGTCAGCATCCCGAGAATAAACACTGATGCCTCCAAGCTGTCTGAGCACGGGACCTAATAAATTTGGTGCCATCTTTATTCTTTTTCATAAGGATGTGAGGCAAAAATAAACAATTAACTTTACATCGCCATTCAACCGCACCAAAAGATCCAACAAAGACATTGCTCCGATCCATTTCAAAAGCAGCCGCTTCGGTATTACTTTTCAAAATGGGCATATATAGCTCTATTTCTGGTGGTCACAGTCCACAGTATTCCTAACACTATGAAAAAAATATCTTCACCCAACTTCTTCTCTTCTTGAATTCTTCCTATTCCAGTGTCAATCTTTCGGCACTGCAAATACGCCGGTGAAGGGCAAAACCCAGTATTGAATTTACATCACCCCTGATGAATATTTTGTCATCATGAGCAATCCGCGGAGAGGAAATCACTGATTATAATAACATATATTTTTTTATCCAAACTTTTTCCTTTAACCATTTGCAATATTTTGTCTCGTACATCAGGTAGTCATGACGTTGACTCAATGTGGAATGGTTGTCAGTCAACTGGTGGCGGTCTATGCAGTTATGAGCACAACACTCAACGGACTGCTCAATCCATTCGTGTATGGCGCCCTCAGTCGGCAGTATAGACAGGGATACTTCAGATTGCTCAACAGCCTCGGGACACGATGTGGTTTACATAGGATATGCAAGGGTAATGTGCCTGTATCGTCTGATGTGAACTGCGCCCTCTGTTTACATGCAGATAGTCGCAACGTGTGTTGTTTTACCGATTCAGCAAATTGTGCTAAATTGTTAACACTCTTACAATTTTGGGTCCGCACAAATAATACTAAATTTTGCCTCATCACATTACGGGTTCCATTGAGTTAAATTGTTACTGCAGTCCACAGACACACAGTAAACTGTGGCCTAATAGTTACACCCATACTGATATATAGGGAGTCGACAAATATGACTATCAATGCACTTATATATGAAAAACAAATACATCAGGATGATCTAATTAATATATTTGAAATCATTGCTTTGTATGTTTTGAAGGTTGTGTATCCTCCAACACTGCATCCGAAACTCCACAACAAAGCAACACATCAACCAAGAAACAAACCGAGCAGACCTCTTTAAAATGTATCAACATTACCGTCAACAACACGGCCGAGACTGAACAACTGAATACAACACAGGATGAACAACGAAAAGAAACATCTATATGAAAAGGTGTCTGCAGTTACAGCTAGGAACAGTTTTGGGCTGGATTGATGCATCGTAAGAGCTCAAGCTTCATTTTTGCATCCTATGAGAATGGGATCTGAAGATCAACCATAGTCACTTGAAAGGCATTGGGAGGTGCCTGTATTTGTTTTTATAAATTATAAATTTAATTATGACTTGTATTTTCATATTTTATTCGTCTTGTATGTGCGATTATGCCTTGCCTTGTTTTTTAATGTCGTGAGAAATATACATTAGTCTAACCGCGAATGGTGTCGCTTTATTACATTAAAGGATGTTTCCAATTGATTTACTGTACAAGGCACAAGGGAAATCAGAAATTTTACGATTTTCATTTTCAACGAAAACGTTATGAAGATCATCAGCGGCCGTGTGATGTGGATTGTATAAAAGCTGCTTTCCATAAATTAAGAGCCTCTTAGTGTCAGACCTTAAACATGTTTTCCAAGAAAATGTGTGCCTGGCAATGTTCTTTGTTAAAACCACCAATCTGTGTAAGGCGTTGAAGACGCGAATGTCTGCATGTATGTCATCAATGATAAAGCTTTAAATTTTGATTAGGTATAAGTGCGCCAGCTAAAAATATTATGATGAATGTGGCTGTGGCTTGGTGATGATTCTGGTTTGGACATGATTGATGGCAATGGTGTTCGATGTGAAAGCGTGGGATGTTATAGTGATGTATATGGTCTAAATTGTATTTGATTGGAATTGTGTAGTGGTGATGATATTAGAATGTGGTGGCGAGATATAGTGTTGCAAGGCGGTGGTGTTAATGTTCCCTTATGATGGTAATGGTAAATGTATTTAATAAGGTGATTATGATTCGTTTCGGTTTGGAGTGACATGGAGTGTTTGCTTGTAAGTCCTATAAGTAGGATTGTGATGTGAGGACGATGATGATGGGATGACTGTCAAGTTATGGGAGATGGGAATACTTCTCGGGTCATAGGTGACTTGGGAAGCAAGGGAATGTAAAGAGAGAACAGAGAGACAGAGACGAAGAAATGTCAGCTGAGCAAATGGTACAACTGCACTGCTTAAGATGAAGCAGATGATAGCAAGGATGAGTGGTTAGTTCTTAAGAAGGTCCTGTACACGTGTTTACTTCTACACACTCGTTTCGTGAGATGAGAACCTAAGTTTTCATATCACGCATGTGAGTGTTACTCGGATGTAGATTCATGACTAATACCATGTACTTAGTTTGAACAGTCTCCTATCTGCAGAAGAATTTTTCTCATGTCGATCATTGTTGAAGACTTACCCGAGAAGATTGAATTTTAAGTGTGCAGCTGTTGAGGTGAGTGATCAATGATGGAATATGATTGCAAAATAAATAGATGGAGGGGGTCTTGAGAAGAATGGCAAATATGTAGTGTTGGGATGGCAAAAGGATGACCAAACAGAAGGGAGTCTTAGATAAAATGTAAAGGGAGAGTTAGATATTTATCAGGGTGCAGGGTTAAGGCACTGGAGAGGTAACCTTTCAATGCATCGAGCTTCGGGAATTGGTCGACAAAATGTTTAATGATCAAATGCGGCACTCAGCTAAGTTAAAGTGTCCGAGACATACTGTTGCGACTTATTCTAATCCAATTCTTCTTGTTCTGTGTCTTTAACGTATACAGCTTATTTGAAAGTTCATTACCAAATGTTTAATTGCGCATGTAATGATATGAACAAGAGATAGCAATGATAGAGGGTTTATACTTGTGATGCCAGTTTGCTTGGGGTTCAAAATTATCTGGTGCACAATAAGCTGCAGAACGCTTATAGAAAAACTTGCGTGAAAAAGGGAAACTGTACAGAGACTGATTGATTGGTTTCCTTTTGCAGGAAATGAGAGGTAAAATGACTAAAGGAGGATAGACAATAAGCGGGATGGTCGAAATTACAGATGAAAAGAATTGATAAATGCAAGAAAGTCAATAGTGCAGAGGCTGGAAGACCTGGAGAGAACAGACAGAGAAAGGCAATGGTGACATGACGGTGAATGATGGCAGCAGCGAGAGGTGCATGGGGATAATAAGATATTAATTAAAACAAAAACAAACGAGATGAGAATTGGGAAGATAAGGATGATTAATAGTGTTTGCGTGCACTGCTGACGGTGTGTCTGGAAAACTGATCAGGAAACGTGACAAAAATAAGAAATTTAGAATTATTACCGTTCCCTAAAAGGTTTCGCGTGGTGTAATGTTGAGTAGACGACGATGTGATTCACTAATGACAGAAAACAAGAATTTCAGCTGGCTCATCGTGTGACTCGAACTTCTTACCCTTGCTGATGGGACTCGTACTCCCAGAGGTTAAGACATAGTAAGGAGGAAATAACGTGATGACGCACGAATTTGTGAGCAGAAGAAGAGTTGATTGCTGTGGTAATTATTGCGGTGACTATAGTGACGACGGTGAGGTGGTGATATCAAGTATGATTGGGCGGTGGTGATAAGGATGGTGATGTGGTGATGGTGTTGTGGTGTGAAAGTGAAAGTTTAACGATGAATGGTGGTGACGGCGGTGGGGATGATGGAATTGGTGATTGTTATGGGGATGACAGTAAAGATGTGAATATTTGATGAGCACTGTTGGTTTTAATAATGACTGCTTGTTTGGCTCATTGCATGCTCTTTATGTGCGCTTCATTGCAGCTTGTTGCATTTGGGTAAACATTTCATTGATTCCGTTCATGTATAAAGAAAACACTGCTGTTACATTATACAGAATGCAACGACAATAAACAATAACCGAAGAAGTCTGTGTTGCGTGAATTCAGTCTAAAGCTGTGGAATTCAATTGATGTTATTTCTAGATTAGAACATTGCAAACATGGGCCACTTTTCAATGATAATCTGGAAAAAAAAAATTGCGGATGTTTTCCTTCAAAAATGTTAACTATGCACGTATATCCAAAAGAAAATTGTTTTTGAAAAAAAGTCAAACCTGAACCAAACATATCTGTGAACAATATCGACGCTATAGTGTTAACATTAGAAAGAACAACAGAGTGAGAAACAATATATTTGGCGCCAACGCGGTCGCGAAATATGTCCTTCAGCTACACTGTGGCAATTAATGCACATTAAGGCCTGTTCAATTCATACTCGCCTTGTCCCCCAAAAAGAATCCATTCACAATGGGTCTTAAAAAGTGTTTTTAATAATTAAATAATAATTAAAACATGAAGGGCGGAAGGTAATGAAGCATGTTTGGACAATGGTGCAATGGAAAGGTCGGTTAAGGATAATTTCCGCCATTTATCTTAACAATGGTGCTGTAGTGCTTGTCATTGTTGCTCAGATAATGCATGAATGATTCTGGCATTGGGGGAACTTAATTATCTCCGTTTGTTTATTGGAAGGAATTACTGTCCTTTGTAGAAACACTTCATCATGCCGATGGTTAGTATTTATACGGATAAACAAGCGGAAGTTGAGGCGTATCCCAACGAATTACTGAGAACTATAGTTTTATTTCCAACGCGTTTTGATGACGTTACACTTCCGTGCAATACTAATGATCCAGTCATCATAATTATCTGTCGTCATAAATTTTTTACCCTTCGACATTTCCAAATTCCTCAGAATGCAACCGCATGAGATTTAAATTATTTAGTCATGCACGGAGGTCGTAAAGTGAATGATTTGCCTGCCAGAATTAAAGGAAGCCGGCTACTCTCATTCGCACGCATTCAATCATACCATCAAAACCAGAAGGAATTGAACAAACTTTGGTGGGGGGAAACAGATAAAACAAATGGGAGTACATGAAGCCATAATAATTTCACAGCATCTGCGGCTTCGCCCTTGCTCTTATACTTTCCCGTACTTCCTTTCCTCCCTCGTAGCTTAAATGTGCATCCAGAAAAACGAAAGTAGGCCGAGAATGGTATCTTAGAATATAATAAAAGAAGATGATAAAACTAAACTAAAGGTATTGTAGTGAGTAAAGGCAAGACAGGAAACAATCATGTCTTGCCTTACATTAACATTGCGAATTGAAACAACGTGCTAACCAACTAGTCATAGCCCTGCAGTCTAGTAATAACGAAAAACGATGTAAATTTACGATACAGAGACCACACGGTTTGAGTGTTATTTCCCTGCTAGGCTCCCCGACCTGTCATCACTTTTTAGACTTCATACCTGAACAAATACTTAGATCAAATATTCCCCAAACGCCCTTCATCCCCTTCGCAAATGAACAACAGGTGAATTGACAGAGGTTGCAATTAATGAGTCCAGGCCGAGATGTTTGCAACTTATCGCCATGGCAACAGTTATCCTCTTTGCTTCACAAGCACAAGAGAAAACTGTGTTTCTGGCTTAATACATGTACTGATGTATAGCAAGAAAAAAAGTAAAGCGAATGTCGGTGCAAAGTGTATTCGTTAAAGTAACAGTGATCGATACAAGGAAATTTCAATTATTGTTGACGTGATGAAATTCGATTCGCTTTCGCGTGTATATGAACCGGCCCTAATACGAACACTAATAAGCAATCAATGGATGGGTTATCGTTCTGTTTCGTCTCGCATTGTCAGCAGTTTAATGTTTATGTTAATAACCGGAAGTAGAAAAACGCTGTGCCCAAATTATGGAAGGAAAGAACAGTTGGTGTCAATATCATTTCCTTAGTAAAGACGGGGAAAATATTCTTGAAACCTGAAACACAATACACGTTCGTAGGATCGAATGCTGCCATTATGGGAAGTTCTCATTCAAATAGGTTGCACGTTGAAATGATTCATGATGGGAACAAATTTAAATGCCCCCAAAATTCTTAAATCAAAAATAAACTGTTGTATCGGAAGCCCCATCTAATCGCAGAGGAAAATAATACATATCCACAATGAATTTGATACTGACATCCGCAGAATGATAAATCGATCAAATAACCATCTCCTAAATTGAGAACCAAATTAAGCTGAGTTACTGAATAGGTAACACACTGGCGTGGTTCAATTGCCTGGTCAACGAACGCTTGTAACTTGAGCTGTTTTAGTAAATGTTTACGAGAGGTAGTTATTAATTTAAAGGTTAACATGGCTTTTAGTATACTAAAAGCCAGGTTAACCATTAATTAATAACTTGACTTTCTGAACTATCTCTTGTCATGTTTGCTATAAACGCGGCTCGAATTAAACGTGCACAATATTGACCCCGGTACTTCAATTAGACGGGATCATGCCATTGCTCAACAGTGTGGATTTTACTCATTTTAATAATACATTAAGGTAACCCTTGATTGACAATGAATAACATGCATTAACGTTACATTAGATGGGGAATTGTAATAGTTTCTTCTGGAGAGAAAGTCGTGAGTGCATCCTTCCCTCGACGAATTAGATCTTTTCTTTTCTATTTACAAGTACAATTGTTCCGTGCCTAGCCATAATTCGTGGATGTATAGAACGATCATACTTCATAACATGCAATCTAAATCAAATTACTCTATACGCTAAAAGAATTCGGTTGATAAATATATACAGATACATAGTTGCATTATAGCAAACAACTATGTATCCAGCATACCCCATCAGAATGCTGCAAATGACTCGCAATGCAAATATTCAACGATTCAGCTCACGTACATTGCGTAGGCAAAGTTAATGTCCTTACTCGAGCTATACTTCATCACTGTGTCAAGAACGACTAGTTACCTAAGAATGTCGCCAAAATAAAAATATTTGGCAAAGCTACGGTTTACTATTGTGCTGCGTCGCTTTGCATGTGACGGGTGACCAATATTCAATGGGCTATTAATGTAATGAGCACGGATAGTTTCAGACGCATTTGGGAAGAGACAGTTTCCACATCCATTCTTAAAAAATTACATGTAAATTAAATCTTGCATTAGGCAAATTTACACGATGGAGACCTTCCTATACATTGCGAATACAATTTATTTCATGTCATTGGCAATGTCATTGGCATCAAGTTTGCCGGCGACGGTATTTTTGAACACTGCAAAATACTGACCTGTACTATAAATATTCATGAGGCGAACCAGCAATTAGCCAATAGCTTCCATGGAGTAAAAACGCCATACACTGTTATGGATTCACTTTTTATTTTATATGCAAATGTTTAAACCAATGAGAAGTCGCGCGATTGACAATAAGCGCAAATCAAATTTAAGAAAGAATTTCAGTATGCAAATTACGTCACTGAGCGGCGTGGACAGGCGATGTCTAGTTAATTCGTGCAACCGCCCAGTCAGATACTACAACTCGGTCAAACCAGCACGATAGTCACTGTGCGTCTCTGATCTAAAGCAAACAGATTGATTCGCACTGCACGTCCGTAGCTTCCCTGAAACATTCTGACCACGGAGCAACATCAAGCCAGCACAAAATTGTGGGAGGACTTTCAAGTTTAAGATAACACCGGGTACAATCTGGTTACCCAAGCAAAGCTGACAGTCTCTGCAGCGTACAGGGACGTTAACATCTGATAAAGTGAACTGTAGTCGAACGTCTTTTCCTTTCAGACTTATCTGTGGCAGTGGAGAAGTCTCGACATGGATAACCTGACGACTGTAAGTCCATCAGATGTGGATGGGGAGGTAGTGGTGTATCCTAGTTTTGCGTATCGAGTAGTCTACGCTACCATTATTGCGATCATCTCTGTAGTCGGTGTGATCGGAAACACTTTCGTTATCCTCGGTGTTATCGTCTACAAGAAACTACGTACCAAGACTAACGTCTTCGTGGTCAATCTAAGCGGTGCTGATCTCTTCAACTGTTTGAACCTTCCTTGGATGAGTGTTGCTGTCCTCAGTGTTGATGGCTGGCCGTTACCAGGTTGGATCTGCAGCTTTGCGTCTGTGTCTTTGCTGGTCTCCATTGGATCAAGTCTGTACAGCTTAGGAGGGATAGCCCTCTGCAGATGCGCCTTGGTAACTATGAATCCTACGGAGTATGCTAACTTCTTGACCCGTCGTCGATTAGCCTGTTTGATGGCGATTGTCTGGACTGTACCGATTACTGTCTCCCTCATGCCTCTGACTTTTGCGCCAAACTTCCTCGGTTTCAATGACAAGTACGACATGTGTATCTGGGACACCAACCACTGGTTTTCCATGACTTACAATGTAATCTTGTCTATCTGCTGTTTCCCGCTACCACTATCCGTCATCGTGGTGTCGTATGCACGTATTTGGCGTCACGTGCGTCGTCACGCGCAACGTATGGCGCGCGTCTCGGCCCGCAGTGTATCAGGCGTCGTGGACGGGAACGGAGCGCGTAAAGCACCGGTCAATCGCCGCCAAATGGCCGTCACTATCAACATGTTAATTATCATCTGTATCTTCTTGGTCTGCATCACGCCATACAGCATGATTCTTGTCTTGCCTGGTGGAGAGATCGTTGTGCCCGCTTTCGGAGTGGTTCTGCTCAGTAACAGCTGTATCAATCCACTTATCTACGCTACTAGGCATCCTGATTTCAAACTGGCATTCGCCAAGATTCTCAGATGCAAGGGAAAGGAACTCATGTCAGAAAGGAGTCGTGTACAAAATACGCAATCTTGAACAGAAACAGTTACCCTCAAAAGCTTTCATGTTTGATGTTTTAACATCAACACCACTGCAGTGCATTTGATCTATGAGTGATATGTTTTACAGGATCTAAAAACTATAAACTTAAGTTATTACTACTGTTTGACTTTTATTATACTTCTTATAAAAACGGAGACAGAGATAGCATAGGTTAAACGATATTCAAGGGATTTACACTTTTTGACTTACCACATGTTTTGGATGCCTATATGAAGCGGGTGTTTGTATCTCGGAAGTCTCATAATGTTGGACTCGTCATCTTAAAGCATGTGGACAAATCATCTTTCGGCACACAGAGACATGATTCCTGCAATATAATAGTGTTTGAGGCATACATTATAAATTTGTGAATATTGACCTTAACATTTCCTTTTTAAGTGAATCAGTTACAATGTTCATGTAAACATGGTAAATTATTAGTGAAGTGGTTAATTTCACTGCATGACCAATGGTTTAATGTTATTAAGTGTTGACATTAACTGGCACTGTGGCAATCCTTTGATGACGCGTCACCCACATACTATACCAACAATTCAATCAACTATTTCCGGCCGCTCGTGGTGGCAAGATACCTTGAAAACATCCCATGCTGAAATTATTCAATCGCTGAGTATATATTTAATGCAGGTCATGCAGGTGAAATCATGTTAAATCAGTCATTGAATTAATGTGCTGTAAGTGAGTGAAACCAAGATAAAGAATTATGTTTCTTTTTAGAAGATATAATCAAGATGAATTCATACGAATTTTAACCTTCAAAGATACTTCAATCCCGGTCAAAATTGAACTATACAAACATTGGAAACGTTTATTCTTTTACTTAAAAACCGTACAGCTTGCGAGATATTTTTACCATTAAAATTAATCCCATCCCTTCCACGTGAAAATAAATAACTCTCAAACTGTGGATGCGGCCCCTCATTATTTTATAAACCAAAAATTGAATTTACACCAATGCAAAATTATAATGCCTTATAAACAATTGTATTAAATTATTTGAAAAATGTACCAACCAAATGTACACCATTTTCGGCAAGGGAATTTAATATACCACATGTTTATATTGCTGCAACAGTGTCTATAATCATCATATTATTATTATAACCGCCAGAAACTGACCATGCACCTGAGACATTTAAAATTCAATTGACCTGCTTGCAGCGTCTGGCGTCGCTCTGGATACATGCCCATCGTCTGTATTGTACATAGTTTGGTTGTGTGGGGTTGAACATTCTTAATTATTGAGGCAGGAAGTGGCATGATTCTGATCTAATCAAATAAAGTTGTTAATGTTTGCTGGAACAAAGTAATGATGATCCTTAGAAAATCAAAGGTCTTGTATCATAGTTGTCTGAGCATGAATGTTATGTTGTTATCATTACAAAAACAAAAAAATACTGTATGAAATATTTAAAGACCAACAATAGTATAGACTGCCAATGTATAGGCCTGGACCTACGTTATAACTAATTTACCCACACCGGAGGTCATGCCATGGTGCATGGCTTCAGAATTTTTTGTGTATTTTCCATGGTATGAAAAATTCAAAAACATATTTTCCTAATTCGTCATGCTCTGCAGTAATAGTAAAAAATAAAAGGCGTCTAGGGTTGCTCTCTTAATTGCCCAAGTTTGATCCGCGCTGATGAGCTTCACCAACAAGAGGTGAGCTTGATCATGCAGGCCAGAGGTGTTATCGCGTTTCAGCTCACAACCGCATAGAAATGGGTTAACTCCTTGATATTAATAATAGGACTACCTTTGAAAGCGATCGTGCATTATAGTAAAACGTCATAGAGCATTTTAACAGGGTGAAAGCATCTCGCTCGAGATCTATGCACGGCGCCAAGTTACTAATGGCTCCAGCATTGCATGAACTGATGGGCAGACGTTTGAGCGTATTGTGTCCTTGTAGGGTCATTACCAACATTTACTCTCACCATCTCACGAGGTTTTATTTACAGAAAACAAAAACAGGGTTGTGTGTTCGAACTCCATTACCTTATTGAATTATAGATTGCATGACATTTCCAAGAAGATTTTTTTTCCAATGCGAGATTCATCTCTTCAGGAACGCAATAAGAGGATGTGTCATGTTTTGTGTGTTTAATGTGTAGCCTCGCAATATTTCATTTATTTCATGCGATCAGATTTGGACTCTTTATAGTTTTCTGTAGACATCTTTAAAAGTACAGATTTTATAACTTTCTCGTTTGTTTATAAACTATATCCAATGTATAGATCAACGTGGTGTGTTTGGGTCATGATGACATAAATTGAAGGGAAACAATGGATAGGCCTACAGATAAAAAAATCACAAACGCGATATTGTAAACGACGTTTTGAAAAAAAGAAATACGTAAGAGGTACAAGTAGTCTATAGCTTTAACAATTAGTCAATTTTAAATTCATTGTGATTTCTGAATTCCTATGAATTGGCAGACAGTTTCGTATAAGCATGCATTAAAACAGCATAATTATCTCCAAGCATGAGATCGCAGACCATTATTTTATTTTATGAAATAATAACTAAACTTTAATAAATGTTACGAGTTAATTCTATTTCTTTGTTAAAGATGATAGCTGAGTGGCTTGTTTGAAAAAAATGCGTGTACTTGCCGCATGGGTGTTGTTAATAATAACCAACAAACTACAGTTGTTATCAGTGTTGTAGGTCTCGAGACCAGTCTCGGTCTCGGTCTCGGTCTCGAGACCACTTTTTGCCGGTCTCGGTCTCGGTCTTGGTCTCGGGAACTGTGGTCTCGGTCTTGGTCTCGGTCTCGGTCCCCTTTGGTATCGATATTTTGGCTGGTCTCGAGTCGAGACCAGCCAAAAAGTGAGGGGGCGGATTCCGCCCCCGGCCCATAGGGTTAAGTAAAGAATCAGTTTAGGGCAAATGTGACTGCAGTGTGATGCTAATGGACATGTCTCTCTTCACTTTCTAGTGAGTGAGGCATAGTCCAATAACCATTGCTCCTCTTCTTATTTCTCGATTTTATTGTATGACGATCTGTTGAAACAAGCACTTTATAGCCATCCTCATTGATTCCAAATACAACTGAGATTTAAATCTTATGAATCAAGACTGAAACATTATTTTTACCGTCAGATTTTGAATTTTGAATATGGGGAACAATTCAACACTTTTTCCCTAGAAATATTGGTGATTTTTTTCTATTTTCCTTTTCAATTTTTCCTTTATTCGTGGAGGCGGGAAAAGGTTTTTTTTCATTATATTTATTAATGGATATTCATCAATTCGTAGACCGTTAAATTGGTATTAGTGGTGGACAGCTGAATTTTGTGATCTCTTTATTAAAATAGACACGACTTGGGAATAGTGTATGCAAATTACGTGAAATGTTCACAGTTACTACTCAATAACATGTTCTTTATCCCAATTGTATTTTTTTACAAAATGGAGCGTGCCATTTTATTTTTTTTCATACTGTCACTTTCTTTTTGACTCGCCATGTATTCATCTTTTCATCTGTGATAAACACAAATTGAGCTACTGCCATGGTCACACAAAAATAGAGTCTAATTGCCTGCCTCGTCTCCTTCCTAAATGTCGATTGCATTTGCATGAGTCGGGAAGAATTGTGTTCCATTAATCACTATATGCTGTTTACGGCCATCACAATAAACTATTAATATATTGGCAATATGTCGTACTTGTTAATCACTAAAATATTCAAGTAAATTGCCCGGCAAAGTAGCCGATGCAGGCGATACGCTGGCACGGTACAAAACACAGAGAGGCGTGCGCACTGAGCCATGAATCCCAAAAGGTACATCTCGCCCACCACATTCAGTTTGTGACAGCGCCATTCTACTGTGTCGGCCATATTCTCAAATAGGCTAATGACGATGATGACGGCGGGCTGAATAACAGAAGATAGATCAGGCAAATATGGTTCATCAATCTTCTATAGTATATGTAACGTTATTGACATTAAACAAATATAAAGTGGAATTACATTTCAGCCTTAGCCAGGCCTTCTTAAGAGGTAAATGACAGATGAACAAGAAACAAACATGTAGGGGACACACAAACATGCAGGGTTGGAAGGAGAATCACAAAGAGGGATGTGGGGGGGGGGGCAGATCAATCCATATCCGGCCACCATCTCTCAATTTTTTTGTACAAATCTATATTCCATGACTGAAATAAATCAATATTTTCTTGCCCCAAATTTTTTTCGAATCAGGTTTACAAGGAGGTCCAATGTAAAATTAAAGTTGCATTTAAATATCCGTTAGTGGTCATTGCTGAAACCAAGGGGTGGCTGTGGAGTTTAGGGTCCGAGTTCCTATAACAGATGAAACATCCACCTTTAATTTGTTTACTTTTGTCAAGTTTCAACATGTTCAAGTTTTGCAAAAACTAGTACAAATTGTCGTACTCCTAAGTTAGAGTTTCTTCATCAGATTTACACTTTATAGTAGTTAAACAATATTTGTAAAAAAAATATTTTTTTTTTAAAGTGGCAAAAATATATGGAGTTCATCAAGTATTAGTTTTCCCCTTCTTTAAATTAGGTTGTTAATTGATTGTGACAATAACAAATTCTGTTGCCATGTTGTAATTTATGGCATGAAGCAAACACGAAGAGCACTCGCATGACACAATTAAGCAGGTACAAGTGATTCCTAACTTTCAATCACTTCCTTCACATCCCCATGAACATCAACATCTCAAGGACAGACTGTTCAGCTGTAATTAGTGTCTTGATGTTTATTTAGATTATTGTTATTTATTATCCGCGGTCTCGGTCTCGGACCATTTCGGTCTTGGTCTCGGTCCGCCTTGGAGGGGCTGGTCTCGGTCTCGGTCTCGGTCTCGCAACTTCAGGTCTCGGTCTTGGTCTCGGTCTCGGACTATCCGGTCTCGACTACAACACTGGTTGTTAATAACAACTTGTTATTAATGGATTTACTGTTTGTTTAGTTTTGTGCTCTTTTGTGTCTTTTTTCCCCTTCTTTTTTTGGTGACCATCCTCTCTGATGTTTGCTGGATCATTTAGGGATTTCCACAGAATAATCATCCGCCCGATGAGCTGTCAATTTAGTCCCATCATTAAAAAGGCACATTTACACAAGTTGATTGCATGAGCTTATCATTAACTATTGGGGCTACAATAATTATATTGTGGACTAGTTTCAAATGAACCGCTGCATTTATTAATCTGGCTTAGTCTAAAATGAAGTTGACATAAAATACAAACAAATTGCTGGCGTAATAGGCAGCTAGACCAGGCAAGACATTCATTACATGATAGGCAAGGTCGATCGGTGGTCCAGATTCCAAGATTCCACAAGAAGACAAGTGAAGATAAAACGTGCCTCGACCCGCTGGCTCGACTTCTTCCTAAAGTTACATTGATATACAGGGACACTCCGACACCACAGTTGATGCTCCACTTTCGGCGCACCGTTTGACTTTTCGCGTAGTGCAAAAGGATATACCCCATATTTCACAGTTTGTTATGACATTTAGGTTTTTGCATTTAGTTCTAAACACTTCCCTTCCTAAACTTTGAATTTATCAACCCGTCAGAGTTAAGAGATAAATTGCAATTTTCTGTTTGACGTGCACAGTGAAATTAATCATATAAATAGTTAGAGTTATGGTTAGGGTTTGGGAACATATATCTATAGGTACTGGGGAACATAGTTAATATTAAAGAACATAGGCATGCACCTCTATATAGTCTTTTAAAAAAAAGTTAAACGCAATTAATATGGTGGTGTTTCGTAACGTGGCGCACTTCGACCTTCCCGATTTTCCTCATAGTGTTGCCAAACTTCTTTGTTGACAAACTTCAAAGTCATTCATTGAAACACTGGTACTTTTCCCTTATTGATGCTTGCTATTTAACCTCTGTGAACAATTTCGGTGTCATGAAATTTAAACCGAAATTCAAAGCGGTGGCGTCCGGAAATTGGGCACAAACTCGGCTGCGTGTTCCCTGACGCACTTAATGAATACATTTCGGAAAATTCCAAATTAACATTTACAAATTCCTGTTAAATTGAAAAATTCTGATAAACCATTATTATCTCTACTTACATACCCAACTAGAAGTTTGTAAGAAAGTTATTTGCTAGTTTGAGGGACATTTTCAAACTCAAAGGGTTCACTGAGTATGTGTGCACTTCGAAATAAAATCGGAAAATCACGCCGAAATAAATGTTTCTTTACTTTGTAATTGTAAACGGGTAGATAAACTCGTGGTTTATGAACGGGAGAGTTTAGAACTTGGTGCAATTTCCCTGTCTGTGAAATTTCAGTGAAAATTTTACTCTAACTAGGCGCTACAGGCGAAATATCAAAGTGCGCCACGTTATAGGGGCCGCGTCACACAATGCAGGGTAGGCCTACATCGACAATATGGGCCCCCTGGTTGACCATGACCATGCTGACCGTCACGTTAGTCATGAGATAATTAATATGGCCTACCTTGAGTTTGTTGTGGCTACCTTATCCTGGAATTCATCTGGATGACTAACAAGACATTCTACTAAATCCTGCCTCCTGTGAAGCTGGAAATATTAGCGAGTCCGTCGAAACATGTCAAAAAAGTTCTCACACTGCAAACTTTACTTTTTGCGCCAATTTTCATCTTGTAAAAACGAGCGCCCTCATTCGTTCGACCAATTCCTGTAGTGTTCCCAAAATCCCTGTACGACTACTGAGCAAGAAATGGTAAGGAAACCTGACTAATGTGCATTCAGGCCAACACTGGAGCAGACGAACACGTCAACACAGGGTTTGTGACAGAAAACATCTTTTTCTTCCGACTCTGAGTAATTATTTTTACGTAATCATTTTTTTTAAAAGAATTTTATATAGTTTTAACCTAGTTTGATGATCCTCCTGGATAAGATTAAGTAAAAACACAGCCCCCTTACCATCATGACCATGCTTACTGAATTATAGCCCCACTAGTGTGGCCGTCGGTATGCTGCGCTGAACCCAAGGCCACACACCGTGGTCTGCGCACTACTGAGGACGTTTTCATAATTTCAACAGCGAATTTCTTACATATGGTTGTATTCTACGATGTCCCAACTTTCACTTCTGGGATGCTTGGGTGTAATGATGTTCAATTTTCCAAGATATTCTTGAATCTTTCTGGAGCCCATATGCACTCGTGAAACGTCTGGTGATGGCAGCCATTTTGAATGTGACAAGAGATGACCTCAAGCTGTGACGTCGCGTTTATGCAAATTGCTTGTCGAGCGAGGGCGCGAGTTGCAAATGCGACGGCTGTTTCCTGTGCCGTAGATCCTGAATAGAGATCGGTGCACGTGGCCCCTGACGATAAATGCATGGTACAGGAAACAGCCGTCGCATTTGCAACTCGCGCCCTCGCGCGCTCGACAAGCAATTTGCATACACGCGACGTCACAGCTTGAGGTCATCTCTTGTCCCATTCAAAATGGCTGCCATCACCAGACGTTTCACCAGTGCATATAGACTCCAGAAAGATTGAAGAATATCTCGGAAAATGGAACATCATTAGACCTAAGCACATGCTAAACATCCCAGAAGTGATAGGAGACATCATAGAATACAACCATAAGAAAGTAAGAAACTGAAAATGTAAGAAACTGCCCTGAATTTTATGAAAAACTTCGTCCTCAGTAGCGCGCGGTACCACGGTGTGTGGCCAAAGGTTCAGCGCAGCATACCGACGGCCACACTAGTGGGGCTAACTGAATTAGTGAATACTGGGCCGGGATTACTCCTAGAACTATGAGGCTCCACGTAGTGGAGCCTCATAGGTTCAGAACCCCGCAAAATTGTTGTCAGCACAAAACACTAATTCAGTACAAAAACGTCCATCCCAACCAAGCCGTTTCCCACAGAACCGCTACACAGTTTGCCCCTAAACTCCGTACAATACCTCATGACATACTCACGCTATGTGCACCCAACAAACATCGGTGGATTCTGTCGGTTTTTTGCAAAAATGATGGAAAATATGCCCTTTCCGCACTGAGCCAACCTAACACTTGAAATTTGCACGCGCGCAGAATGATCGCAGTCATTTTCGGTCCGATCGCTCGGAGCGCGCCGCGGGGGGTATGGTGTAGGAGCGGAACGATAGTATGCGCATGCGTACAAGTGCGAGTACGTACCCCCCACGGCGCGCTCCGAGCTATCGAACCCGAAAATGACTGCGATCATTCTGCGCGCATGCAAATTTCAAGTGTCAGGTTGGCTCAGTGCGGAAAAGGCATATTTTTCATCATTTTGCCGAAAAACCGACAGAATCCACCGATGTTTGTTGGGTGCACATAACGTGAGTATGTCATGAGGTATTGTACGGAGTTTAGGGGCAAACTGTGGAGGGGTTCTGTGGGAAACGGCTTGGTTGGGATGGACGTTTTTGTACTTAATTAGTGTTTTGTGCCGACAACAATTTTGCGGGGTTCTGAACCTATGAGGCTCCACTACGTGGAGCCTCATAGTTCTAGGAGTAGGCCGGGATTTGTTTACTTCCACCTAAAAATCAATTCAATTTTATTCACAATCACAATCACACATTTCATTTTCAATGACAAGTTCATCATTCAACAATAATAACGGACATTAAGTTATATTGTTTAGGATAAATCATCATCATTAAATGTTTTTTTGTTTGATTCAGGCACGTCCGGCATTTATGATATGTATTGAAATATTTTTGCATTGGATATTTGTCTGGCGCTTGTTTTCTATTGCTACATGTGCTAGGCCTTTATTAAAATTGAAATGTAATTTTAGAGGTCTTTTTTTTTTAAACAGGCTCAGCTCAGACTACGTCAACAGTCATGTTGGCCATGCTTGATTTCTTTAATTATAACAATTTAGGTGGGCCTACATGATGAGTCAATCAGAGAAAGCCTCTGTGAAAACAACGCATACCAAAAACAAAACCGGCATGGCCAAATATTCACAGTTTTTCTCTGTAGGTTTTCATTATGGAGAGGGTAGCACTAGCCGGCAGTGATTTGATGGTATCACCGATATGCATCGGCACCTGGCAGTTCAATGGCGGCAAAGCAGATGAAACTTGGCCAGCACAGGATGAAACAGTAAATTGAGTTTATTATCAAATTGGTATCAAAGCAGAATCATTGTGTATATGTGTGTGCAGGATGTGTGTGTGTTCTTACACTGTGGAGAACTTAATAAAATGCAGGTTTTATAGTTGCATTGTTTAAATCATAAAATTGCTTCAAATTTGTTAAATTTATAGGTTTCCAAGGCAATAGTGGATAAAGCCATCGAGCTTGGCGTCAACTTCTTTGACACAGCTGAGGTAAGAATTGTTAAAATCAAGGTGACCGGTCCAACTGCAGGTTACTAAGATGACTGAATTCTGAAATATAATCCACCTAAGGATTCCTACATATCTAATTGAAGCCAATTATATTCTTCCTCAAAATAATTTAATGGAAGGTCAACTTAACAGATGCAATTCCAGGATTGTTATATGACATGGACTTAATTGAGTAATCAAATAAAATGTCCCCTTTATTTCTTTTGATTCCTTTCTTACTCAGGCTTATGGTCTTCATGAGTCGGAGAGGGTTCTCTCTCGATGTCTTGCTGGATGCAGACAGGATGTCATCATTGCATCCAAGTTTGGACGGCATGAAGGGGGAAAGGTTAAGGAGTACGCTGCAACTGATATTGAACAGGTATGGACAAAGATACTTGCCATGGCATGCAGCCAAACTTTCCCATCTACCCAAACTAACTATTCAAACTCTGGGCACGTCTTACTCAGTAACACTTCTGTATTTTTCTGTTATTCATTTCCAGGCCCTCACAGCTAGTCTTCAAGCATTGCAGACGGATTACATAGACATTTATCAGGTGACTTTTAAAATTAATTTTAAAAAGTAGAGAACAGTGGCAACTGCCTGTGTAATCCCACCCAACATGAATGACTGATGCTTTGCACTTGCAGATCCACTGGTCCGTGAATATGAGGGATGTTCATGAAACGGTGGCAGAGTTGAACCGACAGAAATCTCTTGGTCGTATCAGACAGTATGGAATCTGCAACTTTGGCTCATCGAGTATTGAAGAGTTCTTTGCTACCGGTGGCAAGCCTTGTTCATTACAGGTATACGATCAAGCAGCCTGGAACATTTTGGATGGGAAGATGTGCTTTGTTCCCAACTAAGACAATCCAACCTGTTTTATTTTTGCTGAACCCGAAGGGCCAGCCTATGACCTCTATGCCAGCCTAAGTCCTTCACTGAGACTTTTAGTAAACCTTATCATTCAAGAACGTAGAGAATAAAAGTTCAAGTTTCCATGACTCTGATACATTGGCGTGCAGTTCTCCATTGAAATTGTGAGCATACATCATTGATTTTACTCCCGGAAATTGCATAACAGCATAAAAGGAAAAAAATCAGTAAATGTTCAACTACTGATTATTTTTTGCTTTCAATAATATTTACCATTTCAGATTCATTATTCTATACCCATCTAGGTTCCCTACAGCCTTTTGTGGCGAGCTATTGAATACAATATTCTGCCAACCATCCGACAGCACGGCCTATCGGTCCTTGCCTACTCACCACTACAACAAGGTCTACTGACAGGGAGGTTCCATAATGCATCAGAGGTGCCGGAGGGACGTAGGAGGACTCGTCATTTCAGCTCGGATAGTACCAACCTGTCGAGACATGAACAGAAAGGAGCAGAGGAAGAAACATTCAAGGTGGGTTTCCCATAATGGTCAAGAAATAAACAAATTTCTTGGGACCACAATTTGCTTCGTGGAGTGGAAGCCTAGAATTAAGAAAGGAAGCAAAAATAAGTAATTGAAAGGACAGTAAAAATTTGTCATTATTAATGCAGGAGAAGAAGTCTGCCATTCCAGGAAAGGCAAAATGACTGGTTTGATTTGTCTATTTGGCTATAAGAGGCACCTGATTAATTATAAATTTCTTAGCTCAAACTGTAGCTCAGGTAGAGTCTAACTGCATTGCCTTTACTGTTTATTTTGTCAAGAAACGTCAAAGCTTGATATCTTATTGATATTTCTTGTAATGTATGTCTTTAAAATTCTTTCTATTTTGCAGGCAATAAATGACATTCGTGATTTGTGTAACAAGGAGAACATCCCGATGTCATCGGCTGCCCTCTCCTGGATCTTGTCACAAGAGGGCGCTGCTTCAGTCGTCGTTGGCTGTAGGACACCTCAACAGCTGGAGGACAACTGTAAACTCATAAAACTGTCGCAGGTTAGTTGCTGAGTTTTGCCAATTAAATATTAAAAATATTTAAAAATGTCTGACATGCCTGAATTAAAACAAACAACATTATACATTATGTTTTAATGTTCTGTATTTGATCTCATTCCATCTCCTATGTTTTTGTTTTTTTAGAGTGTTGTGAAGAGACTTTCGGATTGCACAGCTGAACTGAAGGAAAAACTCGGTGACAACCCGGACATGTGGGCCAAAACGTCTAGATATAAATAAAAAATAAAGACATGCCACGCCAATTCCAGTAAAGAAAAGGAATTTGCCTTCTTCCTTGCTCGGATTATTAAATCTGATTATCGCTTGCCAATTATATTTGCCCCATGTACTAGCTATCCCTGTGCCTTCTCAAGAAGAGTAAGTGTTCCTGTTTTTTTTAAAGAACAATATCGAGCATAGATAATCAGAAATATAAACATTCAGCTTAAAAAAGTGAGTAACAAAACAGTCATTTTCGTGTATTTTGTTGGTCTGTAAGAGAGAGAGGGAGTTATGTTAATTTCCATTTGTTACTTCTGTATGACATGGTAGAATTGTCATCAATTGTAATCTGCAGAAGTTGAAAAAAGGGAAATATAAGTGAAGTACAACTAAAAGCGGCTGCTTAATTTTGTTTATGTCTTTTAAAAACCTAGCTAGCAGTACATAGATTTAAAACTTTATACTTAAATTCTAATATATTTTTCAAACATCATATTAAATTCTAAATAGTGAAGTGAATGATTCTATCATATTTTTAAGAAAAAAAAACTATTCCAAAATGTGATGCATGTCATTAAACTTATGTTTGTTACCTTTACAACTTGACAGTTAAATTTGTTGTTATTACACTGACTGTGACCAAAAAATACAGAGTACATGATGAAAATAAAGTAAAAACATCAAGAAAGAAGAAGGACCCGTCTTTTCATAGTATTCACCCTCATCATGCTTTTGATGTTCATAAAAAAAAAGTGTTGTTGGTAAAGATTTTGAACAAATTTTTGGAAAACGCCGGGTCTTTTTTCAGCCACCCCCCACCCCGAAAGTACACCCCCCCCCCCCGCATTTCCCCATATCTCTTGATGGGTTAACATGACATTATTATTAATGTTTTTCTAGCTAGTTAAAAAAATCAAGAGAAAAAGATACTCTTTTTTCATTAGAAAAAAAGGCGCAACGGGCTTTTTTGATGAACTTGAGGATGCCGGTACGTACTCGCCATGGAACCCTCCCCCCCCCCCCCTTTTTATTCTCTCAACGTTTGACCCGCCCCAAATGTGCAAATGTGTGTGGCAAATTTTAGTCGGCCTCCTGGCCAAACAAACTATATATACCTCGAAATGTGTTGATGCGTCAGGCTTCCGTTCTCAATTCCTGCCGTGCTGTAGTTAGCTGGTTCCAACACATTCGTGTTACTTTACGTGATCAGGGTACCAGTGATTATTTGCCTTAGCAACATCAAAATGGCGACTGTTTTCACGGGAAACCCTTCAGTTTCATTCAGCGACGTTAAAATTCAAGAGCTGCTTTCGTAAATTAATACAGTGTAAATTGTGTGTGTAGATAAGTCAGTTGAACTGCATTAAAATGTAGAATGTTACAGTATGTTGTCAGTTTTTAAATGTAAATAATAAGTGGGAATAACCCTAACAGTACTACAGTAAGTTGAAACTGAAAGAAAAGTTTAGCAAAAAGTCACACGACACAGTACTGCAATGGCCTCGGGTGCCGTGCAAAAACCGCCACTGCCGGTGGTGAAACATGTCATTCGAGATGACGACATCGGGATTAAAAAGGTGAGTAAAAACAATAATAAGACTCAAGATTTGTAGGTTTTCACCACATTAAATGTATTTGCAAAAACATGATATATATTTTGATAAATGATAGTTTAGTGGTTAAAATAACCAAGAAAAATCCCAGAAAAACAGTTTGCCAGCCAAGTTGGATTGCAATTGCAAATGGAATTTTTACAGAAATAAACGTTTATTTGTGATTTATAAATAAACAAAAAGTCATAATCATTTCTTTGAACTTTTGACAGGGTGTTAAGATTCAAGCTGTCAACTACAGCAAAGTCATCAAGCTCCTTACAGACCCTCATTCAGTAAGTTGTTCACAGGCTTTAAAGTAAACAGGGTAGGCCAGGCTAGCCCTAGGCCTAAAGTTTACACCGCGACCCCACGACACGTTCACTTTCACTTGGATGTTTTCACCGCAAGTTTAATGGTGGCTGCCGGCCATGGGAATTTGGAACTTACGTAAAAAGTAACAACAGAACAAAGTGACATGAAAGTGGCGTCATTGAACTGAATTGTGACCAGACGATTGGTCAGTTGCAGTGTCTTGTCATGCTAAATCATTTCTGATTTTATGTTTTCTCAGTTACCGGTTATGATGGTCAGTCATTGCAAAAAATATGGAAAAGACATGAATCTCGGACTGAGAAACATATGTAATTTTCATTATTTTGTTGGAAAATGCTTTAAAATGCAATAGACTTTCCATAGATTTTGTACACAACCAAAGAAGTAGCATCAGAGCACATACATTCTTTCCTTTATGGTTCAGTTGCAGTGTCTTATACTTACACATTAACAGATAAGCTAAAGGGACTAATATTTTTTACTTGCAGACACCTTAACATGTTTAATTTTAATTTCATTTTTGTTTGTTTTTCAATCATTAGGCAACGTTACATGAGAGACATCTGAATGCACTTCACAAACTGATTCGTCATTATGAAGCTGGATTTGTATCCTTTTCTTAAACATGTCATCAGTGTTTAAATAATTGTATTCTTTGAAAGAATAAATGATATTTAACTTAAATTCTAACAAGTGCTCTAGACTGCCCTGCTTCATATTAAAATGTATTGCACTTTAATTATTAAAAACATAGTGATTTAATTTACGTGTAATACAGCCTACAATCATTTTTATAGTACCATCCTTAACAATTACAACTAAAGCTCATGAAAGATCTCGTTCAAGTTTTTAAGATTCTGAACGTCTGTGCAGACCGAGTGCATGATCATCCCCTGTACATCCAACCTATGATGGACCTACTAAAAATCAGCAGGTAAGTTTTTCATACATAAATAATGGCTTTTTTTTCAGACAATGTAGATTTTCAAACTGAATGCGCCACTGAAGAGTTTTTAATACTATTGGTATTTATTTACAATTTGATGAAATTCTTTTTCCAGCTTACCGTTTCTGAAGGAAAAGACATCTGATGGCACCGCCTACTCTCAGATTGTTGTGGAATCCATTTCACAGCTGGGTAAGAAGTTTCCCTGGACCTGTTCTTTAAAGCTACAGTCCATCATTTGTAATTTGTGCATTTTGTTCGTTTGAAGCAACAAAAGAGTTCAAAATCTAATGAAGGATACTGAGCAACTAACCTGATGAAGTTTCAGCTAAGCTTCAGCTGTACATTCCGAGAAAAACAGCATTCTAAGATCTCAATTTCAAATCAAAAGTTACTGAATCATGTTTTGAATTGCAGCTATACGCGACGTTGCGCACTGATCCGACGAATTATAACAACCGCACGCGCGTGTGCGTCGTTCCAATACTTGTGCGCGCTGCGCTGAATAACAAAACGAACTACTAATTTAAATTTTCCTACGGTGCTTCTTAAGAATCACCGTTGGAAATGCCTTCTTTCGTTGATTACTTCAAAATGAAAGCTTCCCAGAAAGAATAATTTCACAGGGAGTTTGATTCCCTTACTATCTTTCAACCAAGTTTGTTTTTCAACAATAATTACGCCAGTTACTTTTCGGATGGCTGCAAATGATGGACTATAGCTTTAAGGATTAAGAAACCTACATGCAGTTCAATAGAAAAGATCAGCTTGTGCTGTACACAAGGATGACAACCCATACTTGATTGTTGTTCTGTTACCTAGGTTACCTGATGAGAGTGCCGAGTAAGGAGGTTCGTCTTCAGTTGTCATCAACCCTGCTCAGTATTTTCAGCAATGAGTTGCCTAAACAACAAGTCCAAGACCATCAAGCAGCTTCTAGAGCTTACAACATGGCCATGGTTGAGAAGAGTGATGTTGCTGAGACGTTAGTTAAGGTAAAGTATCTCAATATATACCCAGTACGGTTCCTTGGCTTAAGAGTCACACTGAACCAAAATTATTCAACAAATTTGAATTCAGTTCCACATTTGACAGTTGGAGTGACGTCGAAAGAGCAACTGCTGCAGTCATCAGAACAACTCTGGGGTTTAGTCAATGGAAACTAAGTACATTTCGTTCACCTGCTATCAGAAACTAAAAATCTATTCAGGTCCGACCTTTTGGTTGGGTTCGACGGTGGAATGGCAGCCTGAAATAGGTGCTACTTATTTGTTCCAAGTAGATTCCAGAGCCATTAGTTTAGAGCCCAGTTTCGGTGAAAAATAAGTAGGATATTTGATTTCATAACACACTACCTATTATTTTTCATTCTTTGGTGCTTTTAGTCCTTGGCTCTGCTCGAGCAAGATATTGACGTAAAGCTTCAGATACTGGACCTGCTGCAGAACCTGTCAGCATTCTCAGCACCCAATTGTGATAAGATGCTGGCTGCGGAAGCCGCAAGCCGCATATGTAGCCGCATGAATGATCCAGAACCTACTGGAAGGTAAGTTCACAGCATAACAGTGGAGGTTGCCTTGTTTACAAGTTTTTACCACTGACAGTTCATAAGCAGACAATTAAATGTCACAGTTTCTGAGTAATGCTTTGGTACAGTTTAAGGTATTGATTTGTGTTTGTATATTAGGTTACTGTTCCGGTCCATTGAGATCCTGTGGAATCTCCTGGAGAATGGGAACAAGGAGGACGTTGCAGAGCAGCTCAGCTCCTTCATCTGCATTAAGTAAGATTTCCTAGTCACTAAAACAACTTCAAGCTATGATCTATTACTTTGATTAAGCTTGCGTATCGGCTGAACCCACTTCCCATAGATGCTACCGGAAGTATCCAGGTGATTCAGACAAAAAAGATTTATTCTTTCCTTGCCTGCCACCCATGCAGGCCATGGTTTGATATCCTGCTAGGAACACTGTTTCATTAGGTGATAACGCATGTCTCATGATTATGTTATTTTTTTTGTACAGAGCTCTCCAGGAGGCATTTTCTCAACAAATGACATCAGGTTTCAGCCACTATGATCGACAGTTAAGGTAAGAAGCTTCCCAAGTAAGACCAGTGATCTCCATTGCTTCTCTAAGCTTTGAAGTCACTCTATCTTATATACTCATTTTGAGACAGGAACATTTGTACATGTAATACTGATCTGTCTGTGATTTTTAAAATAAATTTCAAACTTTTTTTGTTTCTTGCAGGAATGACCTGTTAGTGATCGCCACTCTGATTGCAACAGTCTGTCCCCAGGCTCCATTCATTGTAAGTTATCGTTCAAAATCTAGGAGCCAGACTCTTAACAGATTCTAAACAGTGTAAGTTTTCATGTGTAAGCAATTCAAGTTTCTTGAAAACGTTTTTCACTGTTCCCATTCTGCATTTTGTTATTTTCATTTTTTAGGAGACAGGTTTCGCTAAGCAGCTAATCCTCTTTGCAACATTTCAAGAAGTGCGAAGTCACAATGCTCTTGTCAGACATCTGAAACTTGGCACAGTAAGTTTTGGTTTTTTTCTCCTCAGAAGTTAGGCTTGAAGGTCATCATTCATGCATGCTCAGTTTGAGCAATACAGTTGCCGGAGCAAGACTTATGGAACAGTTTACACATACCTTTTATAGCCACCTCGTTTGTAAACTTTGAACAATCCAATCCTTTCTAATTGCGCACATTTGTTTTTCAAGGAAACATTGTTTTGCAATTTTGTACCCATACAGAGTATTGAGGATTTTGAGCTGAAGAAACTACTGATCAACATCATCATTGTTCTGTCCAAAGATGTCTCTATGGTCCCGGTAAGTAATGCATTTTGTTTTTTGTTTGACTTGCATGCAATGGAAATAAGGAATCAGTTGAATTTATAAACTGTTTGTTCATTTTGTTGCAGCAGTCTGTTTCTTATCCCTACCACATTTCCCAATGGATGGTCACCTTTCCTTGCATTTTTAAGAAACGTCCATGACAATTGGACAGACAAATCCTGGATCTATGTATCATAGTTTGAGATACATCTATGTATCTATGTTTGAGATACACGTATCTCAAATGTTTATCGCATTTTCTCTCCACTGTCCACAGCTTCATGTACTTGCTGTTTGGATATGTCCAAACTACAAGACAACAGATTGCATGAATTGGATAGCAATTGTCCGAACTGTGGATGTAATTTTTCAATCTTTCCTCTACAGTTACTTTCCGAAGGCCATGTCCTACTGGCTCTCTTCTCCTACGTCCGAGGCAACGAGACGGTCTCCCAGCCCCAGGAGTGGACTCCAGCTCAATTTGAAGAGATCCAGCTGCATGCTATGAGTGCCCTGTGTACCATCGCACCGCTGTGTGTTCAAGATTACATGACTTGCCAAGGAAATACTAGACTGCTTCTGGTTTTGGAGTGGTGTGTTGGCAAAGGTAAGTGTGTTTATTATCATACATTAGTTGACTAAAGTAGGGTTTGAACCTTTGACCGCCAGATTGCCATGCTGGTGCTTTACCAACAGAGCTATCCAGTGCTATGATGAGGTTCCTCCAATTTGTCAGAATTTTTGCTTGGGAGGTAGTGGGAGGCAGGTTATCAGAAACCAAATCCTTGTCACAAATGACAATCCTATGTGTCATTCATCATAGGGACTTCCAGTTAACTACAAATTTAAGACTGCCTTATTTTAAATCAACAAAAGCTACAGATTTTCATCTTTCTGTCTTATATCCTCCCCCACAGAGGATTTTGCAGGTCACGGTAATGCCTTCCATGGTTGCGGTGGCCGTGGCAACAAGCGAGCTCAGATGCGATTCTGTCTCCATCTCATGAGGAGCATCGTCAGTATCGGAGAGTCTGCAGTCACTCAGGACTTTGTGGATCAAGGAGCTATCAATCAAATGCTTGGTAATTGTCAAATATCTCTGCAAATCACAGATTGGATGGACCATCGATGAAATGTCCAACTTGTGTCATTTTTCTTTTTTCCTTCTAATTTTAAATATAAAGACTAAGAAAATTTTAAAGTATTTTTATATTCAAAGTGGTGTATTCATTTGAGGTCAAAAGTTGTGAACCCACAAGGAATTGGTTTCTTTCCTAATTTTCTTTCGTTTCTGCATTATCAAATCTTTGAAATCTTTTGTGTTTGTTTTGACTGTAGATATTTTGCTGAGTGCCAGTCATTCTGAGAGTGACGACGATGTCGTTGATGTTGAGATGCAGTCTGATATGTTGTCTATCCTGTCCGTCCTGTGTGAAGGAGATATTCATCGGAAGGTAAAAGCTCTCTTCCGATCCCATATCCCCTTTTCTACCCCACCCCCCAGCCGAGACTTTGCCAAATACCTCATCAATCTTCCTAAGTTTCTAAATGCATGTGTCATTGATTTCAAGATTCCGTCTTAAGTATGGTGATTTTTTATCGACTGAATGTTGAAATCATCCCTCGATGATCCTTTCAACAAATCCTTAAACAGTCGGAAATGTACAAGATGCCTCCTCATCCGTCTGTATTTTCCAAATGTTTTTCCCCTCATGTCCATCTGTCGGTTATCAGTCTCAATTTCTCCTTTCCCAGGTATTGTGTCGAGAGAAAGATTATACCCGAGTCAACCCACAGATGATTATTCTTATCCTCTCAAGTCTCTAATTTTTATTTTATCCAGGAGTTATACGGAGAGAAAGGAGTGAAGGTTGTCCTTCAGTACCTCAAGACCAACCCGAAGAAGTTGTGTAACGGTCTGGGTTACCATCGTATGATGCTAGCTACAGTCGATACTATCTGGTGTTGTGTGGTAGGAGCTTATCTCAATGAGGATATGTTTCTGGAAGGGCAGGGTGTCTTCTGCTTGTTGGATTTACTGCAGGTTGGTTGCATCTCTTGGGCTTGACACAGCTTGAATTTCAGGGATTGCCCTGCTTAACCACAGGGCTTAGAGAAGGGCTGTCCTGAATATACCAAATATTTGACTATTCGATCATCAACCAAATATTCAAATAACTTTATGCCTGTTTGAATATTCGAAGAAAAAAAATTACGCATGTGCACTCATGACAGAAATGTTCTTCTAATCGTAAAGTTGCGGCACTTTATTGTCAGATGCTACTTGTTCTGGTCGATGGTGGTTTGCTGTTTCCGTCCTTTTAGCTGGTTGAAGAGCTTCTTTAATTGGAAACTTGCATTTATTTGGTAGTTGTCTTTTTTGGTCCCTGTCCATCATCTAGACATGTTTAGCAAGCATGCACCGTCTAGTCCTAGGGCACTGTTTATCCTAATTTTTTGTATCTTCTTACTTTCCTTAGACTTGTTCAGCCAATATGCACAACCTGATCCTAGGCTGCTTGCTGGATCTATGTGAGAACGCCAAGACAGTAGCTCACATGCTGGCATGGAGGAGTGATAAGAACACAACGGTGGCATCCCTGCTCATTAAGATCTGGAAACAGGAGGAGCAAGCACTGGGTGTAGGGAGGAAAGAAAATGGAACCATCGCAGGTAAAACAAACTAGGTTGAGGTGGATCCGAACAGGGCATTAATATTAAGTCTCAGTGATACAATCAGTCAGGGGACAACAGGCTAGCCCTTCCAGTCCGGCATTAATGACTTTTGATGGAGTTTTGTATTGAGAAGATGTTAAGTTTATGTTACTTGCCTCCAATGTAATTTTATATTAAACCACAGTTAGAGAATTTTAAAAAGTTTTCTCACAAGTGACTAGAACACACTAATTATAAAGCAGTTGTCTAATCACACAATCAACGAGCATGCCTAGGTCAAGTGGCAAAGGTCGTTTTGGGTTGTACTTCACTTTTTCTTGTCTATTTTTCCACCGCCAGACACTAAGAAGCCTCTGATGGGTGTAGTCCAAGAGAGCGCAGGCATTGTACCTCTACCAGCCAACTCCCGCAGCCAAGCCATCGTTGACGTTTTTGAGAACATGCGAGCCAAAATCTACGCCCTCTTCTGCAAGATTGGATTCGATAGCCATCCTAGCTTGTCTACCGACGACCAGGTCACGTTGTGTATCATCGAGAAGTATCTAGATTTCAAGCAAGGGGAGGTTTGGAAGGAGGTGACTTCGGAGCTGGAGCAAGAAGGCGTTAGACCGGTTACTCCTGATGAGGTAGGTTGATGTCGACTTCTATCTGAATTCCAATGTCAAGTCTAACATCAACGTCATACTAGCCAGTTTATGTCGTTTTGTTGTAATGTTCCCCAAAAGTCCTGCAAATGTGGCTGTTGTAAGTACGCCACACAGTGCCGTGTAGAGTTCCTCTAAACCTGATCCATTCAATCATTTCCTCTCCTTGTAGGAAGCCCTGTCAGTAATCAACAGAACCACTGAGGAGTTGGCCATTAACGTAGCTGACACTCAAGTAGACATGTTAGAGTCACAACTACAGCAGGATCTGTTGGAAGAACAGGAGATGTATGCCGAGGTGAGTAAACCTATGGAGAAAATAAGCAACTTGTGAATCCTGCATAGAAATCCTGGCAAGTGCATTGGTGTATTGGTTAAAAAGACTGCACCTGAGCACGTCGTCTTGATTTGGACTTTGTACGTCTTGCAGGAACCACCAAAAAAAATCACAATTCTTTGCATCACACTTGGTAGTTTTTGTTTTCTTGTATTGATAGAAAAAGGTAACTAATTGATTTGTCTTTACTATTCAGATCCGTGAGAATCATCGCCAGAAAGAGAAAGCCATCAAGAGGTGGGATAACTACGTGGCACGCACATCCAACTATGCCTTACTCAAGGTAAGCTAAACCTGTCTAAGATGGCTTTCCAGTATTTTTTTCTTCATCCAGGAATAATTTCGTTACTGATTTACCAAGATGTGGCATGTCACTTTTCTTTTCATGTGTTTCATTTCATAGACTGCCAAGACCGATCAAGACTTGAGCATCAAAGCCTCCAGAATACAGACGGAGTTCCTAGACTCGTAAGTAGTTCTAATATCATCACTGGCAGAATTGTTAACAGGGAAATCATTGTGAGATGGCTCTATATTGAGATGTTTCACACTTTTAATTGCTGGAATGTTTGTCCAAAAGTCATGTCAGACAAAACAGATCGATGTTCTGTTTACACTTGTAAACCATCCTAAACAACTTCCCTTATCCCAATAGAGATATGACACTATATCCTCATGATTCGTTTCAATTTCTTATTGCAGAGACACCTACCACAGCACAGATCTCTCCAACCTTCAAACAACAGTAAGTATAGCAATAAAAAAGTCCTGTGCTCTGAAATCATAGCACTCTTTCCTGTGATATTTTGTCGTGAACTTAGGATTTTTGCATGGTGATTCGTAGGATTAAGCTGACAGCAACATAAACTTCTGGTACTATGCCAACTCTTCCTGACATCAGTTTATAAAATTGAATATTGCAATTTCAATAACTCTTGATAATTTCCTTTTCTGACAGACTTTAAAAATCGAATTTTAACAATTAATGATAATTTCCTCTTCTTTTTTCAAATTTTGCCAGACCTTCCAGAGTCGTCATATCAACATTGACAGCACGCCTCTAGAGCTGACAGGTGGTCCAACGCTCCTAGGTCAACCTAATGAGAGAGACATCACCAACAGGGTCACGATGAAGGAAAATACTCCGATATTTGTCTCTTAGTTCAACAAATAGTATTGATTTATGTATGAAGATGTCTGTGAATTGCTTTCCTGCAACTGCCCCCTTATTTAATGACTGGCAAAGACTCAAAGTATCGAGAGCTGTTCAGTTTGGCAAAAAAAAGAGGAATATTTAAGCACAAAGCTGCTGAGGTGGTGGAGTAATACCTTTATGGGAAACGTTTGCACTTTGCGGATCTTGGAAACTTGTTGGATACATACATGTATCAGGCATGAGAGTTTTCAGACTTGTCTAAAATCAGACTTTTTGAATCAGAGAGAAAGACATTATCAGTATAAAAAGAAATGCATCTTTCAGACCTTTCATCCAGTTTTCAGACTTTTTTAAATTGAAAATCTCATCCTTGGCGTATATTATTTTGGATAAACTTGCCCTGGTAGGTTTGTACCGTTAATTCAAGGTATATGACCCTGACATTTGTCCATGTCTACCCAACCCACCACAAAGCCTACTCCCACCATCCAACTTCCTCTACCACCCCCCTTCCCCCCCCCCCCCCACTCACCATGTTCTGCCTCGCAATACATTTATGAGTTGAGCTTAAAGTGGCTTCGTTTATATTTTGTAAATAATGCTTAAATTTTGAGAGTGTGTAAATACAGAAGTTAAATTTAAAACAATAGTCGAGCATGCAGGAACTTTTCTATGGATTGAAACCAAAAAGGGTGTAAAAGATGCAAGGAGGTGATTGTTCATAATTGGGTATTCATTGAGAGTGTGACATGCCGATTTTGAGTTAATTTGAAAAGATTGTAACTATTGTGTGTATATACATCCTGCTGAAAATGTGTTTTTTTTTCCTGTATATAAATACAAAGAAGCTCCTAACATCACAATCCGTCCAGGTAAAAATGTCCAGAGAGTCATTGATAAGTACATTTGTATTTAGAAGCTATACAGTGCATGTACATGATGTATGATTTTGATTCAAACAATATGGAATCCACAACCGTCAAACTTTTTTGGGCATTTATAATGTTTGCATTGCGTCCAAAACTGATTAAAACATTTGAATATAAAGGACACTGATATTGGGTGTACTGCTGGATTTAATTTTACTTCCTTGATTTCAGATACTTCTTAGTGCATTTTTTTGTTTGTAAATTTATGCGAAAACAATTAATGCGTGGAAAGAATTCCATTAATGGCCATCGTTTATTTTTCCCTGCAAATGACCCATCATCAGAAAGCGATAACATGTCCTGAAAAATATTGAACCATTTACATGTACTGAGAAAACACTAAGAATTTTTTAGACAAGTCTTATAGGGTTTGTGCACAGGGTGTCAAATGATGTCCAGGTATGGAATTCTTTCCCAGTGCGTAACACCCCCCCCCCCCCCCACTTTCGTTTACCCCGCCTACCGGGTCGCGATTATCGCGCAACGGGCTCATGAGGGCGCTGTGCAGAAAACACGGAAGCGGTCAAATCAAGTGGACGGTTTCGAGATTTTGTTGCGAAAATGACCCAAGGAAAAGCTGATGACGACTCTGCGTATTCTGCAAGAGAAGTCATGGACAGTAAGTAAAGATTTATAAAGAGGTTGGCATTAACTCACAGGCTAGTGTCCAGTATATTGCAGTGAATTCTGTCCGGCGCAAGATTGTGGCAAGTGAAGTTGTCAACTCGGTCCCAACTCGATGCGCAGTATTTTGAAAGAACGTTTGAAACTGAAGTGGAAGAAATCCTTAAATAAGTAGCAATACCCAATTGCCACAATGGCGTATAGGTTCAGTATAAATAAATATCGCTCAGTCTCATTGCCATTTGAGCGTTGTTATATTATTATTGGCATGATTGGTCTTCTGGGTACCGGGTCACAATCGAATCGGTCTGGGTCCGAGTTGGTCTGGCTCTGAGTTGGTCTTGGTTGGTGTTGGTCTGGGTCCGAGTAGGTCTGGGTCCGAGTTGATTTGGGTCGAGTTGCCGGTTGGTGACTTGAAACCCTGTAATTATGTTCTTTGTGCTGTATAGCATGTGACTTTGCAAACATGGCCTAGGATTGACTGCTTGAACTGTTGAGCTTGTGATACATTGATCTTTAATTATTATTCATTTTACTGATCTTTGTATTTTTCATTTCATTGACTCAGCTGTTAGTGAGATGTCCAAGCTACTTGAGACTGGTCTAGACTCAGGGACCCTAGCCATAGCTGTCAAGCTGTGTGAGCTGGGTGTCAATCCTGAAGCACTAGCGTCAGTCATACAGGAACTACGCAGAGAAATGGCCGCTTACAATGTAAGTGAATAATGAAACTGACTAAATTATGTTTCTGTACAAAAACTCTGCACTTCTCTTGGTTATTGGATGGAAAAACAACAGAATATGCAACTTAATGTTATTGTGAGATATTCTTGAAATTTCTGTTCGTAGCTTTGCAAAATAGCAGAATATATCAAAAGTAAAATAGACCACCCCCACGTATTTTACTTTGATGCTCTTTCATTTGTGCTACAAATCCAGAGTAAGGTTGCTAATTTTCGTTTGCATTCTCACTCCTCTTTTTACATAGGCTGGTGGTGGAGATAGCACAACATGAGACAGCGCTGTTGAACCTGTGGGAGACATTTACTGAATGTACATGTACTTGGAAACTTCAAGGATCATAAGAGAGATGTTTGGAATAAATGCCAATCGCTGGAGCGTCTATCTTAGGCCATTTTTTAACTTGTGCTGCATTACATGTTCATGTACAGTGAAAAAAAAGCTCCTTCAAAACAGACTGACTTCCCAAGTTTGTTCTACTGTGTATATTTGGTCATATACATGTACTGTGAATAGTGCTTTGTCATTTGTAGCTAATGATAAGCTACAAAACATTAGTTCTGCAAGAAACGTTTCATCCTTATTAAAGATTATTACATGCACTTTGTACAGGTTCATTGATTTCCCCATTATAAAGAACAAAAATATTAGACAAATATTATCCATGGTCCCATAGGCGCGCTAAAGAATGTTTAACTCGAAATAAAGTGGTGGAACTGGACTTGGGTGCAGAAGATCAGAAGAGAATCCGATTTTCAATCGGGCATTGAATGGACTTGATTTTTAAATTTTTAATTGACAACCGAATCTTGTGGTTTCATAAGGCCATGCGCCAGCCGGTAGTCTGTGATAAATCAATTAAACTAGACCAAACAGACTGTTAACAGGTTGTCTGAAATTAAATGACTTTTGAAAGTTAATTAATTAAATTAAATGAAGTGTGTAATTTACCATGTTTACCTGTGTCAATAAACGGAACAGCTGGTGTTTGTATAAAACGATACTGATGACGTCATATTCATTATGAAATGGTTTGTCACAGATGGGTCCAATCATAAACATTCACTGTTTCTAAAGAAAGTAAATCTAAGTTAAGACAATGCTTCGAAAAACTGCTGCACTTGCAGAATCCAGATCAAATAAAAGGCCTGTATTGGCCGACATCTTTCCAAACGCGGCAAGGAGGTTCGTAGCAAAGACAAGTAGAGAAGCTGGGTGTTCATTCTATTAATTCAAATACGGACTTGGAAGCTGCTGAAACTTGTTAGAAGCGCAATTCTTCCTCGGTTCGCCGACGGGCGATTGGTTCTGTTTCCTCCGTTCATCTTTTGGGAAGTTGGGATGGCCAACTATGTCCTACGAGATGTTACGTCCATCCTAACCTGCTTGATTTTCGTAGCTTCCGTGGCAATTCAAGAAACGTGTGCCTTGGAGTAAGTACACTGCTCTATTCAAAGTAGTGAATGTTCTCTTTCTTGAATGTGAATAGTTTAGTGCTCATATAGTCTGTTTTACGTTCTATGTATTATATTAAAGCAATCTATTTGAGAATTATGAGTTGTATGCGACTATTTCATCAGCGTTTTCATGAAGGGTCGAATTATGCCGTAAAAATCCCATATTTTTTTCAAATTCTTTTTCCGGCCGAAATCGTTTTAATAATTGAACAAATGTTTTGGCGAAGTTATTTTGGTTGATCAAAATCAGTTGAAATCAACGAAATCAATGTATTATTTACGGAAAATTTCAACTGAATCGTATTTAAAGTTTTCACGAAGAGACGTAGGATTCGCACAAAGGGTATGGACAATTGGCAATTTGCTAATGGGGGGGGGGGGGGGGGGGCCTCGTTGGGCAGGAGCCTCCCCCCCCCCTCCCCCTCCAAGAGTTGCCAATTGTACTTTTCAAACTTTTTTGTAGTCCCACGATTTGACCGTGATGATATGTATGTGGCCAATTTTGAGTAGTATAATAGGGGGGTACGTCAATGGCGCCACCAACGTCATAATAGTCCGTTCCCCCATACTCAACAAACAATAAAAATATTTTCTGCGGCCAAAAGTTTTGAGAATTTTTTTTTTTTTTAAATTCAACATAAAAAAAAAACCAAGTTGTGAAAGACAGAGCAGTTTGAAGTCGCAAACTGCAGCACGACTGATTGTTTGATAGGAATGCTTCCGTTTCGGTGGAAGGGGTTTGAGGGTGCAATGTTAAGCTACTAGACCGAGAATGAATTCATGCAGACAACGCCCCGTCTAAGGCGGAATTCAGGAATGTGTTATGTAATGTGACGCGCTCTAAAGAGCGGCGTTCCCTGTCGTACGATAACGAAAAGAAAAATAACCTTCTTTGTATTATTTTAATTAATTAATAGGTCACATTACTGCCCGGGTACGGAGTCACACCTTGTAGGCGTGGAGCAGCGGCGGCAGGTACCGTGTACGGACGTCTATGACCCGGTCAATATCCTACAAGGATGGACGTGGGATCAGGGCAAACAGGCTACCGTGATGGATGGGGAAAAGATGTGTGAATTGGTCAGGTAAATAACGGATTTTAATAAAAAAATTATTTCATCTAAATGAATGACAATGTACTACCTAAGCGACAAACAATTAGGACAAAATTTATATTTTGTTGAAATTGGGGTGTTTTTGGCAGAGTTGTACAGCAAGAGCAGACCAAGACAATACTTGTTTGCTGCGATGGCTACGGAGGTCTCCTCTGTGAAACACGTAAGTCTAGTGTCAAATTTAAGAAGAAGAAATTGCTCATTTTTTGTCATTTCTACTGTTTATCGGTACGGTTTATCTGATTTATTTAGAATTGGAAGCCTTTACTCTGTAATTCCACTCGCCATGCATATAATTAATTAACACGGGTAGTATGTGCAGTGGCGTAGCCACGGGGGGGGGGGGGCGACAGCCCCCCATGAAACCTTGTCGCCCCCCAGTCGCCCCCCCCCCCCCCACTGAGATTTTGAGTTTGTAAAATAATTTTCATTGATCTACATGACGCCCCCCATGAAATGTTCCAGCCCCCCCCCCCCAGCGCCCCCCCCCCCCCCAGCGCCCCCCCCCCCCCCCACCCACTGAAAAATTCCTGGCTACGCCACTTAGTATGTGTATACAAATAATGGTTATTATTTTTCTGGATCCAATCAATTAGCAATATGCCGTAACAGGTGTCTGAATGGTGGCAGGTGTGTAGCACCTGATACGTGTAGATGTCCAGCCGGTTACCAAGGAAACAGATGCCAATCCCGCATTGGTACGTTTTCTTATTTCTTATATAGGCATATCATAATTATCATCTCACATTCGAATCCATGACTGTTTCAATTTTATGTTTAAAATTCAATATTCACTTGTGTCACATATACCTGAACTGAAAACTCGTAATTATAATCATTTTTTATATACATTATTTTATATATTTCATTTCCGATTTTCAGAACCCCGACTGGAAATGTTCCCAGGTGAGCGCCAGTCTTATTTTAGCTGTCAGATTATATTTTTTTCTCGTGCTTTTTGATAGGCACACTAGTGACTCAGGGCACAGTGTCGACTTCTAGCAGGCAAAACAAATTTACTTGAGATATATGGGGAAAAAGGCTGTACAAGAAAAAAAAAGGAATTATCTTTTACTTCATTTCAGGTTTCAAGGATGCATTCGGAGGTCTGAAACCTTTAATAGCAAAAAGATCAACGGACTGTAAGTAATTAATACAATTGTAGAATTACTTTATGCATTTTTTAAAAACATTTCTTTAAAGTGCTTCTGGACATACTGATAATTCATTTTGTCATTTGGAACAAAAGCTCAGATTTAGGCTTGATAAATCTGTTGGTTAATCACGAAAAGCCAATTCCGATTTTCCGTATATTTCTCTTTCCAGACTCGAGTTACTATGGCAACCATACTGGCCCAGCATCCACCTCGGTGGACCTTGCATCTCGTTCCTATGCCACCTGCTTGTCATGGAGCAGAGATCACTTCCGGACGTTTGACGGAGTTGATTTTAGCTTTGCTGGGGATTGTACCTACACTCTGGCTGCTGGTACTGATGGAACATGGGATGCTACGTTGAAAAACAACAAATGTGATTCGCTGGATACCTGCTATAAAGTATGAACAATATGTTGTGACGTTATTATATCATTTGAAAGAGGGGATTGATAGTAAAAGACATTGGAAATAGTTGGTATCATAAACACCTTTATTAGTAACATGATGACAAAACCTTTTTATGTTTTGATGTGGATAATGGATCCTTTATATAAACATTTTTATTGAAGGTTGTGAATCATCGTTGTGACCATATTATGCGCTTGATATGGAAGTATATGGAAGTAAAATCTGCCCTGATGTGTGGGTTTACCATTTTGACAAAAATTACTATCTAGTTTAACATTTTGATCCTTCCTTTGTTTTTCTTCCAGACCCTCGAGCTGATTATTGGAATGGATGTTGTCACAGCAAATGGGAGGAATGTTTTCGTCAACGACAAGAAAATTACAAATTTCCCATACTTGAAAAATGGTGAGTACTTTGAATCTGTTTTCACATTATGCTTAAGATTTTAAATATTAACTTCAAATTGCCATAGTTTTACTATTGAATTCCTCGTGGTGTATCGTGTGCAATTTTGTTTCATTGCAGGTATATCCCTAAAGAGAGTTGGTGATTTCACATTTCTTGAGAGTGGTCTTGGAGTCTTAGCCAAGTGGGACGGGTCGATGATGATTGAGTTGACAGTTCTGGATGAGCTACGGCAATCGACTCTGGGACTGTGTGGGACGTTTGATGATGACCCTTTAAGTAAGTCTTTGGGAGGAAGAAGAATCCATGGGAAATCAGCCATTGTTGGATCTATTAGGGTTACGGTATAGGCCTGTCCTTCATTTGTGGGTACAAAGCAATTTTAAGATTTAAAAAAGAGGATTCTTTAGCCAAAGGTAAAGTGTGGGATGGAAGAGTGGATAAACTAGACTTGCAGGAGTAAAATCAGTATAGAGATCGTTCTCGGTCAATGGTTAGTTCCCAAGCATCTTTTCTTTAAAATCACCAGTACTTTTACAGAATCCCCCACTGTTATAAAGAAATGAAAACAATTAATTGTTGTCAATGTGTGACAGATGATATGACAACACGGAGTGGTGAGGTAGCCAGGAATCAGATCCAGTTTGTTGCATCGTGGGAAACACCGGGACCTGGGGAGGTATGTATCATGACAGTTTGAGTGAAATTTTGTTGCCGAGTGATTCTTTGCATAACTAGCATTTACTGACACCAAATTCTGTATTTCTTTTTTTTTCTCCAGGAAAGAGTATTGAAATATTCGTACAAATATGCATGTTTATTTTGTAGGTATGTCCACCTATGTCAGAGGTCCATCCATGCAGTGTGAATAGCGATCGAGAGGTCACTGCACACTCACTCTGTAATGTCATAGAACTTGCTGACGAATTTCAACAGTGCCATTCAGTTGTAAGTAGTTGCTTTGCTGTGATTTATTATTCAGTTTGAATTTCAGCGCAAACAAGCTGAAGGTTCCTTGTTAGCTTTTTCCAAATTACATGTATTCAAGTTCTGTCATGAATAAGAAGCAAACTGTTGATGAAAATGGGAATTAATGAATCAACCTTTTTTCTCTTTTCTCAGTTGATCTTGAGCACATCTGATTTCATCAGTCAGTGTCAGTATGACATCTGTGAATTTGGTGACTCTTATGAATCCACCATGATCGCTCTCTGCGTGTCTCTTGAAGCTTATGCACGAGTGTGTGCAAGTCAAAATGTGGTCCTGAACTGGCGGAGTGAAGACCTGTGTCGTAAGTTCATTTGAAAGCCATCTAGACAAGTACATTGCAAGGGATTACCAGTAAAATACCAGAACGAAGATAGATTACCATAAGTTTGTATGTATGCATTTACTTTTGACCAGTTCTTTAGCTTAGGTAAAACGCTGGTTTAAGTTTATTGCAAGTTAGCAATTGAAGATATTAGATAATTATGTAAACCTGGAAAAAAGATCCATTTTTTGTTGTTGAAGGCTACATTTTAAAACCTGGACAAAATGGAAGCTGACCTCATCTGTATTTCTTTTATTTTGTACAGCCAAACAGTGTCCAGACACGCAGGTCTACACTGAATGCGGAACCCTTTGCCCACCAACCTGTACATCAGCTAACACAGACCACTGCCCTGCCGACTGTGTGAGCGGTTGCCAGTGTCCGCAGGGAACTGTTCTCGAGGATGGTAGATGTGTTGATGTCGAGGAGTGTCCATGTGTGCATAATAGAGAGAAGTACCCGCCAGGGGCTACTGTGTCAGTCAAGTGTAACACTTGGTGAGTTTGGTGATAATTTCTGGCCAAGTTCCCATCAAATTTATAAATTCTCCACAAGCCAAAGTATACAATTGAACTCTTTGCATGACGTCTATGAAGCAACAGTACCTAGGACCCAGTTAATATCTCTTTACAGTTTGATGTCCAAATTATATTAAATGAAAAGTTTGCACTACGTTTATATTCCGTTTTTGGATTTTTCTTCTAAGTCTATGCTTCCTCACCAAAAAGTTAATCGATTTCCACCTGTATATCATTTGCCTTATCCCCAGCACCTGTCATTCAGGTAAGTGGTCCTGCAGCAATGACGTGTGTCAATCCACCTGTCATGTGGTCGGTGATCCTCATTATCTGACATTTGACAAGAAGAAATACACCTTTATGGGTCACTGTCGCTACATGCTAGTTGAGGTAAGGTCTTGTTTAGGATCTATTTAGGGTTTATATAAGCTTTACGTGCGGATTCTCCGATTATCTTCATGTGTGATCCTCAAATAGACAAATTCTCTGGTACATGTAATTGTTTATTCACCTGTGACACTTCCTTAAAACAATTGACTGGTTCTATTTGATTCCTTCAACTTGCCTTGCATCACCTTGTCTGATAAGGTTCAGTCATATCATAGAGGGTTGTGCTTGAGCAAGGGAGTTAGTTTTACAGTATTTCCATGAACTTCTTAATTACCAACATTACATTGATCTCCCTTGTGCTTGTTCTATTTTAGGATTATGTGGATGGAACACTGTCCATCATTGGCGAGAATCAAAACTGTGGTTCAGGACACTCAGTCACCTGCACCAAAGCTGTCGTTGTCAAAGTCAACAATACAGAGGTCTACCTCAAGCAAGGCAAAGAGGTTGATGTAAACGGTGTACATATCAAACCGCCATTTGTCAATCAACATGTCTCTATTCGCCGTGGATCGTCCAAGTTTCTGATTCTGGAAACGTTTGGAATGAGCTTGAAGTGGGACGGAATTGACAGATTGTACATCACCTTGGCACCTAGTTACATGAATAAGGTGAGTTTCAGAAGTCGTAGAAAATTTGCTTGGCAAGGCTTTCTACACAAGGCTGCAAAACCAGATGATAGATTGAATAAATTCGCGTTAATCATGGATTAGAAAGGTCAGCTGATGAACAATTTTTGATTGCATTCATATAGGTTCGTGGACTGTGTGGCACATTTGATTCCAATCAGAATAATGACTTCATGACACCAGCAGGTGACGTAGAAACCAACAAAATCGCCTTCACTAACAAGTTTGTTGTCGATCCAGGCTGCTTTGAGCCAGAGACCACAGTCTCTCTACCTCCATGCAGTCTGAACTCTCACATGGCAACTTTTGCTGAAGCGAAATGTGGCATTATGAATTCAGATGTCTTCCGTGCATGTCATGGAAGTGTGAGTCCTGATCTGTTCTATGACATCTGTATGTATGATGTGTGTGGGTGCGATACGGCATTTACCACCAGCTGTCTCTGTGAGTCTATCGCTGGGTATGCTATGGAATGTGCTAACGAGGGAATATTTATCGATTGGAGAGAACATGAACTGGTCGCCAAATATTGTGGTAAGTTGTCAATTAAGCTCCAAATATCCCCCCCCCCCCAAAAAAAATAAAAAAAATAAAAAAAATTAACTAGCAAGATGCTTACTGGTGCACCAAGCAAAACCCAATTAAAATAATATATATTATATAAACACAGTTGTCGAACCATAAATTTAGTAATGATGTGTTGTTATATTTGATCAAATTCAACTTCAAAAACCTCTTCGAAAATCCTCCTTTGTTCCTTATTTCAACCTTTTTTTTCAATACATAGATGTGTCATGCCCCGGAAGTCAGGTTTACAGTACCTGTGGACCGACTTGTGGTCAATCATGTCGCGATCTCAGCCTTGCTTGTATTGAGACAGACTATTGTGTGGAGGGATGCAACTGTCCTGAGGGATCGGTACTGGACGATGATGGCAATTGTATATCACCATCACAGTGCCCCTGCTATTGGGATGACCAGGTGTTCTCCCCCGGCACGGAAATGGAACGATCCTGCTTGACTTGGTGAGAACTTGAAGACTAACACCAGCAAAAAACGGTTTAAAGTTTTTTTTCTGATTGTGTTTAATCGCCAACTACTATTTCGTCAAAGTTTGTGTTGAGTTATGGACCACCGTTTCTTGTCTAATATAACGTGTACAATTTATTGTTGAGGTTGAGGCTCAAGAGTTTTTTAGCCTTCACTGTCTACCTCTGCTGAGACTCGAACCTTTACCGCTTATATTACATATGGATGAACTATCTGGATGATGTTGAAAAGTTCCCTCCACTCTCATCTTATTCATTATTCAATTCATTTCATTGTGACTGTTGTTTACTTTTGTGAATTTGCAGCACGTGTGTGAATGGTACATTTGACTGTATTGGAGAGGAATGCAATGAGACAATCATATGTCCCAATAATCAGATATTTGACAATCACGCTACACCGTGCCCAGTGACGTGTGATAACCTAGACCACTATCGACCATGTGTTGCATCCACGAGGCCTGGCTGTATGTGTCCGGAGGGATATGTGCTCGAGGTAAGGCTAGGTAGTCTCCTTTCGATGCTTGATAGTAAATGTCAGTGCCTGTATATACTTTACCCGTGTCTTTAATTCTTTGAGTAAGATTTACTAATATTAAAATGTCAGCCGTCCATAAACACTTATACATTTCATGATATTTTGGAGTTGTTTTTTTTTCAATTGTATTCAATTTTGTAGAGTTTTATTTATTGTCAAACGTGCCCAAATGAACTAGTTTCTTATCTTTCTATTTAGGATGATATTTGCATTCTGCCATCTGAATGTCCATGTTATCACAGTGGTCATAGCTACCAGCATGGTGAGATGTTACAGATAGACGCCTGCAATCAATGGTAAGGCACATAACAGCAAGACTTCATACGTATTCATGAACTATCTACCTGATGCCATTGGTTTAACCTTTTTTATGCCTCAAATAAGTAATTTTACTTACAGGCAGTATTTCTGAAGATCTTTTTTAAGGGAATTAGATCACTGAAACTCAGTATAATAAAGTATTAATTCTTTTAAGGTGTTTTAAATGTTAGTTGTGTTTTTTTAACTGATGTTCATGCAGTGTGTGCAAAGGAACTATGTGGGAGTGCACACACAAGGTTTGCCCAGGTAAGCTCTTGTTTTGTCGTTTTTAAAATAACTTTAACCCTTTCTCTCAGTCGTGAAAGATACCTTCTTCCATGATCGCATGTTGTCAAGCGTATTTTGCGAAATATTTTGCAGATTGCATTAACTGCCAAATTATATACCTTGGCATTTCTCATCTTTGTTTCAGCTGTATGTTCAGCAGTTGGAGAGGGTCACTACACAACCTTTGATGGTCGCATGTATTCCTTTGTCGGTGACTGCCGCTACACCTTAGCCCAATCCATCAACAACACATTCTCCATTGAGGTTGAAAATGTAGTATGTGGCTCCAGTGGTATCACGTGTACTCGAGCAATTGAGGTCAACATTGGTGACTATGTTAGCATCTTCTTGGTAAGAGGAGGAGAGGTCATGATCAATGAGGTCAAAGTTCAACTCCCTAAGCATTACTACTCGCTGCAGATTGAGAAGTCTGGGTTCTTTTACACCATCACGTCTGATATCGGACTCAGGGTGCTGTGGGATGGAGGTGAGTGAATTAAAAGTCTACTTCCCTTTTAATAATTCTCTTATAATCTATTCCAAGCAGCACCAACTAATGTTTGATATTTCAACCTAGGTACGCGAGTCTACGTTGAAGTCCAGCCTCACTTTGGTGGCCAGCTGTCTGGCCTGTGTGGTAACTTTGATGGGAACCAGGAGAATGACTTTACAGCGTGGAATGGTGGTCTGGAACAGAGCGCTGATAACTTTGCTAACAGTTGGAAGGTCAGCGCGGGATGCCCTGAGTTGTATCAAGAAGATGTCTTGCATCCTTGCACGGTGAGTCGTCAGAAAGAGGTACCAAAATGTAGTTGGCATGAGTACTTGATTTCTCATCAGAAAACACTGTGCCAACTTTTATACTTGTGCAGATATCATGCAAATGTTTGCGCTAGGTACCAGATATATAGTTAAGGAGCTAAGTTCAGTGCTGTCAAGAGTTCAGTCTAGTGCTGCAGCTTGCAATCAGATTGTTAAGGGTTGGAATACAACTGCTGCATGGGGGAGTGGTGTGTCTTCGGCTGAGCCACTTCAGCCCATCTGCCTTTCTCTCCCAAGAACTGAATACTGGCATTAGCTTGGGATTAGTTAGTTTAGTTATGGGTGTCCATCGAAAGAGCTTAAATTGCGATGGACTGGCATCACATCCAGGGGGAAAACTAAGAAATTCGACTAACATAATGACTGTGATTGCAAATAAACGTATTAATTTTTTACTTTAGGTGAATGGTCACAGAGAGGCCTGGGCCAATCGACGATGCAACATTCTCATGCAGTCGACCTTTGAACCTTGTCATGCTCACGTTGACCCTTCACCTTATCTGGAGAATTGTATCTTTGACTCATGCGGGTAAGTCATCAACTATTTTAAATGAACTCTTCCATTGTGTTTCCTGAAAGAAACTTTTACAGTCTGACTACTTTGATGTCCCTTATTCAATTCAGCCTTATGGCTCAGAGTATGCAACTAATTTTCGTTTGGCTGCTTCTTTTATCTTTTTGTTATAACAATGGAGAATGCTGTTTGACTTTAAGAGCAAATTTGAGCGTCCATTTTTAGAAAAACATTTCATAGGGCACAAGGAAACCCTTTTTAATTTCTCCTCTACCTTTTTGCATAATATTATTATTTGTGTCCCTAGATGTGATATGGGAGGTGATTGCGAGTGTATGTGTACAGCTATAGCAGCCTATGCGATGGAGTGTTCACAGAGTGGTGTGCACATCAAATGGAGATCACAAGATCTTTGCGGTAGGTCATGAATACATTTTCAAAGTGTTGGAATGAGACTTGCATTCCACTGACAGTTTCAGGAAAAATACAATTGTATTTGAAGTCTGTGAGTTCAGCAATCTATATTAGAACACATTCCATGTTGGTAAAGTGACTTACAGGTACAAAATCTCCATAATGAATTCACCCATGATGTGTTATAACTATTGAATTTCAGCCATCCAGTGCGAGTACGGCTTCGAATACTCAGCCTGCGGACCATCTTGCCAAGAGACGTGTCAAACCATTGGTGATGAGAAGCCGGAATATTGCAATGGTTGTGTGGAGGGATGCCACTGTCCTGAAGGAATGGTGGTGCAAGGTCAGTGAACGTTGGATTTGAGGATATACCATTTATCTCTCAGAACCACTTTTTCTATGGAAGGATTTGTGGTAGGGTATTTGGTGATTAAAGATGGAATAAATTCAACCGACTCAAACTTGTATCTTGCCGTACATTATTCACGTTCTTTATGTCTTGTATCTAGGCACTCTCATCCGCTCCAATTATAGAATCTGACCTCCAACAAGCCAAATAATCTTTAATAAAAACGTTTACACTAGAACACCTAGCAAACTTTTTCAGGCATCCATAAAGTCCTACAAGAAGACACAGACAAAGTTTTTGAGCGACTTCCACGTGTAGACTGTGAGAGTCAAATAAATGTTGACTAATTGCTTTGACAGATGGTGGATGCGTGCCTGCTGATGAGTGCCCATGTTACCATGGCAACACAGAATATCCTCCGGGCACAATAATATCCAAGGAGTGCCAGAATTGGTGAGACAACATCTGATGTTGTGTTTCAATTAGAAATCTGAAATTTATATCAGATATCATATCGACATGCTTAAAAATTTAAATCTCGAATATAAACTGTTTCTTTTATTTTCATTTTCCATTACAGCACCTGTGTACGAGGGAAGTTTAATTGCTTAGGAGAACCCTGCAATAGTAAGTTATAAGATAACAATTTTGTGGAGTTTTGACGTTTTATTGTTTTTGAGTGTTTATGTCAAGTAAATATTTAATTCAACAGCATTTTTAATATCAGATTAATAGATTTGTCGTTTGCATATGATTCGCCTATGGTTTCCAATGTTATTTCTTTGTACAGTCACATGTTCTGATCATCAGTACCAGTGCGACAATGATGAATGTATACCTGCTGGATGGACGTGTGACGGTGAAAATGATTGTAGTGATGGTTCGGATGAGATAGATTGTGGTAAGTACTCCGGTTTAACGCTTTGCTCACATGTTTGTCCAATGCTGCAGTTGTTTAAACGAACTTGGAGAATGAATTGTTATTTAAACTTGGGTTTTGTCTCAATCAATTAGTATACACCTGCTCATCTGACCAATACACCTGCGGCAATGGCCATTGTATTGATGCAAGTTTCTATTGTGATGGCGCACAAGACTGCGATGACAACTCAGATGAAGTTGACTGCCGTGAGTAGCCATTAACAATCTTACATATTTTGAGACAGATTTCGAAATTTGAATCTCTGAAATCTGAAACATGCAAGATTTATTTAGTAATATGTGTCTGGATTGAACAGGTTCTTTGGATTGTTTCTCTTTATTTCAGCTCTGCCGAGTTGTTACGGTGGTGAATTCCAATGCAATAATGGCAAGTGTATTTCTAGAGCCTTTGTGTGTGATGGTGATTTGGATTGCGGCTTTAATGATCCAGCTGATGAGGAAAATTGTCGTAAGTAGTTTAAATCTTCTCTATGCATTTTTATTTTTGCTTGGTTTCTATCAAATGTTTTTTGACCACTGACTTACTGACTTCTTGTTTGATTGACTGCTCGTCGTGTTTTCTGTTACTTTTTCTATTTTTACATTAATGCCCTGCTATTTTTTTTGTGTATCTTTGTTTATATTTGTTGCATACAGAGACCACAACTGCATATTCCAATGCAACAGTGACTGCCCACACAACAACTTTACAGGAGACTACTGGTAAGACTCTTTTTCATAAAAACAAATTTTGGTTATAACGTACTTTATAAAACGCATTTTGGGGGTCAAGTTCATCGCAATTCCATTGCTTGCATGTCTCCACCACGAATTTTATAAGATGTCAAGTTTGTAGGTTACAAAGTTTATTTTATGTTACACAATTACCCAATCCTGATGTGACCTATCTCCTCTATATTAACAGAATACGGTTGTTATGGTTACCTGTATAATGATGGGACTTGCCTCCCTGATTTCTATCGTTGCGATGGCAAGGAAGATTAAACACTCTCTTAAAATATTGTTTTGTTTTGATTTCATCGGTGATGTTCAAATGTGAATGCTTATTGTAAGTTAATCAAATAATTTTGCCCTTACAGATGCTTATACTACACCTTCATACGCATGCAGTCCAGATGAGTTCACTTGTAAGAATGGCCTCTGTGTTTCCGGAGGGAGCAACGGCAGCGTCTGTAATGGCATCAATGACTGTGGAGACTCATCTGACGAAGAATACTGTGGTAAGACGATTATAAGTGTCTGTGTCAATAGTGACATTTTTGTTCATTGGTGACAGTACCTCGAACAAATGTCAAATTATCAACAACAAATACTACCACAAAGACTGTTCCATAAATTATATAACTTTGATCGTCAGAAGATTTATTATCTATTCTTTTTTCTATCTTTTCCAAAGGAACCACACCACACCCACTTCAAACGACCACAGTGATTGGTTGTCTTATCAGCCAATGGCGATGCACCAATACAAGTCAGTGCATTCACTCTTCCTATCGCTGCGATGGTGTACCAGACTGTGAGGATGCATCAGATGAACTGAACTGTGTCTATTCAACAAGCAAACCAATGACAACCCAACCCAACTTACCATACATTACTACCAGTCCATCTTACATTCAAGAAACATCATCTCAACCAGGGACGACTGTCCTAAGTACCAAGCCATACACTCCGAATATAAGCCCATTACCCGGGACTTCAACACCCATACCTTATGAAACATCAACCCTTGAAAGATACACCACAAAGGCAGTTGTAACACCTGTATCACAAAACTACATAGGAACAACCCAATCACCAACCACACCTTATGTAACCCAAGCAACGACAAAATTAGTCACAGCAATCCCTCCAAGTGTTGCTTCACCTCCACAAGTGGAAATTACTACACCATACCTAAAAGTACTGACCACTCCATATATGACCACACCCCATCTCCCTCCTGCCACAACACCATATGTACCAGTGGTGACCTCACCGTATATGCCTGAAGAGACAACTCCATATTTACCAAAAGAGACCACAACTTATATACCTGAAGTGTCAACACCTTACATACCAGTAGCGACCACTCAATATGTGCCACCACTTACAACACCTTATGTACCAGAGGTGACCACTCCATATGTACCACCAGTGACTACACCTTATGTGCCTGAGGTGACCACTCAATATCTGCCGAAAGTCACCACACCTTATATACCAGAAGTGACAACACCTTACCTACCAGAGGTGACCACTCCATATGCCCCAGTGGTGACCACTCCATATATGCAACTGGTGACAACTCCATATATGCCAGTCATAACCACACCAAATGTACCGGCGGTAACTACTCCGTATGTGCCAGAGGTGACCACTCCCGATCTGCCAGAGGTGACCACTCCCTATCTACCAGAGGTGACCACTCCCTTCCTACCGGAAGTAACCACTACCTATGTACCAGCGGTGACCACACCTTATATACCAGAGGTGACCACTCCATATGTACCACCAGTGACTACACCTTATGTGCCTGAGTTGACCACTCAATATCTGCCGAAAGTCACCACACCTTATGTCCCAGAAGTGACCACACCTTACCTACCAGAGGTGACCACTCCATATGCCCCAGTGGTGACCACTCCATATATGCAACTGGTGACAACTCCATATGTGCCAGTCATAACCACACCAAATGTACCGGCGGTAACTACTCCGTATGTGCCAGAGGTGACCACTCCCTATCTGCCAGAGGTGACCACTCCCTATCTACCACAGGTGACAACTCCCTATGTGCCAGCGGTGACCACTCCCTATAGGCCAGAAATGACCACTCGATATATTTCAAGGGTCACCACAACTCATATGCCCATGGTTACCACCCCTTATGTGCAAGTAATGACCACTCCTCAGACCACTGCATATGTTGTTCCAGGAACATCAACACCTTTACCCTTGGAACAATCAACAGTAGGTAGTTCCACCACCCAATCAGTTTTATCCCCCACCTCCCCTGCCTCTTATATTCAGACCTCACCAACATTTCCTCCAACAAAGTCTGTCACTGACTTGAAAGAATTACATCCACCAACTGTAGTAGCAACCTATGTGCCTCCATATGTTACAACACCCCAAGCTTTGAAGCCAACAACTCGAAACGTTCCATATATAACAACACAGTATGTACCAGAGGTGACAACCCCATATGTCCCAGCGGTGACCACTCCCAATGTCCCAGCGGTGACCACTCCATATGTGCCAAAGGTGACCACTCCATATGTGCCAGAGGTGACCACTCCATATTTACCAGCGATGACCACTCCCTATCTGCCAGAAGTGACCACTCCCTATATGCCAGAAGTGACCACTGCCTATGTGCCAGAGGTGACCACTCCCAATGTCCCAGCGGTGACCACTCCATATGTGCCAAAGGTGACCACTCCATATGTGCCAGTGGTGACCACTCCATATGTGCCAGTGGTGACCACTACCTATTTACCAGAGGTGACCACTCCCTATCTGCCAGAGGTGACCTCTCCCTATCTGCAAGAGGTGACCACTCCCTATGTGCCAGAGGTGACCACTCCATATGTGCCAGAGGTGACCACTCCATATGTGCCAGAGGTGACCACTCAATATCTACCACAGGTGACAACCCCACATGTCCCAGCGGTGACCACTCCCAATGTCCCAGCGCTGACCACTCCATATGTGCCAAAGGTGACCACTCCATATGTGCCAGAGGTGACCAATCCCTATTTACGAGAGGTGACCACTCCCTATCTGCCAGAAGTGACCACTCCCTATGTGCCAGAGGTGACCACTCCATATGTGCCATTGGTGACCACTCCCTATCTACCACAGGTGACAACCCCATATGTCCCAGCGGTGACCACTTCCAATGTCCCAGCGGTGACCACTCCATATGTGCCAAAGGTGACCACTCCATATGTGCCAGAGGTGACCACTACCTATTTACCAGTGGTGACCACTCCCTATCTGCCAGAAGTGACCACTCCCTATGTGCCAGAGGTGACCACACCTTACCTACCAGAGGTGACCACTCCATATGCCCCAGTGGTGACCACTCCATATATGCAACTGGTGACAACTCCATATATGCCAGTCATAACCACACCAAATGTACCGGCGGTAACTACTCCGTATGTGCCAGAGGTGACCACTCCCTATCTGCCAGAGGTGACCACTCCCTATCTACCACAGGTGACAACTCCCTATGTGCCAGCGGTGACCACTCCCTATAGGCCAGAAATGACCACTCGATATATTTCAAGGGTCACCACAACTCATATGCCCATGGTTACCACCCCTTATGTGCAAGTAATGACCACTCCTCAGACCACTGTATATGTTGTTCCAGGAACATCAACACCTTTACCCTTGGAACAGTCAACAGTAGGTAGTTCCACCACCCAATCAGTTTTGTCCCCCACCTCCCCTGACTCTTATATTCAGACCTCACCAACATTTCCTCCAACAAAGTCTGTCACTGACTTGAAAGAATTACATCCACCAACTGTAGTAGCAACCTATGTGCCTCCATATGTTACAACACCCCAAGCTTTGAAGCCAACAACTCAAAACGTTCCATATATAACAACACCGTATGTACCAGAGGTGACTACTCCCTATGTGCCAGAGGTGACCACTCCCTATCTACCACAGGTGACAACCCCATATTTCCCGGCGGTGACCACTCCATTTTTGCCAGCGATGACCACTCCCTATATGCCAGAGGCGACCACTCCATATGTACCAAAGGTGACCACTCCCAATGTCCCAGCAGTGACCACTCCATATGTGCCAAAGGTGACCACTCCATATGTGCCAGAGGTGACCACTACCTATTTACCAGAGGTGACCACTCCCTATCTGCCAGAGGTGACCACTCCCTATCTGCAAGAAGTGACCACTCCCTATGTGCCAGAGGTGACCACTCCATTTGTGCCAGAGGTGACCACTCCCTATCTACCACAGGTGACAACCCCATATGTCCCAGCGGTGACCACTCCATATGTGCCAAAGGTGACCACTCCATATGTGCCAGAGGTGACCACTCCATATTTACCAGAGGTGACCACTCCCTATCTGCCAGAAGTGACCACTCCCTATGTGCCAGAAGTGACCACTCCCTATGTGCCGGAGGTGACCACTCCCTATGTCCCAGCGGTGACCACTCCATATGTGCCAAAGGTGACCACTCCATATGTGCCAGTGGTGACCACTACCTATTTACCAGAGGTGACCACTCCCTATCTGCCAGAGGTGACCACTCCCTATGTGCAAGAGGTGACCACTCCCTATGTGCCAGAGGTGACCACTCCATATGTGCCAGAGGTGACCACTCCATATGTGCCAGAGGTGACCACTCCTTATCTACCACAGGTGACAACCCCATATGTCCCAGCGGTGACCACTCCCAATGTCCCAGCGGTGACCACTCCATATGTGCCAAAGGTGACCACTCCATATGTGCCAGAGGTGACCACTACCTATTTACCAGAGGTGACCACTCCCTATCTGCAAGAAGTGACCACTCCCTATGTGCCAGAGGTGACCACTCCATATGTGCCATTGGTGACCACTCCCTATCTACCACAGGTGACAACCCCAAATGTCCCAGCGGTGACCACTTCCAATGTCCCAGCGGTGACCACTCCATATGTGCCAAAGGTGACCACTCCATATGTGCCAGAGGTGACCACTCCCTATCTGCCAGAGGCTACCACTCCATATGTACCAAAGGTAACCACTCCCTATGTCCCAGCGGTGACCACTCCATATTTGCCAGCGATGACCACTCCCTATCTGCCAGCGGTGACTACTCCATATGTACCAAAGGTGACCACTCCATATGTGCCAGTGGTGACCACTCCATATCAACCAGAGGTAACCACTCCATATATACCAGAAGTGACCACTCCATATGTTCCAGCGGTGACCACTCCATATTTACCAGAGTTGACCACTCCATATTTGCCAGCAGTGACCACTCCCTATCTACCTGAGGTAACCACTCCATATATACCACCAGTGACATCAGAGGTCGTATACACTTCTACCCCATATTACAGGACGAGAGAACCTGGTTAGTCCCTTTAATTATCTGGAATTAAAGATAGTATTGACTGACACAAAATATTGCATGCATGTATAAATGATACTGAAGTCTCTGCGATTAGGTCTCTTGCTAAATAATAATTTTCACAAGGCTTTTCAAGATATTAAAGCTATTATGTTCTCTGTTTACTTCTCGATTTGTCTAGAATCCTGTCCATTCTCCTACACACTGATTGATGAGCTCATCCTCCAGCCTACGTCCTTTAACGCCTCCTCAACCGAGCCAGGCAATTCTCCTGCCAATGTCCGACTGGACCAACTCAAGCGTAGCACCTACATTGCTTGGGCACCAGCTACTGATGACCAGGGTCCTAGTGTGACCGTCGATTTAGGATCAGAGAAGATCATTAATGGGTTATCTGTACAAGGTGGTGGGTTCGGCACGGATGAGTTTGTGACGCTCTTTAGTGTGTCGTATAGCGTGGGTGGTCAGGACTACACACCAGTTGAGACATCCGATTGGGATGATGCGGTAAGCTTGGACAAAAGTGATGGCAACATCCTATTCTGTGCTAAATTGTTTTGATACTGATTTTTTGCTTTAATCGTTTATCTGTTGGTTATTAAAATTTATTTTATATCAATGGCATTTTCTTACTTCTTACAAGTTTTTATGTAAGCAATGAAAAGATATGAATTAAAGATTATTCGTTAATCATTATCGTCGTCACCTTTTCCGGTCTTTCCTTTGTTACAAATTTTGAGTTAGAATGACATTGTTGAAGATGACAGTTGTTTGCCTTAATTGTTCCAGGTGTTTGAAGGGAACAGTGATGACCATACAATACAGACAGACCCATTGCCTGTTCCCATAGTCGCTCGATACATCAAGATCTCTGTGGTAGAATATCATGGAGGAGTCAGACTACGGTGTGCTATATTAGGATGTGACTTGTATCTAGGTATGGTTATTCAGAAAGTATCTATGGGCTTTATCATAATTTCTGACGTTTTGTACATGATTGTTATTCCTTTGAGTTGTTTAAGAATGTCAATTGGTTTGTAGGACAAGTTGTATGGTATGGTGAGATAATTGAAAGTTTCCATGAAAATGAATTCATTCCATTGTGAATGGAATTTTCGGATGTTAAAATTCTACACACAACAATCTGAACAAGGCTTAATAGGATTTTTATAATATGAAGTAGATATACAAATAGTTGGGAAAAACATCAAAATTTGTTCAAATACTCCATAATAGCAAAGGAGATACAATTGATCATATAAATGAAGCATTTTCATTTAAAAACAGACTACACATCCCCAGCTGCATCTACTACCGTTGTGACAACACCGAGTGGAACCACACCTTCTACCTGTCAACCTGGTCAGTTCCAATGTAGCAGTGGTATCTGCATCAACGCTGGGCCTGGTGGTCAACTGTGTGATGGCATCAACGACTGTGGAGATTATTCTGATGAAAAGGGATGTGGTCAGTTAAATATCATTTAATCTACATTTCAGTGAAAACATTAGAAGAGACACTTACAATTATTCCTAGTAATCAAATTTAGAGAAACAAAAGGATGTTAAATTATCCACTGGCATTCATGCTATGTTTTGTTTTTTATCAAGATTCTAATCTTTGGTATGGAATACTTGAACGCCAAACACAACTGTGACGATAATACTTCATTCCAAACATTCCGCTGTAAAATTAAAACTGTTTTCAAACTTGTTATATTCGTTTTACCTTTTAGGTACCACAGTACCACCAACCGCAACCGACAAAATGACATCTCCTTATAAAGCAGTGACCACACCTTATTTGCAAGAGGTGACCACTCAATATTTGCCAGCAGTGACCACACCTTACGTGCCAGACGTGACCACTACATATGTGCCAGCAGTAACCACACCTTATGTGCCAGAGGTGACCACTCCATATGTGCCAGCAGTAACCACACCTTATGTACCAGTGGTGTCCACTCCATATGTGCCAGCAGTGACAACACCTTATGTACCAGAGGTGACCACTCCATATGGGCCAGCAGTGACCACACCTTATGTGCCAGAGGTGACCACTCCATATGTGCAAGCAGTGACCACGACTGATGTATCAGAGGTGACAACTCATTATATTCCTGGGGTCACCACACCAAGGGTACAAGTGACAACACCAAACGTGCCCGTCACCACTTCTAAAACACGTGAAACAACTGAATATTCTATTCCAGGAACATCAACACCTATTCCCCTTGAACAGACAACAGTTAAGAGGTCCACCACCCAATCACCTTTATCCCCCACCTCCCCTTCCTCCTATTTTCAGACCTTACCAACATTTCCTCCAACGAAGTCTGTCACTGACTTGAAAGAATTACATCCACCAACTGTAGTGGCAACCTATGTGCCTCCATATGTTACAACACCCAACATTTTGAAGCCAACAACTCCAAGCATTCCATATATAACAACACCTTATGTACCAGAGGTGACCACTCCATATGTGCCAGCCGTGACAACACCTTATGTCCCAGAGGTGACCACTCAATATGTGCCAGTAGTGACCACACCTTATGTACCAGAGGTGACCACTCAATATGTGCCAGTAGTGACCACACCTTATGTAGCAGAGGCGACCACTCCATACGTGCCAGCAGTGACAACACCTTATGTATCAGGGGTGACCACTCCATATGTACCAGAGGTGACCACTCAATATGTGCCAGTAGTGACCACACCTTATGTAGCAGAGGCGACCACTCCATACGTGCCAGCAGTGACAACACCTTATGTACCAGGGGTGACCACCCCATATGTCCCAGCGGTGACCACTCCATATCTACCACAGGTGACCACTCCATATGTGCCAGAGGTGACCACTCCATATGTGCCAGAGGTGACCACTACCTATTTACCAGAGGTGACCACTCCCTATCTACCAGAAGTGACCACTCCCTATGTGCCAGAGGTGACGACTCCCAATGTCCCAGCGGTGACCACTCCATATGTGCCAGAGGTGACCACTCCATATGTGCCAGAGGTGACCACTCCATATGTGCCAGAGGTGACCACTCCCTATCTACCACAGGTGACAACCCCATATGTCCCAGCGGTGACCACTCCCAATGTCCCAGCGGTGACCACTCCATATGTGCCAAAGGTGACCACTCCATATGTGCCAGAGGTGACCACTACCTATTTACCAGAGGTGACCACTCCCTATCTGCCAGAGGTGACCACTCCCTATCTGCAAGAAGTGACCACTCCCTATGTGCCAGAGGTGACCACTCCATATGTGCCAGAGGTGACCACTCCATATGTGCCAGAGGTGACCACTCCCTATCTACGACAGGTGACAACCCCATATGTCCCAGCGGTGACCACTCCCAATGTCCCAGCGGTGACCACCCCATATGTACCAAAGGTGACCACTCCATATGTGCCAGAGGCGACCACTCCATATGTGCCAGAGGTGACCACTCCCTTTCTACCACAGGTGACAACCCCATATGTCCCAGCGGTGACCACTCCCAATGTCCCAGCGGTGACCACTCCATATGTGCCAAAGGTGACCACTCCATATGTGCCAGAGGTGACCACTACCTATTTACCAGAGGTGACCACTCCCTATCTGCCAGAGGTGACCACTCCCTATCTGCAAGAAGTGACCACTCCCTATGTGCCAGAGGTGACCACTCCATATGTGCCAGAGGTGACCACTCCATATGTGCCAGAGGTGACCACTCCCTATCTACCACAGGTGACAACCCCATATGTCCCAGCGGTGACCACTACCTATTTACCAGAGGTGACCACTCCATATGTGCCAGAGGTGACCACTCCATATGTGCCAGAGGTGACCACTCCATATGGGCCAGCAGGGACCACACCTTATGTGCCAGAGGTGACCACTCTATATGTGCAAGCAGTGACCACGACTGATGTATCAGAGGTGACAACTCATTATATTCCTGGGGTCACCACACCAAGGGTACAAGTGACAACACCAAACGTGCCCGTCACCACTTCTGAAACACGTCAAACAACTGCATATTCTATTCCAGGAACATCAACACCTATTCCCCTTGAACAGACAACAGTTAAGAGGTCCACCACCCAATCACCTTTATCCCCCACCTCCCCTTCCTCCTATTTTCAGACCTCACCAACATTTCCTCCAACGAAGTCTGTCACTGACTTGAAAGAATTACATCCACCAACTGTAGTGGCAACCTATGTGCCTCCATATGTTACAACACCCAACATTTTGAAGCCAACAACTCCAAGCATTCCATATATAACAACACCTTATGTACCAGAGGTGACCACTCCATATCTGCCAGCCGTGACAACACCTTATGTACCAAAGGTGACCACTCCATACGTGCCAGTAGTGACCACACCTTATGTACCAGAGGTGACCACTCAATATGTGCCAGTAGTGACCACACCTTATGTAGTAGAGGCGACCACTCCATACGTACCAGGGGTGACCACTCCATATGGGCCAGCCTTGACAACACCTTATGTACCAGGGGTGACCACTCCATATGTGCCAGCAGTGACCACACCTTATGCTCCAGCAGTGACCACACCTTATGTACCAGGGGTGACCACTCCATATGTGCCAGCAGTGACCACTCCATATGTGCCAGCAGTGACCACTCCATATGTGCCAGCAGTGACCACTCCATATGTACCAGCAGTGACCACACCTTATGTACCAGCAGTGACCACACCTTATGTACCAGGGGTGACTACTCCATATGTGACGGCAGTGACCACACCTTATGTACCAGAGGTGACCACTCCATATGCTCCAGCAGTGACAACACCTTATGTACCAGGGGTGACCACACCGTATGTGCCAGCAGTGACCACACCCTATGTACCAGAGGTGACCACTCCATATGTGCCAGCAGTGACAACACCTAATGTACCAGAGGTGACCACTCCATATGTGCCAGCAGTGACCACACCCTATGTACTAGAGGTGACCACTCCTTATGTCCCGGCAGTGACGACACCTTATATACCAGAGTTGACCACTCCCAATGTGCCAGAAGTGACAACACCTGATGTACCAGAGGCGACCACTCAATATATGCCAGAAGTGACCACACCTTATGTCCCAGAGGTGACCACTCCGTATGCTCCAGCAGTGACAACACCTTATGTACCAGGGGTGACCACTCCATATGTGCCAGCATTGACAACACCTTATGTACCAGGGGTGACCACTCCATATGTGCCAGCATTGACCACACCCCATGTACCAGAGGTGACCACTCTTTATGTGCCAGCAGTGACCACACCTTATGTGCCAGAGGTGACCACTCCTTATGTACCAGAGGTGACATCTCAATATTTTCCTTGGATCACCACACCAAGGGTACAAGTTACCACATCAAACATGCCCGTTACCACTTCTGAAACACGTGAAACAACTGAATATACTATTCCAGGAACATCAACACCTATTCCCTTTGAACAGACAACAGTTAAGAGGTCCACCACCCAATCACAATTATCCCCAACCTCCCCTTCCTCCTATCTTCAGACCTCATCAACATTTCCTCCAACGAAGTCCGTCACTGACTTGAAAGAATTACATCCACCAACTGTAGTGGCAACCTATGTGCCTCCATATGTTACAACACCCAACAATTTGAAGCCAACAACTCCAAACATTCCATATATAACAACACCTTATGTACCAGAGGTGACCACTCCATATGTACCAGCAGTGACCACACCTTACGTCCCAGAGGTGATCACTCCCTATGTGCCAGCAGATACAACACCTTATGTACCAGAGGTGACCACTCCATATGTGTCAGCCGTGACAACACCTTATGTACCAGAGGCGACCACTCCATATGCTCCAGCAGTGACAACACCTTATGTACCGGAGGTGTCCACTCCATATGTGCCAGCAGTGACAACACCTTATGTACCGGAGGTGACCACTCCATATGTGCCAGCAGTGACAACACCTTATAAAAAAGAGGTGACCACTCCATATGTGCCAGTCGTGACAACACCTAATGTACCAGAGGTGACCACTCAATATGTGCCAGCAGTGACAACACCTTATGTACCAGTGGTGACTACTCCGTATGTGCCAGCAATGTCAACACCTTATGTACCGGAGGTGACCACTCCCTATGTGCCAGCAATGACCACACCTAATGTACCAGAGGCGACCACTCCATACGTGCCATCAGTGACCACACCTTATGTACCAGAGGTGACCACTCCGTATGCTCCGGCAGTGACAACACCTTATGTTCCAGAGGTGACCACTCCCTATGTGCAAGCGGTGACCACACCATATGTACCAGAGGTGACCACTCCGTATGCTCCAGCAGTGACAACACCTTATGTACCAAAAGTGACTACTCCATACGTTCCAGCAGTGACCACACCTCATGTACCAGAGGTGACCACTCCATATGTGCCAGCAGTGACAACACCTTATTTAGCAGAGGTGACCACACACTATGTACCGGAGGTGACCACTCCACATATACCAGCCGTGACAACACCCTATGTACCAGAGGTGACCACCCCATATACGCCACAATTGACCACACCTGTCCTTAGTACATGCTACAGTGGTCAGTTTACTTGTAAGGAAGGATCCTGTGTTTCTGGCCAGTCGGTATGTGATCAAGAGTGTGACTGCTCAGACTGCTCGGATGAACATGTTTGTGGTGAGTCAAATACATCAATACGTTAATTCCTTTAGAAAAAAAATCAGTAGATCTAAACTTTTGATAAGCATCACGTTGTTAAAGAAAATAACAGTTACTTGACCATTCCAATTGTTCGAGGTGTTCATGGGTTTATTATTTCCTCTCGCACATTACAGGCAGTACAGTTACACCAAATACTTCATCATTTTCCCTCACTGAGACTACGACATCATATATGACTACTACAGAGCAACAACCAGCTAGTACCACACCAGAAGAAAAAATAACATCATCAACACCATCAGGTATTGTGAGCCGTTAATTATTTGATGATGCAGTACAGAGAACTCCACTACCATAAACATTGCTATACTGAATATTCGCCTTAAAAAACATTGGCTCCCAGATTGATGCTCAAGTCTACAAGTGTTTGTCCTAAAAAGTGTTTGTCCGAATTTTTTTTTACCGTACCATATAACTGATAACAAAGTGATTAATCAACCGTGACAAGGATTTATGATGTAGAAAATCAAACATATTGCATTGCTTTTTCTAAGTTTTCATGCGCTCTCAATATTTTTCTCAACACAGCTTTAATGACATTTCTTGTCTTGCTATTGTGTAATTCTTGTCCTACATTTCCAGTAGGTTGCACGTTAAACCCATGGACCGAGTGGACGCCTTGCTCATTAACATGCGGCATAGGTCAGCGGTCACGTGACCGTAGTTACATCCAATCAGTGCACGGCGGGGTTGAGTGTAACAACACAGAGACTCATCAGGACGAATATTGCAACACAGATCCTTGCCCAAGTAATTTGCTGCATTTTCCTCTTTTATTATGTCACATATTCAATGCCAATCCCATCCCAAAATAAAATATCAATAAGGGCCTATCTGTTTTAAAAGTAACTTACTTAACTGTGTAAAGTATTTAGTTGGACTGTCAGGTTTCACTGAAACCATACTTCATAACTTTAAATAACCCTCGTATCATAAACCTTAAATAAAACATAAAGAAAACTAGAATACCATCCAGATTTGTTGATACTGCTTAAGTTTAATAAAAAGTACTTTAAATTTTGGTAAATGTTGTCATTTTAAAAAACTTTCAGTAAACCTAATGCAAGGATTGTATTTCTTTTTCCATATGTATTACCAGCTGATGGTAACTGGACCCCATGGAGTTCATGGTCTGACTGTGACGTCACCTGTAATGGTGGTACCTCGTACAGATATCGTAACTGTAGCAACCCACCACCTAAGAATGGTGGGAAGGAGTGTGAAGGAGTTGCACTGGAGACAAAAGTGTGTAACCCTCAGACGTGCAGTAAGTGTACTTGTTTACTATTTTTATTCCATTTCAAAAAGTGAGTGATGTAATTCACTAGCCGGGATTATCTACTCACAAGCGAAATTATGTGGTGGAACAACGCAATTTAAAGACTCTAAATAATATATTTTTTAAATCGCAGTGAATGAAAATTAGTTTCATGTGCTAAAGATGGGTTTATTTGGAAAGTGATCATCATCCATTTTCTGGGTATTGGTTTTTAGATACCTCTTGTGAAGCTGGCCGCGTCTATGATCCCGTCTGTGCAACTCGTTGCCCTTTGACCTGTGCTGACCTTCAAGTCGGATCACTCTGTATCGAGGAATCCTGCGAGTCTGGTTGTCGGTGTCCTGATGATATGCTGGAGCAGGACGGGCAGTGTATCGCACAGAGTGACTGTGATTGTTGGGATGAGTCCGGGAACAGACATGCCCCTGGATCCGTCACAACTGAGGACTGTCGTAACTGGTATGCTTGATGTAGGCCTGTTACATTCAGCCGCAATTAACAAGCATTTTTGATTATTATTTAATTCAATAACAAAGAATGCACAGGTGTACTCATGCGTATGTTGAATTGTTTTAAATTACTTTTAGCCTGCAGGGATAACAAGTTCATGTTCAGTTTGGATATTTATTTTTATCTGTGTTTTAGCACCTGTGTTAATGGCCGTTACACCTGTGATGAAATACTATGTGCTATCGATTGTGGTTGGTCCTCGTGGTCTACATGGACAACTTGCTCGAAGACGTGTGGCACAGGCTCCCAGCTCAGATTTAGGTAAAACATAAAAAAGGTTATTGATTTGAATTATTTTTGTTGTTATGATCCAAAATATACACTCAAATTTCTTGTTTACATTTAATAAAATCGGTATACATTGAGCCAGTGTTCATGCTAAAAGAAATGCACATGAGCTCGGGAAAACATTGGCAAAGTATCACTGAAATAACCACTCTTGGAGTCAAATTTGAAGATATTACTATCTCACGGTGAAGCTGTGCGGAGAGTGATAACATTTTTGGTTCTAACATACTTGAATGACATGATTTATTTAATGTTTAGATCTCCCAACAACCCACCAGCATCCAACGGAGGTCTTGAATGCTATGGGTCTGGCGAGGAGGAACAGACATGCAACACGGATGAATGCCCCACTGGCTGTGTGTATGGCAACAATACATATGCTGATGGAGAGAAAGTCATGCAAGACTTGTGTAATACTTGGTAAGAAATTAGGTTGAAGTACTTATTAAGTCTCATTTTTAAGATCAAACTTTCAGCATAATAAATGTTGAATAGGTTTAATCAGACTGATGTTGCTTTCCTTTTTGAAAATAAAAGAACATGATTTGAAAATTTTCAAAATTGACTAAGTTGAACTTGTGATGATTGTTGAGAACAATATCTTATAATGAAACTGTCATCATCAAAATTAGGTAAGGCATTTACTGGTAAAGTTAACTTTTCTTTTTGTTTTGTATTTGTGTTGCATCAGCACATGTATGAACAACTCAATTCACTGCACAGACAATGTCTGTGATGGTGGCTGGTCGTCATGGTCACCATGGTCGGCCTGCAATGCAACATGCGATGGCGGAATCACTGTCAGATCACGATCATGCTCAATGCCACCGCCTAGTAATGGAGGGGTTGGGTGCGTAGGTGACGGAATGGAGGTTGAAGAATGTAACACAGACTCGTGTCCAGGTAAGTTCAGTTAGAAGTATTACCTCTTCGAAATGGACTCTGTTATGATAGTTATGTAAAACAATTTCAATGCCACACTATGAATTATTTTGAGCATTCTTAATTTTTTTTGTTAATTGTTGAATAACATTGAGAGAAAGACAGTATTTTGCACAATCAATCTTTTGATTCATATCATCAATACATTTTGAAGTAGATAATTATATTAGTTTTAAAAATGCATATCCCTGATTAAAAGTCAATCGTCTCAAAGTTCAAACACTGCCTTTCCATGCACCTATATTCCGTTCGTTAATCACAAACTAATAACGGTCCAGCAGCTGGTATTTAGAAATGATGTTTTTCTTTTTCGGTATGTAGTTGACGGTGGTTGGTGCAGTTGGACATCATGGAGTCAATGCACTAAGGATTGTGATATGGGGTACAAGGAACGATCTCGTATCTGCGACTGCCCATCTTCCGCATATGGTGGCCAGAAATGCCCAGGAATAGGCTCTGAACAGAGTGAATGTGACGGAGAGCCTTGTCCAGGTAATATCAATTGTCTACTGGCTTTGTGCATGAACGAAGAGGGCGCTATTTCACTTAACAGTGAGAGAGTGTAGGACACTTCGATAATGTGCACTATTAGTTTATATTACCCTGAATGTCCTTTCATTAAAGCCTCGAATTGAGCCTCAGTTCTCCAAAAACTCGTTTGTCACGGCTATACATCTCTCTGAGTGTCAGGTACTTCTCTTCTTTAGGTAATTCCTATAATTTGTGGTCACTATTTTATAGTTGATTGCCATACCAACGAGTGGTCAGACTGGAGTTCATGCTCAGCTACATGCGACGGTGGTACATCACACAGATACCGTAATGTTACAATCCCCGCTCAGTATGGAGGCAAAAAGTGCCAGGGACCTTTTGTAGAGACGATGCAGTGTGGAGTGAAACCTTGCACTGGTGAGTATATAAGATGAAAATCTTCTTAGCAGAGACATTAAATTTGTTAAGCACAAAAAAATAATACTCCCGCAAGAATTTAACTAGTTTATTTAACTACATTTTTACTTGACACATTATGTTCTCTGCTTTGCAATTTCTGTATTTGCAGCCTAGTGAAATCATATCAGGACAATTGATGTGGTCTTTGTAACTACTTGAATTCACACTAATTGCTAGACTAATGAGCGTAACTGCCTCAATAATATAAGGTAATTACTTTGTTACTTTTTAATTGAGTTAATTTTTTTTAGACCTGATGTGAAGCTTATTTGTACTTTTTTTTTCAGTCTGTGACGAAGGTTTAGTTGAGGACGAATGCGCTAACCGATGTCCAAGTACTTGTGCTGATCTACAAAATGGTGCTGAGTGTGTGGCAGTGAACTGTACTACAGGCTGTCATTGCCCTGAAAATATGGTAAAGCTGTCATTAAAATCAATTGTTATGTGTAGAATTGTACTTTCCTTTTCATTTGTGATCTTTGTATTTGGCCTGACAACATTGTGTACACGAGTTCTCACTAGCAACCCTTAAACATTATGTTAACATTTGGAATGGCTACTTGATATGTAAATATGTAGCTCGTTGGTATAGAGCACTCGAAGATGAATTATTCCTCTGACCGGTTTTTTTGTTCACTCTATTGTTCTGTTGGCAAAAGCTGTCAGCTTACTGGTCAAAAAATGCTCTTCTGATGATTTGTCTTAATTTTGAAATGTTCTTAATTAAATCTTTGTAGGTTTTACAAGACGGCCAGTGTGTGTATCAGCCTGAATGCCGATGTGTCTTAGATCCGATCATCCTAGGACTTGCAATTGATATGATTGTCATTCCTGATGATACCGGTGCCATTCAGATGAATGATGGGTCTATTCAGTACATGCCTGGTGCAACAATCTATCAACAGTGCAACAATTGGTAAGGCTTGGTGTTTGGTAACTTACGTTTGAGTGAATCAAAATTCGAACCTGACTCTTGTGAATTGTAGTTTGACTACCAACTGAAGCCTTATTGAATCTTTGCAGTAAATGTATTATCTAATGTTAACATATGTTGTCTTTTTGTAATATACAGCACATGTAGCAGTGGCTCATTTGTATGCACAGAATTGGACTGTAAAGGTGAGCTTCTTGTTAAATTTGGATACATTTTCATTTCATTTGAAGGCTGTTATGGTCACATAAGTTGTTTTTGCCTCTTCATCAATGATTTGAGAAACTCTACTAATCGGATACTATTGGGTTGATATCCATTGTTACTATCTGAGTAAAACACTCGTTTGTACGAGTCATAGCAACCAGATAAAAAGTATCTTATTCATCATGAAAACATAAATCCTTGACTAATTCCCTTTTTTGTCAGTTGACTGTGGATGGAGTGCATGGTCTGATTGGTCTGAATGCTCAGGCACCTGTGGTCGAGGCGAAAGCGGTAAATACCGACAGCGATTCACCAATAATCCTGAGGCGGCCTACGGTGGATTGCAGTGTGAAGGGGAAGACACTGAATACGCATCTTGTGATCTACAAGACTGCCGTGAGTTACATTTGAAAAAATAATCTTTATTATGTAACGAATTTTTTTTTTCATTTTAGTGACATTTCACAATGTGGTTGATATTTATTGTAAGCAAGCTCATGTCTTTAATCTAAATTGTTTGTGTGATTGTGATGAACAAGTTGTAAGAAAGACAGAATTGTTCTCACTTGTTCGCCTCGAATTTCCTGACAGCTTGTGGCGACAATGAAGTCTGGAGCTACCAAGCCACAAACTGTTCATCGACCTGCTACGACCTTTACAGCACCCACATTGGGACCTCTGAGCCAGTCACCTGCACGAACGACCCACAGGAATCCTGTACCTGCTTGCCTGGCTACTATCGCGATGGCTCCGGGCAGTGCGTGCTGCCTGCAGAATGTGAGTGTTTGGATGAGAACGGTGTGATGCGTAACCATGACGACGTCTGGATGAAGGATGGATGTACAGTGTGCGCTTGCCTCAATGGGGAGGCAGTTTGTAAGAGCAACTGCCAACCAATCAACTGTCCTGCTGTAAGTTTTAAAAAAAAATTGAAAGAACTCTGTCTGGAATTTGTCTCGCAGGACCACGTTAATTACAGTCAACAGGGCAAAGATGTTTATTCGTGTTTCTATTTCTGTTAGCTAATAGGTCCTTAATTCAAATCCTGCTTCAGTCAAATATCCAATGTTTACCATATGGATGAATATCTTTTGAAACACTTGAGAGATTATCATTGAATTATTAGAGGAGAATTACTCCTGATTTCTCTTAATCTTGCAGGGCTTTGCACCGATCTTTGAAGATGGCCAGTGTTGTCCAATTTGCCGCAAGGTTTCTGGTAAGATTGTGGTTTTCTGGATGAATATTTCTGTTATCGTATGGTTATCCTCCTTTCTCGGTTTTACTTATGCATGTTAATTTCAAGGTTAATGAATAACAAACTTGTGTATTAAATAGTTGAATGATCGTTAAAATTTAAAAGATAAACATCTGCGTAAAGAGTGCGAATGATTTTGGGACATGGATACAAATCATAAACAGTGCATCCTCGTCAGAATTTGAGAAAATAAAAGTAATAATGGTTCTGATAATCTTTCTAAAAATGTTCTATAAGAAAGTACCTCAACTTCTTTGTGATTATTTAATTCGATTACCTCAGAGCCAGACACTTGCAGCTTGATCTATGAAATCAAGACGGTTACAAACACACTTGGCTGTGTCGCACACAACGTCAACGTTACATCCTGCGATGGCCACTGCCGCTCACGCTCACACATCATCTTACTAGAGCCGTACATGCAGCAGGATTGTAGCTGTTGTCATGGTGATGTAGAGTCTGTGGAGTTGGTAACATTGACTTGTCCTGATGGAAGCAAGACCCAGGCCCCGATTGCTAAGATATCTCACTGTCGATGTAGAGAGGCTCTCTGCTCCATACAAGGTGAGAAAACTTTCTTCACAATTTTTTTTTCATTTAAAAAATGATTTATTTATACCTTTAAGCTGATTTGATTTATGTTCTTTTATTTGAAGGTTAAATATATTCTGTTTACAAGTCTTTGCACTTTGAAACTGAATTACTTCATGGTGGATCAAATTCACTTTTCAAATTTTTTTTTTAGGTATCTCTTAAGCTCGAGATCATAAGTTATTTTAATTTTTTGTGTTTTGTTTTCTTTTCTTTTCTTTTATATCATTTTGCTTTGCAGCCGAGTCTACTGTTGCAAGTCTGTGAGGAAAAGAAATTAATAAAACTGTGGGAATGACTGCATGCATTGCCCAGACCATGGATTGATAAAACTCTTTAACAATGCTGTTTAATTAAAGTTTCCTAGACTAGTACCCAGTTTGATGATATTAAGGCATCAAAAGTGTTATTGTCTTCACAAACAGCTTTCTAGGTACAAATTGAGATTTTCTTCCTTATTTAAGTAAACATCAATTTAGAAAATCAAAATTTTGAATTTCAGCGTAAGGGAATGTTCTAAGAGAGTACATATTTTCTGGTTGAATGAGGTTGCCATATTACAGTCAGTGATATTCAAAATTGTGTAATATGCATAACATGACAAAAGATATAGAGAAACATTAATTTTATGGAGCCTAAATGTGACCTACTGTGGCAAAATGAGGAATGTCCTCCAAAACCATGTTTTGAGTAATCAACACCTGAAGTGGAAAAAATCATGTCAAAATCAATATTGGGTTTTTTTCCGTATTTTTGAGAAGCCAAGCAAGGTATCCAAGATTCACACTATTCCTTTTTGTAGGGTAAAAATGTCCCCAAAACTGTAATCTCAAGAACGTTTTCCACTGCTCATGGCGGCGCAATGTGAATTTCTTTCTTCAAAGCCGTTTTTCTCGAAATGAGGTCGGCGAAGTTCGGTGGGACACTGTTGAAGTTCCTGCGGCATATTTTTGAAATAAATTTGGTATCATTGGAAAGCTAATGATTCGCCCTTTAACATGATTACGAAGCTTGAAAAGTCAAAGTTGGGGGTTATTCCTCATTATGATATGGCAGGTCACAAATACCACAGTAAAACACTGCTTAGAAACCATTATGGTATTATTATATTATTCTTAATCCATCTGTGCAGCAAATGTAGATAGCGATGTGTTGTATTTACCCACAAGCCAGTGAGAGGCACCTCGTTCTCGCTAGTTTGCGCGTGTATGGCGCGGAGTACATGCATGCTACCAAGTTTCTCCTGAATCTGTGCACAAACCTATAGCGTCTGCAGGAGGGAATGCGAAGTCAACTTACCCTGAGATACAGCTTGATGTTCCCTCGCCACTTTCATTCAATTAGCGCGGCGCTTTGTATTAAATGCACATTTTTCATGTCTCTTTTAATTCGTTTTGTAGAAATACTTCTGTTTCCCGAATAAAATACCCGCAATCACGATCGAATGTTTGCGTTTCTGATTTACTTTTTAAGGAATAGTGGAGTATCCAGGGGCAGGTAGCAACATACGAATCTCAGACGAACCATTACAACCCCCCCCCCTCCCTTTCATTTACTTCCTGTTTTTGGGAGCCGTGTCGTTCCAATTGTATATATTGTTGATCGAAAACCTTTAGCCTGTGTGTCATCGTAAGCAACCTGTGTCAAAGTTAGATGCCAGTGCGAAGACCAGACCTACACGTATGATCAACACCACTGTCAGTACGAAAGTTACCATTTTGACTGCTGCCATGGCAACAAACCATCGAATTTAATCGATCGTCTGCTGTGTTGTCAGGAATGAATGACAACGTGTACCATGGTGTTGACATAATCGATATACGCCCACATTGAATGGCTAAATTGGACGCAACGTGCGACTTCACAACACTCTTGTGTTCAGAAAATGGACAGTTTTGTTCTCCATTTATTATGCAGGTGAACTATTGAGCTGATTATACAGCTGTTCTTCACCCTACTTTCTCTACGGCTGAAGAACGCTGACGTCATGTAGAACCGCCTGTATATAAATATCAGACTTGGGAGCTTTCACGAAACAGATCCAGATCTCCATTCGAAAAGTATCGGGTTCTTGTTTTTCTGAGGGGTCCTTTTTACCTGACGTTCAAAATGGAAAACTCGTCGAAAGATATTGGGGATGCTCCGTTTGCCACAGAGGAACCTTTTAAAGTGTACAGATGTTATTACGAGAGACAGATTTTTGCAAGTGTACTCATTCTGACATCGATCTTTGGATTTGTTGGTAATGTGATGGTCCTTATTACCGTCTCGCTGTCTAGGAAACTCCGTACTGTCACTAATGTCTTTGTAGTCACCCTCAGCATCAGCGATTTGATATCGTGCGTCTTTCTGCCGTGGCAGGTGGTTGCCGTCTTGAGCGAAGATGGTTGGCCGCTCCCACAAGCATACTGGATCTGCCAGTTGACGTCAGTCATGCTAACTATTGGCAACAATTGTACTATCAACATGTTAGCGCTCATAGCAGTCAACAGGTGGATTGGTGTCACTAAATCCCGTGCCACGACTTGCCGCGTCTACACTTGTAGAAACATCGCTTGTATGGTCGCTTTCTCGGTGATTATACCTATTTTTGTGTCGGTGATTTTACCCTTGATCGGCATTGGAGAGATGGGATACGAACCACTCTACAGCTCCTGCTCCTGGGTGAAGGACAACCCGTACTCTTTCGTTCAAAACATTGTGATTGGCGTTTTGCACTTTCCAATCCAGTTTACCGTCATTTGTGCATGCTACGTTTCAATATTTCGGTACGTTCTCAAGTCGTCCCGTCGCGTAGCTGGACATGACATTCCAAGTGTCTCGGGCGTGATAAGTGGAGCTGAGCGTGCAATGCGAAAGAGGTTTTGGAAGAGGCAGATTGCAGTCACTAAGAATCTCGTCTACATCGTCTTAGCCTACATTATCTGCCTTCTGCCATTCAGTGTGTCTGTTATACCTCTAGGATACGATTGGAGCATCCGTATGACTCCTTATGCAGCAGCCATCATGAACTTTAACACGTTTCTCAATCCTATTATTTACGCCACATCCCACCCTGATTTTAAAGAAACTTTTGGATGCATGGTGCGGTGTAAATGTAAGGATATTCCACGTCAGGCTTGCCCAAAATGAATATCTAGAATTGAGTGATGAAACAATGGATTCACTGACCGAAATAAATATTTGCATTTGTTTTATGGAAACAAAGCAATGGCAAACAAAGCAATGGCAATGTGATTATTGCGTCTACGAGTGACAGTGGCGCACCCAGGATGGCGTCATTTACATCCTATTAATACTACTCGAAAATAGACCACATACCTATTACCACGGTCAAATCGTGGGACTAAAGATAATTTGACCAATAAAAAAAAAGAAATCAAGCCCCCGTGCCCTCCCCCGTTGGGTGCGCCACTGGCGAGTGAGAATTTCCACAATTTGGTTCCGATCTTTTATGGGGAGTTAATATGTAATCGCCAGCTGAAAAAAACCCACTATTTCGTATGAAGATAGTTAACGCCACGTAGTTAATGCATGACCATCAAGAGCATTGGTTGCATCTTGGACAAAAGTGGACCATTATCAAGACCGTTCTCAAGACGTCCCGCTGCATGGCTAGTCATGACATCCCAAGCATTTCCGGTTCAGTGAGTGGAGCTAATCATCTGATCCGTAAAAAGCTTTGAAAGAGGTAGCTTGCAGTCACTAACAATCTCGTCCACATCGATTTATTTCATTTATTTTACATCTTCTGACATTAAAAATGTGATAAAATGAACAGGAGATGTCAAGGAGAAACGAAAGTAAGAAAAAACCTGTCATTAAAATGATGTGTTCAACCAGACCCCAGTTCAAAAGAAAAAAAAAGCATGTCTTAGCCTACGTCGTCTGCACTGCACCCTTTGCCTTTTCTGTTATCCCTCTAGGCTACATTGGAGCATCCGTATGACTCCTTACGCAGCCGCCATCATCATGTGCTTTAACATCTGTCACAATCTCATCATCTACGCCGCATCACAGCCTGATTTTAAGGAAACCTTTGGATACACTTTCCGTTGTAAATGCAAGAAAAATAAAGTGCTTACTGCTGTGATCAGGCTTGCTGGGAACAAGTTAAATTTATTAATATGAAGCCTTCAACATGCATGAACCAAACTAACTTTGACTGTTTATTGACTGTTATACAATAAATCAGGGACAATTAACAGACTCTATCTTTTTCTATTCAATACTCCGCGTCGTTGGAATTTCGATAATTATCTCTCTTTACGAACAAGATTTACCTTCCATTGTGAAGTAAATACGGTTGGGACTGTTTTGTAAACAAACGGAAACACAAGGAGAGTGTGCGCTGATATCAATGTCTCGTATTTTCACCGCTGAAGGAGAACTGATGTTAGAGCACTCACTTTATTACTCTCAATTCATTCTGAATTGTAGCCAATTAAGTCGACGCCAGTAGGCGGAATTGATAAGAAGTCGTTGAGCATAGGTAGCTTTCTCCCAACATTAAACAACCTATTAAATAAGAGAAGTGACATAGCCAACACATTTATATCTCGTGTCCCTCTTTTGTCATTGTTTCTGCTAGTGATCAATAAAATTCGACCTATTAAGTGATAAGGAGGTGATTGATAATGCACGCTGGCTCTTCAAAGTGACCTTTTTCAAACGTTTGATATACAGGGAGTTGTTAATCATTGATACAATTTCTTTTCCTCTGTCATGCGAGCACTGCAAACTATTCGCGTACGTCTTCAGAATATGATCCAGGATACACGGCGCGAGCATTTCACTTCGTTACTAATCGCTTGGTGGTTCGGTGTGGGTATACGTGTCATATTCAGTCCGAATCACTTCGTTGGCATCCATATAGGCAAACCCCTATATCATTCACACTCCACGCTGAATGCAATTAGTTATTGTTAAGCTTGTGTCGAGGAAAACGAACGCAGTTTAGTTTCCAGGTTTCTGTTGGTGGGCTCTGGAATTTGTATCCCTGAATGACGAACTGGTATCGCAAGATCGTACTCTCAGTGCGAACATCACGGGCAAAACATCTTTCCTGACTAGCTCATGCAGCCATCTTCTGACTGTTAGAAATGGAAAACTCAACTTTCAATGACAGTTTCTTTGAGACGACTGAAGCACCTTTTCTTGTATATTCGTCCTACTCTATGAGGCAAATCATTGCCGCTATGTGCACCACTACAGCTATCGTAGGACTTATTGGTAATGCACTGGTCATTATAGCTGTTCGATTGTCCAAGAAACTCCGTACAGTCACCAACGTATTCGTTATCAACCTCAGCATCAGTGATTTGATATCATGCGTCTGTCTACCTTGGGAGGTGGTGGCTGTGTTGGGCGAAGATGGCTGGCCGCTCCCACAAGCCGAGTGGCTGTGTGCGGTGACAAGTATCTTCATCATTATCAGCACGGGATGTAGCGTGACGAACTTGGCCCTCATAGCTTTGAATCGATGGGTACGTATCACTAAGTCGCCAGTCCTTGCTCGTCGCATCTACGCTCGTCGTAACATCATCTTCATGGTGATATTTTCCTGGCTAATGCCGCTGTGTGTTACGTTGATTCCCCCACTGACTGGTTTTGGCGAACTTGGCTACGAACCTCGCTATAGTAGCTGCTCCTGGGTCAAAGCAAACCCTTATTCCTCTCATCACAGCGTTATTGTGGGAGTTTTCTACTTTCCCATCCCACTCATCACGATCGGGTTCTGTTACGGCTCTATCTTCCGTTACGTGGTCAAGACTTCTCGCCGTATGGCTCAACATGAAGTCAACTCAGTCTCAGGCCTGGTAAGCGCCTCGGACTCGTCCATGCGTAAGAATCTATGGAAGAGACAGGTTAAAGTTACCAAAAACCTTGTGTATGTGGTTGCTGCGTTTGTGATTTGTTCGACTCTCTTCATCTTTTCTTTTCTGCCGCTTGGATATGACTGGAGCATTCGAATGACTCCTTACGCAATCGCCATCGTGTACTTTAACTGTATCACTGATCCTATTATCTACGCGACGTCACATCCAGATTTCAAGGAAGCATTCGGCTATATGATTCGATGTCGATGGAAAGATATTCCTCAATCTAGCGCCAGTTCAAGGTTATCGAAATAGTAACCGAACAATGAAAGCACTGGTCTTTTTGGCATAGATACAAAGACATGGGTTGCAGATTTGCAGGCTTTAAATGTGGCTGATCCTTTTTAATGTTTTAGTGGAATGATATTTAAATAAAACTTTGTTAGAATGTTTAAGAGTTAGTGATACGGATGAAAGTCAAGAAACTAGCAGGTGTAGGCAAGTGTAATCGTTGTTCCTGTTTGATTGAATGAATTGTATGTTCTCCTGTTTGAAGTTTCATTTCATCTGCCTCTTACCACAATTGAAAATACTTCGAAACTTTATTTTTTCAAATGTAATGCCTTAAGGTGGCCGTTGTCAATAGAAATAAAGTGACTTATTTCTTGTAGTTGAATAATATATTCGGAAATAGAGTGTGGACTGAAAAACGAACTAATGGCGTTCGTTTCTAGCGAAGTTAATACTACAGATCGTGTGCCAAATTAGAAACACTCGACAAAAAATTTCGACTTTAATTATTAACTCCACATAAGAAGCATCAATGCACGTAAAATGCTGAGTTTGTGGCTCACTAACGGTTATCTTACCTAAACTTGCAAACATATAACTAAATAAAATCGATCCTGTTATGAACGCAATAAATGGTGTCAACTGATGTATATGCTAGTCTACGGATTCGATTGTTTATAAATGTTTTCACGAACATTATCTCCATATCAGGAAAAGGCTGGCAGACGTGTCAAGTGCTTAATAAGAGTTGGTCCACCCTGGGATTTATGACGCGCATGCGCCCACACCTTAATTCCGTTAGTGGTTAAATAACCAGAATACATCATCGAACCATTTCCCCTCTTTTATTCCCCTGCATTCATAAACATTGGCTGAAGTTGCAATTAAGCTGACGTCAATAGAAGACATAGCAAAGCGGGCCAATAATGATTCCTGCGACATTTCCCTTGTTGGTCAGTTTGGATAAGCAAGACATATCGAAATCTTGTCAGGGGAAGCTGCTAATTTAATTGATCACTTTCCTCTTTCCCAGCCTTTGCCAATTAAGTGACCCCGAATAAATATGCCTTGAAAGGATTGATCAATACTGCCGATATATTTTCCTAATCTTTTTCCACTGCCACAATTCATCTATATAATTTGTGTCCAAAGTTCAACAACGATAGGTATAAATTGCTTGTGACAAAATTCGGTTGCTAAGTGATGGCTCGAAACCTTCAAGTGCTGTGATGCATCGTGTTCATCGAATACATCAGAGGCGTAGCAAGGTCCTTTTTTTGGGGGTGTTAAAAGGTTCTTGTAAAGGGCTCTCGTACACATTCGTGCTCAAAATTAATGTAGACAGGGTTTTCACTCCAGAAACTGGGGGGGGGGGGGGGGCAGGTACCATCTTCCAATTAGAGTGCTATTCAAGCACACTATCGGACAATAGATGACGCTTTTTAGGGCGGCATCATTGTCGACGGCTGCGCGAAATGGACTTGATGTACTCGATGACGCTTTTCAGGACGGCATCATTGCCGACGGTCGCGCTAAGTTACATATTGGTCATTCGTAAAAGGCTGCTGGTAAAAAAAGGTGCTCGTTAAATAGAAATAGCACTCTTCAAAAAAGTGGGGGTAAGCGCTGGTGAAAAAGGACACTTTAATTGAAAAGGGTAGGGGTAGTCTTTACAGAATATTATGGGGGAGGAATACCCCCTTAACCCCCCCCCCCCCCACCGCCCTGTGATGGCTACGCCTCTGTACACGACTACGATTAACGTATTGATAATCATGTATGTGATCTCATGTGTTTTCTTTGCAATAAAAAAGGAGGAAGTACTGTTTAAGATCAACTCATTTTCCACTCAATAACATCTGAGTCTGCACTTTTTTTAAATTTTTATAAATAAAAACACCTTTAATAAAAAAACCACCTTTTTATTAAATAAGTAAAGCCCTCTCTCATCACCACGCCAAATTTAAAAAAGCGCCATCACACGTTTCTCTGTGAATCAATGTAACTTTTTAGATTACGGGACTTTTTTTTTCTGATGTGTTTTTTGGCCTAGTCAGCACAATTTCCGTAGACCTACATTTGCATGCCATTCACATTTTCAATTCACATAAACGTAAACCACGGCACTTATTTCAAGCTGTTGTCCACTTCAGTTTAAGATTTATCAATGCAATGGCGCGGTCTATTGTCTGTTAATTCCTTGCGTGCGACAGTCGTGCGTGTGACATCCGTTGTTAACTCACTGTGTGACCTTCACTATTGTTACAAAAATCATATGTCAAACATATCCCGGTGCAGCAACTCATAATTTCAAGCTGTTACTGTTGTTTCGTTCAATAAAATATTACTTTTGTCTAACATTGCCGTTGTATAATGACATGATATCTGCATTATAAAAATGTGTGCTATTTAATTAAGGACATAAACTTACGTAAATCTGAAATGATGTCGTTAAGTAATCAATGGCCATAAGTTAGCCACAGAGTGGGCGCCTGCTGCTTCAGTAGTATCTTGGACTTCGTGGTGAAGGGATGGAAATTCTACAATTTCTTCTTTTGGTGTTTAACATTCTCTGTTACCATGCGATAGCGGCCCAACAAGTGTGAGTTTTTATTTCTTATTTTAGAAATACAAAGCAAAATATAGATTCTTTTTAACAGTTTTAACATTAGAAGGAAATTATAAACAAATACCTTTTTAAAAGAAATTTATTTGTGAAAAGGACCGTCAATTAAATAAAGTATCGCATTATATATTTGAAATAGCTGTGCTGATTTTTGGTTCTGAAAGTCTGTCTGTTCTTTTGTCTTTTGGTTTGAGATTGTGTATTTTCAGCTGGATTTTGGTGCATTTTGTGCTGGATTTGGGACTTAATTCTTTCCTCCCCAGAACCCATTTTTGTGATGATACGGTAACCAAAGACGAGTCAGTCCTGGTTCCTCGCCAGGATTTGACTATTCCTTGCCGAGAGCTGAGTCGATACCTAGGCCAAGGCTACCTGCTAGATGACAGTAAGGAAAAAGGGGTGGATAAGGAAGATCCTGATGCAGAATGCCCGGTTTTTAAGTAAGTCCGAGCGAGATAAAATGAAGCAAGGTTTTTAATTCGAGATTTCCTCGTTGGTCATGCTGTGCGTGTTTACAGTGGGCTGAACTGCATGTGAGTTTCGGCAAACATTACAGGTGTATTGATAGTAATTTGGTCTGATTACTAATTATTTGTCCACTTTGCTTCTTTCAATAAATCAAGAAGTTAAAAGTTTGAACAACCTGTACTTATCTTCAGTTTTGATGATTGAATTCTGACCCACAGGCCCGCTGCTCGGAAAATCATCAAACGTGAGGAGACAGCGCGGAGAAAATGCTGCGATGGATGGGAAGGAATGCTCTGCGAACAGCGTAAGAATCACTGACACGGATTTTTATTTTTTTTGCTTTGAAGACCACACAACGTACTCAGTCGTAGGAGTTGAAAGGAAAAGTGAAAGAACTCATCCGTTTGGCTCTGTGGTCAAATAAAAATTATAAATTGACATTCGAAAAACCTTTGCCACTGTCAAACTTTGGTTAACTACAATAAGAAAAAAATATATACAGATATCTGAACTTTAATCTTTCCGTTTTTATTTGCACAGCAATTTGTACCATCGCTTGTAAGAACTCGGGATCCTGCGTGGCGCCAAACAAATGCGCATGCCCAGACGGGTTTAAAGGTGACCAATGCGAAGAACGTTCTGGTAAGACAATGGCCTGTAACTAATGACTATTATCAAAATCTGCGCTTATGTTGCCAGTGAATGCGTTAGGATCGCTTAATACATAAATATACAATGGTTATTTTCTTCGAGAATTATGTACGTATCTTTTTTCGACTAATTTTCAGTGATATTCAGACTCATTTTCTTAGACTTGGTTCTTTTTGTTATTAAATATCCGTCATCATATATTAAAATACTAAACTTTTCTTTATATTTCTAGATGAAGAGGGCCTATCCACAGACGATATGGGACGAGGTATGGCGTGGTTTAAGATTTCCACCAGGCAAAACAATCTTAAACAAAACCATGTTCAAAATTAATAACATTGAAGTCCATTAGAGTAAGACAAAGGATAGAGTTCATCTTAATGCAAGTCGTATTGGTAACTCAAATAAAAAGGGCAATTGGAGAAACATTTCTTCTTAAATCATTCATACTCAGCTTCAATATTTGATGTTTTAACAAAGGCTAAATGATTTCTTTGATCAGCAGCGGATTTTCGCCCTCGGTTCGCAACGTGCATGGTATGGAGCGCAGGTCATTACCGGACTTTTGACGGTCGACGATTCGATTTCGACGGCGCCTGCAAATACGTGCTGTCCGCTGATATAGGACAATCATGGAGTGTGCATGTCAGTAATTTGCATTGTCATACACCTGAAACCTGCAAAAAGGTGAGCTGGAGGAATAACTTGCTTAATCATAAGGTATTAAAAGATTATAAATAAAGAATCGAAATTGAATTCCGACAAATTTAGTTAAATAGTCAAGTATACAATGCTCCGAATTGTGATTTTGTCAGTAGTCTTGCTCATAAATATTGGTTAAAAAATTGAGTACTTTACTTGTTTCTATTTTCATTTTCAGCGTTTGACGTTCCAGCTTGATCAAGATACCTTGGAAGCTGAAGGGGGAATGATTGCATTCAATCGAAAAATCATCGAATCAGTTCCCTTTCAGACAAAAGGTAAATTGACGTATCGGTATAGTTCTAATTTCTTTAATTACTTTTTGCGAATCAATTGATATTGTTTCTATATCCTGTATGAGACTGGCAAACTCGTTTCCATTTACTACTGCAGGCAACGCTCCCAACGCCTTGGGCAAGGCAATCACTCTAATAAATGCCGATGTGCTTTTCATGTCCAGGTATCTCGATTGAGAAGGAGGGTGATTTCTTCTACCTTGATTCTGGTTCTGGTTGGAGGAGTAAATTTGATAATGGATCAACCGTTTACGTCACACTAAATGAAGAGCTGATGGCGTCAACTGTTGGCTTGTGTGGAGACTACGATGGCAAACCAGATAGTGAGTCATTCAGGTTCCATTTCAAATGACAAAATGTCTTACTCAGTATTTAAACGTCGTAAAATAAAAGTTTGTCTTAAAAACATGGGCAGAAAACGTATGTTGTGACGATAGACTTTTATTATATAAAATATAATTCAGCAAACAAAATCGGACCAATGACAGACTTTCAATGAATGATATCAGTTGTTAATTTTCTGTAAAATTCAAAATGAAAGTAGTAACTTAAGTTTGTTAATGCTGTTTTTTTAATTTTTTTTTCACAGATGATTTGATGACCAAGAATAAAAGCATTGCAACCAACCCGATCGCCTTCGGACATAGCTGGACTTTGGAGG